AATTTTCTCTATGCCTCTAATATGGAAAAAATATTTTATTTATTGGTAGGGTGAACTGCCCCCTCTTTTCCCTTATTTGGTCAAACGGTTGAGCTAAAATAAGCCTTAATAGGCCACACACGGATCTTGAAAAATTTAGAAAATAATAATCGTAAAGAGTAAAAAATTCATAACTCTCTTGATGCTTTGAATGTTAGGAACAATTTTCAGTCTTAAATTCTTCTTTGAATTTGCTTTCTATTGAGTTGTTTCACTATTATATATGTTGATTATTTTTTAAGATAAAAAATAATTTAGTATGAACAGTCATGCTATCATATAATTCTGCCCCTACGTGAATATATGGGATCAATAATCTTCTAAAATCAATATAAAATTAACTCTAATAATTTTCTCTGAAATTTATTTCACATCTCATTGTTCAAAGACCTTTGTCTTTATTACTCACATGCTTATATTCTTGAAGCCATTTGATATAGAAAATTTAAACATTAAGACCTACATGTGAGATGATTGCATATTTACCTCACACAAACTTTGTATTATAAGTATATCTAATTCGTCTAAGAATCATATCTATGAAAAAAAATTAGTCATATAATTCAGACCTCATATTATTATCCAAGTAATTTAAAAATTAATATATTTACCACATCAATTGTATATTCACATCACATAAAATATCATCAATTTCAAGATAATCAAGTTAATGTCTAAAAATCATCAAAAATATATTTTCTCTTCTAGAGTTAATCCATAACACAACACAAAAGTTAAAGAAGAAATTTAATAGATGATGTTATTTGATCTTCTTGGAAGATATAAAACTTGCATAGAAATAAAACCAATTTTTCTAACTCAAAAATTGACTAAGAATAGTAATAGAGAAAAAAAATATTTTTATAGAAATTTGTCACTCAATCTATTCCACCCTCCAAAGGCCACATCCTTGTATTTCACTATACTACATATAGTACTAAAGCTAAACACCAATGGATTAGGTTACTTCTAATAAATTAATAGCACTAGCAAGTTTAAATGTACCCAATACTCTTTTCTAGGTTTAGAGCTCTTTTAGGCTAAATCAAGTAAGTATCACTTGACTCTATAAATTTATAACTATAAAGAAATGTTCGTTTGAGACTAGTGATAGTTTCTCACACCTAGAGACCCTTACAATGAGAGTAAATAAAAGTTTAAGATTGGAGCTTGAAGTTTAGAGGTTCCTTGTAGTGTGGAAAGAATAGACCTTGAATTGGATGTAAGTTTCCATCCACTAGAGAGCATGTGATCAAGTTGGCATTGAAAAACATAGCTTTAAATCTTGCTCTCAAGAATAGAGGCGTTATATAATTGATGAGGATATTTTGAAATATGTAGAAAGGGTTGAAAAATACATTCTCAAGTTATTTAATTTTATAAATAAATAATATATTTCTTGGCTTGTATTTCAATAGTCAAAATACTAATTCTTTTATTATTTTAATAGTCATTTGTGGGTGCCTAACAACTAATGAATATCTTTTTAAAGGCCATGACAGATAACACGCATAGCTTTTATAAGTCAAGAACACTATAATACAAGAGTGCAACACCATAGCTTATGTGTAGTGTATTATAGTGCATGCTTAGTTAGCTTTAATACTAATATGATAATCTTTAACTGAAAAAGCAAGTTATCAAGTGTGGAATCATATTGTCGGTATGAGGCGTGCTGCATGTGTGAAAATGTAATACATTAGATGAAGAAAAATAGTGATCACATAAAGATAAAGTGAAGTTCAATGTCAACAATCACATCTTATTATGGCTCAACAAAAGGTCATATAAGAATGACATGAATAGTAAATTGGCCTACTACCTTAACTTGAGAAGAAGATTGACTATACTAAGAAAGATGACAAATAACACAATTGTTTGATGGGTATCACCAATGTTGATTACCTAATAAGGTGCCAAGATTGATGCAATCATTAGATGAAAGTAGGTCAATCGAGGAGAACATGAGGTTATGTGGCAAGCACACATGGAATATCAACTTATGACAGTTGAAGACCTCGTCAATAAGTATGCCATTACATACTTTTTGACAATAATGTCAGATTTGCTGCATGAGAGAGGATTTGGCATCCCTTGAGTAAGAGAATGAGGTTCTAAGCATAGAACTACATTTCCAACATGAGGTCATATAGTTGTCTATGTTGACACATGAGTGGTGTGACATGCACAACAAAGCACATTGCATAAATGAAGACATGCAAAAACATGCACATAGCACTATTGGGACAAAGCGAGGTTCATGTAGGGCCTTTATGGACCTCACAAGTGAAGCACACACAAATGGCACATATTAGCACAGTATCAACATAATATGACACATAGGGAGCTCATGAGGCTTGAATGTGTCTATGTAGCTCAAGTAGATGACGTTCAAGGGGATGTCTTATGAACCATAGAAATTGCTGGCCCTAGATAACATAGCAGGGCATAGTGATGGCTTGGCATGGCATGGACATTGCAGGCACAAAATCGAATAACATAATGTGACATGGTCCTGCTTGTAGATGCACTATGTGGGCAACATGGTGAAACATGAGTGCATGGTGGGCAGTAAAGATAGCGATGAGGAGATGTGTATCTTCATGGTGCCTTTGTCAAATCCAAGGCATCATAGCATGAGCCTAGATTATTGTATTGATAACAAGTATGTAAGAGTCTTTTGTTTATATTTATATTTCTATTTTATCTCTTTTTTACATAGGTGAATTGAGTTGAATCAAATAATTTCATAAAAAATGTCAATGAATCAGAAATTATATGTGAAATAATTGACATTTAAAAAAAAACCTCGTGTCAAGGTTAGTAGAAAACATTCATTGTACTTTTTCGTGGTAATACAATTAGTAAAAATAGTGTGAATTGATATTTTTACCTTTTGTTACACTTTGTCAACTCCAAAACCCAGGATCCATTTCTACTGTTTCACCCTCGTCTTCAACCATGACTATATACGCTCCAGTTTATCAATTAGAATTGATAGCTCCGACTTTCCTATATAGAAAGATTGAATTGGACACTTTGTAATTGTAAAGAAACTTTGGTCACATATTTCAAGTGGCCATGATTATTTCCTTGAGTCCATTTGTCATGCCGTGATCCTAGTTCACTTTCTACAACAAGAGAACCCAACATCTGTTCAGTGGATCACCCAAGATCAAGCAGTCTTGGCATGCGTATCGAATACTCTTTTTGACTTTGCACTTGGTAAAGTGGCACGTCTAAGCTTCACTTGAGTTGACCCTCGCTGTGGAGACTCACGGTATAATTGTTCGTTTAATCATAGCATCGTCGAGAGAAGGATCAGTGCTTATTGCACAAGATTCGGAAGCATAAAACATAAGTTCTGATCGACATTCTGCCGTCGGCTGTCCAAATCCCATGGGAATCGTTGTGGTCAATCATGTCATCAGGTGCTGAAATGACTCTAATCAATTTTGTGGGTCTCAAATGGCAGGTTTATTTTATGCGGTTCTTATTTTCCCTTTGTCTATCAGGCACTTATCACTCCGAAATGCTCCCCGCCCTAGTGAGCCTGATTTGCTTCACCTACGCTGAACAGCTGGACACTGGTGACGCATTTTCAAGAACCTTGTCTGGATCGATTTAAGAACATTGCAGAACGGACAACGGTCACTCGATATTCGTTCTTTCGATGATAACCTGGACTTTTCAGGGTATTTTCCCTTCTTTTCTCTCCTGTTGATACTCGGGGGAAAATCTTTGCCCGCGCAGAGGAAAATCTCTCTCTCTCTCTCTAGTTTCATTCCATTCAAATGAAGTACAACCATTCGTCTGATCGTGAACTTATTTTTCAAGTCACAGTGCATTGTTCCTCCCAGACGGGGATCACGCGAAGCGCAGCACGGTGGATCAGATATCATCAGCATTCCAGGCCGGTACGCCAGTTCTCTTGCGATTACTCCTCCCGCAGCTCCTGCTCCCCCTGCTCCTCCTTCTCTGCGCGGCTTCTCTCCGAGATTCTTGTAATCAGTTGCTCCTGTGAACCCGAGAACAACACGGTATCAGGGAAATAAAAAAAGATGAATTAAAGACCTAACCATGGTGATCAGTTCGATGTTCGCCAACGCGGCGGAACCTGTGGCGGGGGAAAGGAAGATACGGTTCTTGGCCTCCCCAGTTCCTCCACATCTCCCCGCCGTGGATGTCGGACTTCCCCTCCCGCCGCCTCCTCGCCGCCGCCGTGATAACCGGAAGGGTAGCTCCAGCAGGGGCGACCTGAGAACACACGAATCCAGGGGGATGGAAGAACTCCTCTCCAGCCGCCGGCTCGTGTGGTCTAAGGACGCTCCCGGTGGAGCTCCCCTCCTCCTCCTCCTCGCCGCCGCCTGCCCCTCGCCTTCCCGTGGTGGTGGCGGCGATGGCACGAGCTGGCCTTTATCGTCGTCTCCCCCCTCCTACTCCCGCGGTGGTACTGCAAGGACAAGTACAAGGTTGGGATTTTCCAGTCCTACGGTACTGTCGCCATTGATATCACATCTAGAGGATCATCTCTCTCCCTCTCTCCTCTCCTCCTTCGCGAGTCGCGTTGTACTACCCAACGTACTCTCTCTATCTCTCTCTTCTCCTCTTGGATTGGAAGTACTGCGAGGGCGAGGCCCCCTGTGACCCAGCATCAGGCTCCCTCTATCTCTCCACCCCGAGTCAACCCCGGCTAGGCTGACCGAGCCCAGCTCGTTCCCGGTCGTCGTGGAGACCCTTCGGGCTGGTCTGCCCAAAGGGCCGAGCTCGGCCCGGCCCATCCTTTGTACGAGTGTGCGAGTTTATCTTTTCTGCGCACATGATGCCACGCGTTATCCATTCATCAGCCGCCACGTCACGATCATCTGCCTTTACAGCCTTTGCTCAGTTCCCAGCTGACTTCCTATCCGCGTCCTCTTCCTTCGCCTCTCGCTCCAGCTAAACCCTAAACCTCGCGGAGGATGCAGTGGCAGGTGCTTTCTTCTTCATCCCCCACCTCCCTCTATGGGTCTCCTCCCCTGTCCAGGTCCCGTCCTGCGCTTCCCCGGGAACTCTGTTTCCGGCCTCGCCGCGTCTCCGTCCGCGCTTCCTCCTCCCCATCTGTCACCTCCGCCGCCGTCACAACCACAGAAGTAGAAGAGCGCCCTTCTCCGACCTCAACCTCTCCCACCCCCAAGCTCAACCGTTACAGCTCTCGAATTACAGAGCCGAAGTCTCAGGGTGCGTCCCAGGCGGTGCTCTATGGGGTTGGCCTTACGGACGAGGACATGGGGAAGCCCCAGATTGGCATCTCATCGGTGTGGTACGAGGGCAACACGTGCAACATGCACCTGCTTCAGCTTGCAGAGGCCGTGAAGGAGGGCGTCCGGGAGGCGGGGATGATCGGCTTCCGGTTCAATACAATTGGGGTCAGTGACGCTATCTCAATGGGCACCAGGGGAATGTGCTACAGCCTGCAGTCGAGGGACCTCATCGCCGACAGCATAGAGACAGTCATGTCTGCTCAGTGGTATGATGGAAACATCTCCATCCCCGGCTGCGACAAGAACGTGAGTTTTCAGTGCAAATCTCTCCGCCGCCTATCTTTTCTTCCTTTAATGGCATTTAGACCTTTGTTCTACCTATCCGCCCAGAGGAAAATTGGCGTTCGGCCAGCTGTAGTCTTAAGCTGACCCATTTGAATGGGATGAAATATGTAACGCCCATCAGTATATTTTTGTGATGGAAACATGAAGTTGATATGCTCATTAATGCAAACATGAAGTCTTAAGCTGACCTTTATTTGAAAAATATTTTGCTTTTCTTAAGTAAAGATAAGTGGTTCAGTGTCATAGTGGCGTACTATGCCTTCATGATGTTGTCACTGCATGGTTTAGTCCTTGTATCTCCATTTTCCTGCATCCATTCACTCTTGGATCTTTGCTACTTTTTTTTCATAGATGCCCGGTACAATAATGGCTATGGGAAGACTTAATCGACCGAGTATAATGGTTTACGGAGGAACAATCAAGGTATATTTTCACATCACTCCTTCCGTTGTACTTATTCAACTCCATTTATTTGTAGCATTAATCTGGAATTGATTATCTTTAGTATGTTGATCATGAAGCCATCCTCATTCTGTTGGGTGATGCTGTTATGGTCACTGTGCTACCTGAAATTCCCAACATCCAAAATTTGATAGTTTTGCCGTACGTGGATACTGTTTGAATTTTTTTTTCTTGATTGATTGAATATCTTGTCGGGTTGTGTTCCTTTTCAGATGTTCCTCTAGGTTTATCATTGGCACTTAGTTTATTGCTCTTCTAGATCATTAACCACCCCTGCTCCGGTGGATTTTCTGTTGAGTGGAATTGCCCTAAGCTAGAAAAGTCTTCAATGTTGTGCATTTTACTTGAAAATCAAGTCATAAATTCAACGTTTGGGCCAATAAATTTGAAACCAAGAGCAAATAATTAGAAGTATCTAAGACTCTGAGGGTAATAGTGAGTTTACGTGCTTTCTCTCCCAGAAAAAAGAAGCGAAAAGGGTAAAGACTGGGCTGAGAAGTAGGTTTTCAAACACGATTGAAATCCATCTCTGATCAGCTGGACAGACTATGCTTCTATTGGGATTTTTTTCTCCTGTTAGAAAGAAAACAGTGAATGATGTAAATTTTATTCTACTGGATTTTCTGTGTTTATAGGTTCTTTGAGGGGCGGTTAATTATATAAGTAACTGGCCTTTAAATGGTTCCAATTTGAGAAGATCCTGCAATAATTGTGAAGTGTGAAGAGTATTATGGGCGTGGTTGACTTTTTAATGTATCTCTTAGTGTCCTTTCACAAAGCAAGACCTTCTATTCCCAGCCCCTTTAAGTAGGCAGTGCGTCATGTTGAGGTGCCATGCCTTTTAGACAATCTTTGCCGCCCAGTATACATTAGTACCTTGGCGTTAGATGTGCAGAAAGAAAATCCTTCCTAGAACGCCTTTTTTTTTAGTTTTTCTTCCTTCGTTCCACATGAAGATCATCCACCCGTGCTCTTTATGGATTAGATACTGATAAAATACCAGAATCCGTTAAAACCTAAAATTTTCCTGTTTTCTTCGTTTTATTAAACATGAAGGATAACCATAGTATTATCTTGAAAGCACCTTTAAATTCATCTTTAATACTAACTTATGCTCAATGATCTCCAGTATGTGATGATTGTCTCATTGTCTGCAGCCAGGACACTTTGAGGGAAACTCATTTGACATAGTTTCTGCATTTCAGGTATGTGCTTTTAGTTGCTTGAGGAGACACTTCTATTTGCTTGATTTTCATACCTGCTCCCCTGTTTTGTTACTTTAATGTATCTCAATTAGATGATATTATTATGAATCTTGCTAGTTACCTAGGGTCATTGGTGATGCAGCAAAGTTATAAAACCATAGCTTATTTTTGACAGTTTGAGGAGAAATGTTGACATAGTGGAGAGTCGGACTGAGGGCTAAGACAAATGAACTGTATCTTTCACCTAACCTGTCCTTTGTTGGAAACGAGTTTTGATTTTAGTTAGAATGTAGGGAGAATAATCCATTTTAATAATTTTGAAGTTTTTTCTACAGACAACTTTGGGATCTTTAATCCTCTGACACTATTGATCTGGTTTGGCCCAGATTTGAGGGGCCAAGCATGGAGTCTAGAAACGTTATGTTTTCACCCTCAGTTGTCAGTTCCTGATAGCTTCTACTTGGGCAATGGTACCTGATTCGAGGTGTCTTCTTTCTTCACAAAACATTCCACTATTTTTTCTGTAAAACATTTGAGCTGTATCATTGTATCTGAACTCAATTAATTTAAATATCTGAGTCATATTATTTCTTTATTATTTTTACATTATTTTGTTTCCGGAGATGTTCTTATGCTTCTCACATGATATTGGCAATTTGGAGTGTTTTTTCTTGTGATTGAATTCTTTAATAGCATTATCTGGTTAATTTTTCTTCTTTGATCTGCTTTTCAGTGCTATGGGGAGTATGTTAGTGGTGCAATCACGGATGATCAGAGGATAAATGTTCTCCGGAATTCATGCCCAGGAGCAGGGGCCTGTGGTGGGATGTACACTGCCAACACCATGGCCTCAGCTATTGAGACAATGGGCATGTCACTCCCGTACAGGTGTTGGTTTTCTCATTATTACAGTTTTTCACAGAGCATATTAATCAAGCTTATTCCTTGTTTAGTTGTAGATTTTTGCTAACTTTTATTTTATTTCACAAGCTCTTCAACACCCGCTGAAGATCCATTGAAGTTGGACGAATGCCGGTTGGCTGGAAAATACCTTTTGGACCTGATAAAAATGGATTTGAAGCCTCGGGACATCATCACGCCAAAATCACTGCGGAATGCGATGGTTATTGTGATGGCCCTAGGTGGATCCACTAATGCTGTATTGCATTTGATTGCAATTGCAAGGTTAGGCGCTGAAATTTTCGTTTGACTCGTGTTATCTTCTTGAGCAGGTTCTCATTCTTGTGTTTGTTGATGGGTGGTGCCCTTTGCAGGTCCGTTGGTCTTCAGTTGTCTCTCGATGATTTTCAGAAGGTAAGCGATCAGGTCCCTTTCCTGGCAGATCTCAAACCCAGTGGCAAATATGTCATGGAAGATGTTCACAAGGTCAGCTGTGCACACCTGTTTACCTTTCCTTTTGTTCTTTGCTCAGTTTTATTTTTATTTTGATGCTTAAGATAGTCCCATTTTAGCTGCTATTGAAGTGAATGTGTGATTATATAGACACATCGAATCTATATATTGCCAGCTGATTCTGATTCGAACACCCCATTTATGTTATACACGTGACAAGGTCCAAAAATTCACTTTTAGTCCCATATCCGTTTATACATTGCCAAAAAAAATTGAGTTAGATGATCCAATAACTGTTGACTTTTAATTTTCATGGTAGATTGGTGGAACACCAGCAGTGATCCGATATCTCTTGGAGCATGATCTTCTAGATGGGGATTGCCTGACAGGTTTATGAATAAAACTTTTGATTTATATAAGAAGAAATTACGGGCTCCTCATTTCCCATGATTTTGACATTTTTGGGATCATGATTTTTTTTCCAGTCACAGGAAAGACACTCGCCGAAAATGCCAAGCTCTTCCCTCCTCTCTCTGAAGGCCAGGTAAATAGAATATGTAATTTATAATCTTGTGATAAACGCCAGGCAGAATTATGAGACCAAGTGCTCGTATATTATCCTCCTGTTTCTTAAAAAGTAATAACAAGTCAGTGTTTGAAAACTTTTACAGCAAGTGATTAGGCCGTTGGAGACCCCCATCAAAGCAACAGGCCACATTCAGATATTGTATGGGAATCTTGCCCCAGAGGGCTCCGTGGCCAAGATTACCGGCAAGGAAGGGCTATTTTTCTCTGGTATGGTACCTTAAAATTAGATGTTATTCAACCCTTGTTAGATTTATATTTAACGGTTATTTATGTGGTGTATGTGAAATGCAGGTCCAGCCCTTGTTTTTGAAGGCGAGGAGGCAATGATGGCCGCCATTGCTGAGAACCCAATGAACTTCAAGGTCTAGAACTCCTTTTTGTCCGTAATCTTTTTATTTGCATGATATGCCTTTGTCCGTCAACTGCTCAAAATTGATCGATTTATATGGTAATCTGAAATCCTGCTTCTATGGTACATGGATTCAAATCATTATGTCATTCGATGACTCCAAGAAAACTCTATTCTTAGCTGTGAATCCGAATGCTCCGTGTTGTTCATGTTCTGTTCAGGGCAAAGTTGTGGTTATCAGAGGGGAAGGGCCCAAGGGTGGGCCTGGCATGCCGGAGATGCTGACGCCTACCAGTGCAATAATGGGCGCTGGTCTTGGCAAGGTAGTGGTGAAGATCTTAATGGGAAGTTCTTGTTTGATGCAAACAAAAATTACGTACATTTGTTTCTCCAAACTTACAGGAGGTTGCGCTGCTCACTGACGGGAGGTTTTCTGGTGGATCCCATGGATATGTTGTTGGCCATATATGCCCAGAAGCACAGGTTCTGCTCTAGCTGGTCATATATTATGAACTTTGGTTTGACTGTTGGCATTTGTAGTAACTGCTGGTGTGAGGAACTCATCACATGTGGTTAATAGTCCCCTTCACCGATCTTGATGACTGTCCAGGAGGGTGGCCCCATCGGCTTGGTCGAAAATGGTGACACAATAACCATCGACATCCAGAAGAGAAGGATGGACGTCCACTTGACCGACGAGGAGCTGGCTGAGAGGCAGAGGAAGTGGAAGGCGCCCCCATACAAGGCCTCCAATGGTGTGCTCTACAAGGTCCGTAGATGGCTCGCTGATGCAACAAAATCCACCATTTCTCACCGTTTGATTCTCAAAACTTACTTCTCTTTGTGCCGACTTCTTCTATTGAACAGTACATAAAGAATGTGCAATCCGCATCAAGAGGGTGCGTGACGGATGAGTGAACGACCGATGGCGGCGTAGGTGGTACCCATCGATATCCCTCTGCTGCCCTCGTGCTGCAGGGCCCACTTTGTCCCTCTGGTTTCTTTGCTCCTTGGCGCAGAGCTGCCGGCCTTCTTCGAGTTCAGGAGGTCTGAAGCTTTTTCAACAATTTTGTTCTGAGGCATTCCTTCTCACCGAATAAGTGATGTGGGTTATCACTTGCTTTGTGGGCACACTGATTTTTCATCATCCTTGACCAGCCACTAGCGAAATCTGCTATCGCTGTTTCTAGTTTATCCTTCATTTGCTTAGAGAAAAGGAATGGAGGCCAAGAAACTGCATATTTTCATGGTGCTTTTGTTGCTAGATTTAGCAGAAAGCAACCGTGACCAGTGATATGAAGGTGATATTCTTACACCAAAAGATTGAAGGAGTGTACGAGGGTCAGGCAGAGAGTGAAACCAAGTTAATGGAGAATATGCTACGTCTCAGCCACGGCAGAACAAGACGCAGTATTTTTCTAGCGTTCTAGCAAGCAAGGCAACGAACTGGCAAGATAGATATTATGACCACCGGCAGAGTGGCTATCGCGCAAATCACTTCCGTAATCTGCATGGAAACGAGTGGTTCCCAGATTGAAGAAGAAGGAGGTCCAGTTATTGACCTTCTTCAAATAGCATAAAACACTCTTCACTCCTGTCTATTATCCACTGCGAACTCGTGGGCTGATGCGTGGATTGGTGTACAGCAAAGGCGAGATTTAGACAAGTGAGGACCAGGTATTATGTTGCACCGATAATCCTGTGGATATCACAATGTGTTGGGCAATGCGTCACCGTGATGCTGGCAGAGCTTCTTCCAACCAGAAATAATGGTAGACACAGGTTTCGCAGCATGCAATTTGGCGCAGAGTAACATATCTGCAAAGTATTTGGTTTGACAAAGAAACTGACTGCCATTAGCACAGGTGGCCATCCTTCATGGTCGAAGGGAGGCAAAGCTTATCGATGAATGCGGAAATAACAAAAGAATAATGTCTAGTGATCAAGATATCATCCACAAAAATGAGTATGGAAATGATGATATCTTTAAATCAATCATAAATGGGGAGTGATTACTTCTGGATTAAAGTCTTGAAACCTCAAGACAGTTATCGAACGATTGAAACCAGGGTGGGCTAGGGAACCTAGAGGCCTCTTTTGCTTGAGAACCATGCAGCAATGCATTCTAGATGATTTAGATCCACAGTAAGAAAAAGACCACCTTTCTATTGTCATTATTTACGTGGTAAAATGGTGTCAATGATCATAGAAGTATCATTCTATGATATCACGTATTATGAATTGAGGTGGACACAACATATCCATAGATTATCACCGTTTGACCATTTATGTTAAGGGTGGGAGACATCAAGGCCATGCAGTGGGGATAATGAATATTGTCAACACTAACTTTTATGAACTTCATAAGATTGGGTACAAGAGGAAAAAATTTCGGTTGATCCATCTATCAAAATTAAAGTAGCAAAATGAACGAGAGCATCATACCTTTTTCTAATTGGTAGGCGTTTTCTTCAATACAAAAGAAAAAGAGTTGAACTTTGCTCGTAATATTTGTTTGCAAAGTACAAATCACTTTGAGTGGTTTGTATTATATTTTTAAGAAAATAACCATGATGGTACTTAGGCTAGTGGTCATCTAGAGAGGTTGTGGAAGAGAGAGAAATAGGGAGCACGTAGGGTCATTCTTGAGTTAGGTCACATCATCCTTTAAGAGAGGTAGGTAAAACACTGATTGCTGGTGTAAGAAAGATGGGGCTTTGTATCCATTTATACGACAAATTATTTTTTGCTGAAGTCTAAATGTGTGAGAAATGCTGGTTTTAAGAGCCCAGAAGAGATCAAGGAAGAGAGAGGGGAGGGCTGTTAGGGTTTGGGGCTGAATTGAGTTTTTTTTTCAGAATTTCAGTCTTACTTTTGATTTCCTACTTGGTCACTTCTAACCAATTATGTCTGCCCACCATGTCAACTTAGAGCATTATAAACATGAAGTAAACATGTATAGTGGTTTCGCACACTAAGCACAAGCTGATCTCTAAAGGACACATCCTTCATTTCTACCAATACTTTTATCCATACAATCCACTGACACTAAGACTACAACAAACCTTCACAAAATTTAAGACTTGATGGCTCAAGTGTTTTCAGAACACTTCTTTTAGATTCATAGCTCTAGGTTAACACTAATTCCTAAAACATTTCTCCTAGATTAATGACTTTAGGCCTACATGACTATATATATTATTCAAATACAAACATTAAATAATAAGAACAAATAGTTTGTGAAGTTCTTACGAGGTGCAAGCTACAGATGTAGAAGTTTATATTGTAGTTAATATGAATGATTTAGAATTATATGAAAATAAAACTTTCAATTATAGAACCTCATTTCCTACAAGAAAGTGAAGACAACTATTTAAAGTAATAAATCAGAAAATAATCAATAGATCTTTCCTATAATTAGTATAGATTATTGTCAATACGTCATAGCAATATAAGATTATCGTTATACCCATATTAGATCTTGGTCACCACGAATGTTAGAACTCTTCTTACCAAGTGAATTGACACATGAATCTAACTCCTTTTCTCAAAATAGAAAAAAACACGCATGAAAGCTTGTCAATGGTCTTGAAATGGTATGGGACTTCAAGAAAGACTTGTCTACTGTATTTTGATATGGTCAGCATAAATCGTAGACTTCAAGAAGTGGACAAAGATCTTGTCTACCGACATCACATCTTGTCAAAGCAGATGAAGATCTTTCTCCTTTTCTATGTTTATCAAACTTTAATAAAGAAGATGCTAGAAGTCATAAAGATTAAAAAAAAAACTTTGATTGATATGTATTGAACATGACAAGGGATATTGATGATGTGTATAATTTAATTAGGAAAGTTGTAGTGCTAAACTTTGAAGATAAGTCCAATCGAAAAAACTAATGCCACTTTTGACTATGCGCGATAGATAAATGTCCCATGATTGGGGTAGAGTTGTAATGAAAATTAGTTCCTCATGTAAAGTTATCACCTTTAAGGTAATAAAAATATTACATATTTGGTTAAATTGTTAACACCCTCAATGTAAGTTGTTACGCATCACTTGGTGTAAACGACATTTTAACAGCGAAGAAGAGTCTATTAGTAGTTTTTAGAGAAAGATAAGAGCAAATCGTTCCCAAGCTTCTCCACTAACATTGATCTTGATCATATGGCCGAGAGGAGAATGAAACGATTGCACAGCGCACAACTGCTCAAGCTTTTAAAAATTTATAAGCCTGATTCACTCATACCGAACTCAGTCCGGTAGTCAAGCTCTTTATAGTAGGTGACTGGTTCCACCATGTGATTCTCAGCCACCCACCCATATCCGATATTCAATTCCCATGGGGACACCCCGATTGGTGCACCCCTCTCTCTCTCCCTCTCTGTGTGTACTGTGCGGCGTTACAGTGAGCACTGCAGTAAGGGAACATGCCCGGAGCACATCAACGCGATCTGCAAGGCGCAGAGGGCCGAAGGCCCCGCCTCCTTGCTGGCCATCGGGACGGCCACCCCTACCAACGTCGTACAACAGAGCGGCTACTCGGACTACTACTTACGCATAGCCACCAGCGGGCACGAGGTCGAGCTAAGGAGATGTTGAAGCGCATGTGTAAGCCCCACATTCATCGGAGTCACCGCCTTCTAAGATTTCCACCGCTCCTTGGCCCATTTTCATCGTCCGAAACGATTGATTTACGTGTTCTTCGGGCGGTCACAGGCGAGAAGTCGATGAGCAGGAAGAGGCACAGGTACCTCACGGAGGATATTACTCCAGGAGAACCCTAGCATCTGGACGCCCGACAGGATACCCAGGTGGTGGAGCTGCCCAAGCTCGGCAGGGAGACCGCCGTGGACGCCGTCAAGTCCAAGATCACCCACAAGTTCGTTTTGCACCACTAGCTGGGTCGAAATGCCCAGCGCCGACTACCATCTCGCCAAGCTCCTCCGTCAAGCGCGTCATCATGTATCCACAGGGATGCCATGCCGGCGGCACGGCGATGCGCCAAGATCACCGCCGCGCCGCCGCCGACGGGCACGTCCGGTAAGTGGGCCTGACCTTCCACCTACATAATTACGTCCCCGCTGAATCTCCAAGGACATTCAGAAGAGCATGTTGGAGGAACTCCATCCTCTGGACCGACGACCACCGGGGGCCCCGCCAGCCCGCACCAGGTCGAGGAGAAGCCCCGGGCAATGCGGCGGGTACTCAGCGAGTACGGGAACGTGACCAGCGCCGGCGAGGGCCGAGAGTTGGAGATCGTCGGCCTCCACTGCGTTGCCAACCAAGGGAAAGAGTCGTCGACGAGGGGATACCTGACTCGACTGCTTTCCAACTCCGGTCGCCGTCGTCTGGAGAGGCTTATCTGACTAACAAGCGGGGAGAGTAGACCCCGATCGTTGACTTTGGCATCAGTGAAATGCTTTCATTTTTTTCTTCAATGGGCATCTTTGATCTCATGAGTCTTTGACCGGGATGTCGAATTCCGGTCACTCAAGAATCTTTATGCGGATACAAATATACTATATCTGGTACTACAGGAATATGAAAACCTCCCTTCAACGGACAGGATCCTTTGGTCGAAGACAACGACGACGCCTTCCAGGGGCCACCTGTGGCCGCGTGGTCAGTTCAAGCAATTCCAGGCGACAAGGGGGCTTTTAGTCAATTTGTTGACCGCCGGAATTAAATTCTCTCACGTTTGCGAGAGGGCCGCCGAATCCAACGGCCGAGATCGGGCACCGGCGGGGAGGGCGGGCAGATCTCACGCGCCTCGCACGCCGGGGAAATCTATCCCTATCCTCTTCCCCCACCACCCCGCCGCCAGCGATGCTCTGGAGATGATAAAATAAATAAATAAATAAATAAATAAATATTTAAATATATAATGAGATGAATGGGCGAGGAGGATGGGGTCCCGTCGTTCATGAAAAATCTAACAAAAATTCCTCATTTTTTCAGAGACGGCGATGCTCAGGGAAGAAGGAAGAGGTGGGGAGGAGGAGATCAGTTCCAGCTGCGGGAGGGAAGGGGGGAGGAATCAGTCAAATCGAAAAGAGACTAGACTAGAGGAGGCGAAGGCCCTTCCTCTTCCTCTTCTTTTTCTTCTTCTTGTTAGCCGTCGTGGGGGCGGCGCCGCCGCCACCGGCGGCGGAGTGGGCTTGGCCCTCCTTCCTCCGGCGCATCTCCATGATTTTCCGGTGGGAGTTGGAGTGGAGGGCGCTGGAGAAGGTGGGGCTGCTGGCCGGGCGGTACTCCGGCACGAGGCGGCCGGATTTGTAGCGCACCCCGCAGGCGTTGCAGAGCGTCTTCGGCCCGTGCGGCCCCGCCCGCCACTGCGGCGTCTCCCCCGCGCCGCAGTGCCAGCACCGCCGCTTTTCCTCGCCCGGCGACGAGCGCGAGGACGGAAACACCGGCAGCACCCGCCGCCGCCGCTGCTGCCCCTGGCTCCTCGCCCGGCGCGGCGTCCGCTGGAGGAACGGCGAGGCTGCCGGCAGGAACCCCTTCGCCAGGACGGAGACCGGACTGGGCCGCTTGGAGCCGCCCTCCGCCGCCGCCAGCGACGGCGGCGGCGCCGGCGAAGAGGGTTTACGGTAGGCGTAGACGTCGAAGGTCTCCAGGCTCGGAAAGGCCTCTTTGTTCGACAGCCACTCCAGCTCCTCCTCCACGAACCCCTGCCATGGCCCGCGCCCCCAAAATCTTTTCAGCAAAATGAAGAATAAAATTGCCCGAGTAAATGCTCTCTCCTCGCCGCCGGCGGAGGTACTCAACGGGAGATGGGTCGGTGGCGGGGCCGTCGAGGAGGGACGGGTGGACGATGGGGGCGCTCCACGCCGGCGGGCTCTGCCGGCGGCGCTCCTCCTGCGACGGCGGTGCCGCGCCGGCTCCGGCCCCTCGGTGGTGGTGGCGGCGGCTGCTGCTGCTCCGCGGCGCCGGCAGGATGACGTCGCCGGAGAAGTCCCGCAGAAGCTCGTCCATCCAGTTGACGTCCAGCGGCTCCATGCCTCCCCCCCCTCTCTGTCCCTCGCTCCCGACAGCTGTGCTGACTTTCTCGAGGGTTTACGCAGGGAAGGGTAAAGAAGTGGGGATGCCGAGGGATAGGGATGGATGCCCTCTCTCTCTCTCTACCTCTCTCTCCCACCCTTTTTCTAATATTTATATTACTAATTAAAAATATGATCTTCCGAAGAAAATTTCACATCTTTCCAAGCCGCTGTAATTCTGACGTTGAGTTTGTGACGGTGGAGCCTCCTTCGTTCTCTGGGCCTGCGACCGTCGGCGGACTCCCCCCGTCGCCGCCGCCGCCGCCGCCGCCGCCGCCGCCCTCTCTTTCTCTTTCTCTGTCTATCTGTACAGAATCCCCACTGCCGTCGGGTAGGGGGAGAGCAGGAGGACGATGATAGAACTATGTGGGAGGGTATATATGTCCAATCACTTTGGAAAATGGGCATTTTACTGGAGCCCAACTCTAGCCTGAATATATGTATATATATATATATTTATTTTTTTTCATGGACGGAGGGAGAGTCTTGCAGAAGTCCAGCTTCTGTACCGTCAAGCAGACGGCGATCTGTTGCGTCGCCGGTAACCGCCGCCTGCTTCCTTCTTCTGCTCCTCGCTAGCTCCGAAGGCGGAGGCCGCGTCCGACTGGGGCAGCATGTCTCACAATCCTTCTCAGCTCCTCCCTTCAGGTTCGTTCTTCCTCGTTCCGGCCGTTCCCTCCGTCTTCTGGCTTCTTCTTCCTCTCTCCCGCCCCTTTTTCCTATGTTTTCGTTCTCTTCGACACTCTCTCTCTCACCTGCCGCGGGTTTCAGAACTGATCGATCGGTGCATCGGGTCGAAGATATGGGTCATAATGAAGGGCGACAAGGAGCTGGTTGGAACCCTTAGGGGTTTTGACGTGTACGTCAACATGGTGCTGGAGGACGTCACAGAATAGTCAGTCTCGCCTCCCTCACCCTAATGTTACATTTTACTTGCTCTTCCTGGGAGGTTTTCAGATTCCTTGTGAGCCAGTTCGCTCATGACGCTAGCGTGATTGTATTGACATTTATCGTTCCTGTGCTGGGGTTTCTAATTTTCTTGTATAATTCATTTTATATTTAATCTTCTCAAGATTCTGTTCCGATAATCATGTAGGAAGAAGCTTCCATGATTCCTATATTTTTCTAGTAATTTTTCTAGGTCGAGGATGAAGTTTTCGGAAGCGTACTCACGCATCCGTTCTCGCGCGATCTTCCGTTTGGATTTCTCGCTCGTAGCGACGGGCAACTTGGATATCCTCAGCATTTCGATATCACCATATATAATCATTCTATCCTCATTTTGTCTACATGCTCAGAATCAACGAGGCGCTTTCTTTCTCCTTTTTTTCTCTGCATAATGAGTCAGTTGCTCGCGGATTTCCCAGCTTGATGTTGCGATTACTCATCATCTTCCGCGTTAAATCTGCTCCTATTTCAGCTCTCCCGCTTGTTCTCAGACTATTATCAGGAAGCTCCTGCCCCAACCAACGTTATTTGATATTATGGCCACCATTATCATGTCTGTCCTAATCCACTTCTTCCATGATTATTTGATTATTGCCACGGCTCCAATGTGATCGATTCCATTTCTTCCATGATCATAGTTATTATGTTCACCGGCTCACTCGATCACCACCATTCCTACGAATTCCTGCAATCAATCTATTATTCTTCATGTCCGAGTTCCTCATCCTGATGTCGTCAGCTCTCAAGCATGCATTGCATTGCCACTTTGTGGATCTAAAGCTTTGAACGATGTGTAACCCATCTTGCTCACACTGGGTAAAAGAAATTCTGGACTATGCGGCCACGTTACCATTTTTGCTTGGATTTTCCTGTAGAATGTGAGACCAGATGCCTCTTGCCTTCTAGAGGAAGAGGGCATGCCCAGTTCCATGTGATTCGGCATACGAGTAATTGGTAAGGAGGAGGGGGGGATGGCTGAGTGTTGCCTGAAGGACCATGATCGGAGGAATCATGGAGATGCAACCCTATCGAGTTCTTGCATCATCGTTGGTGCATTTTCATTGAATTTTTTGCTTTTTTTTGCGAAAAAATAGCGATAATTTCTGCTTCTTCCTTTGATGGGCTGGTTTATGTTTCAGTGAGATCACAGCAGAGGGCCGCCGTATCACGAAGCTTGACCAGATCTTGCTGAACGGGAACAACATTGCTATCGTAAGGCAGTCCATCATTACCTCTGACTATTGATTTCCAGAACCCAGAATTTCTATTTATGTGCATATCCCGCATCCCTCGGCAGTGTTCTTGGAGGTCTTCTGCTATTTTTTTACCATTCTGGGAAATTTGGGTGATTCGATGCAGCTGGTGCCCGGCGGCTCCCCCGAATCAGAGTGAAGGGATGGCAGATCTCTTCGAAGCTTCTTTTGGTGCTGGCTGAGGTGGAGCATCGCCTGCAACACATCGGTGGAGACATTGGAGGAAGGAGACCAGGCAGTGGCCGACTTGAGTTTCTCTCTCTCTCTCTCTCTCTCTCTCTCTCTCTCTCTCTCTCATTCTCCTTTTGGAATTCCGTACTGAATTAACCTGATTTCCATTATTTTTGTATCGAAAAATTTCTCTCCTTTTAGCGAATTTCAGTTAACAAGAAGTTATCTTTGGTTTTAGTGGGATTATTTTTCCCTTCATGGAGCAGTAGAGGAGGAGGTTTCACGTCATATTTTCCAGCAATGGCAGAAATCGGCATTAATATATATTTATTTTTAAAATGTATAAATTAACGATAATGCAAAAGTGATAAATATTTATAATTTTATAAAATATTAATTCGTAAATAGTTCGTGGGCGGGCGCGATTCCTATCCCCCAAGCTAGCTTAGGCCAGCTTGGGGCTCGGGAGCATCACACACTGGGTCCCACCTTTGAGCGTGCGTCTGCGGCCTCCACCTTCTACTCTTCAAAGCCGCTAGCTCTCGCGATCTTCCACTCTCAATTTTGCCCTAATTTATCTCTTTCTTCGCTCCTTCCTGTTCCTCACTCCGCGCGCGTTTGAACGAAGAGGGCCAGCACAGGGCTTGTTCTCTTACCCCTTTTCCGTTCCCTCGTGCCGCCCGACCACATCGGTAGCCATGGCTTCAAGTTCTGTGGCTTCTAGCCCGGTTTTCTTGTCGGGAACGGTAACCTTCGTGACGCGATGTCGGCAATCTTAGAACGCTTGGATTCTTTTTTTTTTTTTTGCCTGGAGGATTCTGAGCTTGACTCTCAGTTGTGCCGTGCCTCCTTCGTGCAGATGGAGATTGTGAAGCATCCAATAGCCTCTCCTTTAATCTCTCCGGCGCCCAGGTGTAGGAAGGAGGTATCCAGAAAGATACTCGCAGTCATGGCGCCGGCACAGTCGCGCTCTCCCTCGACCACAGGCTCGGTTGGTGTCTAATTTTGAAATATTTTATTATTTTTCCCTGTGGCTTTCATCGCGTCTCGTGATTTCTCTTGTTTCTCGGCGAATCACACAGGTGAAGCATGCAATGACTCTGACGGAGAAGATCCTGGCTCGCGCATCGGAACGGCCACAACTGAGCCCCGGAGAGAATGTGTGGGTGAACGTGGATGTCTTGATGACCCACGACATATGTGGACCTGGGACTATTGGGATATTCAAAAAGGAGTTTGGGGAGAATGCGAAGGTATAATTCCCCCGGAAATTTTTACCTTTCATATTTACTAATCCAATCTTCAGCAGTCTGCAGCCAACGGCGTTCTGTTGAAGAAATTTTGTCGCTCGTCTGCTCAATCCTAAATTCCTTTCCTTCCCCAAAATTTTTCTCGATCCTGCTCATATTTTCCACCGATCATAGGCTTACAGAAAAAGGCTTTTCTACTTTCCTTTGCATTTTTTGAGCCGTCAACCATTTTTTGATTAACATCTTACTTTGATGGAATGAAGTTGATTGACTGCGGAAACCGTATTATATGCTCTGCATCTTTTTTTGGAAGGCATGTATCGGTGGCATTTCTTCTGCAATAATTGCTTTCTTAAACATCTTTTTCAGTCGTGAGTCTGCCTCATTAATACCATTTTCTCGTTAAAAGCCATAGTTAGATTCCGTTTAGTGAAGATGAGAAACCCATTCATTTACCTTTTGGTTAGAACGTGAGATTCCACTACCGATTATTACCGATGAATCTATGCAGTATATAGACCATAAAACTGGGAACAACAAAAGGAAAAAAATATATCCATAACAAGCTACAAAGATCGCCTGATTGATCTATGTTATATTCGCATGCATACTTTCCTCTACATTACAATGGTCATGAATGCCTCCAGAGCCATAAACCTTATCAATACCAAACCCAGATTGCAGTTGGCTTATCAGCAGCAAACACTTATGCCTTTTCGTGCCAAAGTAAGCACGAGTTGCTAAAACATTCTGAGTCCATTTATATTTCCTTTTTGAGATAGGTTTTGCATTCCTTGCCCATTTTTAGGCAGCCCACCGAATGAAATTAGTCATTGATAGCTGAAACTGCAGAGTCTGACTGTATGTGGTGGACAATATTTCGGTCTAGGTGGCATACATGTCCAGATTTTCCTTCTGTTTCTCTCTCCATTTAGTCTCCATTTCTCCGTTACACTCCTTAACAGGGTTATTTTCGATTCCCCTTATCATGTTTCTTAGAATTGATTTGCATCGAAATCAAAGATATTTATCAAACTGGACACGTATTTATCAAGCTTTAACAGGGTTATTTATCAGGCTATTTTATTGACTATGTATCAAGCTGGACACATGTTTTACCCTACCATTTGAGTACTTGAGCGTGATCGGAAAACTTATATTCTTTGATGTGGGAGTTGCTCGACCAGAGTTTTCCTCTTTATTCATTTTAAGTGAAACGCAGGAGTGTTTTGTCTAATGAGGAAGTGAGTGCCCCATTATATTCAGAGCTTTTTGAGCTCATCATTGAGTCTGCTTATCTTGGTATAGTCTATTGCACCTTTGTCACGATTTTTTTTCTTCTGAGAGTTCATTATTCACACTCTTGAATATTTGCCCTAACTACTCTTCATACTTATGGTCTGATCCAATTTTAGTAAAAAGGGACCTCTGGAAGGGTGACTGGAAAACCTAAGAAAACCTTTTCCTGTTTTAATGTTGAAAGACTCTTTGCTAAGCCTGACGCTTAACCTTGACTGTATGGGTATGCAGCAGAATTCTTTCTATGATATATTTGAGTTATGGCCTCACTTTTGGTTGCATATGCAATTACATCTCCAATAAGTTTTATTCATTCTCTCATTCAATTTCGTAATTATTTTCTCAAAAGTTCTGCACTGCAAAGCCTTATGTCAATGTTGTGACATTGTAACGTAACTTTCTAAATGCGCCCTCTTGAATTTTAGGTTTGGGATCGTGAAAAAATTGTCATAATACCTGATCATTATATTTTTACAAGCGATGAACGGGCTAATCGTAATGTAGATATTTTGAGGGACTTCTGTATGGAGCAGAACATCGAATATTTCTACGATATCAAGGACCTCAGCAACTTCAGGGTAAATATTATTTTCTGATTTTTATCTAGTAGTTAAATCCTTTTGAATTTTCTTTCACGATGGTCTCCTGTGATTTTTTATTTTATTTTCAGGTTAATCCAGATTATAAAGGTGTTTGTCACATTGCTCTTGCTCAGGAAGGTCATTGTCGACCTGGAGAGGTGCAAATAGAGCAGTTGTTTGTCTTCTTTCTCTTCATATTCCATTCTGATTGTTCCATGTGATAATGTGTACTTGTAAACAGGTTTTGCTGGGTACAGATTCCCACACGTGTAATGCTGGTGCATTTGGACAATTTGCTACTGGGATTGGTAATACAGATGCTGGCTTTGTGATGGGAACCGGAAAGGTTCTGCTTAAGGTCAGCACAAACCGTTCTTTCTTGAACTTTTTTCCATGAATAGGTTGATAGAAAGTTTCCAATTAAGATAGTTATCAGTGACCTAAAGTTGTCAAACTTGGCAAATTGTAGATTCCCCCGACTCTGAGGTTCATCTTGGATGGGGAAATGCCTAATTTTCTGCTTGCCAAGGATTTGATTTTGCAAGTAAGTATCATTACCGTCCAGTGGCATTCTTCTCTAGTTTCTGAACCACTACCTGTGTCCAAGATTCTTAGTGTTCATTGTTGGATCATTTATGAAATCTCTTTAATATAACCCATGTCCATTCTATCCAGATCATTGGTGAAATAACTGTATCCGGTGGAACATATCGTTCCATGGAATTTGTTGGCTCCACTATAGAAAGCTTAACTGTAAGTCCGTTGATCGATGCGATAGTAACAGTTTTTAAGTTTTCGTAGCGTCCTGGTTGTATGGTTTTTGGTCTGATATTATTTCCTATTTTTAGATGGAAGAAAGAATGACATTATGCAACATGGTTGTCGAAGCTGGGGCCAAGAATGGTGTAGTGCCTGCTGATCTAACTACATTCAACTACCTGGAGGTAGGAAGCTCCAAATTATTTCCGTATACTTTTTGAGTTCAAACTGTCTTTTGCTTGACATTTCTATTAACCCATCATGCAAATTATTATTGTGAGTTATTTTTTATACCAATTTAAAAGTCAATTTATACCAATCCGATTGATCAAGGCTAACTACTATCCTTTTTCTCTTTAATCAAATTTCCACAGGGCAAGACATCTGTAAACTATGAACCAGTCTATAGCGATGGACATGCGAAGTGAGCCTGATTTCAATCTTCATCTATTTTCTCTTTGTCTCGTCATGAAAGTCAATTTTTTTCTTTGCTTAATTAAACATTTGATTAATTAATTATCATAAGGGCTATCCATTTTTCATGAAAAACGAATCATCAGTTACATGAATATGCATTCTTTTGGTGAGTAAAACGACTTTGCGACATTTGTGCTCTTTAAAATCTTCTTTCACTTAAATTTAGCAAAATTTCATTTTTCATGTTATAAAACAGGGGTTCATTTTCTTCCTTTTCGCCAGTTGCATTCTCCGTATCTTTTATCTTTTTCGTTGCACTGAAACTGTCTTCTATCCATTTTCTTCATCAATGTAAAAGAAGAATGAACTACTGGCTCTCTAAATCTCTGCCTTAATTTCGTTCCGTGCCTGATAATTCCATGAGGAACTACTTTCCCTTCGGTTTATAGGTTCCCCCCCTGAAAAATTTGTTGGTCAAGGGATTGTGGTTGGGTTTTTCATGGTGAGATTTACGCAACTCCATTTTCGTAGCTGTCTGGCCTTTTTGTCCTCCCTGGACTGAATAAAGATCAATCCTTTAATGTACTTGTGCTCTGGGGGAGGGGGGGGGCAAGTGTCGTATTATCTTTGCATATTTATAATATTATTTCATAATGTTTGCGGCAATTGACATCCTATGCAACGTTTTTCAAATCTTGGTTGTAGATTCCTTCAGGAATACAGAATTGATGTCTCCAAGTTGGAACCTTTGGTGGCAAAGGTGCATGATGATCAATATTCTTGACATTGATGCTCATCAACTGAAATAACCAAGATTTTCTCTAAACTTTTTAGAATGTTGTGCCTATTATCGCTCAGTTTGACTTTCATTTTTGACAGCCACATTCACCTGACAACCGTGCTTTGGCGAGGGAATGCAAAGATGTGAAAATTGACAGAGTCTACATAGGTTCCTGTACCGGTGGAAAGACTGAGGATTTTATGGCTGCAGCGAAAGTTTTCCTATCCTCTGTAAAGCTCATTTCCTCTTCAAAATATTTTCTCAACTGTCATGATTATTTATATTTTCCGGTTGCATGGTATTTAGGAAATTTATTTTCTCTAAATACTTTGACACGGAGAACCTACAAGCAATTATTCTTCAATGCCATTAACTCAAGGCCTTAATCATACTCGACCATGAGATATTATTTTTGGGTCAAATTTCTCTTTTTTTTCTGTGAGCCTCAACCAAAGAAGGGTGCACGATTCAGAAAGCTATAACATCTACTGAGCAGAGGAACACTCTGCATCTATGAGTATCTTCTCGGTTTAGTCGTATGATTCTAACACTCAGCCTTGCATATTTGGATCAGGGAACCAAAGTGAAAGTTCCCACTTTTCTTGTTCCTGCTACCCAGAAGGTTGGCCATCTTCATCATATGTTTCCGATCGATTTCTCTCGTCAGACATCTTCGAGGTTGACCACTATAATCGTTGACCCAAATTTCAGGTTTGGATGGACTTGTATGCCCTTCCGGTTCCTGGATCTGGTGGCAAGACGTGCTCTCAGATATTCGAGGAAGCGGGCTGTGATGTGCCGGCGAGCCCGAGCTGTGGGGCTTGCTTGGGCGGCCCTCAGGACACTTACGGCAGAATGAACGAAGCTAAGGTACCATTCATCTGAGACCTCGCTCTCGGAATCTGTGCTAAAGAATCATGCAAGAGATTTCTATGCATTTATGCTAATTGACTTCTCTACTTTGACGAATCTTAGAAGCAAACCATGCCCGCCGTTTTCTAAACGGTCTCATATATTGATTGTGTTCTTGACTTTTTTCACGGTCAACCCACTCATAGTCGTCGAAGTTTTCTCCGTTTTTGTTGACCTCGCCCTCCATATCTATGCTCCCATATTAAAAAAATTTCATATATTATTGGCTTATGTTCTATCCTCTGCTGGCGGCTGATCTCTCTATTCCTTTTTTGTGCCCATCTCACCCTCAGAATCTGCGGTCTTTCCATTTCTGGCCCGCAGCATCCACCAACCCCAAGTCAACCCATTTTTCCAATGGTTTTCACCCCCAGTCAAACCAATACATATATGCATATATTATTACTTATAGATATAGTATTTATTTATTTATTTATTTATATGAACTGTTGCATTGTGTTGGAAGAGTTCGTCAGTGGAGGCTGTCTCTGCGCGCAGGTCTGCGTGTCGACGACGAACAGGAACTTCCCGGGGAGGATGGGCCACAAAGAGGGTCAAATATACCTGGCCTCCCCGTACACCGCGGCGGCGTCTGCGTTGACCGGCTTAGTCACGGATCCCAGAGACTTCTTGAGGTAATCCATCCTGGGGAGCCCCCAGGAGAAGGGTTTCCGACTGTGCCTTTTTCTCTCTTTTTTCGCGGGTGCCGGGTTTGCCTTTGGAGAGGTTTCTGATACCTTGACTTCTGCGGATGACGGTTGCGCCTGTCTGGTTGACTTCATGTGAGCTATGTTCAATGGTCAAACTACCCATTTGGTCAATGATCATCTGTCCGTTAATGGGTCAGTCAGTTCAATGTCTCGTAGCTAATATCCCATGTATTAGCTCCAGAAATGCCGTTAAACGGGCTTCATCTCTCAGGCTATTTACAGAGGCCTACTGGCCTTTGCCCAAAATTACCTTAAATGGTAATATCTGGTGGATAATCTAACGGGCTTTGCCCCAAGAGATCGTGTTAAATGGATTTCAGTCAACCCTTTACAATCCAACGGGCTCAATCTCATAAACACAAACTAACAAAGCGTATAGTCAACTCCAAATAATTATCTCAGTTCAACAATTTTGGTCGTAATACCGAGTACAGGATATCAGTATGGCTTCCTAAAGTAGAAAAAAATGTTGATTTTCTAACATAAATAAGTCACTATTACGAAAGTCAACAAGACATGATAATCTCATCACTCTTCTTAAAGTCGGTACTTGCCATGTCAACGTCTATGCCCGCATGATCTTGAATGCCATTTTGGGTAACAAACTCTGTTCAATAGTGATATACCAAGATGGTCTCATAATAGTAATTATCTACCGTTTAAGAGATGCAGAGAGAGAGAGAGAGAGTAGGGGTATGATGACGAATATTTTTGAAATAAAATAAATGAAGCAACCTACGTGCGTTCCCGCGCAGCCGTGCCCGGGAACAATTAGTATAAAACGAGCTTGCTTGCTACCTCTGCCTCAACTTCCTCACCATCTTCCCTCTTCGCGGTTCCGCCGGAGAAGACGCGGGAGGATGACCGCGCAGGCCGAGGCCTTGGGATGGGCTCACCATGGCCGCTGCCGCTTCAGCCCTAGGGAGGAAGGCTGCGCCAGCGCGCGCCGGTGGGAGCAGCTCGCCATGGCGGGGGAGTATCGGGATACTCGTGCGGAGGGACGCGCGCGCGGCTGTTCTGTTGTGTATTCGAGGAGGACAAAGCGCCGGCAGCAAGGGATGCCGGATCAAGGCGCCGCCACCTACTCATCAAGCCGGGAGGTGGACCTAGATAGGTCCCCGCTGCCTCCGGCGACTAGCGGAGGCGGTGCAGGAGAACCTTCAAGGACGAGGAGGAAGCGGAAACGAGGATCTCCGCTTCGAAATGGGGAGAACACTGGGGCAGCGGTGGGCTGCGCAGAATGTGGAGCATCTCAGTCGCCAATGTGGCGGAGGGGACCCGCCGGCCCTAAGGTATTATAGCATCACCCATCCGGCTTTGGACCTCTGCGTTGCTTTTGGTCTCCAGTCTGCTTCCTCTTCTTCTACTTCCTCTTGATGGACTGGATTTTTTTTACAGACGCTGTGCAATGCTTGTGGGATCCGCTACGCGAAGGCAAAGAGACGGAGGACGCATCTGGAGGAATTGCTGCCGAAGCTGCGGGAGGAGATCTTGACGCCGGCTGTCCTCTCCGGCGAGGAGGAAGTGTATGCGGCCCTCACCCTCATGGCCATCTCTTCCGAGCACTTCCTCAACGCATCCCAACAGAGATAAATCCTCTTTTCTGTTCTCTGACTTCTTCTGCTCACCCTCCCCTGTAAATGCTGCCCTCTACATTCCTTTGTGCAGAACAACTGTTTTCTGATTTTCTCGATTCATCATCATCAACATCTGTAAGCTCTCCTCCTCCCATCAATAAACAGCTCGGAAGGGATCGGTTTTCTTCTCGACTTTTTCAGTCAGAAGATGTAATCACAACTTAGATCATAGCAACATCGGATCATTCGGTGTAATATTGTTTCGAAAAGTTCAAGAAATTTGAGCAATCCACATGTATATATATGTACGTTAATCTTTCTCTGATCTCTAGCGAGCCACTCTCTGAGGGATGTCATGGTGCCATCTTCCTCGACCTGCCAAGACCCTTCTACCACAGCTTCTTCTTCATGGAGTCCTCCATCGAATTCCCCCATGGGAGTCGATATTATGTATTAGAAGCCCCTAATAACAATTTATCGATGATAATACTAAAGTCTGCATCCTCAATTCTGGCAGGTTCTCTTCTGGGTCTTCCTCTACGTTTGCATGGGATAAATGTGGTTCTTCCATTTAAATCATCAACAACAGCATCATCACACGAACAGATCTCAGGGTTCTTCAGATTCTCTTCATCATCTAAAGGTTCAACCTTTTCTGTTTGCTCGGGCATATTTCTAGGCCGTCCATGCGCATCATCAACAGCAAGAACATGAATTACTTTGTTCATTCTCATCTCTTCACATCATCTATGGTTTTCGTATTGTCTGTCATTTTTTCTACCTCCCGTTTTGAAGGAGCTGTGCCATTTGCAACATCTGAAGCATCCAATGACTCAGCTGTGATCAGCAGCTGATACCTGGGTCTGGCTCTTTCCCCTGGGAGATGTGATTTCAGCCCGCTGTTTCCATCATCTAGAGGTGGGTGAGCAACAACTCCAAGGTACTCAATAGACATGGGATATTAATCCATGTTTTTGATTGGGGGGTTGACCTAGGACATGCTTTCATTGCTGACCTGGGAACTGACATCAAAGGCACAGAATTAATGTTTTTCTCCATTAACTATAGATTTTATGAATCTGTTGACCAAGCTGGTCTGGTCATATCATCACCAGCTGAGGATAGAGGCAGCATGGTCCACATTGATGCTGGGTCAAAAGAAGGTTACTCGGGAATCTCGACAAAGAAAAAAAAAAAAAAAAGGTGGGGGGGGGGAGAAGAGGTAATAGAATTCGCCAGAATTGCATGAGTCAACGCACGAATAAATAGAAGATCTAAGAAGGAATTGAGTGGCCATGTTGCAATAACATATAGGACAATCAGTGGATGCCATGTTAGTAGGATCAAGTGCATTACCCCCATAAAAGGTACCCAAATGATACAAAAAGGATAAGAACAACAGCATATAAAGATGCCATTAACAGAATCCAGAGAGAGTAAATATGTAACAGGAAAAATTGGTACCCAGTCGTCAAAATTACTGTATTAAGAACCCTCCACAGAGTTCTAGAAGCTCAATTATACTCACAGAAGAAGTAAATCATTCCATATTCGGTAGCACCAGAGGATTGTCTCCTCTGAGTCAGTGCGGAGCTCCTCGAATGGCAACGCATGAATTCTTGAGAAATCATCTCTGGAAGTGCGGCAGATGAAGATTGAGGCGGCATTGGTCCCGTGATCTCCTCTTTCAGTCATAAACGAAGTAAACAGTTTCTCCGTAGTAGAAATATCTCCATTTTCTGGAAAGCTACCCAACCCAATCGAGGATGACATGTTTTTCAGCGATCTCCGATTAATGGCATTAATGGAAGAAGCAAGAATTTAGCTCCAAACATATTTTGGGCAATCTCCTGAGAATTTGCAACTATCTTCATCGAGGATTCTATAATCAGACATTTCTCGAAAAAGTACTGAAAAAAGTTATGACTAAGGGAATGCCATTTTAGCAAAAAATCTAAGACATTATACATAGAAAGAAGAAGAAAAAAACTCACTCTGGGAATGTGATCGCAGCAGGATGGCCTCACTGCAACGAGCTGGTCTTCACCGAATCTGAGAAATAGCAATTAGGATTCTAGGCCCATAACAGCATCGAAGGAATGATCACAAATGCCAGACGGAGAGGGAGGCATCGGCAGAAAACAGAGAACGGAGCCGCCCTTCAAGTGTCAGGTCTTAATGCTCAGATTTGTCCATTACCACTTCTCCTCAAAGTAGTCTCTTCTCCTGATTGATACAGAGAGAGAGAGAGAGAGAGAGAGAGAGAGAGAGAGCGAGAGAGGAAGATCCATCTATCGACCCAGAAATTCACACTACCCTTCTCCTGAAAATGCGTCTACCCAAGTTTCCTAAAACAGCAGTTCCATGGCAGATAAATGGCCTTCCCTTCCTGAACCTCTCATGTATCCCTCCTTTCCTCCGCTGAAGCAGCAGTCGGGCGCCCATCTACAAGAGCTGGACCTAACCACCACCATCGTCTTTCCAAATGAGCAATGGCGGCGATCACCGGTGCTGCGCCACCAGCTTCCGAGAGAGTGGGGAGATGGGTTCTCGCACTAACCGCTAGCACAGCCCGACCCCATGACAGAGATAGGGAACAATTTTCCCGTGGGATTAGAGAGAGAGAGAGAGAGAGAGAGAGAGAGAGAGAGAGAGAGAGCCCAAGTTGCTTGAAAGACGACCGGAAGAGAACTCCTTCCAACCCCCACTAAGGTGGGAACATGAAGCTCCCCCAAGTTCATGTTTTTGCGACATATTATATTAATTTCCAATGTAATTATAAATTTTACAAAATCAAATTCTAACGTACAAGAATTTTCCCATTCGACCACCCAAACCCTTTTCCTTTTCATTTTAGGACCATAAGATTTTAAATTAACATTCATCTGGAACGCAGTCGCAGTGAGGAGAAGCTCACTGAGCATATTCAAAGAGGAAAGGAAATGGGGTGTGAAAAGTCATCCCTTTTATTTTGGAGGGCTTATTTTTAATCGCCCACCATTCCCTTCCTCTTCCCGACACGCAGAAGGGACGTAGCGCATCCTCAGGAGATCCTCCGGAAAGATGGGGAGAGGCCCCAAGAGCACATGGATTCTGAGCTCCACCGGAAAGAAAGAATTATCCATGTTCAGGTGAGGAGCATGTCGTTTTTGTTCGTTGTTCTGGAGATTCTGCTGGCGGCTTGCCGATCGGTCATTGGGGTTTCTTCCCCAATCTGTGTCAAGGGTATGCGATGTTCTTCATGTTCTTTGTCTGATTGATGAGCAAACCACGGGAGAGTAACAATGGGGACCGGATTTGCAGACATTCCATCTTCTGAAACCAATACTTTTGCTGTGAAGACGGTAGCGAGAGAGAGAGAGAGCGAGAGAGAGAGATGAACACTCTGGAAATGGATGTTGCAGAAGTTCATCGTCACACCTTTCAATGGAGTGGCAGGGGACGGGTCAGAATCTCTGTAATGGTTTCGACGCACCTGTCGTGGGGCCCCCTTTCGGAGTCTCCGACAGCGGACAACGCCGACGAGACCTCAGCCACCGGCCCCGCCAAGTGATTCGTCCTCTCCCTGGAGGCTGCTTGAGTGGCTTCTGGTCAACGTTTTTTTAGGGTCCGCTCCACGAGGTGCGACTTTTTGGAAGTCGGACTCCTTCGATCAGCTATGGAGGCGGAGATGAAGTACAGGGGAGAGGATGACCCTTTGACCGTAGAGAGGGAGGGAGAATCCGAGGAAGGGGCTCCTCAGAGTCTCGGTGGATGAAAACTCTGTGAATAATCGGAACGACCGCGGAATCCTGTGGACCTGGTCGGGGCTTGCGGCTGCGTCACGCTCATCGATCCCCTCTCTGGGTCCCTGTAAACACATGGCAGAAGAAAAGGTTTTGTCCTCTCTCTCTCTCTCTCTCTCTCTCTCCCGCCTTCCCTCCCCATCTTTTCTTGGAGGGCATGGAGAAGAAAGGGATCCCGATTTCTTCCCGTCCTTCGCTCCTCGAATTCCTGTCCTCTTAGAAGTGTGTGCTGCCATAGAATAATCTCCCCAGATCCCTCTCAACAGAGGAGCGAGAGGCGGGGAGCCCGCTGTTCAGGCGGGGGGCGGCGCCCCGAGGGGTCTGGAGGAGCGGGCATAGAAGACCTGGTTTCTTCGTTCTCCATCGCTCTTCTGGGCATCCTCCTCCCCCAACCCCTCTCTCTCTCTCTCTTCCTGGAAGTAATATATTATTTTCTTCTGGAGATCCCGATCGTCCTTCCCACCGCTTGAACGGCCTCCGTCCTCGTTTCTGGCTCGCCCACCGGGCTAGCTTTCTGCCTCGATCTCTCTCTCTCTCTCTCTTCCTTTTCCTGATTTGATGACCGTGCGTATCTATAGGGCTTACCTTGTTTTCCTAATCGGAGCACCGGGATCTGCAGTCCTTCGGGTCCTGTAGGCGGTGATAGGGTTCGAGGGAGGCGGTGCATCATCCATTTGCTCGCCGGAGAAAGTCGCCGGCGCTGATGGAGATGAGACCCACCTGAGGAAGCGTCTTGGGTCGTCGTCGTCTTCCCTCGGAAGACCCAGTCATCTTCTGATTTCAGAGCAGACGGAGCGGTCCTCAAGCTGGTTTTTCAGAGGGAAAATCCTCGCCGGAGAATTTCGGAATGGCGGAGCCCTCCAAGTACGCCCACAGCCCCGTCCACCGGGCCATTCTGACCAGAGACTATGCCGCGCTGAAGTCCATCGTGGGGGCGCTGCCTCGCCTGGTCGAGCCGAAGGAGATCCGCACGGAGGAGGCTTCCATGGCCGAGGAGGAGAAGGCGGATGCAATCTCCGCGGTGATCGACCGCAGGGACGTGCCCAACAGGGAGACCCCCCTTCATCTCGCCGTCAAGCTGGCCGACGCCACCGCCACGGAGATGCTCATGCTTGCAGGCGCAGACTGGAGCCTGCAGAACGAGCAGGGATGGAGCGCCCTCCAGGAGGCGATCTGCATGAGGGAGGAGAAGATCGCGAAGATCATAGTCCGCCATTACCAGCCTCTGGCTTGGGCCAAATGGTGCCGCAGGCTCCCCCGCGTGGTCGCCACCATGGGGAGGATGAGGGACTTCTACATGGAGATCACCTTCCACTTCGAGAGCTCGGTGATCCCGTTCATATCCAGAGTTGCTCCCTCTGATACGTACAGGATATGGAAGAGGGGGTCCAATCTCCGGGCCGACATGACCCTCGCCGGCTTCGACGGGTTCAGGATTCAGCGCTCCGATCAGAGCGTCCTGTTCTTCGGCGACGGGTCGGAGGACGGGAAGGTCCCGCCTGGTTCGCTCTGTATGATCTCGCATCGGCACAGGGAGGTGATTAATGCTCTCGACGGAGCTGGAGCTCCGGCCACGGAGGCGGAGATTGAGCAGGAGGTGTCTGCCATGTCTCAGACGAACATCTTCAGGCCCGGAATAGACGTCACGCGGGCGGCGCTCCTGCCGCAGTTGACTTGGAGGAGGCAGGAGAAGGTGGAGCTTGTCGGCCAGTGGAAGGCCAGAGTCTTCGACATGCACCACGTGGTCGTCAGCATGAAGTCCCGGCGGGTGCCCGGCGCCATGACAGACGATGAGTTGTTCTCCTCCTCCAACGACGACGGAAGCGAGGAGGAGTACGACGACATACTGACAAAGGAGGAGAGGGACCAGCTGGAGGTGGCCCTGAAGGTGGGATCGGATGTTGCAGACGAAGACAGTTCAGAGGGTTCTTCTGGAAGAAGCCGACGTGGTTCCTGCGAGGAGAGAGAAATCCCAATCCAGGACGCCAGCTCGTACAACGGCGGCGGCGGCGGCGGCGGCGGCGGCGGCGAATCTAGACAGGCGCAGAAAGGATGGTTTAGAAGCTGGGGAGGGAGAGGTCAAGAGAGGCGTGGCGCTCCTCCAAGAAACTCAGTTCCCATGGACGGCAAGGTTGGTGATTCAGCAGGGAACCCGCTGTCCGCTTCTAGAAGGAGAGAAGGAAAGCCCTCCCTGGAGGTTGCTTCTTCGTCGGGGGGCGAGGATCGGAAGAACGCAGCTGGAGTAGCCATGGGAGCTCCGCATCAGAGGAAAGACAGTGGCAGCCGTGAGAACGAGTACAGGAGGGGATTGAGACCCGTTCTGTGGCTCTCTCCTGACTTCCCCCTCCAGACAGAAGAGCTCCTTCCTCTGCTCGACATTCTTGCCAACAAGGTCAAGGCCATACGCCGCTTGCGGGAGCTGCTGACGACCAAGCTTCCTCCAGGGACATTTCCCGTAAAGGTATTAGAACAATAAATAAATAAGGAAATAAACTGCGATGAATTTCTCTTTCTTGTGCATTAAATGTTGAGATCTATAGCAGCCCATTCACTGAAAGACACCAAATCTTATGATCCTCTGCATGTTATATATACATACATTCCCCATCTTTCCTTGAACATCGCTGAGTGCCCAGCCTCTTCTCTCCACATTCACACAAGGCGGGGTCATCAAATGACATTGTGTACTTTACCCACCAATCCCTTACACACCCTTTCAAGAACTGAAGCTCGCAGGGCTCCACAGTTCCCAATTTGCAGATGGTAGTGATTACCGTGTATGGCAGTGATTACCGTGAAATAATGGATGGAAAAATTTACAAAACCCAGAAAGTTCTTCTGATCAGGCGTTGACTTTACGCCCTGTTGAACCTGATATGGCTAATATAAAATTCAGTGAGTGTGGTTGATATTTTTTGTCCATGATTTAATGCCCTGTTATCTCCCCCCCTGCAGGTCGCCATTCCTGTCATCCCTACGATCAGAGTATTGGTCACCTTCACCAAATTCGAAGAACTGCAGCCAGATGATGAGTTCTCCACGCCTCCTTCGAGCCCGGAGAACGGCAACCTTCTTGCGCAGCCCTCTTCCAGCTCGTGGGTGCAGTGGATGAAGGCTTCCTACAAGAACAAGTACTCTGCGGCTTCCGGGGCCAGTAGCCACGGGGAAGACGTCCAGGATCCTTTTCTCATACCTTCGGACTACTCGTGGATCACTCCGGAAGCCAAGAAGAAGAGGCTGCAGGAGAAGAAGAACAAGAACAAGTCCAAGAAGGGCAGAGCACGGAGCTGAAACCGCCGACGATTTGCATACGGCGGTGCAGTGCATGGGAAAAGAAAGCTGTTTCTTAACGAAAGAGACAAAGGGGAGGAGAAGAAGAAAAGAAGGATGCTGAAGATCTCCGCGCCGTGATCTGCTGATGTAATTATCTTCTTCCTTCATAAGAAGGTGCATTAAAGCTGCCACATTTTGTACCCTCATTTTCATAGATATTATCATTCTGTACCCTCATTTTTCCGAGCATCAAAGAGATTATTATTATTATTATTATTATTATCGCTGATTAATTTTTCTGGCAGGAATCATGTCCCATATTAAATAAACTTTCTTTTCTTCTTGGCCATGGAGAGAAGCGTACGATTATTAAAATAAGGAGCGCCTTGCCTGCTGTTTTGTTTCTTGGGGAATTTATCAGGGCTGGGGTTCGGTCTGGTTAGGGTTCCTCACACTTCCTTCAGGGGGAGAGTTTCGAAGGCAGAGATGGTGTTCGCGAACTTGACCCGGTGAAGAGGGGCGCCGCTTTGCTTGATGGCGCATGCGATCTTGTCCTCGAGTGGGCAGCGTGCTCTGAGCATGGAGAACACGTGGTTGTTCAACCTGCGTGCTTTCCTCATGGCCTCCAGCAGGTGTTCATGTGCCTTGTTACACGGAAGAAAAGCACCAAATTTGTCAAAGCCATGGATGGGGATGCTTGATGAACCACAGACAGGGAATATATGCATACTCATACTCTCTCTCTCTCTCTCTCTAGATATCTATATATATATATATATATATATATATATTCCATAAGAAAAGACTTCCTGAAGTTGCTGCACCTCATTGATTGAAAAGAAAGAACATAAACCCATAAAAGCTTGTACGATCTTAAGGCTTCAAAGCGATTTCTACCTGGATAGAATTCGGAATCTTGCTCCTTTCAGAAGGTGTTTGTTGCGAGATCGTGACACTCTCCACTTCAGCCACATTGAGAAACTGGTAGGAGAAGTCGAAAAGCTCAAAGTGCAGCTGCTGACCAAGCAAGTACATGATACAGCAGCCACCCCAGGCCACTGAATCCCCCAAGGTTTCATGGCGTCTTGAAGAATCTTGAATGGTCTTCTCGAGATGCTCCTGGACATATCCCCCAAGGAAATATTTTTAGGAGGAGTAAGATGAAATTCCGCACGAGCAAAAAGATTAGTCGACACCAGGAAGTCAACCACGGGACCCATCTGCTTAAAGTTTCTGAAACTGCCAGCACCTCACAGACTTGACAGGGCAGAGTAGAGGTTTCATCTAGTGATATACGAGGCGTCGGATGTTTATTTCACCTTCGGGTAGCTGTATATAATGGGAAACATAACATCTCGAATAGAGGTTCCATACTAACTGTGTTTATCACCTCCAAAATACTCAGGAATTATCAAGCGGGGGCAACATTAAACGCATTTTTAATTCGGTGGACACATTTTCTTAGAGCTTCGAATATGTAATTGTGAGATAAGCTTTATGATACATTGATTTCAGGAATCGCCTTCTGTTCTATTTGTCTGTAAACAAGGGTCCAAGAAAACCATAGGACGTGATATGGACCTATTGGGAATTTTTCCCATTTATGTTTTTGACGGAGGAAGCACCAGACCGAATGAGATCTAAGTTTGATCTGTTTCCCATTTATCTTGATTATTTCTTAATGCTTTTACTATGCAGAAATATCTTGAATGTCAGAAAGCACATGAATCAGTTATTGTATTGATTGATATCAGCATGCACTGCAGAATGATAACTGAAGGCGGGCATAGTAAAGGATCTCTTGCCTCATACTCTGATATTTTCTCTTCAGTAGGCCATATTTTATCAGTCACAAACCTACTTCTTAACAGGGACTTACGAATCATTTGATTGGCAGGATGGGAAATTCAAATGTAATTCTACTTACAAACTGAAGCCCACTAAATATGCGATAAAAATCTTTTGATGTTGTGATGTCCATGAACCCTGTCTTTGGATTTGCACTCAATTTGTTGTAGTGTTTATCCAATGCCGCACTGGTAAAAGCAAGGGAATATTCCAAAACATTCCCCGAATTCATGCTATTCCGGTACAGAAGATCTGCATCAAGAATTCAAATCAGCTTAGCTACATGTAAATCAAAGACACGATAAATGAATAATTGTGAATGAGGATAATCCGGTTCAAATAGAAAAAAAAACCAGCTAATTTCAAGACAGGACGCTTTAGTTCATTATATAACAATTCCACCAGAAACAATGACTAAAATGAGGCTTTGTTAATGGTTCTTGATCATCACATTAATCACCAGGTGGGTCATGAAGTTTTGCGACATCCATGATGTAAGATATTGTGCAGTGAAAACTGGAAACACATCTCCAGACGGTGTTGATCCTATCATGTTACCCATTTTAATATTCCGCTCTTGATATGTTCTTCGTTTCTGGCACAGATAATATGGAATTGGACCAGCCAGATAACCAGCAGCAGTGAAACGTTAGACGATATGAATTCAAAATCGTAAATTTTGAATGGAACCTCAATCACATGCAAATGCATTTTGGTGTATGCTCAGTAGAACATGAATGAACACAAATGCTCAACTCCATAAAAAGATGAAAGTTCAGGTATGATGTTTCCCTCCAATGCTGCATTCCTTGGATTCCTAAACCATAAATGCACCTTCAATGTATGGGATGAGGCCTTGGAGTAAGCACTTAGTAATTTAGCGAGCAATATATTGAGTATATGATAAAGCATGAAAAAATTAATCGGACGTCCATTTATAAATCCACCATGGAGAAGAAACCGCTGAGAACAAGCAGTTTGAAGTTTGTTGGGTGCATGGACACCTAAAATAGTCGGTAAGACAAGGCCAGATGTAAGAACCGCTTCTGAACAATGTTGGGCCCCTCGTTTGCCCCCAGGATCACAATAGGATTAGCACTCCTTCACCACCAATCATGAGACTATAAGAAATATCAGACTATAAAGTTTAAAGAAAACGTTTTTCATCCAGGTATACTAATGGACAACTAGACAAGATGCAACGTAAAAATGCTCATCCCCATACATACTCTCTCTCCTTATTAACTATCGTTCCTTGAGTGGAACACTCAACATCCTTGACTACATGATGAACACATTCACGGGAATAAATATGGCATTGATACAAAATTTTTGAACTTACAGATGGGAAAGAAATATCACATCCACCGTAGGTGGTCACATTGAATGGAAGGATGCAAGTATTAGAGCATTACAAGATTCCAAGGAAGACACTAAGTTGATATTTACAGAACACTGATTAACTCGGCTGCATAACTTCTAACAAGCAGTTTTCCACCAAACGATCATTTTAGAAACTTTCACAGTATCCAAATCATTCTGCAACTAGACATCGTTGGACATGTTTATGACTATCCACTTATCTTATGAAACAAAAAATGGATAAAAACGCTTGTGCATACTTTTTAGACGTATAACTTGATTTATAAAAAAATAAAAAAAATGGAGCCATTGCAATAGGATTATTGTATGGACTGTTAATAACTTTAAGCACTGGTTTCTTTTTCCTTGTTCTCTGGACATCCACATTGATGGACGATTACTGATTGCTGGGTTCAGGATATGGCAAATGAACAGCCATATTGCACTCCTATCATCAGCATATGGTGGCCTACTTACCAGCAGCTTCTGCCTGTTTCGACATGGTCACGAAATATGATGCATCTGTGTTTTTTTCGCTCTCTTTGATTGCCGATGTTGCAGTTTTGAATAAATGAATGAGAGGACTATCTCTAGCATCTTGAGCCTGCTTTATTTGCTCATCACTTCCGGGAATTAGCCCCAGCCATGGAGCTGTTTGCATGAATTGTACTGTGTCAGCTTCTCTCTGCATCATCAAAATCATCAGAGCCATTAGTTTCAGCCTGAGTCTCCTAATATTTTGAAAGGGCGCCACCAATAGCCACCCAAGAATGATGAATAACCTAAAATTCACAAAATAACTTTTCCAGGTTCGGATGATAGGATTGTTTTGAGAGATTCAGGAAAGTTCTGCCGGTAAGAGGAAATATAAACGTTGGGGTATGCATGTGCTCCGAAAATTTACACCAATGCACTTTTCATGCCGTAAATTAAAAGAAATATTAGTGGCGCCCTTCAAAATATTAGGAGACTGATAAAACGAAACCATGTTTTTATGAATTAAGATGGAAATAATTCAAGTAGAAACCAGAACCCTGTACAGTAGATGGAAACATGAACCCTGTACAGTAGAGAAAATTCAATTCCTTTGACTGATAAAACGAAACCATGTTTTTATGAATTAGTCATACTTGAATCGACTGATGCCATATGGTTGATTAAGTTACCAATTCACAATACACGCAGGGGTTGTATAACTCGGTCCGACGATATTAGGGTCGAATCACTATAGTTTAGTTGTGGCAAATTTAAGTGGCTAAGTTAACCATCGGCTCATATCCTTACAAGTCAGCCAAAAAGGGGTGAGGGCGCCTTTCCATTACCAATTCACGGAACTTAAATTATAAAAATAATTTAAATCCCTCATAAATTATTTCAAGTCAAGAATCTGTACCTTGAAGCATTCTACACCAATTATTCGAACTAAATTGGGAGCTCCTCAAACTAAAATAACACTAAATCTTTCCAAGAAAATAAACTACATTTTTTTTAATAGTTTAAATGGTGTTCGTTACATTAAACGCTTCCAAGCTGGATATAAATATTTGAATGAGATTCTAAATGAATAGGAGAGCACTAGAAAGAAAAAAGAATCTCAAAGAAAAAATGAGAAGCAAATTGAACATCCTAAACTCTAATCAAAGCGAAAGTTGGATAAATATTGAATATGAGGCACATTTCGTCAACAAAAATAAACTTGAAAATTAAAATTGGATTAAAATTAATCTCCTTCCAGGGCTATGAGAAACTGTAAGAGATGTATCATGCTGTACGAATGTAAACAGCTGCTGATAAGATAACTTTGTGCCAACTCATAAGGCTTTTCAGCCATAAACTTCGCTTGAAAATCTTATTAATACAGTATATTTTCACGGCCCTGGATATAGTTTGAGGGATAAGATCTTCATAAAAGTTTGACAAATATTAGAGTCCACCAGTTGATCAACCGAAAATGGTCAGTCACCATAAAGACGAAATGAGAAAACGAAAATGGTCCTAAGCTGCATTGTAACTTCGTAAAAGAAACCTTATAATTACTGTATCAAACTTCTCACCAATACAATGTCAAGAAGGCCCATCCAGTATAAAACGCTTCCTATTTCTTTCAATCCATGAAGGACATCCATTTTGAGTTCAGACTTTGGACCCCACGCCAATTGGTCATGAATAATTTTTTGACATCCTATAAAAAAAATGAAGTATATCATGCAACATGCTTTTATGTTGCTACAAGGATAATAAACTCCACACAAGTCAAGTAGAAAATTAAGATGGAAATAATTCAAAATAATTTATCAAAAGGATGTAGAAAACAGCAGCAGTTCTTGTTTTACCCGAGTTAAACAGGAAATATATTTTACACAAGGTAAATTCATACTAATCGACCTGTTTCTCACTCTATACTCTGGCAAGTCAAAAGGTCATGAGTTATGTACGGTTTATGTGATTAGTTAGGGTAGAGGTGAAAATATCAACATCATATCATCAATAATCATGTACATCGTTGTTCATCCTCTATGCTAAATAGTGTAGAATCCAGGTAGATAAGTAACACGAGACCCCATTGACTTAAAATAAGGAAAACTAATCTCAAAATATTAAACTAAATGAAAAAAAGATTTTGGAACCGTGCATCTACTGACAAGCTCTAATATATGTTGTAGATGTACAAGCATATCCCAAAGAATGTCTTCATAAACGCAAGACTATCGTAAGTGTGACTAGATTTCAAGATAGCCTGTCATAAACCTATGCCATCTGTTCTGTGGATAAAAGGAAGTCCCAAAGAAGATGTACAAAAGATCACAAATACGTAAAATTGAAGCATGCCATTGCTTACAAGTTGCCAAAAAAATTCCAACGCACAAAGTATGATTAAAGCGTCGTTAATATTCCTTGTGTCGTTTCTGTTGAGAAGAGTTTCTTCTGTCTGATTTGCGTCCATTACTTCGGTCTACATGTGTACATGACGTCCGGCCCAATAGTAAATAAAATTGAACCTGGCTTCAGAAATATGAGAAACATTTCTCTCAACCAAGCACATCCCAATTTAGGGTTTGTGGACATGTTTATTCAACAATTTTATTTTAAGAGCATCATTTAAATGGAGTTTGTCAAGGATATTTCTTCATCAAAAGGATGCAATTACTATTCACTATGGCAAAAGAGAGATCAAAATTTTGATTTTGAAACCCGAATCTCCTTATATAGACACAGCTGAGAGCTCAGAAAAATAAACTTCCAAAAAAGAGATTCAAAATCTCTCATCATGCATTCAACATTGAAAAAAATCGTTGGTGGCAAGAACATTCAACATCTAAGGGCTTTCATATTTTCGACCTATTGAGGTCAAATAAAGACAATGACATGTCAAGAAGGTAATGAATATCTCATAAGGTGTGTGCACAATTTTCTTCATGGTTCTTTCTACTGACGTCAGTTTCATTTCCCAGTATTATTAAATGGCTTTGAAGGCAAAAGTTTTTTTCGACCTGAGACAAAACCCAGGCCTGTGATGCATCCATTATACTTGTGTCATGAGATAAGAAGGTCACGAATATTTCCTAAGGTCAGTACCACTGTCCTCTCCGAGTCCACTTACAAAAGATTCGTCCAAATGTACTTATGTGAAGCTGATTCTTTCAATTATTGTTCTTCGTAGATCCCTCCATCCTCCCCCCCCTTCCCCCAACAAAAAAAAATAGTCTCATGTAATAACTAGAAAAAAAAATGCAGAGAGATGATTACAGATGACTGTATACATTGAGTTTGATATGTTTGTCACATATAAGACTATTTCCAGTAAAATTCGTGGCTTATTTTCTCACCAATTGATATGAAGAATTATCAAAATGTCATTAGACAAAATGTGGCTTTGCTAAATCGATTCACTAACATAACACACGTCAACTTATCAAGTCTATATTTTAACAAATTCACCAACCCTCGCCCACAAGCTGACATAGAGATTATCAATTTTTCTCTAGCTTATTACATACAGAAACTACCTCTATTGATCAACTAAAAGATATAAAAAGAAATGTGCCGGAACTGAAAGCTACGCTAAAAGATGTCAAATAGAAGACATCAAATGGAAGCCATGGCAGAATGCATCATACTAGACACCAAAGCAGAGGATACCAGAGTTCAAGCTATGAATAGATGCAAGAGCTGGAGCTGGGTGGTGGGGGTCGGAATCAGACTCAGAGTCGCAGGTACTTGAACAGGAAATGCAATATTTCAATCCGAATGATATGATAGAGTTGACGGCTAAGTATGAGACACTTGAGTTGACGCTGGAATAGAATACTTCTTCATATAAGGCAGTAGACGTACCATAAGAAGATCTAATGGGTCGCAATAAAAGAAAGCACAAGATGACGACTCCATGAAAAATCATAGAACATCCTAACCTTAAGCTTTGATACCATGTAAAATAAAGGGATATTCCCTCTTAGTCGCCAAATTATGTATAGGGAGAGGAGGGGGCAGGAAATCGTAAGACAAGTAACACGGACTTACTAGACCCATATTATAACTGACTAACTAAGATATTAGCATACAGCAATGCATCTTTTAGGTCTAGGTTCTCATATGCTCACTGATAATGTCAACCATTCTCATTTTATCAGTAGACCAACACTCCACGCAATATTCTCACCTCTTATGAATATTTTTCTTAATTTTTCTCTGTTCACTAATACAGATGCTCCAGGAGCACAATGCTGTAGAAGATGGGAACATCACTAGGAGGGACCATTAATGCTCACTGCGGGATTTCGAAGATCACTGTGATTTTTCCAAAAATATCTTCAAGGACGAGGCTCAAAATGTAAATATTCGTCAAATAAAAGATAGGAAGCACATGTAGCTACCGGAAAAAGGCACATTCATCTAAAAAATGCGTAACTTAGTTATGTTGATCAAATTCCAGCAGAATCAGTGCACTGCTAGTACTGGAAAAAGTACTAGCTGATAACTTGTACTAGAGTTTTGATTGTCTTTAGGAACCAGCATACCTGAGATTCCACCATCAAATGGAAGTAGCCCAATTGATTTGGGTAGTGCTTCCTGTAAGCCATTGACCTTTGGTACAATTGCTGTTATCTGAAATTGTAAGTGCACCATGGCAGTTAAGGAGCTTTTATACATGAACATCTAATTAGAAATTTCGTCTGTCCATCCAGACTTTAAGACGGCGGTAATTGATCTTTCTGGGGAAGAGATTCCCCTGAAAGTCACAGGAACACTCAGAAGTGGATAAGATAACTGGCAAAAGCAGGAGCATAAAATTTGACGTGTACAAATAAATTTGAACCTAGTATTAGGTCAAGGAATAATATTATATAAATAAGTGATTCGTGTTAATGAACGAAAAATGATAGACTGACACAATGGGGGAGAGTTGGAAATATTTCAAAGAGAAAATCCATGTAAACTTTCCTTAAGAGCTCAATAACCATCATCTAAAATATATAGCACATCGAAAACTAAAAGAAAAATATCATTTTGCTCTTGATAGGTTATGTTTACATAGCTTCAGACCTCAGAATTTATTTCACAGAGGAACACAGGGTAAACAGTGATTTCCAAGTCACCTTATTTGAAATGTGATCCAGCAATGCTCGAATAAGCCATGGCAATGACCTGGGACCCAAGAGCTTGACAATTGCAGACATATGAGGAATTCCAAAGAATTCACTATACAATCCTGAAAGGCTTCTGTGTGCCTTATTCAATTCCTTCAATGAAATGACAACATCAAATTAACTGAATGAAAATCGAAAAGAATTCAAATCCTAGTTTGAATTTCTTTCTTGAACTAGAAAAAAATAGAAATAATAAGTTAATATGAAAAACTCCCAGCCTAAATAAAATGCACAAAAATGCCATGGATAATATCTCACGTAGATGCACATATAGGATAGTAATACAATGGATTCTAAAACTCGAACCAATAAATTAAATTGTTCGAGCAGTATAACCAGAGGATAATTTTCACAAATAAGAACACATTGAGAATGATTAGTAGGAAACACATCCCAATCCATTTCTTCACTCGAGTATGTCACCAGCCACTCTGATATCATGGATGGCTTAAAGAAATTTTTTTTAGGGAAGTACTGGTAAGAACTGAGGAAAAAGTAACAAGGAATCATCTTCCATATGCAAGGATCTTTCATTTTGAAATCATTATTTTCAGATGAAGCTTCTGATATCTGAATCAAATAAGTTCAAATTTTAAGTGGATGTGCATAGTTTTACGTAGCGACTTCAGCAATTTAGCATAGTTTGATAATTATGATAACGAAATAAGAGGTAGTTAAGATGTGGAAAGTAGCACTGCTAATACGTGATTGTGGGCTGTAAATTTTAATCAACAGTCAATTTTATTGGTCTGAGCGATAAACAAGTCACTTATGGTCCCGTTTGACGATTATACCCATCATATTCTGAGAGGATGCGCATCTATGCTGCTGTCTCTAAGAACTCAATTTACCTATCACGATCACAGAAAAGTTGCACCAAAATGCTTTTCAAAACTAACACTTAAAAATACATCTAAATCTGGCGTTGCAGAGTCAGTAGTTTCAAATTTTGGTTGGCAAAACATCACAGATACAGGTGCAAGACTAAAAGAAAGCATAGAATCAGTAAATTTGCCTAAAACTAGAACTAGATGTGGTCAGTTATAACACTTGGCTTGGGTTTTTCAGTGTTCGGTTGAAACTTACCAATCAATTAAGTCTGTGTAATCATGTTCATTTGATTGTCAGTCTTAACTGAAACAAATTCTCTTACATAACGATAATTCCATTTGGCGAACAGAGCACCAACCAAAATTTCATTAATTTCAAGATTAAACGATAATTATGTATAGAGAAGAAATAATTATGATAGCGGTTCTTACCTCAGACCCACAATAGAAATATGACTTCACAAAAGGAGCATCCGATTTTTGATTAGAATGGGAGGTTCCTCTTGAGGACCGAACAAAACGCTGAGTGGTATTACAAAGGATAAAGTTGGGCAAAAAGTCATTATGCATCTCTGTCCAGATCTGTTATGTCCAAAGAAAGAGAAAATGATAAGCAACAAAAGACTAATAAGACAGTAGTGAAAATATCAGGGACATGAAAATTTTCCTGACAGAGTTTTGTTCCAGTGCTCATACTTTCCAAAAGAGAGCTAAACAAGCCTACTCCACTTCAAAAATAGATGATATGATGCCTTTCATTTAACTAAGATATTGAATGTAAAATAGCTGATTCAAGGAGAAAAGCAGGTTTCCTTTTTCTTTTCTTTTTTTAAGTATTTGGTCAGAGGTGAGGAATCAAAGTTAAACTAATTACTGACCATAATTGATAACCTTGATTATCCTGATTGGGTGCATTTAATGAACTCTGGAGAGGACATCCCTTAAATTGCTGAAGCATTCCACAGTTTTCATCATAAAGATGAAAGTATTTAGATTAGAAAAAACGATCAAGCACTTTGGAAAAAGTATGAATACTTTTATGCAAGATGAAGATAGCACTCATTAGTTCCCTCTTTTATGCACACCTTTGTCAAATAGTATCAGTAAGAAAAAAAAACACCCCATCAAAACATAGCAGCATCATCCACCCACAAAGCTGTAGAGAGAAGCGATACTTACAGCAACATACAATATTGACGGAATGTGATCGATGGCAATTGGAAAATCAGGTCCTATATGCTCTCTTATATCCTAATCGTCCATAATTTTCCTTCACTCTTAAAGTCTCTGACTGTCTCCTCTTTATCCATGCTTTAGGTTTCAAAGCTTCCATATTCGATTTGAGGTCTATTAGGAGTGGCTTTTTCAGGTCGCACTCTTACCTAAAAATGATATGAATGTAAAACTACTTCGAAATATGACATGAACGTTGTATCAAGAATCCTTTAATCTTTACAAGTCTCTTTGGAAAAGACCATTGAAAATCAGCAGCATCCAATGTTGTCACAACGTTTTATCTTAAATGGGAGGCATTTTTACAAGGAATTTTCACTCTGTTAGTAGCTCTCTTTCCATACCTTTGGCTGCTACTAATGATTCTAGTGGAGAAAACGAGACAGACTAGATAGGGTGAGATTGAAGAAGAAAATACCTTGCATGTGAGTAACACATAAAATGAAAATTTTGGGATGCATTGAATTCCATGTACATTATCTGACGCAAACCAAACAAGGATAAACAGTCGGAAAAAAAATTCGTCAAGACAATTCATAGAAATATTGCTGGTTATTTACAATTACTCCAGCCCCAAAAGAAGGAAAACTACCTAGGCTAAACCCCACGATTTGTGGGATACTCAACAAAACTACGAAACTGACCAATAGCCGAACCAACCTAGGAAACTGACCAATAGAAACTAACTCTTAATTACACGTCTTTTCCCACATTATCAAACGTAAATCTGATAATGAAATTAATATTTACGAGGCTGGACTTGCAGACTTGTTCCCAATGCCTATACTCAAAGCAATGGATTCCGTTATAAATCTTTCAAAGCATATTTCGCATATCTATGTCATAATTCTCATTGCTATTTCTGGCGTATTCTAGTAATTCTTGTAATTCTCGTAGTCCTGATCATCATTATAATTTTAAGATATTCCTTCTAATTCTGAAAATTTATCGTTGATAGTCATGTGACTGATGAAATAATAATGAAAGAAAATCGCCCTCCCACAGATTCCTCGTTATAATTTAATCTTCTTTATGCAGGAGATTAGCCAATGTCTAGTCCCAAAAACAAATTCCATTCTTCAGAGTACCGAATCTCTTAACTCTGATCCACACAAAATTTGTGGGTATCTATGTTAACATAGTATATTCATCTATAGTCTAGCATTGGTTTTCCCATCTGATGGTGTTTTAATGGAAAGTTTTGAGAAGTATTACAGATTCCAAACTTTTTAGTTTACATTGAGATACGATAGTTAACAATTATGAGACGAAGACCAAACATTCGCATAATATTAAACATATGCAAAATGCATCTCAATTCTGAAAAGAGACGCTAATTAAAACTAAGCACCAAACAACAGCGACATAGCTACTAGCAACTCTCAAACCTGAGAAGACAAACGACTTGAATATGAGACAAGGGAAAGATTTTCTTGCATCTCATTTAACATGAGGGTGAATGAATCCAAATGAAGATCTCTTGAGAGTAAGCGATGACTGAGTTCCAAGATACTCAAAAGCTGTTGAAGCTCCTGTAAAGTAATCAAAAGATCTTAACATATATTCAAATAGGTCTTAGTTCTCAAAAGTGAAGAAGATCTACAGGAAAATTTCTTACCACAATGGCACAGAGGTCTTGGTTCTCAAAATGATCAAAGAGAATATCAATATTCTCCCGGAATAATTTGTTCATGCGCTGGGTGATCAGTCTTCTTAGATCAATGGTTCTCCCTAGTAACTACACAGAAAAGAAAATATCAACACTGACAGAAAAGCAATCCACAGAAATGAAAAGAGTACTCGGGAAATTACAAAATGACTTTTATTTAGACAACATGATAGTAAGTAACGAAAATAAGGTTCCAAATTTCAACCCAGAATAAGATAGCACAAGTGAACGCCCGGTACATTAAATAAAAGGTGGCCAAGTGAATGGAATATAATTATTTTTTCTCTATTTGACAGGAAAACCGTTAAAAGCATAGCTGGCTACCCACAGAATTTGCATATGATCTGGAAAAACTCTTCAATCTAATCATAATTCAACTGTACCACCTGAAAGAAAATCGTAGAGAAATCTTTTCTTCAGTCAAGATAAGGATACATGAACTGAATCAATAAATTTGAAATGGAAAGCGTTCATTATGCCAGAAATCATCTGGTTACAAAAATAATAAGTCCAGCACTGGCTTGGGCTCCCAACCCAAACCCCTCTCTGATTAAAAATCTCTGATGATGTATGATTCCAATCAGATCTTCCCGATTCCTGCTTGGAGACAGTAACAACAAACCAGTCCATAGCGATCAGTAGAATTTCTGATTTTTTGCCAACGGAGGTTTGATTCATCAACAAAGGATCTGACCTCGAGGCTCTGACTATCAGTAGAATTTCTGATTTTTTGTCATTAAAAAGCTTATATGCTGTGACAAAATCTCAAAGTGCACACTAAAAGAATTCTGGATTTCTCAAAATACCCACAAATCTAAAATCATTAAAAAATATATCTTCTAATGCCTAACATAATATCATGTACTATTCAAGTTATGTGTCGGTAACCACACATTCTCACTTTCCCCGAAGAACCACCCTTTGCCAGACACCAATGACAGGACATAAGAGGAAGGGGTATGCAAGTGACACAAGTTTCCTGTCAGAAGAAGGTGAGAACTATTGATGGACACCCATATACCATGACTACTAAGTAAAAGGTTTCCTATTCTACATTATAAAGGCATAGCAAACGATAAATAAATGAATAACAGTTCTAATAAACATAATCGATGGAAATGGTAAGATTAATAAAAGAATGCAACAAAGAGATATATTAATATGTATATTGTTTCCTATGCCACAAATGCTTGTTGGGTATTAAGTTATGGTTCGAAAAAATAGAAACAAGACGATGTCCAAAGTTGAAATTTGAACGGTATTGCAGCAGCAATATGACATTTGCCATGTAGCATGTCATCTAAGGATTCAACATTTTTGTAATCATAACAAGCTGTAACAACCGACAAATATTAAACCCTCAGAACGCTTAGTTCATGATAGTTGCTATCTTGAAGAATAATTCTTCATTAGAAGAAGCAAATGCCCATATTAGAAAACACATCTGCTGGCTTTGGCATTAGTTAAGATTATGGAGATGAAACTTCTGATTCCCATTAAAAAGGAAAAAAAATATTTCACTCTTTTCCGGAATAAATTATTCATCATAAAATATACCTTATAACTTAAACTTGCGTAAAATATTACAGACGGGTCAATAACAAGATCACAAGACATCTTACACTTTGAACCCCAACTGTCAACCCATATCACAAGTACTAATTGATAGGTCAAATCAAAATGTTAATCACCGACACAATAAAAAACCTCATTCATTTCATGATCTAAATGATGCATGCATAAACAACATCCAAAACACTAAAAATAACATAAAAACAATCTGTAGACAATACAGTAAAACTGAATCAAAATCATGAGATCAGTTAAGGCTTTCGATTCTTCATAAGCTGTCTGGCATATGCTGATTAACCGCGTGCAAGATTACATGTGATTCAAATCTCTTCAAGGTTTATGTCTACTTCATCATACCAATCTAACAATAGAGTTCCTACATGTTAGATCCTATTTCATACGATAACCCAGGATATTATTTTCCCTTGGTTGTGATCCATTTCACAGAAGAGACTCATTTCAACCTTCTTTTCTTAATCAAACCACATTGAAAGAGAGTTAACGAGGCTCCAGAATAAAAGAGCTCATTCAACTAACCGCAGTGAAAATTTGTAAACCTCTATAAATGTATATGTTCACATTGAAAGTTCCCTAATGTGTCTATCCTTCTCTAAGCATGCTCCAATTACAGCGTATCAGTAAGATAAGAAGGAAATAAAGGCATTATATATAATCGGATATGCACATGTAAAAATACGAATCGTTAGTCTATAAACGATATTCACCTTTACTCTTCGTAGCTTGTAAATTTCAGTGAATCGCATTGGTTGAACAAACAAATTGTCTCCATTATCAACAGCAGATAAAAAGGATTGATCAAGCAGATTTCTGCAAATATGTCAAAGATATAGGAGTTGTCAAAAGTAGCCCTGGAAAAGACGATGAATTTCTATCCTTCAGAAATTCAGGAAATAATTTCTTAATGTTTTATCCAGATCACGACAGTTTTCTGTCTTAAGCCTGAATCTCACTTTCTTACTCACGCGCTAAGGATGATACGAAAAAAAATCACCAACATGATTTCTTTAAACAGGTTTTAATTCCCTATCAAACCGCTGTGTTCGGATTTTTATTGACGAAGCGAAGAGAGATGGACTTACCTTGCTGCCCAGCTTTTGTAGTTTGCAAAAATGTTCTCACTCATCTTAAAAACAAGCTGATCAAAACATAGATCCGCCTAGGAAACCAACATTATACGTCAGCAGTACAAAAAAATTGATTTTTCAAATTTTCATAAAATACCAACACTATAGGCAGTAAATCTACGCAATCCAAACATAATTTCGTAAAAAGTTCTAAAGCAAGTACTTTTATGATTGAAGACCTCCTACAGGTCCATAATAATATAAGGATACAAATTTTCTAAAGAATTAAAAAGCCCCAGCTTGGTGATTATTTGGTCTGGGAATTAAAAAGCTGTATGTCAGTTTTCCAGCCCATGGCCGCCCCTTCATTCCCTCCCTCTTCCCTCTGTCTTTCTTTCTATTGTCTGCACACCCGATCCAAACGTTTTAAAATTCTAGACGCCCCATCTTCGTTCCTTCTTTAATAAAATTGCATCCTCCTCAATTATTTATATTTTATTACTTTGGATCTTGGATAACATCAAAAATTGCACTCAATGAACAAAAACCCTAGCAGTATTATGGCAGGATCATTTGTTATCTGCAAGATTCGTCAAAATCGTTCTGGTTGAGATGTGCCAATACCACACCCTTCGAAATAAAAAAAATTGGACATTAAGTAAACAAAGCTTGTTTTCCACCAACAACAAAGTGTGATGTCGAGGTAACAATCCTTAACAACAGTTAGAAAGACACGTACCTCATATCCTAGAAACAACCCCCCAAACCTCCCTGATATTATGTTTAAATTCCGTATAAAGCTTATCTTATGATTTACTATAAATTTATGACTTACTTAAGGTGTTCCAAAATTAATCTTATGGCACACACCTTATTGAAGGTGTTCCTAACAGACGAGAATAAATAGATGTCATCAATAGGTGAAAAGCTTGAAACCTCAGGTTGGTGTATGATTGTAGTACTCTATTCTATCCCATTCACTTTGTCAACCGTTACATTCTAATAAGTTTAACAGAGAAATAAAATTATGCACACGTTTTACATAAGTGACACTTAGTTGAAAGAGGGACTGGGATAACATGATAACTTAGGAAACTAATGAGTTTTACACAACGTAATCCCTATTCTCGAGGTCAAACCAGATACGAAATCTTCAAGCAAGTACTGAACTGCTCTATGCAAATGAGATGATACCAAGAGCCAAGAATAATATTTTAAAACGTCATATTACCCTAAAATAATACTTTTCTCTAAAATTTTCAAGAAAGAAAAGAGGATCCAATTTCTTGGTCAGCTTGGAGGTTGGAAGAACAAACACTTTCAGATATTTCGAGGCAATCAATAACAAATTTGGAATAAAGGACCAAAAAAGTTAGTTCCCTAACCCTCACAGAGTTTTTTCTTAAGGTTTCCATAAGAGACAAATGTGAGTTAGTTAGCCAGATTTCTAATATAGTATACGTCTATTCACCATTTTTACTCTAAAAATATCAACACAGCCTTATCTGATGAAATTGTGATCATCAAAATCTAGTCTCAAGTAATCCAAACATTTTAGATGGAACATTTTTCCCCTACAAGGATGAACAAAAGAGATCTGAACGCAGCCCAAACGCATTTACGTTTGCTAACATCCTCGTATCCGGATTAAGTTGATGACAAGTAAATATAAATAGCAATCGTGAAATACGCACCTCAGCTTCAATTTCATCATAAAGAAAACGCTGCTTAAAGATCGTCAACGCGTGTTGAGCAGAGTCATTATAAATATCAAGCGGCATTAGAATACTTTCAACAAGAGATGCATCTTGGGACATGATCACATGATCCACCAGCATCCAAGGAAGAGAGCATTCAACTGGAAACTGGGCATGGCGATTGGTGAGTTAAACATTTGTCTGAAGTTCCAAAATACAAGAGAAAAATAATCTCACAATAAATATGGATATGGAGTATTTGCAAATCTAGTCCAACCAAAAAAATAATTCATGAGAGATTCAGATATATACTAAAGTATTTAAGATTTCATAAGTGAAATAAAAAAATTCAAAGTTATTCCCGTTCAATGTGGCACATAAAAATAATTTAACCAATTGACCTGTACATCCAAGCTAACCATCACCTTTGATGCTATGTTAAAAATTATTGGATCTGTTGGAAGCTCTAGGTAATAGGGAAATAATGTCATAAGTTGGTGGTGTTTCCGAAAAATTATCTAGGGTTTCTCCATATATTAAGGGGCGTAAAAGTTGAATAGAATTGAGACAGTTTCCGCCGTTGTCCCCTCTGTCCTCGTGATAGAGGTTTCTCTCTCAATTTTCTATGTGGTATCAGAGGGGGTGTGTTCCACTAAGGTTTCGTCAGCTCTGCCCCGAGTCTTTTGTCTGAGAGAACGCCATCGCCACCACCACTGGAGTTTGGCAGTATCCGACGTCTCCTATCTGCTGCCGTCACCAATGTATGTTGCCGCCATATGCCGGCATGCTGTTATTGGAGTCATACTGCGCAGTCTCCCAATGAGACCTTCCACCTCTGCTGAGTACCTCAGTGAGGCCTTCCACCTTTGCTGAGTCTCTTTCCGGCGAGGCCTTCCACCTCTGCCGTCTCTTTCTGGTGTCATCCCTACCTAATCATCTTTCAGGTATTATCTCAATTTAATATCGTCATCCATACTCCTCAGTCCGCCTCAATCCATCTTAGTTCGACATCTTCCCTAGTCCAGCTATCAAGATCTTCCACAGTCTGCAAAGGTTGGCAACATCATAGATAGTCTGGTGTCTGAAGGTATCATTCTCCTACGGAGCTGTTCTGGGACGTAACAACTATCAAAGGAGCCAAAGGTGCCGGCAAATCCACGACCTCAGCAGTGGTCATCTTTGACAACCGTCAAAGGGAGAGTTGCTGCGACAACGGATCATGAACAACTTAGTCAAGATGAACTTTGGAGAAGTTCATCTTGAGGAGTGTTAGAAGTTTTTGGTCGTAGGAAAATAATGTAATAAGTTGAGAGTGTTCTTGGAAAATTGTCGAGGGTTTCTCCCTATATTAAGGTGTGTAATAGTTGAATGGAATTGAAGTGGTTTCCACCGTTCTCCCCTCTTTCCTCCCTGACAGAGGTTTCTCTCTCAATTTTCTAAAGGATCTAACAATTACTTGGAATGAGTGGAGTCGAGTGAGAGTAGTGTTCAAGATAAAACATGACGCTAGAGAAAAATGTTAAAAATATTAACCAAATGTGTCAAAGTTATTTGGTCATCCATTTAAAAACCATTAGGCATAAGTGATCACAAAAATATACTCAACAGAATGATAATAAAATCTTTTAGGAGAACAAACATTGAGTGTAAGATCAGTTTAAAGCATGTTAAAATCTCAAAATTAACCCAAGAATAATAGAGATATGTTCATTTTGAATCTGGATCTTCAAGAAGATTAGGATCCATGGTCAATCATCTACAAAAGAGAAACGGTTCCACTAGGATGAACATGGTACTCAAAGAAATAATACCATGCACAGGACCACAAACTGATCATAGAACGGGCAGGACATGAACTCTAAGGTGATTCTTATAAAAAAATCAGTATTGAAGTTAAGGATCAATGAGGGGATATACTGTCTGAGTTCTGCGCCACCAAACCATCATTCTTCTAGCATGAAATGTTAAAATACAAATTACTTGACAGGGCTGTAAAACATCAAGACAGGTTCACACGATATTCAAGTAATGTTTTACATCATCCGAGTTAAAAATCACCTATTAAAACCAAAATCAAAGTGAGAATGACGTCAGAAAGTGTGTATTCTTCTCAGAAATTTAACCGATGATCCAATTTTTACATAAAAAATCTATAAAAAAATTCAGCATCTTTGTCTTCAGTGAAAATAGAGGAATTGAGACCTTCATGAAGGGTGGCAATAAATTGAAAGTTTAATCACTTGAAAATTGTGAAATATGAAGATTGAATCCTTTAAACATATTCCCTTCTCTCCAATGAAAAACAGGAAAAGAAAAACATTTACTCTCCACCCCTCATCCATCCAAAAGAAAAAAACCAAGGTTATCCTCAGCTCAGGGAATAATGATTATCATACTTATGATATCCACAGAATGAGAGAGGGATAATCTCTTAAAACAAATGGCCATCACAAAGCACAAAACAATAAAAACAAGTCAAAGAAAAATTACATGGAATCTGGTGTTAGCTAAAAATTTATAAATTATTAAATGTTGAATTAAAAAGAAGTCATTTTGACTAATAGAAACAAGAAAAATACAAAAGCAGGAAATGCCAATACCTGGATAACACGAGAATTTTCCAAGTAGAATTCTCGAAACCAAAGGAAACTAAGATCAGTCAATGTACCAATAGTTGCTGCAATCAGAGATCAATAAAATTAGGAAAAAAACCTCTAAAAACAGATTTCAGTATACTTCCATAACTGTCTAATAATTTTAATCTACTTATTTGGTCAAATCATTCGATTAAATGAATTGGAACTTTGTGAACTATTAAAAAGTTATATGGGAAAGTCAGGTTGAATAGGAATTAAAACACTCGAGTTTTCCTTCTTTTTTTTTCCTGATTTATGTATTTTATTCTTATTCCTTCCAAAAGAGATGAGAGTTGATGAATCAGAAACAAGTAAATCAATAAACAGTTTTCAAGTTAGCATTCTTATGGAACATACATATCAATAATGCCTTTCCTTCCACAACCCATTCCTATGTCAGTTGATTTGGATACTACTTATTCCAACCACAATAAAAAACATTCATCCTATGCGGGTTTTCCCTAGTATTTACAGTTAAGTACAACTATGATTTATTTATGAATATATATGGTCTTGGACCACCAATAGTGATTTTCTCTAAGAGGTTGGATATTTTTTGATCCACTTGGTTCTGTTGTGTTAATTTCAATCATTACCGTTGCAATTATGGTTCTTAACTGTAGTGACAATTATACGTCTCATGATCAAGGATATTTGAGCTGGTTGATAAATGTATGTTATAATTAAGTATTTATATCAGCCAATGTACAATTGATTATTAGTATGCATAAATGAAACACTGAGAACAATAGTGACTCTAGTTTCTCCACACTACGGAATCCAAAACAAAAATTTCTATTGCGTAAAAAAATTTCCAAACATTTTTTGGCATTTTCAAGTTTGTATGTAAGAAACTACCTAGGGTTTTATATGGATAATACATGGACAACCTAGGCTTGGATTAAATTCAAGAGCATTAGGTAAGCCTTTCGATAACGACCAGCTCAGTAGATTAAAAAACCACCTGGGCCTTTATATGGATAATATATTGACTACATAAAATCCAATAAGCCATTTGATAATGACCTGTGAAGTCCAGAATATGCAGGAAGAAACTGAGCTTGTAAAAGAATGTCTCCAGTTGCTTAAGATCATCAACAGAAATTCCCGAACTATTACTTGCAAAAAGCCCTCCAGGTTTTCTTAAGTTACCACCAGATAGTAGTTCACAAATTAGAAATTGCAGGCAATGAATCTGCAGAACGAACGTCACAAATCAAAATAAAAAACTTTCAGAAGAGAGCATCATATGAGTACATAAGGTTTACAAAAATATAACATGATTGCACTTGAACTGGGAAAAAATGATTCCTAGTGGATAAGGAACATTCTTGATGTCCTCATCATCTTTAACTAGGAAACCAGCCTGTGTCGTCGACAAGAGAATGAATAAAATAGCTCATAAAACCGACTCTATATCACATAAAACCTTGCTGAGGTCATGACAAATCAAACTTCCATATTTAGGGAGAGAGTCGACAAGTTCCTTTGCGAAAAACGAAAAATATTATAGAATTCACAAATCTAGGCCTGTGTTGAGCAATGTTCTAAAGATTACAGATTATATCTTGAATCTCCAACGCTCATTCATTAATATTTCAATATAATCATGCATTTGACTAAACAGTAAGGACTTTCAATATTTAATATATACACATTTAGAATTTCAAGCGTCAACTTAGTGACCAATGTATATTGTCCTTGTCTTTTTTGGGTAAATGTCAACACCTTTCATAGAAACATGAGCACAAATTATACAAAGTCCAGCATCCACCAAACATAAGAGCAAATTGTCTCCCACCGCATGCATCTAGACAGTATGCATGAATTAGGCAAGAGCCGGGTCCAAAAGTATGGATGTTCAGTACATTTCAAACGGCCTAACAAATCACATAAAAAGACTGATCAGAATTTCATTCAAAAAAAGGTCGATAATGAGGAATTGTGAATGTCATAAATCCGTTCAAATGATCATCGAGCAGATGTTCTAGCCTAGAGGATTTCACAGGGCTAATTCTACACCATTTAAGAAGCTGAAAATGATGGATATCTATGCTCAACTTCAAGGGGAGTATTAAGAATAATAGCGCATTTATATATAGTTTTTTCAATTTTATTTTTTTTATAATTTATGCATAGTGCCGCTGATTATTGGGATGTTCTTATCCAATCAAATTTTTAAAGTTTATTATTTATGAATAGATAGGGAGGACCCGAATGAACGTCTTTTGGCATACTGTTCCCCCTCATTATCTTCTCCGTTCCTTTCTATCAACAAGGATCAATTGCAGACAAGAAAAGTGACTGATGCTTAGTAAAGAGAAAAAGTCCCCCACCATGTGTCTCACCAAAAAGTGCCCCTTCAAAGCTACCCAAATAATTTCAATACCACTAAATCATACATCTATAGCTTGAAGAATTCCTCTCTAGACTTCAGAATTTAGGTGATAATAGTAGGTTCTAGGTTCCAAGATATTCCATTTCTGTAGTAATGTTTAACTCTGACAATGTTTATGTTTGTGAAATTAATGAAATGATGACAGAGTCTGAAAGAAGGCAGGTAAATATTTTGAGGGTATTTTTTTTTTGCTGAATGGAAAAAGAAACACTTAAAATTCAAAATATCACGGGCTGAATCAATCAAAGTCCATTTCAAAATAGCATTTCAGAATCATAAAATCAAAAACTTATGCACATGAACCTGGGCAGCAGTAGGAGCAACTGGCCTCGGATAAAAGGTGCTTCTTTTAGTTTCTTCTGTTTCATTTGGTAACGAAAGCAACTCCACCTCTGGCTTGTTTGTATTTGCCATCCAATCAGCGGACAATGTGCGCATGTCAGAAAGAATCCTATAGTTACAGATGACATATGAGACATTTGTTCAAGGTAAAAAGTGTCATTATTCCTTGCATCATACGTAAGGGAAAAAAGATCTAGCTTTCTAGGAAGAATATTAATCAGGAGTTTAGAAAGCCAAAGAACAAAACTTGATTCGAGAAGTATTGATCGATCTCAGATGAGCTATATTCTTTAAGAAATAATTCAGTGAATGGAGAAGTAATGATCCATTTTTCAGAAAATTTTCTTAGGTATTTCCCTAGTTCTCCATTTGGGCCGCTTAATGGGCCTGAGCAAGGACCCACGACCCAAACCCGTTTTGGAATTACTTACAAGCGTAAAAGGAAGAATAATGTAAGGGAGGACTGAGGCCAAGTGGGCCCACAGCGAACTTAGGGAGTAAGGATATAAGGACCCCTGAGGACCCCAATGTGGGGGAACTTTTTGAAGAAGTCAGTAGGAGAGTGGGGCGCCTATCTGTTATGTTCTCTTAGCTGTTTCAATGGAGTTTAATTCCAGTTTCTCTTGGTTATTTTCCTTTGTCGATACCATTATTCTGTCATTGTTTTGGTACCTGTTGTGGGACCCAAACACAATTCACTGAAAGTAGTCAGATAAGGAAAGAATGAATCAATCAAACGCCATATCTAAACGGCAATTTCTTAGTATTGGGGAAAACGAGAAGGTTCCACTACCACACAAAGCTTGGATCAAGTCAGGTAAATGTTGGCACAAAAAGAATAAATATATGAACTAAATGTACTCCAGAGGATTTTAAGGTAAGCTTTCCACTCAAAGTTTGTTCCTGTTCAAATTGTGAGGAAGAAAGAGAAATTTCAGAAAATATCATGTATCAGCAATTCAGGTAAGTTTTACCAAACAAAAAACGAGGTTTCAGCGAAAAATGTTCCACCCTTAAATAAAACAACTTCAATTACCTAACATCAGGTAAAGAGGTCAAGTAGGTAATCGCCAAAAAAGAAGCTGCTGTATATACATTATTTGAATACTCGGCAGCAAATGGAACAAGTCTTCATAAAAATGCAAAAAGGAATTAAATAAAAGCTCACTCAAAGATGATGAGGATAACTATTCCTTTCTCTAGCGAAACGTAAGAGATCTTTAAATTCACCTAGAAAGATCTTTCTTCTTCCGAAATGTAGTATGCAGCATTATGTCCAATTTATCTTGGACAAAATCTTGAACCTCCACATGAATAGTTTCCCACAAAGCATCTGCTATTAATGTGTCACATCGTTGAATCATTGATCCAATACTTTTTATGTAACTAATAATATCTAATAAAGCTTTCCTCTCGTCCTCAGAATAGTTCCAGCGTACCACCTGCAAGCAGATTTTCAGGCACAACAATGAAAAATAATCGTCAATACTGCAATATTTAATGACACAGACTGAAAATCGCAACGTTGGAGGATTGAAACTAGTGATGTTGTGCTTCAAAATGATTAATGCATGACACTCAAGCATCAACCACGGATGAAGCATCATATCAAAAGGGGTCTGCGACATTCTCCAAATAATGAGTGCCATAGTTCAAATCAGAGAGACAATTTTTTCGATTGCGAAAAACATAATTTTAGAATGAATTTTCTAAAAATAATAGTTTTTTCAGGGAAAAATAATGCAACATGATTCAAGCCAAATACTAAAAGCATATAGATGTTGGTTCCTAATAACATCCAAAGATAAATGATGCCAGTTATAAATGAGATCTCAGCATAACAAAGTGATGAATGTTGTAAGGAATATCTCATTTTCTTTATATATAGTCTTCCTATAACATAAGGCCGATAAAAAATTCCTGGGAAGTTGTGTTTTCTGTTACTGCTTTTTCGCTTTTCCTTTTTCTAAGCCATTTTCTCCCCATGCATAACTTTGCGACTTCTAGGGACAGTACAAGAGAAAGCTTCCGAGCCCTGTATCCATAGGCCTTCATTCTCACATCTGTTCTTCCCACAATTAATTCCTACTTTTACTGCCATATCTTTTCTTCTAATTTCTGATTATTCTGTGGGAAGATGTCTGAGTTTTATAAAAACAATGTGTATACCTGCGGAGATTTCCCAAATTTTCCATCGATAAGCTTAAGTAGACAGTACCAAAGCACAAATGCCATTTACGGCCTGAACGGAAAAAACTGTTTGCAATGATCACAAATCATGAAAGCATTCTTGAAGGGAAAAAGGAAGATTAGCCACTTGGATGGACTGGTCCAAATGAGAAAATTCTCTTGTAAAATTATGTTTCAATGCACCAGAAGAGGAAGAATGATCATGCCCCAGGTATAGACTTAATGCAGCCATAGATTAGTAAAAATCTTATGTTTCTCCCCCACAAACCAAGACATTTGGGTGACACTGCAAAAAACAAACTCTATGACGCAAGATACTACAATGATTTATTGACCCAGAGCTATTAATATCTTATTTCTGACTTTTCTAAAGCTTCCACTCCAAATCACGAGCCATAAATTATGTTCCATTGACTACTTAACTCAATATCCAAATGAACTTGACCAGTACATACCTTTAAGCTACCCAGAGAAACCCAAAAAAATTGTACCCGATGGATCATCAGTGACAATTGCTGGTCATGACAACATTTAAGTTAGCCCGTCCCCCCAAGCGTCCAACATATTCCAAAATCACCAACAATTACCTTTTTTGATAACTATTGATGTTTCAGGATCAGACCAATAGGGAAGATGATATTAGGACCAAAACTGTCAGGCCTATTACCAGGCCCATCGCCTGGGTTACTTAAATATATTGTAAAAGTTACACTCAGTTAAGTTGAGAAGAATAATTAGTCATTTCACAAAGATAAACTACGCTAAGTAATTATGCACTTTGGTAGGTATAACTTACAAAACTAATGAATCAAACAAAAGACATATCCAAGGACCGGAAAAGTTTTACAATTCTCCAACCCGCATGTCCTCAACCGGCTCCAAGTGCCTAAGCAAACAAAGTCTGATAAAGCTCATAATAAAAAAGCTCACAAGGTCACTTAGCAGTTAGGAGAGCAGTAGCAGCACGTCACTAGGGTGTAACCCTCTGACCATTAACCCTCACAATCGAAGTAAGATCTAACATGATGAAATCAACCAACAAAAACAATGTCTGTAAGGGAATCAGACCAAGACGGAATGTTAATGCAGAAAAATGTAGATAGGAAAGCAGGTAAGAGAAACACCTTTTCATAGTCTAAGAATGTTGTCACATTCTCTTGCATCTCTGAAGGAACATCTTTACAGGGTCTTGAAAACTTCCAGGCACATTGGTCCCAGACACGTCCGGTCCATCTACTAAGGATTTGAAAGCCTTCAACAACCATGTCATACATAATACCTTTGACTTCTCTTGACCATTCAACATCAGCATTATCCATTGATCTAAGTAATAATATCTGAAGAACAAAGGATCAAAAGTTAGGATGTCTATGCACTTCATGCTAATTTAGTGAAGATAGCTTATTTCTTAGCTACAAGACGCAAAACATTAACGATTCGTTTTACTCCGTCTCAACAAAAAAGACGGTTAATGATAATAATTCTAAAAAAATTTGAAAGTTCTACAAGAAAAAAGATATAGGCATGAATATCAAAAAGAAAGTCTACTGGTCTATAACCAATCTCTTTCTTCATCTTTTTCTTCTGTGGAAAAAACAAAAAGGAGGAAAGAAAGAAAATTAATATTAGCCTCACATATTGCCATTGCTAATCTGTTAGCCTATTCAGCTGATATATCTTATAGCCCCTGTCCATCTTAAATTACTTCTTTTCATTATCCTTTGAATCAATTATCAGGTGGACAGGTTCAGGTATTTAGATACGTGAGGACCTTGTGTTGCACACAAATGACAAGCTACAAATACCTGATTTACAGCAGAAGCAAAACGAACAGAAAAGTCATCATGCTCCGCACGAATAGCTTCAATGTGATTCACAATCAGATAATGCCTCTGAAACGTGATTAAATTAAGGCTTACCAAGTAAACAACGAAATTGGTTGCATCAAAAGGCTATTTGTTTTTACGGGGAGACGTGCATTAGGAAACTGGAGTTCAAATAAAGTCGGAAAAATATACCATGAGAAAGAAGTTTGCATTGTCCCAATAATAATTTTGGCTACGAAAGCCCATTTGTTTAGGAATGATATTTAGTTCTCAAGCACGAAGAACTCCAGTTATCCAGTTCTGAAGCATGAAGAAAGCGCATTTCATGTATCCTAGAATTTTGGCGTAGTCTAGATGTCCAATGGATACCATGATATACAAAGACAACTTAAAAAACCAATCAAAAGGATGAAAAGGAAAAAAGAATAAAAATAAAAATAATTAATTATGACTTGAAATGAAGGATAAATCTACCCCACAGGTCAAATTTCAAATTGTGAAATACAGGTCACCATTGTCCAATCCTCATTATCTAATGATACTGCCGAGCTAGGTTCAATGAAATCTTTGTCTTGCAGAGAGGTAGGTGATTACTTGAACTAAAGTTTGAGGGAAGGGCGGAAGGCAAGCGGATCTTGAATCAAAGAGTTCCTGTACGGCAAGCAAAGGTTTATCGGGGAATTTCCCATCTTCGTAGGAGTTTTCCAAAGAAATAGCTTAGTTTTATTAAATACCTTTGTTTCATCTCTCAATAAACAATCAACATTCAGCAACATTCAAGCGAAAGAACCACATTGGCTAATGTAACATCACTACATACATCATTAACAGGCAGACATGTGAAACACTTTATTGTTTTACGAGTTTTAGGACTATATGCCCCATTTTGAGTGGAACTGCGCCTAGAATAGAAAATAAATGCATCATAGAAGATTCTCACCGCAATGAGCAAAAAAAGATGAAAACTGGGCAGAATCGATGATACAAATAAACTACATCATCCAAAAGGATATTCCTGTATCTCCCGAGGAGGAAGTTCATGTGGGGCTGGGAGAGCAAGTAGCCGCGTTTGGCTTGAAAAATTCGGGAAGTACATTGACAGTTCCTTCAGGATTGACGCAGGAGAAAGATGCAGATCTGAAAATGCAGGGATAACAGGATTATTCTGCAAAGAAGCCAAAAAAATGTTAATATGCATTCCATGGCATAAATGGGAGACAGTGAAATGCAGATAATATAATATGAAAGAACAGTACAGAATGTTAGACTATTTTCATGAATGACGTAATCATACCTTAAAGATGCTTATCAGACGATTGATTTTCACTCTTTTGTATAGCGACTCGCTATCTTTTTCTGACGAAGTTGACAAAACTACAAGAACAGGCAAAACACGAAGTAGAGTATGCCGTTCTGGAAAGAGCAGTGCAAATTCCAACTCCAATGATTCAACACAAAACGCCACAAGAACTTGAAGAATATCCTCAATACTGACATCAAATCAAGGACAAAGTTTCCACTATCCACGTGATTCCAAATTATTTGAATTTTTACTTTAAAAGCATCTCTGTGAAATTAAAGGAATAATTCTAAATACAAAATATAATCCGCTTACTGGTACACATACGCATATCCATCTGTGGAAGAAAGGTACTAACAGAACCTGACCAGTCCAAAGTTGAATTAAGACGTGTTGCCACTCCTCCATAAGGAAAAATCTCTTCATTTTCCCCGGAAAGTGAACATAGACAGCATTCTCAGGGAGAATCAGAAGACCGCATCAAATGTAAGAAATATGCAAGCCTGGATCCCATTCCCATGCCAATCAACCCCCCCCCTCCCTCCAAGAACCAAGAAGATAAGAACAGAAGTAGGGTGAAGTGAAGAACAGAGAGGGGGCCGGGGGGTGGGGAGAAAGAGAGAGAGCTGAGAGGGGACAGAACAAGAATGACAACTGGTAACTGTTAGAGATGGAGAGAATTAAAGGAGAAGAAAAAAGATAAGATAAGAAGATAATGAGACAGCAGGTTTGAATGGTGTCTCTATGAAATAGAGAGAGATTGTGTAGGACTCCCTAGTAGGAGATCAAACAGAAGGAACACCGGCAGTCCCAAAGGCCAAAGGATGAGCAAGTGTGATCATGAGAACTCAGAAAAACGGAGAGATGGAAAAGAAGGAACTGAAGTAATCAAGTGACTTTAACATTGAAAAATTAACAGACGGCAAATAGTTGTACCACTGACAGTCAGCCCAACTGTTCCCCCCTTCTCCAGAGTTGTTTGCTATGCCCTGCCAAATTCGTCACCTGCCAATGTGCCTTATCTTGTTCCACATAGGTGATGTCTCATCTCCAGGTGAGTTCACCCCTCACAAACAATAGGGAAGTTTCAGAATCACTAGGAAAATGAATGGAAAATATCTCATCCTCTAGGCTCTGATCTTTTCTCCGGAAGATCGGACTGTCTTAGTAGCTCAATCCGAGCAACATGCAAATTAGTAAACATTGCAGACTCTTTTCTTCTTCAATCCCTTTCGTAGATGCTAATGACCAACTGTCCTTGAATTGATTTGCTCAGTACAAGTTGAATTTGATGGTAAGCTCGAACCCACTGCCTGACAAAACATTTCCAGCAACACTTAACTCCAGGTTCCAACAAGAAGCCATCAGCGATTACCATTAACAACGTCTTGCATTCTCTCTATCATGGTGGAATCCAATATAATACTGGTAACGTTTCCCAAAATTTTAGTAAGGCCATATCATGTATTTCAATGTTTATCTACATTGAACCTACCTATGTGATCATATAAGATAGTCTTGCACAAAAAAAACATGTATCAAGCATTAAACAACTTCTAAATGCATCCATTTAAGGGGGATATGTCAAACGACAATTTTTATCAGAGAGTCACTCATTGACACCAAAAAAAATTATTCTAAGATAGAGGATACGCATTTGTTCTGAACATCTCAGCATGCAGGTTCATCAAGATAACCCATCTGGTGCTTAGAAAGATCTGTAAAGCGAACGTATGAAATTATAATAAGATTCAATTCAGTTGATTAAAATGTTATCCATCATAATAAGATAATATGAAATTAGCCAAGAAATTTCTATGAGACCATTGCCAAAAGCTATCAAGCCGCATACCTGCAAATTATCCAACTCTTCACGCATTGAATCAATATCCTGCCACTGAATACTGACCTGGGTAAACGTTCTGGAAAAGAATGAAGCCAGTCAGAATAAACTATAACTAATGTCATTGATAAGTTATATGTAGTATTATAAAAGAATGCCAGCATTATATGAGAATTAACAAGTTACTGTCTGTAGTACTCAAAATAAGGTATATGGAAGCATAAAGCAGACTTCCTTCTGGAGTGGGTCTACAGCAGTCCATTGGTTAGATGGGAAAGAACTTGTGGGAGCAAGGAGAGAGGAGTGAAATTGCTTCATGTTCTTGTGTATTGATAATAAAAATACTAGGAAACGCACTTTTTCTTTTAATGACTGGGGCCTAGAGTCAACTGTAGGTCACATCAGATGGTAAAGGATTAGAAAAGAGCTGGGGAATTGTACCTTTTATACCAAGAAAAGTCATTAGGTATGCTTGCCTTTGCGTTCTTAAGGTGGTCAAGTTGCACCAAAACATCAAGCAACTTTAAGATCGACCTGAGTAAGACAATGATTGAAAGCAATCTAGTCAAGCACCCGTCCAATGATCTACAATTCGAAATGCATAGGAATCCAGTATTCATGAAAAAGAACATTTGATAAAAGAAACAGCATTTGGGTACAAACAAAGGAGAATACGCGATTTGTCCTTGAGAACGATGCCAACAGCCCACCACCATAGATCATACACCACAACTCTCAACGATCTCATCCCAGTTTCAGTGCCCAACATTTACCTCAATTATGTGCACATTTAGACTACTTTCACACTCAAATTCTCCTTCAGTTACATAATAGTCATCATAAGCCTCATTCCATCAGCTAGTCCTCAGCTACATCCAATTGCAGGACCAACGATTTGAAATTTTTTTAAGAGACTCCACCTTTATATCAACCATGCACTAGATAGTCCAAAGAACTAAGCAACTTAATTAAGATAAGATAGGTCTCGCAAAAGTTCCATCTGAACTGTAGACACGTGCGAAATTGCAAATACCCATTTTATGTCACGGTTTTCCTCACTACATAGTACGAAACTTCACAGAAAACTCTTCATTAAGGTAATAAGAAATTCACAAAAGGAAAACTCACCCTCCTTATTGGAAGCACTAAAGTTAAAAGATTAAGTTTCATGCCTCTCTATCAACAAAATATTTGACAAAAATGTCCCTCATCTAAAGCAGAAAAGACCCAGAATTGGTACCAAAACAGAAACAGAATGCCCACTGCGGGAGAGCTCTCTTGTTGTTGGAACTATTAAACCAATCATAAGTAGACATTTTTCCAGGAAAAAAGGATCCTCATAAAAAAAATTAATTAATTAGGCACCACGGTAAGATTCTCACCGGAGATATTCCGGAGATATTACGGATTGTCACAAGAGAAGAGGATTAGGAAACATACCAAAAATGTGTAATTGTCGGCCCATTTATAAGGCGTTCTGGCCTTGAAAATCTTTGCAAGTCGGCAGCTAGCTGCATTACATGGATTATTGCTCAATACAGATTTCTCATACCAGTGATTAGAAGCGAAAGGAACAAGTAGAAACGTCTCAGCACCAGGGTTGAAATCTAATGAGTGATATCAAGAGAAATAATGATTTGCTATTAGTAACTATTTGATGTCATTTCTAACAGCACAAGTTAGATTAGATAAGGTGAAGGAATGAGGTAAACCTGTGCTTACTGAAATCCTGTAAGTTACTGACGGTGAAACATAATACCATATTCGAATCATAACAAGGCAATTCTTCCTCTCATGGTTCTGATGTGAAAATTAGATTGAGATTATCCTTTATGAAAGCATCATTATTTCTGCAAGAGTTTTCAAGCTGGTAAAGGAAGACCAAAAAGGACTTCAATGCAATTGGTGAAAGGCAACGAAATATGATATGTTGAGAGTCCAAAACAAATACGATGGGAGGAATCGTGGGATGGAGCACACGCATATTCCAAATCCATTTAGTCGGAACTTGTGTATAACGTTAACGAAATTTATCTAGTTTGTCTTGTTAGACATTTAGTAAGCCTTCAATGATAACCTCTAAGGCTGTACATTTAATGAGCCCAATTCCACTAATAAGTAAGTAGAGATGGTATCATAAAATCATACCGCACGTTTTCATGGGATAAACATTTTATGCATAAGTTCTTGCCATCTCCAAATTTCAGGGTACATTTATCCATGTCGTCCATGAAGCCACAATCACACCATTTACCACCCAAGAATCACCACTGATGTCCTCCAAAGAAAGTTCCTTGCACAAAGGTATATCCGTTCTCCCAACATTATCATTCAATATCTTCATCTAACTTATTGCACATAACCATCGATGTTGGCTACAATCTTATCCACAATGATCTCATCCAGAAAGTATAGTATATTTCATGTACAGTTCTTCCATATTTTCTATTTTTTTTCATCTTTTAGGCCCATGTACTTGTATACAAGTATGCCAATATTATGAAAGGGATAACTTTCAGGTTCTCTCTAGCATCACTGTGTAATAATATATTGCTTTAAAATACTTGGTCATCAAAAACATACATCCCACGTTCATAAAGATTAGCCATCTTGGATTCAATATGTCATTTCACGCGAGTATTTCCAAGTTGCGGGAAAAACGTAAGACAAGGTTGGTTAGGTTGTTGGTCGGTTTCATAATTTGGTTAGGCCGTTGGTCAGTATCCTATGTTAGTTAGGTTGTTGGTCTGTTTCGTAATGTTAGTCGGTTTTCTCATTTAGTTAGAGTGTTGGTCAGTTTCCTAAGTTGGTTAAGTATCCATAGAACGTGGGATTCAAAGCATTTGCTCTATGAATTGGTTAAGTCTGGTTTGCGTCAGTACTTATAAGAATCGTCTCTATGTAGCCATGAGTGTAGCGCTCAAAGCAAATAAAGAACTCTTTATCTTGAATCCAAAGCATCATTGACTTTTGGTCATATTTGAAGCTGAAGCAAGTGTCAGCAGAGATCATTTGACATTGTCCAATGGCAAATCAGATATTGTACAAAGAAGCAGTTTATGATGATAAATGAAGATACTGTAGACAATGCCAAAAGCTAACCAGACCTCTGACAAGCGAAACTACAAAGGATTGATTTTACTTACACATTCTGGACTAACGAGAAAACTCATATTTGCAAGGTTCTAGTTTTCTATTTGCAAGATGTTAACCTTACATCCTCTCAACACTAGAACCAATTAAGAAAAGTTCCATGTTAGGTGGATATTATTGAGCTAGTAGATGACATTGTGGAAGCTTCTGGCTCGTTGATCATTTCATGTATATTTTATGCTTTCATACTGATGAAAGATAGTATGCATGACATATTATTAACCAAAATAGTATGCTGAAGCTATTCCTCAAACATTAAATAAGAGCAAACATAACAAGCCATCAATTACCATAAAATTCTATGGATCAAGGATAAAATAACAAAACTGTATACACTAAAAATGCACCTTAGATACAGCAGAAGCTTGCCACTGCTGAATTTCACGTAAACGGCTCATTTCCAAATCAAGGACTTGATAAGTCTCTAGATATAAGTCTGCCTGCTTGTGCTTCATAGAATCTGGAAGCTGCAACATTACAAACCAATATTTGATTTATATTACATACATTGCCCCATGAATAAAATAGTTGAATGAGAGGATCTGCCATAATCTCCTTAGAGATAGAAACTTAGATTTTGACGGAGCTTAGGCTCATTCAACTAGAAAGTAATATCTTACGTTTCCTCAGAAGCAATGATAAAATATTTAGAAACTCTGACTTTTCTCCGCTAATATCTTCTCGTTAAAGCTGTCTGCGCCAACCTGATAAGCGATTTGGTTGGCTACAAAACTCATCTCAGAGAGCACGAGTTGAAACCTATGATCCTCGGGACATTGTCAAGTACCAGATATGGTAATTATTTCAAAGATGAGACTCAAAGGCCGAGGGGGAAATATATACCTAAATAACTACTCGTGTATAAACGAAAACAAAACCAAATCATTCCCAAAGCTGCATAACAATCCGATGTTAACTTTTATAAAATTCTGAAACTATACATTTAGAAGTTTTAACTTGATTAACATGATATTTATTGGAATTCCAATACATAAATCCTGAATCAAAAAGGGCTAACACATCTAACAAAAGCTTCCCATAAGCCAAGGAATTAAAAATAACTTTTTAGAATCAAATATTGGAATTAAAAAGACTGAAAATGAGGCAATACTGAAATAGCAAGGATGGCATCGCATGTAAAGACATTATCTTTATGACTTACTCGATGCCAGTAAGGTAATCACTGATATTCCGAAGAAAGGAGACAAAACATGATAAGGGGAATATGCGGCATTTCAAACACTATATAATAGAATTTATCTCAGCGAAAAGAAGTAGAAACGAAAGCTGATACATTGAACTCGCCAATTTATGAGTAAGAGATGGATATTATTGAAAAGGAATCACTTTGAAAATGAGGATGTTTCCGTATGTAGAGAATCTGTGATTCAAGGGAGATATCAAGCAACATCTAAAAAACCCTAGCTTTTGAGATAGAGGAGAGAATTGATGGAGCAACACCCAAAAAACACAGGTGTTGATGATAGAGTTTATTCTTTTTTCACACCATCACACCACTAAGGGTAATATTATAATGATTTCAACAGTACAGGTTTGGTGGGCCCAATGTGGCTCCAAGATCTAAAAGGCCCAGCCAACCGAACAACAAGGAAAAGTCATAACTACAATATGGTTAACTTTTTGCAGTTGCAAGGTATCTTTAAGATCTTAGCAGAAACAAAGATAAAGCAATTCTAAGCATTTATGTACAAAAGTTATGAAAACGAAATGTTCTGACAAAAGTGTACAGCTTCGAAATCAGAAAAAACTCCAATCACTTCTGCAAATATTATTGTTGCATTCATCAGTAAACTTAACTTGAGGCAGGGCCTTGACACAGCTGCGATATGTATACAACACAGATGCCATCTCCTTGCCTTCTTGAACTAGGGTGTTCTACATGTGATGAAGACAAAGCATTTAAGATATACTACAAGATCGTGAAATATTTTTGAACAAATTATTAGGCATATTTACCATGCTCAATAGAGAACGGATGGACAAAACAAAATTGGCAATCAAACTAACAATTTGCACCTGGGATATGATTATGAGTGTATTTAAATATAAATACCTCTAAAAATTAGAACAACATTATTCCTGGAAGTTAGATACTGTGGCATTCTGTAATATATCATTTAGTCCTTTGTCTCGAGCTGTTACTGTTGACTAAGTTAACTTTGGCTCAGGATGGCAGTATTCACAGATGTTAAAAAATCCATGAATATACGTGACTAAGATATGTATCTCCTTACACTGTGCCACATTCTGCATCGATGTCTGGGCAGGGTCTGTGCACAAAATAGTTCAAACTTGGTAAATTATCCAACACTGGGCATCTCGGTCCTTGAGATTAAAAAATTGTCACATTAGTCTATTGGGCACATGGAATAGCTGTATCTCTTAGAATAGAGGAAACGTTTCAAAAAGATTATTTGCTAAAAGAACCAAGCTTACCTTCCTTTTTTTGCAAAGGTCTAGCTTTCAACTGGTTGTTATTCGTTTTGAAAGGGAATTTTCAAAATCTTATTTGAAAAGCAAGTATCTAGCTTTCCCCATTATGATGTTGCAGTTTAGTGGTTGTGTGAAGGAGAGGCCTTGGTACGTTCAACCATCATTGAATTCATAATTTTCATCCTTCATCACTCCCGCTTAAACACCCATTATTTGCAACTGCGAGTCAACACGGATGGAAGAAGACCACCAGAAAGGCCTTTTAACCTAAGGTTAATGATAGAAGACAGTCTTAGTGACAACAACGGAGTCATTTCCTTCCCTCTTCAACATTCTGGGGATGGCTTCAAATCCTCCAGACAATGTCAGAGCCAGAGATGGCGATAATGGAACTGCACAATTTTTTGTACAAATTTTACAATGTCAGTAGCTGTTAGAACATTTTGAAGAATTTACCAAGAATCCTCTGCTTTCTCACAGGTTATGAATAAACCCAACAATTTATAACCTATGAATGATTTTAGGAGTGAAACAAACATTAGTCGGATTTGATAGTCAATGCCTAACTAAGCAAGATTACGTGTCAAAAGCTAAAATTACAAAATTCATGAGTTGCCGAGATTTTCCAAGAAATAATTCCATAGTCAATCATTCAACTCAAAGGCGTTGACATGGCAAAAGAACGGGAACTTTTCCTACTCAGTTCTCATTGCTTTTTCAGGGGAAAAAAAAATAGCAATGTGATTAACCCAATCGGTCACCCTGTAAATCTTGGAGTTCCGCCTTTTATCATGAACATATTCTTCATCAAAAAAATATCCAGAATGCCATACTCTTTCATATAATAACTAAGGAATCCCATCATTAGCTAACTCTTTGGACAAAGATAAGTGGAAAAATATGTTAAACTTGGTAAACAAAATGCAGCGTGCTAGCTAAATAAAAGAGAAAGTTAAGCCACCAGCTGATTAATAGACTTTGTGTCTTCTCCCAATGATAGTCGATATGCAGATACATCACCATATTCTGCAGAAGAAATATTTTGAATGAATAAGAATAATAATAGACGCAAGGATAATTATAGATAACAAGTTTAGACTTTGTTTTCCATTTAGAAGTTGGCGTCAAAGTACGACATATTCTTTTAATAGAACAAGATACCCGTTTAATAATCAAATATTATTTGACACAACTCAGTAATGATAAAAAAAAATGTCAACTGACACCTCATCTGCAGAACCTTCATTGGCCGAAAGTAATTTTCAGAGAGATAAAACTATTAAAATTTCAAGAAAAGTATTTTTCTATTCCAGAAAAGCGATTTTTAACCTGTTATAAACATTGAATCAACCTTATTAACCATTTTCATTTCTTACTATAGGAAGATGAACTCTTGCTTTACTGGCCGAAAGCTACACTATTCTTCCACGTATCTGGTGAACTGCAGGCAACAAATAAGCAACTAACCGAACACTAGAGGAAGGGATATATATACTATCCAGATGAGCTCAATCAAACAGTAACAACTTTTAATCAATTAGTAACTTACCAATTGGACTGCTAGTTGCACATCTTTCAGTGGAAAGTAAGACAGTAAGCCCTTGCAGGTCAGGCTGATCATCCTGAAAAACAAATGCCAACAAAAGTTACTTTTTTTTACGGATTATAGTTTTGGTATTGATGACAACCACGATAAAAAAATGAGTCCTAGATAAGTCCAAAGTTCACATAGAACAGCCTACAAGTTTAACATGGTAAGAAGAAAATATTCTTGAAATAAAACATAGGCAGTTACAGATTTTGCTGTGACCACGAACATAATATGAAGAACTACAATAAAGAGACTGCAAAAAGCTAGAAACACTTCCGCCATCAAATCTTTCATTCTCCCAAATGTACACTACACAAAGATGTAATTGTCATTTTCATTATTCAGATCTAAAACTTATATGATAGCATGCTGTTCCACAATTCTCAGTTCGCAACAAGATATCTCACTTATCAATTTACGCACTCTTTAAGACAAGAACACCCTTGAGAGCACTTCTCTTTACAGAAATTCTGCTCCACATCAGCTCATGCAACTTCTGCCCAAGTCCGTTGCTCCTCGTTACAATGACCTTGGGGCTAATCCACATTTCCACCCTTGTAAATAATTTAGCTTATTTCAGGCATCTGACCTTGGGGCTAAGACCTCTAACGGAACTCCAGTATAATACAACGACCTGCGACCCAGAGTCCTGTTATTCACGTAAAATACAATCAAACCATAAAATGATACAATGACCCAGGGTCCTACCGCTCAACACGGTGCGAAATACCATTTCCCCAGTTATTTCTGCTCACGTTATTTATCGCGGAGTCGTTGGGGTTCTTTTGTCGTGACTTTAACTAACAGCAAGATTGCGAAGCATGAGAGTCTGACAACCATTCGGAAATATTGATGCCGATACCCTTGTCGAGTTTGGTAGCACAACAGCCAGAAATGTATGCTAATGGCACGCGATGTGCCCTTTTTAAGTCATTCGGTAATCATCGAGCCTAAAAACAAGTAGTGAAAGCAATAACCAAAGTTCTGAGACAGTACTTCAGAGACTGCGAACTTTCGAAGCAATGCAGTGGCTTCCCCACCAGATAGTAACAGAAGACTCGCATCAACAACCAAGATCGAGCAAAAGAATCTCCCCAGACACGAAGCACAGACGCAACACGGTTTTAGATTCAAAAAACACAACCGTACGACTCGGCGAGTTGAGATCCCGAGAATTCGCCTGAAGCTACGGTGAAGAGCGAGAAAATCAACACAATGATCGAATTGGCAAGGTATCCGACGGGAGTAAATTTAAATAAGCTGGAAGACGTCGAATTGCGAGGTAGGATCTCCCGACGCGTACCTCGAGCGAGAACGTCGACAACGCCGCAATGGCCTCCTCCACTGGGACAGACATGGCAGCGGTTCTGCCTGCAGCCGTTTCCTCGCCCTTCTTCTCACCCTTGGCGGGGGCGGGGGGGGTGGTGGTGTGGGGGCGCAAGTCTACTGGCCAAGCGAGCGAGCAGAACTGAGTTGAAAGTAATTGACCCTGCTTGGAAGGTTACGTCACCTCCTCTTCTGATGTAAAACAATAATATGCCACTATGTGCGTCTCGCGTTACACTCCCCGCTACGTCCATCCAGTATCTTGCTTCCACGTTGATATTGCGTGGATCACCAAAAGTACCTTCGACCGATTTAACTCGTATCATAATCTGTGCCCAGTTTGTCTGGTATTATCATTATAGCCACCAGAGTGGGCGTTGACACATATTTTGTGTTGATTTTTATTTAATAAATTTAGAAAAATAAATAAAATGTATGATTTGTATATACTAGATTGGTCCTAAAAACAAGAGCTAGAGTATTCTAAGAGGAAATTGGAGCGACGCACGAGGACCAGATCGGACTGGCCGGACGACAACCGGACTAGAAGGGGAATACGATAGTGATTCCTGATCCGCGTGTCAGCTGACCGCGATCGTCTCTAATCTACAGTTCGGAGACTGCAGCGCCTCTGCTAGCTGCAGAGTCCTGGGCCGGCGAGGGAGCGCTCGAGAATGGCGGAGAGTCTCGGCAACGTGGCGGGGGCGAGCGCTGCCTTCCGCCCCATTCTGAATAGGGTCAGGTGCTTCAACGGATTGCAGAGCTTCACCACCCCCTCGAATACTCTCCTCGTCCGTCCCCTCCGTTCCCTTGGCTACGGCTATGTCGTCGGTGGAGGAATCAGCAGCTGCGGAGATGGCCGGAGTGGATTGTTATCCGTGAGATCTACGTCTTCATCCTCGTCTTCGTTCGGATCCCGAATGGAGGAGACTGTCAAGAAGACGATCGACGAAAATCCAGTTGTCGTATACTCGAAGACGTGGTGCTCGTGAGTGTCTGTCCCCATCGAACTCAATTTTGGCTAATTAGAGTGATTTCAATGAGTCGTTTCAAAATTTCACGTGCCTTATTATTCGAGAACTATTTATTGCGCGAAGGTATTCAATGGAGGTGAAGGCTTTGTTCAAGAGACTCGGTGTCGAACCGCTAGTAATCGAATTGGATGAACTTGGTGAGGTTCCTCTCACCCTTGTTTGTTTCTCATCCAATCAACTTTTCTCCTTCTCTTCAGTCGTGGATAAGTGACTCCTTCTGACTGGTTTGACTGCTGCCAACGTCCTCGACTGACATGTGCAAGAGATAGATTTCTCTCCTTCGTGGAAAGTTTCAAAACACATACGACAGCAGTTGGTTGGAGACAAATATTCGAATGTCGTTAGATCTTAATTTCTTAAAATCAGTTTTCTGTTTCTTGAAAACTTATTGGAAACAGTTCTGTTTGCGATTATTGAATGACGGTAGCATCCTATTTCTTTTAGCTTCTTAAACGGTTAGAATCTTAAGCAGGTTTCAATCAGTGGATTGATGCTCGTTTTTTATCGATTGACCCATCTAAACAGGAATTACGTTTTACCAAAGTTTACCTTTTTCCTGAAAGAGAAATATACGTCAAATCTACTGCTTCTTTTCCGTCTTTTGCCTCTTAAAATCTGTTATCGCTTTATACTTGATCTAGTTTCTCAGGGCACTGTTGTAACCTACATTTTTACTACTTAGCCAAATGACATCATTATAAACTTGGACGATTTTTTTGCCTTTCTTCGTTTGGTTAAATGAGAGAATCATGAATCTGATTCATATGATATACTTCGATGAACTTGCAATGAAATTTTTATCGTCCACATGTAGCACGAAGGTTGCAAACCAGTGCACTTCAATCTCTCATTTACCTAGTCGTTTTGACATATATGCTCAAGAATGCATATTGGTCACTTTGTTGCAACATTGAAAAGAAATTTGACTGGCCCCTCTGTTCAACCATCCTCTAAACGAGTGAAGCTATGCCTGGTGATAGTGATCTCATACGAATGTATACATCAATTGGTGCATTTGCATGCACATAATTGATGCTCTCGTATAATCTATGCTCATTTTTTTCTCACTTGAGCTAGTATTGCTGAGTCTCGTTATAGTATTTTCGTTTGTAAATAAAGATGATATTAGTAGGTTCTATTCACTTCCTTAATGATGAAAGGTTGAGAAAATAAAAAGGGATAAATAAGTCGTTTGCCAGCTGTCTCTTGGGAAAATTAGGGTCATATGCCAGATCAAAAGAGATTCTTATGAACGTTTCTTCTTAAGCTTCTATCTGTTAATGCAACTATATGAAACTCTAGAAGTAGCAAATCCTTCTTGTGAAAGGGTAAACTGTAGGTTATTAAATCAGTAACATTATCTACACTTGTACAAGTTACTCTATGAGACAGACCGCAGGATTGTCCCTGGCATTGGTCAGGTCAGAGACCAAACTGACCAAGCTGACCTATGAGTTGTCACATTTTTTTATAAATGCTTTATTTCTCGAACAAATGGGATGGTATAACGTCCATCAGGTGAGTAGTTACTTGAGTTTGTAATGTAGCGATCTTTTGCCCCTTTTCAGGTCCCCAAGGGCCACAACTTCAGAAGGTTTTGGAGAGGCTCACTGGACAATTTACTGTCCCAAATGTTTTCATTGGTATGTAGCGATGTTTTATCTTCCCACGCTACATCCTTTCATCATGCAGTTTAATAACTGTAGTTAGTGATTCCAATGCAATTTAATAACTGTAGGCACTTGTCTGTAAAGCCGATACGAAGAAATTTATTATTTAAACCAGCTGAAGACAGTTGCGTAAAATATTGCCTGTTGGCTATGAAATGAACATTGTACTGGAATATGGGATAAAAGAGGAAAAAAAATTAAAAGAACATACAGAAAAAATGTGCGAGATATGGCATGCTAATCAGAGTCGCCATCTGCATTGGTGCAATGTCCTGGCGTTGTTAGCTTAGACGGGAGTGTCTGGATGATAGCCTGTCACAGTAAGTTTGTTAAGACTGGCACGCAGAGATGGGCTGAAAAATTGTTGAACTGTAAAAGAGTTTGATTATGAGGGAAGGAGAAAAATGATAGCAGAACCCAGGTTGATAGCGAACTCCATTACTCGGTCACACCTTGGGAACAGGAGATGGGCTGATAGGTTAACTGCAGAAACTCACACTCTACCTACATTTCTTTAGAGTTTTATATATAATTAGGTACCCTGCCCGGGTTTCAAAAGGAGGCAGAGTGGTAAGCCCTGCATTCTTTCCCAAACATCTATAAATGCTTTTCGTTTTTTTAGTCAACTGATGTCCGGAATGCCAGTGAATCATCGTGTTCACGAGAGGACTATCGCACATGGTACCGACAGGCAATTCCTATATATTCTGGCCTCGATTCTTGATTTGTTCCATATTTATCCAGAAATCAGTAGGTTTTGGCCGTGCAGGATCATTTAGAGCGGCCAATCAGCTATATCTGGTAAAACGATACCAGCATCATCCACAAAGCTGAACATCAAGAAAAAGTGGCACCCAATTTTGTTCATATCACCTATGGTCAACCCTCCCTGTGCTATCATTTTATTTCTTAAATTGGCATACCGCTCTATTCTTCCCATGCCCCTAGTTTACTTGCCACAATGCATCTGGTTATACATTCAGTCGCTGATTCCTTGCTTCTTCTTCTAAACAGGAGGCAAGCATATCGGCGGTTGTACAGGTACTCACTATTTATTTTACTTTTCTCATATAAAAAACGAAAGTCTACCGTAATTCAATTCGAAGAAAATTTATTTCTTCGGCATTTTGGCCCGTGATTTTTGGTGCAGACACCGTGAAGCTCCACCACAAGGGGGAACTCACGGTCTTGCTCTCCGAGGCGGTCGGCGGTCAGAGCCTGCAGCAACCATGAGAGCACCTCCCTCCTGCCCACGAGAGCTGCCTGCCTCATTTCATTCATCTCCACGCTGTACGGCGGATCCTTCCTCCCTTGTTCCTCCCAGCCAAGGTACTCGCATTCTTGTGTGGCTTTCGTCAAATAACGTCCCCGAACAAGGTTGGTTGGTTTCGAAGCCCGAGTCGACACCCATTTTCAGAACGTAGGAGGATCATGGGATTCGCACAGGGTAGCGTTGAAAAGAGTCCACGGCGGAAGGAGGAAATTTTACAGATCCCAGAAAGTAGGACTAACAGAATTTCATACAGACTGGTAGGGGAGGAAGCCCCCACTGGCCTCCGCCTGAGATGAGCGGAGCGGAGCTCACTTCACCTCCTGGATCTCGTCCAGCGAATAGTTGTTCGTGGACACGTTGGCGTAGTTGACCTTGTTGAAGCGGACCACGACCGGGTAGCGAGACTTGGGGTCCTGGAGCTCACAGCATTTTGCCGGCGGCAGTCAGCGATCTCAGCGCGAGCGGCGGAGGGGGAAGAAGAGAGAGAGAGAGAGAGAGCTCACCTGGTCGACGGCGACGACCGACCCGACGCCGTTGAACCAGTAGGACTCCCTCCTGAGGATCTTCACCTACGGCGACGGAGCAGAACAAGAAAAGGAAAGTAATTAATTAGATGCAGCTCCTTCGCCCGCGGCGGAGAGGGCAGGGGCGGCGCCGTACCTGGGTGCCCCTCTTGGGCCCGATTGGCGGAGGATTGGCGGCGGCCGCTGCTTCCTGGGTGGCCGCGACGACGAGGCTTCTCCTCCGCTGCCCGGCGAGGCGATCGGAGCTGCGGGAGACGCCACCGGCGGAGGGCCGGCAGAGGAAGGCAGAGGCCGCAGATGCCACTGCGGAGGCGGTCGCCATGGAACGCAGTCGAATCGGGCAGGAAGTGGTGAGTTGTGATGATTTAGGAAGGGAGCGGAAGGAAGGGGAAGGCCTTCCTCATATCGAAGATCGAATTTCATTCCAGCCATTCCAGTGCTGCCACGTGGATGCCTATCCGCAACCCTCGCGATAATTCACTCCGTGGTTTTTCTGATAGGGGCCTAAAAATAAAAATAATTAAAGAAGAATAAAAAGTTTGCTGAGTGTCGCGCCAGAAGAGCGACTCGGCCTTCCGTGCATCATTGTGCCCTGAGTCAACCCAAGATATACACCGATTCGCGAGTGGGTCCCGGATCCGAATCGAGACTCACTACGATTCCGACTTACACCCGAAGTCTCGCACGGGAGGGCCAGTACTGAAACAGCTACTGCTCGAACACAGTACGATACATACCGCACCTCAGCCCATTTCATACGTTTCCACGAGGGGAGCAGCAATCTCTGGGGGGGGTAGTCGCACCCACTCCTTTGTATCGGGATAGTAGAGGAGCGCCGACGTAGCACTCTATGCACATCGATGTGTAACAGAGAAGGAACGGAGCCGTTGCGACTGGCCTAATCCTTAAACCCTGGTCATTCTCCTCCCTCCCGAGAACTCCAAGAACCAACTGCTCAGTCTCTCGTCCCTCTTCCCTTATCCTTTCGCTTCCTTCCCCCCCCCCCCCCGCCCCTGGTCTGCGGGCGGACAAGAAGGAGAGGGAAATGGCGCTCCCTTTACCGTCCGCCTCGGAATTCCCCCACCATGTTCTGCCTACGGCGGCCCACAGGGTGCGGTCGTCCCGCGTTAGCATGGCCGTAGGCACGCCCGAGAGGAAAACGAGGAGGAAGAAGCAGACGAAGGAAGACAACCCCTCCTCTTCTTACTCCTCTTCGTCCACCTACCCTTCCAGTTCTCAGGTTTCGGTGTTGGAGAAGAGCCTGAGGTTCACGTTTATGGAAGAGCTGATGGAGCGCGCCCGGGCTGGTGATGCGGCAGGTGTGTCGGAGGTGATCTATGACATGATCGCCGCGGGACTAAACCCCGGACCCCGCTCATTCCACGGCCTCATTGTCTCTCAAACGCTATCCGGTGATGACGAAGGGGCGGTAATGTCTCATGGTTTACGTGAAATTACGTTATTCTTTTAATTCGAAGTTACTCCCATAAAGTTCAGAGACTTCACATTCCTTTCACTGCCCCGATCTTGTATCGCCCAATATATCCGACGCACGTACTTGTGTAGTTACCTGAGACTTCAGCGATGCATTAGTCCACTAATCCTCGAGGGATCCTTGTGTCAATACATCATTCTTTCTCATAGAGCCGTTCTTTCTAGATCCTCTCCTCCATTTTCGGGATTTTTGGATTGTCTGGCCTGAACTAAGTTTTTTGTCTGCGAGTGAAATATCTCACTGAAAACAACCCAAAAAAAAAAAAGGTTTCGTGTGGAGGTTGCAGTAACGCTAGTTGAATACTCATTTTATACGTTATAATGATCTTTTCGCTCATCTGAGACGTGCTATGGAGGGGAGAGCAGGGACAGCTGAAACTCTTAATTCACTTTCTACCACACAGTTTCCTATAAGCTATACGTGAGGTGTTTAGGTCCTCTTGATCGTATTCATCCCATGTACTGATTTAGGAAATTTACTATTTCTTTGAGGAACACCAAATTGAACTTTTTGACAGGAGGATCTATTCTGGCAGGTAATCATTGTAATTTCGTCATATGTAGGACTGTCGAATGTATGTTTGAGAAACCTTAATATAGTCCTTGAATTGGGAAGTTTATTTATTGGGTCTCCATGTGCATACCTTAGACTTAGCAAAGATTGACTTTCTAATGAATACTACATTAATTTGCTTACATGTGAGTTTCAGAACATACTCATGCTGGAGTACTAAATGCAGATGCAGTCACTGAGAAGGGAATTGAGTGCAGGCTTACGTCCTACACATGAAACATTTGTTGCATTGATCCGGTTGTTTGGTTCTAAGGGCTATGCAACTAGGGGCTTAGAGATTCTCGCAGCAATGGAAAAGTTAAAGTTTGATATTCGACAAGCTTGGCTTGTGCTTGTTGGTGTGAAAATTTTCTATAGCTCTTCATTCAGAAGCTATTCTTTTCTTATTAATTTCCAACAACTAAAGAAATATTTATGGTGCTTTTAATTCAGAGGAGCTCGTCAAGAATAAGTACCTGGATGATGCCAATCAAGTATTTTTGAAAGGGGCCGAAGGAGGATTAAGGGCGACTGATGAATTGTATGATCTCTTAATTGAAGAAGACTGTAAAGCTGGGGATCATTCGAATGCTTTGACTATAGCATACGAAATGGAGGCTGCTGGAAGAATGGCAACCACATTTCATTTTAATTGTCTGCTTAGTGTACAGGTAAAAGCACCTTTTTTTGTCTTTAGTGAATGCATCAGTCTAGACATTGTGAAAAACACTGCCATTTTCTTTAAAATTGACGGCTGTTTAGTCTTTGGTCAACTACAATATGGAGACGGCCGGAATCATATTGTATTTTTATCTTTGTAATAGCAAGTAGGACAGGATTTACCATATTATCTCCCTGGCCTAAGCATACTGTAAACTGGTGAATTGCCTTTTAATCTTGTAACACAAGACTTCTGATGTTACGTCAGTTATGTTTATTTTTAAAATAAATTCCTTTCGTTAACCTATACTATTATAAATATACTTTTAAGCGAAATTCCTGAATCTCTAAGTAAATGTTGTCATGTTTTGACTTGTATTACAGCTTATTGGTATATTTTTACTTATTCAGATGCTATATTGGCCTAATGACATTGTTTGCGTTGTATTATTTTAGGCTACTTGCGGTATACCAGAGATTGCTTTCACAACATTCGAAAACATGGAATATGGAGGAGAAGGTTTTTTATTTTTTTCCCCATTCACTTGACTATCAACATTTAATTTGCCCATTCATCTGTTTTTTAAATCTATTCCTTTTGCTCCATACTTCTCTTTCGAATAAGATTCAGGGATCTTGATTTTGAAAGGAATTTTGTTAATGAAGGCATTACCATCTTTGGTTTTGTTTGGCTTCATTATAACTTGCGGATTTTACCGGTTTTTTGTTGTTCGTTTCTGTATTATAAGCAGTTGCTATTGCATTGAATTCTCTTGTTTTAATGGTTACATTGCTAGAATGGGAAAAGATTAATGGACTGTGAATATAAGCATTTGACCATGCAATGTAACGGAAAAAGTGAATCCAAAATATGGATTCATTGATGCATGAAACCATATAGACATTGTCCAAGTTCAGGGAAAAACATTCATGAAATTTGGTTATCCATGAGGATGGCGAATCAAAAGGATAGAATTTTTATTTGAACGTACCATGTATCTTAGAAATGAAATGTTAAAACAAAGACCTGGTTGCCCTCAATAAGGATCCGTAAATGCATGAGACTATGCTCTAGAATTATGTTATAGGCCTCTGAACAAGGTCCAACGATGGGTTGGCATAAGTCTTGAGGATAGAGTCCGTATTCATCCTTGACCCAGACATTCGTTAGTAGAGGACGTAATGCTTAAAACTGATAGTTTATAAATAAAGTGACCACTGAACAGAAAATGATGGATGGGACTGCAACTTTTCTCTTTTAGTTTGGCTAGTTGAGATTTGCATGGACTAGCTTGTACATGTTACTTGATTTGACGTATTCAGCTTGATCTTGTTTTTTCTCTTGAAGTAATGAAATATTATGCCATCCATTTTCGTGTCAAGAAGATGGTGGAATTTCTTCAGAAGTTCTTTGGGATACTTTCTTGTCTATGATTACTATTTGGAGGACTGGCTAGACCGCTGATACTTTACTTTCGCTCTAGTTATCTCTCCTTTCTTGTTGTGTTCCTCTGATAGAGGATCGTTGTTTCGTCAATGATTCTCTGTCATGCATTTTGAAAGATTCCAGTACTCATTCTGATTTGAAATTGAATCTTAAATCTAGATTTCGCGTTTGTGCTAGATGCGATTTTCTCTATAATCCTGATACGTATTTGTATGTTGTATTTTGGTAGGTTATATGAAACCAGATGCAGAGTCGTATAATTGGGTTATTCAGGCATACACTAGGGCTGAATCTTATGACAGGTAAAAAGGTTATGCATGAATGTATCTATCTAAGTTATTCCACCATTAAATTCTCATTGTTCTGTATTTGGGGCCTTCGCTATCTTTCTAATCGAACTTGAAAGGTGTGGTTGTTGAGTTTAGTTGATATGACAACTGAGATCTGATCGATGCTTATTGCTCAGTAGAACTCGTCATCTTGACATGCCTTTCTGTATGCTAAAATTGATAGTATGTTATTATTTTCAAGTCAGATATTTATTTTCGCAGAAGTGAAATTGAAGAAAAACTTGTGTCCTCCCTACACAATCCTACTCCCACACTTCGAGCAGGTGATATGCATACATTCACCAATCATGTCTTGGATTTCCGTATAAAACAAAAAGAGAATACTCAAACAAGATTTGTTCATCACGCAATTGCCTATGAAATTAAAAAAGTAAAGTCAGCGGCTCATATTTTAAAACGGAGGTTATACCTTATCTAGACAGGAAGTGATGCTATTGCCTTTTTATAAAAAAGTAAAGTCAGTGGCTCACACAATTGCCTTTTTATGACTTCAATTTCTGTTTTTTGTGGTACCTTCATGCAATGAAGCCTGAGAAAGGTTTGGCTGCTTTCAATTAAGATAAAGGCGCTTAAATCCTTGTAGGTTCATTATCTGAAGTATGTTCATTCAGATGTTGCGGAATGACATAAAGTAAAACCCATAATAATCCTGATACTATTGGTATATTTAAACATATTCACCCTGTACCCCCGAAATAAGTTATATCGTAAATTATTCCTAAGATATGCTCAATAATGCAAAAGGAGGATATGGTTTCATTGTTTGCAGACAGCCATGATTTCTATGGAAAATGGATGAGATCACCTTGGAGCCATAATGTTGATGATGCTGTTTTAAAAAGTAATCATCATCAATTGTCGAATACTATTGAGGTCAAAAGCATGCATAATTTTATATTCCGTTTTTTCAAGTTGAATAGAACAACAATTCATTTTGTAATTTTTGAATTTCTCCTTTAAGATTTTATGTTCAAGACAGTTATGTCACTGTCTGGTCCAGCCAACTTGCGATAAAAGTAGGGGTCGGTGGTGCAACCAAATTGCAAAATTTCTTGGGCCAGTGGTGGAAATACGAATAAATGTCCTGTACTTATCTGTTGATTAGTTTATATAGGTGAGAAATAAAGAAAAGGGTTGTTATGTGGAGAAAGTTTACCTGAGTATGGAATTGCTGTATGTTTGTTTATTGTTCTACTTTTAATGGTACAAAGACATTATATTTATTTTATTTGTCCTTTATTTGGGTTTAATGTCCAGAGTGCAGGATGTCACTGAATTACTTGGAATGATGGTCGAAGATCACAGGCGTATACAGCCCAATGTGAAGACTTATGCGTAAGAAAAGTTGCTTTCAGAAAATACGTGCTTTCTTTAAGTTCAGAATGTGGAATTCCTTGCTTCCAACCAACAGATATCTTTGTAGTTCGTTGACCAATTTATTCTTCAAACTAGTTTTGGAGAAATATTCTGCGTTTCGTGATGTCATTTTTCTCTCAGGTTGCTGGTAGAGTGCTTTACAAAATATTGTGTTGTACGAGAAGCTATCCGACATTTTCGCGCTCTTAAAAATTTTGAAGGCTGGACAAAGATTTTGTATAATGAAGGGAAATTTGGGGATCCACTCTCTCTTTACCTTCGGGCCATATGTCGTGAAGGTATTTTTCACCTTCTACATTATCTTCATCTAGTCTTCCCTGCCTTTTGATATTTTTCAGTAATATTTATCTTACTAACGTCTTGTTAATACTTCGACTCCAATATCATGTAATAAAAATTTATCAGCATCTAGTTATGGACGTCTATATCTAGATAAAACAAATTCAGCCTGACCGTGGTTGATCTGGGTGTCACAATCAGAATGAAAATGATACATATTCTATGGTCAAGTGTTGTCATTTGGAACGTGGCATCCGTCTGTTTTCTTTGGAATATTGATGATGAAAAAGTTCATGGTCCCTTGTGCCGGAGGATTTATCATGGAAGTCTGATATAATCTTCTGTTAATAATGGAGTCAAGGATAATAGTTGTGCAGCCTTTTTATGGCCTTATTATGAAGGGTGTATTAAGGAAGTGTAAGTCGGCACGTGTTAAGGTCTATAGAGTGTTTTTGCACACATCTTAAGGATTAGGTTTGAACTTTGGGGACTTAAACGTGAAAGAGACATGGCGTAGGTCAGATAGATGAACACGTTAAACATTTGTGAGGTGAAACCTAATCTTTTTATGGAGGGACTTATTTAATATGTATCTGTATTTAGTGGCTTTATCTAGACACCAATAAATGTTTGCTCCCGTTCTCTTTACTATTTTAGTTTGCTATAATTTTTTTATGGACTTAGTTTCGTCTGAGAAAGTTGTTTTATTATCAGGACGAGCTGTTGACTTGCTTGAAGCCTTAGAAGCAATGGCTAAGGAAAATCAACCAATTCCACCTCGTGCAATGATATTGAACAGAAAGTACCGTTCATTAGTTAGTTCCTGGATTGAACCTTTACAGGAGGAAGCAGATCTTGGTTTTGAAATTGATTATGTTGCAAGGTTTGTTCATTTCTTATCATTAACTGAATGGGTTTTGAGCTACACAATGTACACCTTATCCCTCAAAATGGTTCATGTTTTCATTTATTTTCATCTCTTAATCCATATTTTCAAATCTCTTATTGTTTCTGTCTTGTGACTGACTCACTTCCTTTTATCTACTTAGCTTATAGCTTTATCTATCTGGACACTTCCGGATTCGGATTATTTTCCCCTTTTTTATTCTTTCCTGATCATGAAAAGTGTGTATTGATCTTCCAGGGGTGGAGTTGGATAGTGATGTCTGCCATTAATCTGAGATAGGGTGAATGGGGTGCTGCTGCATCAGACTTATTCTATGTTATTTATGCATATCTCTGAAACTTAATTCATGTTTTGTTTCTGCAGCACAAAACTTGATTCAAGTTTCATAAACACGGATGTATGACCAATTTATTTAGTATTGAATATTGGGATATGAAGAAGTCACGTGACATCAATATGGAAATTATAAATTGGGAAATGTTCAGGTGAACGGGTAGGATAGCATTAGAGCCAAAATTTGAAATGAAAACATGCCTGTGTTGTGTTTGCACTTGTAATCAGATTATCATGATCATCATTGAGTACCATAGAAGTCAATGATGCTGAGCAAAGAGGGAGTGCCAAAAAAGCTTTAGAAAAATTATTACTTTTTTACTTGAAAATTAAAAGTTTGCCACAAAAATAGTTATGGGAGATGCAAACGATTGTAGAAATAAGAGTGCTTATAAAGCAACATTTGAGGCGTTTGTATACTTCTGCCGATTGACAGGAACGGTAAAATCAGTGAACTACATGCTAGATTTAAGGAACTGCAAAAATATTAATAAAGTTTGGTTTTAAAATGGTCGTATGCTTGATGCATTTGAAAGGAAGACATGATCTGGAAGGCGGAGTATTTTACTTTTTTCATGTTATATTTTTCACCTTTCGCCTTGCTCAAATGCAGCTCTTTGATCTCCACCATGATCAGTGTCCATATTTCAAAGAGTTTGTTTGCTTCTGACTGCTGACAACTTATTCCCTTGTTCTTCGTGCTTTAAAGGGGAAAGAGAGTGTGCATTTTGTATTTCCATACTAGGACTTTTGGTTTCTCTGGCTTCAGTTCACTCTTGAAATGCCTTGTCTAGCTACCATTATTTTTTGAACTTCATACATCTTCTCTGTCCATTTCTATTTTCACAATAAATACCTTATTTATGGTAAGAAATTAGAAATATTTTCAGTTGTCACTTGTCGTACATGGTTGCTGTGAAGGTATGTGAACACCCTCCTCCCTGAGCAGGTACATTGCTGAAGGTGGGCTTACTGGTGAACGCATGAGATGGGTTCCTCGAAGAGGGAAGGCTCCCTTGGATCCTGATGCACTCGGATTTGCATATTCAAACCCAATAGAAACATCATTCAAACAACGTTGCCTAGAGGACTGGAAAATTTACCATCGGAAGCTTCTCAGAATATTTAAGAATGAAGGACCTGCAGTCTTGGGGGATGTATCTCAATATGATATTATTAGAGTTGAAGAAAGGTTAAAGAAGATCATCAAAGGACCTGAGCAGAATGCTCTGAAACCCAAAGCAGCGAGTAAGATGGTGGTCTCTGAGTTGAAAGAAGAGTTAGAAGCCCAAGGTCTACCCACAGATGGTACTAGACAAGTCCTCTACCAGAGAGTACAGAAGGCTCGTAGGATAAACCGTTCACGTGGTCGGCCTCTATGGGTGCCTCCAGTTGAAGAGGAAGAGGAAGATGTAAATTTCCATGTCCCTAAAATATACTGTTTCATTGAGACTAACGATTCAGTTTTTTTTTTTCTATCGTTATATCTTTTGGTTTGATGATTTTTTTCCATTTTATAATGAAAAAAATTAGATGTTCTTCATCTATTCCGTTTTAATTATTCCTTTTTGCAGATTGATGAAGAACTGGATGAATTAATCTCACGGATTAAATTGGAAGATGGGAATACAGAGTTCTGGAAGCGTCGCTTTCTTGGGGAAGGTCTGAAGGATGTACAGCAAAAGCTATCCGAAACAGAAGATACAGAAGTCATAGATATATTAGATGATCCTGATGTGACGGAGGATGCTCCAAAAGAACCAGATGATGAGGAAGCAGAAGAAGAAGAGGAGGTTGAACAGACAGAGAGTCAGACTGATGTTAGGGTTAAGGACAAGGATGTTGAAAGATCTAAACCTCTTCAAATGATTGGAGTTCAGTTACTGAAAGATTCTGAGCAAACATCTTCCACAACAAGTAAATCACAACGAAAAATTGCCAGAGCTTCATTCGAGGTCTGAAACGAGTCATTTTATTTTTGTTCGAGGGATTTCCATTTGATTTTCGTGAGTTTATCTGGACATTTTTCTTGATAAATCTAATACAATTCAGTCCAAGTTTTGGGTTTTTCATACTCTTCTAGGAAAGCTTTCCTTTATCTCTATTTTACGTTCGGATAATCTTTACGTCTATTTAAATTCTTTACTATTTAAAGATGCATGGAAATTCTTTCCGTCTATTTTTTTGTCATTATAATGATTGAATCCCAAACCCTCGTAAAGTCCTAATAAACCTAAAATTGTATGTTCATGCACTTTCTGAACCATATGGGTACTTTGTCTTTTTGCTAATCATTCAAAGTTATCTCTTGCCGTTCATCATCAAGTTTATGGTAGTCATTTATGATCCAATTACTGGGAATGCTTGAATAGTAAAAACATAGTCATAATTTGTCTGTGCAGCACCTGTGAATTAATAAGTCAACTGCAACCTGAATAAGCATAAACCACTAAGTAGTGTTTATCACGTGTTCTCCATGAGAACTATCTGATAATTTTGCCACATCAAAACTCTCCCGAGCTAGGATATATCATGTTTATGTGTCGTTTTCTTCAACGTCAGTTCATTTAGAGCGGATCAAAGTGTTTAGCCAGCTATTTTCTTACTATGATTATGATCTGCATACTTCTGCCTGAAGTTTTGACATAGGAAGTGTAATCATGGATGAAAAATCTTCTTAACAAGAAGCCTGAAAATTGTCTCAAACCAGTGACTTGCATGTAGCTGTCTGGAGAAGTGGCAGGGATTTTTAATTGCTTCGTTAGGAACAAATGTTTGAATGTGAAATTTAATGGCCACTGAACGCATGCATTAAGGCATGTGTTTGTTTTTGAACCTATTAGTATTAACGGATGCCCTTAACTCCAAGTTTCTGTCTGGATGAATTGATATTAGGACTCCGAGAACTAGGAATTGATGGGACACCATAAAGCAATTAAATGATGAAAAAGTAATCCAAGATAGTAGAGCTTTACTCTGTTTATTTTGTAATATCACATCTATCGTCTAACTCTTCTTACTTATCCGGCATTTTCCGATGATTTATTATGTTAACCATCTCACATTTCGAAGCATGCCTTTCAACTTTCTTATCTTTCTAAAGTAGTTCCTGATTAAGATACTTTAATAAGCATTTAAGACAACTAATGCTGTAGTTAAATATTGCTTACTGGAGAGAATGCGAGAATCTTTAGAACACTCGAGTCTGCTCAGTTTTTTTTATATTTTTATCTAGGAGATGAAACTTCACAATCCCGATATTGCTGATATATGATAGTCCGTTCTCCTCAATGTCGCTGTTGTAACATTGTCCTCTACCACCCAACCCATCCTCTCTCACACCCCCTCAAAAAAAAGCCTACCCTGGACCGGTATCCCCAGATATTCTAACGAATACACGTTGCTCCATCTTAGTGAGCGTAATCGTGATGGTATTAAAAAATCCTCTTCCTGCCTTGCAAATCACCCTATTTCATTTCTTTTTATCAGTAGCTTAGGCTACAAAATGATATCTTCTTTTCGTTTATTCATAATTAAAATCTGCTACCTTGTTTTGAATCATGCCACATCGTCGGTTGAATAAACTCCAAGCCACGTCGTACACAGTTGGACCTCGCTCTTATTTGCTCTATCATGTGGAATCACTCTGTCGGCTCTTCATATTGCCTTCAGTTTCAACCACCTCTAAAGATATGATTCGTCGAGCTTCATGCAGTCTTGGAGTTTTAATAGGCTAGATTCTCACTTTCCTTCCAATATTGGGACCCTCCATTTTCCTTTTGGCGCTTGAAAAAGATTCCATGGGTAACATTAAGGATTTTTTGCTGATTGGACAGCTAGTCTTCAGCTTCGCCTACTGCTAAACCTTGCGACTGTCTTTATCTTGTCTCTTGGGATTTGACAACAAAATATCCGGTGAGCCATATTACTGGCCAACCATACGTTCCGATGATCTATAAGTTTACTTATAAAAAGGTCTAAACTTTTCTGTTTGAGATGCATTTAATAAACAATCCAACACCCAAGTTATCAAAAAAAATTCCTTGGAATTAGTGGGACCGTGTACTGATGGTCTAGCCTAGCGGGATGTACTCTGTAAATTGTTTGTTTTATGCTATCATATATTTCTGTCTAAAAATTATTACTTACAACACTAGTTTACTGTGTGGCACAGGATGATGATGATGATGATTGGTTTCCTGAGGATGCACATGAAGCATTCAAGGAAATGAGAGAGAGAAGAGTTTTTGATGTATCAGATATCTATACCATTGCTGACGCTTGGGGTTGGACATGGGAGAGGGACTTAAAACAGAGGCCCCCTCAGAAATGGTCACAAGAATGGGAAGTAGAATTGGCTGTGAAAATAATGGACAAGGCATGTTCCTGTGCTCATACCTTTTACTTTTGAATCTTACCAAGTTGTCGTGCTAGTTGTTTCTTATTATCCTGCAGCATAGATGGTAAAAAAGCATTTTATTCAGTATCAGTGTTTTGACTTTATTTATGCTTGTGCTTTTATATTTGTTGCTTTATTTTTAAATTTTTAGGCTTTTAGTTGTGCATGCCCGGCATGTTCAGTTATCAGATTCGGACAGATTCTCGTAAACAATGTTTTGCAGCTATTCCTTGTGATAAGTAATTGACTGGGAACGGAAAATGATACCCTCCCAGTTTTGTTGTTAACAAACATATTCGGTGAAACATAGCAACAATGTTATGTTTCCTCAGATGCTGTAGATTTTAAATGCATTAGCATATACCAGTTGGAAGAAGAAAATGTTGGATCTCTCTCTGGCTATTTGACATTGGGTCTGACAAAAAGAATTTGTCAGACCCGACCATTGAGAACATCTTTCCTTCATTCTCTTCAGCTTTTGTTTGGTGGGAAAAGAAAACCCTGAAGAGATACTTTCTCTCTCTCTCTCTCTCTCTCTCTCTCTCTCTCTCTCTCTTACATGGCTGTAGTGATGCCTGTCTCAGGTGATCGAGCTTGGTGGGACGCCGACCATTGGGGATTGCGCCATGATACTGCGTGCCGCCATTAGAGCACCGGCTCCCTCGGCCTTCTTGGGAATCTTGCAGAAAACCCACAGTCTTGGCTACGTCTTCGGGAGGTAATCCACCCCCATTTCACTGTTATAATAATCTTCCATTTTTCCTCCACATTAATAAATAAATATATTTATATATTCGCCTCGGGCTGGTGGTGTCTTCTTTCTTCAGCCCTCTGTACGACGAGGTGATCACCCTGTGCCTCGATCTAGGAGAGCAAGATGCCGCCATCGCGATTGTTGCGGACATGGAGACGACCGGCATCAAGGTCCCCGACGAAACCCTGGACCAAGTCCTCGCCGCCAAACAGGGTGGCGACGCCTCCACAGCCGGGGATCTCACTCTACCCTGAGATCATCTCCATTGGAGTGGACCTCACCCCACCTTCGTTCTTCTAGCTGTCAGATGACATACCTTCTCCTTATAGTCCATGCTTGATCCATCCTCAGCTTCTCACCGGGCAATGCGCTTCACAAGCCCAGAAAGAGCGATATACATATATAAGAGAGAGGAGAGAGAGAGAGAGAGAGAGAGATAGCCGGAAAGGGTGTGTGGAGTCCATCCATTGCAGCGTAGGAAAATTCTCGGAAGGGGAACAAGTGATGAAGCTGGCAACATCAGCTGTTTGAGGAAAATTTGACCAGCAACCAGAAGAACCCTCTTTTAAAGTCTGTGAAACGAAGGAGATAGCGAACACGAAAATGAAGGAAACTCAGCTCCCAAGGCCCTTGAAGAGAATCGTCTCTTCAGTAATCCATGCCGCCGCCCATGCCGCCGCCCATCGCCGGAGCATCCTTCTCTTCTCTGGGTAGCTCAACAACCACAGCCTCTGTCGTCGTCATCAACGAAGAAACACTGCCCAACAAGAAGAGATTTTGAGCTTGACGACGGTCTTCCACGCAGAAAATAAACTGGATATATAACTGGAAGACACGTTTACCTCGCTGCATCCACCAAGGCAGTTCTGATCACTTTCAATGGGTCAATAATGCCAGCCTTGACCATGTCTACATATTCACCTGTACCCCAGAGAGAGAGAGAGAGAGAGAGAGAGAGAGAGTAGAAAAAAGAGAGTTAATGTCTCCAGTTTATCTAATCCATGACCGACGCCTGTAGACTGTAGAGTGGGAGGTGCCGACGACTGACCTTTAGCTGCATCGTATCCAAGGTCGGGGTTATCCTGCTCCAAAAGCTTGCCGACGATGACAGCTCCCTCGACTCCAGCGTTGGAAGCTATCGTGTGGACCGGCGTCTGCGTTTAGAGAGGGTAAACTCCTCGTCAGGCACAGAACAGATGATAGAACAAGAGATTGCTCCACCCACCACACACAGAGAAGCCCATCCAAACCATTCTGAAGAAATATAAAAATTAAGAGTCGATTGCTAGTTACTGATTGATAGTGCTCAAGATGATTCTAACCTGCAAAGCATTCTGGATGATTTGAACTCCGATTTTCTGGTCAAAGTTCGCGGTTTTCAGCTTTTCAAGCTCTTGCGATGCATAGAGGAGTGCAACGCCACCACCTGCAGACGCCGTATTTTTCAATCTTCTAAAGAAAAAACTAAGTGCCCAAGTTAATACAGAACAGGATGATTCAGTATTACCCGGCACAATTCCCTCTTCGACGGCCGCCTTGGTTGCATTCAGAGCGTCATTCACTCTGTCTTTCTTCTCGCCTACTTCGGCTTCGCTGGCTCCTCCGATCTGGCATTTTGAACCCATAAGTTGAAAGCAAATTCTACTGAGCAGAACAAATCACCATTCACAACTTTGGAAAGAGGACTTAAAGAGACATTCACATGCAAGGCACGATTTCTATAGAAAGACAATCTCTACAGAGCAGACAGATCAGCCTTCACAAATTTGGCAACATGTCTTCCCAGCGATTACTTTCTAAAATGCAGGCAACGAAGCCCATTTTTCATTATTTTCCAAGATGGAAAAAGGTACAAGGGCATCCAAAAGTTGTTTGACGAAAATGGTGCAACATTAATCCAACCGTGCAACGTCCCCATGTATAATGCTTAGAAAGCAACCTTAATGCAACTTTAATGCTTAGTAAGACATGCAACGACTTTATCTTTTATGATTTTTATCAAAAACCAATCAAGGGCACAATAAGCAAGCCATCCTCTGCCGTAACATTTCAGATGCATGAAATACGGATAAACCAATACCTTCAGAACAGCAACACCACCAGAAAGCTTTGCTAATCTTTCTTGGAGCTTCTCTTTGTCATAATCTGATGTACTAATCTCAATAGACGATCTTAGCTGCAAGAAATCGAAAGTGCATATCATGTGGCGGCAACTTCTGGGTTTTCCAATAACGAACAAAAATAACGAGCGGCTGAAATGAAAGCCCCACATGCTTTCTGCGATAATTACGCAGCCCGAGTCTTTGTCAGACAATTAAAAAACTAGAACACAATTATAACTGGTTCGACTTCTGGTTTAGTTAATAGAAATAGACCACCACCACATAATTCATGGAGTACAACCTTCTAGGAAATCTACAAAAGTGAAATGTGGAAAGAATGCACGAACCAGTTCGCATCTCTCTTCAATAGCTTTCTTGTCACCAGCGCCATCAAGAACCACAGTATCATCTTTAGAAATGGTTACCTGTAGGAGATAACGATAAGAAACAAACATGTATGATGAAATATAGCAAAAACGCAAATTAAAAACCTGCACGACTCCGTTTGTGACGTTACAATAAAATAAAAAATATTATCCGTCTACAATGGAGAAAATATTAAAATTAGAAACACGAGGGATGGAAAATTCCATTAACAGCATTGAAAGTGTAATGATGATCAAAGACCAGAACCTACTGTTATACTTATAGGGTCATTAGGGAAAGACATCATGATGTATGCATTGATGGCCATATCTGGAATAAGGCCAATCCTTAAAAAAGTAATGTGTTCTCACAATGTGGACGCCAGGGAACAGGAAGTGAAAAAAAACGGAAAATGTATGTAGAGTATAGGGAGCAGATAGTAACTTGCCTTTCTGCATGTACCAAGCATACCCAGCTCCACCTTCTCAAGATTCATACCAAGCTCTTCTGTTATAACCTGCAATTGACATTATAATTAGCAATATGAAATGTGTCAAGGAAATTCTTCTCAAAAGAAATGCAAATATGAATAAAAACGTACATCTCCTCCGGTTAGAATAGCAAGATCCTGAAGGTTGGCTTTCCGGTTCTCTCCAAAACCAGGAGCTTTAATGGCACAGACCTGAGGAAATACTCCGCTGTTAAAAAAGACGTTAACAGTTAATACCACAAAAGAGAATGTATCACGAAAAGCCCCAACCTTAATCCCTGCACGAAGCTTGTTAAGGATTAAAGTCGCCAGGGCGTCGCTCTCCACATCTTCAGCAATGATCAACAGAGGCCTTTGTTTCTAAATTAAAAAATGATAAACATTAAGCGTTTCAACGTACAGAAGAACAACAGAGTAAATGGTATGCCTTTGCTGGGACTTTAAGGGAAAACGGAGAAAAAGAATTAATTCACCTTTAGGGCCAGCTCCAAAACCTTCACAACTGCATTAATGCTAGAAATTTTTTTCTCATGTATCAAAATAAGTGGATCCTCGAGTTCCTGTCAGAAGAAAAAAGACAGTTGGATTGTGCCATGAAAGCCATCCTGCTTCGTCAAGAAAAATAAGCACTTACACATTTCTGGTTCTTTTGGTCAGTAATGAAGTATGGAGATATAAAACCTCTGTCCAGCTTCATTCCCTCAACAACTTCCAATTCATTGTCAAGAGTTTTGCCATCCTGCATTACAAATATTAGCAAGATCCTAATAGGAAAACAGCACTAGAGCTTGGCAAACAAACTTAAAGGAAACGAAATACCAAAATAGGAACGAACATTACAACCACTCTGTCGACATCTGCTCATTATAAAGAATGAGAAATGATCCTGACAGACATTCCAAAAATCAAGCACGTACCGCAACTGTGATAACCCCTTCCTTGCCAACTTTTTCCATGGCTTTGGCAATGAGCTCACCTATCTCTCTCTCTCCATTAGCAGAGATCGTCCCAACCTGTTGGGAACAACGTGTTTTAGAGAATCAATTAGAACATAATTTCGGGAAAACAAGCACTAAACAATCCAAAGGCAAATATGCCCCAAATTAACATTATGATGAATAGGGACTGATATTTCACAATTATGATTGAAAAAAATAAAACCTGTGCAATCTCCTCAGAGGTGCTAATCATTCGAGCCCTACTCTTTAAGTTAGTAATGACTGCATCAACTGCCATCGTGATTCCACGTCTTAGATCCATTGCGTTCATCCCAGCAGCCACTGACTTATACCCTTCGGCAAAAATAGCCCGAGTAAGGACGGTGGCGCAAGTGGTACCTTCATACACCCAAACAAATATGACCAACGGTTAAAACAACATTTATTATAAAATAACAAACCCAACATTAAACAAGACATCTGATCAAATCTCTATTGCAATAATACTGGGTTGGCTGAGTATTACACTGATTGCGATCATAATAGACAGAGTCAAACGGCATCAACAACCCCAAAGAAAAAAACATCTGGACAAGCAGCGTAAAACAAAATGGGCGGAGTGTGAGATACCTGGAGTAACCGCAACATGAGACAGGAATGTGATACATTGTACAAAACCCTGAGTTAAGGGACATACCATCACCAGCAGCATCATTCGTCGCATTGGCGACCTGCTTCACAAGGCTTGCACCCATATTCTTAACCCGATCTTTGAACTCGATACTCTTTGCAACAGTCACTCCATCCTTTGTTACTTTAGGTGCGCCAAAACTCTGTTCTATTACCACGTTGCGACCCTGAAAATTCAAGAAAAACACAATTGAATGACACGGTCCAAGACATGAAACTACCTGGTGCTCAAGAAGACCGTGTTAGGGAATGAAACACATTTTGACGGCAACAACTTCATTCTACATCATATAGTTCCTATTACGGGTGACATTCTCTTCATAACAATCAAAGCTCTATACAATGCCGACAGTCATGACACAATGGAAAAATAAGATCACCAAATATGGAGTGAAGAACATCATCATCATACACACTGACATACTGACGCAGCACGTAAACCATGAGCAGGATAGCATATACGCAATCTAGCAACACACGTGCAACAAATAATGCGGGAAAGTCAAGAGCATCCTCGCGGGTCACATACCACCCCAAATAATTGCGTAAAAGAAATGCCAATTGATGTCCTGGCCCCAAAAAAGTACTATTTCCAAAGTCGAACGAAATCATCTCTCGACGAGTTTACATGGCTAAAAAAAAAATTCGCAATCGACCAATACGAGAAATCTACATAAAATGTATGGAGGTGGGGCGGGTGCATGGCTCATGAGAAAAAACCTTCGGCCCCATTGTCACTTTCACGGCATCTGCAAGCTCCTCTACTCCCTTTAGCATCAACGCACGTGCCTCCAATCCAAACTTGATCTCCTTCGCAGCATAATTTCTGCTCCAAGCCAGTCTGCTCCCAATCTATACGCTAAGAAACAAAAAACGGGCTTGTGCACGTTAAAAGCTAGACCAACTAAAAAAGCTCAAATACAGAGGATTAATTCATTGGCAGTGTGAGACTCAATTCCATGCGCTAAACGGAGAGAGCAGGGCCCGAGAGGTTCACCTGCTGACCTCGGCTTCCAGCGACCCTACAATAAAGGTCAACCAAAAGAAACAGTACATTCGTGAACGACCGCTATCCAGGAGCCAAGAAAAATAAACCGAAGTAAAACAAAGATTTCAACACTGCGAGACCCCGCAAACGTCGCCGGCATTCCCCCTCCCACTATCTGCATTCAACGCTTACCGAGCCCTGGAAGCAAGGCTGCTCACTGCACGATACATGGCGAAGGAGAGGGATAGACGCCCGGGCACCCGGCCAGGAAGCAAGAGGAAGCCAAGGAGAGTTGAGACTGCAAGCTAGCGGCGGACAGAGACGACCAAGAAGATCGGGAGATCAAGCCGAAGCAGTAAGCTACCGGCAGTATGTAGGAAGAAGTCTCCAGAAGCCTCTCCTCAGGGGGGGGTTTAGGGTTTTAGACCTTCCTTCTTGAGAGGATTGCACCCTTAACTTAACCGGATCCATCTACGTGGCTTGCGGATAGCCTCTCGTCAAACTCTCCCGTCATTATGGGCCATAAGGAACGGCCCATAAATCCAGCTCAACCACGGATAACGGCAAGAATTATCTCATTATTGGGCCCTTTTTCTTGCTTTTCTGAATGTATATAGGATACATTAGTGATTTAAGAGACATTCTGTTTAAGCTATTATTTTTTAGGGCTTATCGATAAAACTCATTCGAGACAATTTGCCCCACGGTGGGACTTTTTCTCTTATTTAATGACATCACCAAAGCTAGCATCTCTAAGGATATATTATAAATTTTTTGGCTTCAGATGGTATTATTAAAAAAGAGTATTGATCTCGAGTGCTTTTGGGCAAAGTTTACGATCTTAAAAAAACGGTGGGTTTTTGGGGACAGCATGTTTCTTTTTATAAATTTTACTGCATATTAATAACATGTATTGGTGGGGTCATCTCACATGCCACATAGTTTTTTTTAGCATAATGATAATTTGATAAATATGAAAAATGGTTTTTAGCTCTAACTCCCCCTCAAACTGAGTCAATTATCATTAAACCTCGTATATTAATAACATTGTCATATATTCTCAGAATTTTTGTATTACCAATGTCCTAGGAAATTCCCTCTAATGTTCTAAGAAGATAAAAACAGGGGATTTATCAATATCCGACTTAGTTCAGTAGAGAGTTTAGTGGTTTTTTGAAATATTTATTATTTTAGGGGGACATTGTGAGATGTACAGATTTCAAAGGTGAAAAGATGAAATTATCATTGTACTATAATTTTCAATACTCAAAACAGGTGTTTTGTACAATAAATAAATGTTTTGGGGTAAAGTAAAATTTTGTGAACAATTTCCTGGCGTCCGCATGAGATTTATTTTCTGTTGTGTCCCCTGCTTTCCCTTTTCTCTGAGGGGGAGAGAGAGAGAGAGAGAGAGAGAGAGTGAGTGAGAGAGAGGGATTCCTGGTATAATCTTCCACAGGTAGCGTGCGAAGCCAGGCCGATGGCGGCGCCTGGGCTGAGAGAAGAAGGTTGAACGACAGGAATCCAATAGTTTCTTTTGGGGTTTGTTTTTGTCTCGTACTGTTCTTCTCGTTCTGGCTTTTCGTCGGTGGCGTCGCGAAGACGCAGAGAGGAGAGAAAGCGAGAGAGAGGGGGGTGAATGGAATGGGAGCCGCTGGTTCGAAGCTCGAGAAGGCTCTTGGAGATCAGTTTCCTGAAAGCGAGAGGTATTTTGGCCTGGAAAATTTCGGCAACACCTGCTATTGCAACAGCGTCTTGCAGGTTATCTTTCGCTTTCTGAGAAAAGCTGATACACTTGCGGGCTAATTCTTCTCTTTTCTGTCCTCATCTTTCTTTCCGTATTCGTTACCTTTTCCTCCGATTTGTTCCCTTCTCTTTGTGTGTGTACGTTAGATTGAGTCAAATTGTCACGAACGCCAAAATAGCGTATGGCGCGAAGGTCCCGCACTCCAAGGTTTAGTGTACTCTCCGGGGTACTTTTCTGTTTGCCTTTTTCTCTTGGAGGTGCGTCGCTCCCCGTATTTCCCTTTTTTTTTTGTGTGTCGTAAATGGGAGGGGGTTGCTGAAGACTTTGCGACTCGTTGATGGTCGATCATTAGGTGTTATTTGGACGATGATAATTCAAGCGAGTCGAGTTAATCTGACATTTCTGTGTTGCTTTTGAAGTGATCCTTTTAGAAGCTCTGACAGACTTGGCTGGTTTATTCTCTTTTTCGATTTATTTTTCTTGATGGAAGAACCCATCATAAAATTATAGTTACTTTTCTTGGATGTTAAAAATGGAAAGAAGAGAAGGGTAAAACGGGTGTAAGGCAAAATTGCCGATCTAGATGGAGAATAAGTTCAAAAATTAGGAGACGTGTGAGAATCCAGGGATTTTGGTCTTCCTAACTGTACCGTCAACCTTATTCTCATTTGTCTATCATTGGTTTTTCGGTTATCCCGATTTTATTTCTCTTTTCCAAGTCAGATCCCTCTTATTTTTTTGATTTTCAGACCAATAGTTCACTGTGACGTTTTTTACAAAATTTAATGAGAGGATGTAAATCAGAGTTTCACGTTTTTAGCATGTTTTATGGCATACACTAATAATTATATGCAATGTTTCGTAAAAACAATTGAAAGCTGTTTTATCAGATTGATTGTTGTCTCTGGGTATCTGATTTTAATCCTTGCTTTTGAACGATGGCAATGAAGACAAGCTCTTAAGTAAAGAAGCATGCAGCATGTTTCTTTGTTTTATTATTTAGTATCTGATGGAAAAGTATCTTTCTTCTACTGTGTTTTGCTTTGCATTTTTCTTTGCCAGTATTGTCTTTTTAACACGAGTTCATGGGTAGTGTTGTACATATATACCTTGTTATCGGATCATTGTTTTGGGTTTGCAACAGTTCAGTTTGAAACAAAAGCTCTATGCGATTCAAAGGAAATTACACTGAGGTTGTATTATCAGAGATGCCCTCGTAATTCACCATAATGTTTCCCAACAACATATTACTTCGTCCAAGGCACTCCCCAGTCATTTCTCTGAGTAGGAGAAGCAGAACTCCCTTACACTTATTGAGAACAAGCTTCTTCTTTTTTAAGCTATTTGGAAAAAACTGAAAAAAAAAATTAATACTGGAAACAAATCTCTTTCTGCTATGTTATATATAGTTTCCAGAGTAGAATTAACCTCTGGATTGGAAATCACTGGTTATATATCCGGTATTGGCCATATTCTCTCACTGCCGCGCCCCCCCTCCCCCTCCCCCCAACAAACCACCGCCTCCGCGAGTCTACGTGCCTGCTTAGACAGTGATCTTGTATTAGGAGAAATTCCCAAAAGCAGTTTGCCTCTGCCAATGTATGGCCGGGTCGGGCATGATTTTCACATACCTTGGAAGAAGATAAAAGCTTGGGAAGAATGACAACCCTAATTTGTGTTGGCCATATGTGAAGTATTCACTGTAGTCTGGTAGGATTGAGATGTACTTGTCATAAATTTTGACATGTTGGAGACATTCTGTTCAACACTTAGAACTGTGTTTTCATATATGCAGGCGCTTTACTTTTGTACTCCCTTCCGTGAGCAATTGCTTGACTATTATGGAAATCACAAGAATCCAGGAGATGCAGAAGAGAACCTTTTGACCTGTTTGGCTGATCTTTTTTCTCAGGTTAATGCCCCACTGGTCTTTTCTTGCACGTTATTACTTAGATATTATTCTTTCATCCTCTTAATGGAAGAAGGAGAAGAAGGCCGTTATCAGTCATTATTGCCACTCTAGTAGCAATACCACAGTGATTCTATCATACAAAATTAGCTGTTTTTCTTGTGTTGGGAGTAAAGTACTCTTTCTTTATTATATCTTTTTTGAAATGATTTATTAATATAAATTAATGGTTGGTGTCATTGTTTGGGTTTTCCCTTTTGATCTGCCCTTTCTTAATTAACACTATCTTTTGTTGCATGCTTACGAGCATCTACTGTTTTGAAAGTTTTCATACCTTGACGTGAATGTAAGGAGTCGAGGGTGATGAATTATTATTGCATGATTATCTATGTTCAGTTCGTAAATTGGTGGACTCGATGAATCTTCTTGGTGTATAGTGTTTGTATTGTATCATGCAACATGCTTGTGCTAGACTTAAGTTCTGATGTAATGTATTATGAAACCTGGTTGGAGTGGGAGAAAGAGAAAATCTTTTACCTTTTGTATTTTATTGATATATGCTTCTTTCTAGGTTAGAAGTCCTATCTACCTGATACGTGTACTGATCCTCCTTTAATGCTAGGAATCATTTGCTTTGAAATCTGCCACAAGGGATCATGTTGATTAAATTCGGTTGTCACGTGTAGAGCATTTTATTTTTTTTTGGAATGAACTTACGCTTATTTAGGGGGAGGGCGTGTATCTCACATGGGTTTTAATTGTTTATTGGCACCGTATTACTTGCCTACATATAATCTACTCTTGATGGTACATATCACGCTTCCCTCGTTGCTAGGGTTTTTCATTGAGTTTTTACCTGTTGATACCAACCAAGTGTGAACAACTTTCCGGTCTAGTTGTTCTGAGATCTTCTGCCTTCTTTGTTAAATATGTTTAGGTTCTGACGCTAGTTCTTGCTAAATAATGGTCTGAAGAAAGGATCTCATGGCCACAATAATCTGGATGATGTATCTATAGATCGCAAAATTGGTGCTGTGGAAAATAGGTGGTCATTATTTGGGTGACTCTATATTTATCATTGTACGTGTCATCACGCCTGTTTACTCGTGCTTAATCTTTGTACAATCGTCCCTTGGATTCCGTTTATTCACTTATCTTCAGCAAGTTTATGAACATTTTTTCGCAGAAAAACCCTTTTATCAGTCTCAATCACGAGGGTAATGTGATTTTAGATATTTTTACCTGCTGACCACTTAAAGTAATTGCACTTCTATTAGCTGATGTTCATTAATTATGGTAGCAGTCCCAATGATGTAATGTGATTTTGGTTCAAGATATCTGAGTAACTGTTTTTGGTGGCATTTTGTGTTTGCCTCTTACAGATCAGTTCTCAGAAGAAAAAAACTGGTGTTATTGCGCCAAAGCGCTTTGTACAGAGAGTAAAAAAAGAAAATGAGCTCTTCCGCAGTTATATGCACCAGGTAACTTGTCACCTGATATACATTGATGTCTGGATAACGCTGCCTTTTTTTGTAAAAATAACTTCACTGGTATACATTAACTATGTATAGCTTCACTGGTTTTCTTTTTTGACAATCAATATTTCCCCTGAAATACCACAAACTACTTCCAGTAGGCGGTTTTGGTTATTGTCACTTTTTTTGTAACGGTCAAATACCTTTTACCCCTGGTTTTCATTTGATTAGACAGAGAAGAATACGAATGTTGCCTGAAGTTCTTGATTTCTGTTTGCCTTAGATCCTCTTACATTAATCTCTCAACGATGGGTTTGTGTGGTTCAATAGGGCCATCATGGCACAGTTCTAATCACAACCAAATGAAGAGGGCAGTAAGGGATGATAGAGGAAATCAACTAGGGGTGCCAGATGAAAGAAAAACCCGCAACATTTTTACCCTGAATCCGAAGTTATATGATGAAAAAAAGGACTTGGTGACCATATTTTTCCTCCTAATTTGTGCGAGCTGAAGGTGATTGGAGAGTCAATAGCTTCCATATTTTACTTCGTAGTTGATTACAACCGTATTTTCTGAAGTGAAGATGATGGGAAGACTTTCTCTTCTGAGATATACCGTTGCTCTCTTTTACTTTTTCACTGATCTCCTTGTATTTCTGTTCTCTTCTTTCACTTGTTGCCTACAGAGACGATGCATTGACGGTTAAAGGCATCATAAAGTGTGTCGCCATACTCTGTGGTTTTATATCCATTCCGAAATGAGGCATCATCTATTTTACTTTCATGCAGGATGCTCATGAATTCCTGAATTTTTTGCTAAATGAGCTTGTCGACATATTGGAGAAGGAATCCAACGCTGCAACTTCCTCTCCAGGAACGTTGACAGCATCTGAAAATATTGCCAATGGAACATGTAATCACGTGAGCAATGGCATCAAAGAAGAGCAATTAGTTTCATGGGTTCACAGGATTTTTCAGGTATCCTCGATTCAGAACCATGGTTAGACTCTCTCTCAACTGTTCACTGTTTTTCTTTTTCTTTTTCTTTTTCTTTTTTTCCGACGACATCAAAAGCAACTGATGTTCCCGTGCGTCCTTGCCTTTTGTAGATGAACGTATTCATGCATATGATGTTAGTGACCAAAGTTCACCATTGTTTTGGGGATTTTTTATACTAACCCCGGTGCATTTTCCCTCTAAAACGTGTACAGGGAACGCTGACTAATGAAACACGGTGCTTGCTGTGTGAGACAGTGACGGCAAGGGACGAAACATTCTTGGACTTGAGCTTAGATATTGAACAGAACAGCTCAATCACAAGTTGTCTTAAGAACTTCAGTTCGACGGAGACTCTGAACGCTGAAGATAAGTTCTTCTGTGACAAGTGCTGCAGGTTAGGCCTCATTCTCCCCTCCTCTCCCTTTCATTCTGTCAACCCGTTATCTGAGAGCTTCTCTCAGCAGTGATATAATATATATATATATTTATATATCATCGTCTAGATGTTCGTTCACATCATAAAATCAGATTGCCAATGTGGGAAACAAAACAGCACATTGAGTTGAAATTTCCTTATTCTTTATGCCATTAATTTTCTCATCAATCGGACTGAGCATACTAAAATCTGATCCGATTAGCTTTCCCTTCCTTACTGGCATAGTTTACAGGAAGCCCAGAAGAGGATGAAGATAAAGAAGCTGCCGCACATCCTGGTGATCCATCTCAAGCGCTTCAAGTACATTGAGCAGCTGGGCCGCAACAAGAAACTGTCCTATCGCGTCGTCTTTCCAGTGGAGTTGAAGCTGAGTAACACTGTAGATGGCGACGACACCGAGTACTCCCTCTTTGCTGTCGTGGTTCATGTGGGCAGCGGGCCGAACCACGGCCACTACGTCAGCCTCGTGAAGAGCCACAGCCACTGGTTGTTTTTCGACGACGAGAACGTGGATATGATCGACGAATCTGCCGTTCAGACGTTCTTTGGGTCGGCCCAAGAGTATTCAAGCAACACGGACCATGGGTACATCTTGTTCTACGAAAGAGCCGTCCCCGGGAGTTGAGCTGCACCATGGTCCATTCGATTCGACCACAGTCTTGTTACTATTTTCCCTTCAATTTTCCTCTCCCCCACCCCCTTTCTTTTCTTCTTCTTCTTCTTCTTCTTCTTCTTCTTCTTTATCATTCTATACAGCACACGATTGCAGTGTACATACAGTCTGAATGAGGCGTGGGTGGGGGGAGGGATCCTTCCATTCTCTTATTGTTCGATGACAATAACGAGCGTGTAAATAGTGGCAAAGAATGGGAAATGGAAGGCGGATCTCGTTGGATCATCATCATCATCTTCTTCTTCTTCTTCTTCTTCTTCTTCTTCTTCTGGTTCTGATGATGCTTCCAAATGTCGCCGCCTGCGGTTTGACAGCTCCTGCGTGTGGTAGATGAAGCGGAGGTGCATCGTCACACAGTTATTCTGGATGGGTCGTCGGCCTTCCAGTTTCGCGATAGGATGGGAAGGGTGGGCACCGTGTAGCTCCACCGTTCGGCGACGGGGGGTTGGTGGAGTAAAGGGAAGAACCCTAATCTGGCTCTTGGGCGGTGGAGTCCAGGGACGAGAGAAACCCTACCAGCCTGGCTCGGGGTGGAGGGTTCTCTGTCTGAGTGGGAGGTGGATTCTGCTGCAGCACCAACCCATTTACGCGACTCACATGGCGGGTGACTTTATCTAGCCCTCGCCTCTGACTGTCATAAAGAGGAGGGTCTGGTTTTTAGGGTTTTGGTCATTTGATCTGGTGCAGTCGCCGCGGGAGCTCTCCTCTTCCGGACTGCTCAGCCAACTCTTGCTGGCTTACATCAGGAGACTAGACCACGGTTTGCTCTTTGTAGTTGGTTTTCCTGCTAATGGTCGGAGAGTCCCTTCACCCCGGTGCCCCGTGGTCGGCAGAGTGAGTAACCACCACCGCCATGGCCACTGGTTCGCAGCTTGTTACACCTTCCCCGTGTTGTGGTCCCTCTTCCTCCCCAAGCTGGCTACAAGAAGCTGGAGAAAGGTTGCCTTGATATTCATGAGCAGCTCCCCCTCATCTTTCTCTCTTTTCGTGTAAACGGCCTTACAAAAGAGCTGACGATCACCGCGAGCCTCCCTGTTCAGTCCATTTCTCTCTCTATCTCCAGTCTCCACCGCCACTGGCTCTATCGATGGCTGCTTCACCGACGGCTCTCCTCACCGCCCTGTTGGCGATGGCCACCGTAGGGAACCTCGCGGCGCCCGTCGCTGCGGCCCGCGCCTTCTTCGTTTTCGGCGACTCCCTCGTCGACAACGGCAACAACAACTACTTGGCCACCACCGCCCGCGCAGACTCCCCTCCCTACGGCATCGACTTCCCCACCCACCGACCCACCGGCCGCTTCTCCAATGGCCTCAACATCCCCGACATCATCAGTAAGTACCCAAGAAACCTCTCTCTCTCTCTCTCTCTCGCTCTGAGCGGGGTGGGGATTATTGCCAGGTGAGAAGCTCGGGGCGGAGCCGACGCTGCCCTACCTGAGCCCGGAGCTGAGGGGGGAGAAGCTGCTGGTGGGAGCGAACTTCGCCTCCGCAGGGATCGGGATCCTCAACGACACCGGCCTCCAGTTCGTAAGTGGCTGAGTTCTCTTCTAATGAGAGTTAATGGTCCCGCCGCCGCCGCCGCCGCTGCCGCTGCTCAGGCTGAGAAGCTTCGCCGGCTTGCCGGTGCAGGTGAACATCGTGAGGATTCCCCGGCAGCTGGAGTACTTCGAGGAGTACCAGCAGCGGCTGAGCTCCCTCGTCGGCCCCGCTCAAGCGCGCCGCCTGGTGAACCAGGCGCTAGTCCTCGTCACCCTCGGAGGCAATGACTTTGTCAACAACTACTACCTCGTGCCCTTCTCCGCCAGATCACGCCAGTTTACCCTCCCGGACTACGTCTCCTACCTCATATCTGAGTACAAGAAGATCCTCCTGGTGGGTGCTTAAAATCCCTGAATGTCTCATTCCTCCACAATCAGTCGTGCCCAGGTGATAAAGGCCACGCCTTTGACTCACCTGTTTCTGTGGACTGCTACGCCTTGAATAAGGCACCCTACGTCATATATAGTAGAGCTCTTTCTTGTACTGTGAAGGATTGATTATGGTGGTGATGGCGACGACGACTTGCAGAGGTTGCAAGAGCTGGGCGCCAGGCGGGTTCTGGTGACGGGTACGGGGCCGCTGGGCTGCGTACCGGCGGAGCTCGCGCTGAGGAGCCGCGACGGCAACTGCGACCCGGAACTGCAGCGCGCCGCCAGCCTGTTCAACCCGCAGCTGGCGCAGCTCATCCGTAACCTCAACCGCGACATAGGCGCCGACGTCTTCATCGCCGCCAACGCCTTCAGCATGCATATGGACTTCATCACCAACCCGCAGAGCTACGGTAAGCGCCTCTTCTTCTCCCCGACTCGTTTCTTCTTCGTAGCGGATAACATCGCACCGTCGTCTCTCCGGGCAGGTTTCGTCACGTCGAAGGTGGCGTGCTGCGGGCAAGGACCCTACAACGGGATCGGGCTGTGCACCATCGCCTCCAGCCTCTGCCCCAACCGGAACACCTATGCCTTCTGGGACGCCTTCCATCCTTCCGAGCGGGCCAACCGGATCATCGTCAGCCAGTTCATGGCTGGCTCCGTCAACTACATGAGCCCCATGAACCTCAGCACCGTCCTGGAGATGGACGCAAGGGCCTAGCGGCGCCTCTGCTGCCTCGTGTGCTCCAAGGTTGATTTATTAGCTGTACCGTTCTCTCTTTCCATCGATATGTTGGAGGACTCGGGTTAGATTGTTATTACGATGATGTGCCACCTAAGGGACCCCCAATCCATGCAGAGACTTCGATAACCTGACCTCAGTATCCTTTAATATATGCCACCTAGAGTTAGAGAGAGAGAGAGAGAGAGAGAGATGTGAGCGTCGCCTCTCTCTTGCTCTCACATTACGTCACAGTCTCTCCCCTCTCCCGTAGAAACCGGCCACCTCTTCCTGTCATCTGGCAGAGGTTGACGCCTCCCTCATCCCATCTTTCGCTTGGGGGCGATCGCCTTCTCTCTCTCTCTCTCTAACTTTCTCCCTCCTCTTCTCTCCTTCGTCCGCTAATTCTCCACTGGGTTCACGAGCTAATCAGTCGCCTAATGGCCGGCCGTTTCTCGTGGTTCGTAGGGCATCTGAGCAAGGCGCCGCTGATCGGCCGTCACTCCAATCCCGCATGTTCCGGCCGCCAGCAGCCACCCACCCTTCTTTTGCGGCGTACGATGCTTGAGTGTGTAATGTTGAGCATGTTTTCAAGAAATTAAAGACACAAACAGTCCAGCCGAAAAGCCCAAATGCGGCACATAAAAGCCCAAAATCTTGTAGGAATCAAACCATGACATAGAAGATAAAATTTTGCCAAAAACAGTGGAGGATGAGGAAGAGGAGAAGAGAGAGAAGCGGACGAATGAGGTTTCTGGTGAACACTAACACGAGGAGAGAGAAAACAGTTTTCCCAAAAGTTAAATTAAAAAAACAATGTAGCATTTTTATATAGAAAGTAGAAGAGGAGAGGGCCAAGCAAATTGAGATTCATAATCATTTTAAAGATGATCAAGATGAGATAAACGTTTGCTCAACAAAAGATCAAACTGTTGTTGTTGAATTTATAGTCATGGAATTATTTAATTTTATCAAATTTTGTGAATTACTTGATATCACCTACTTTACATTAAAGGAGAGTGTTGAGTGTTGATGTGATGCTTGAGAAAATAGCAAAGTCCAATATTTTTATTTTTAGATGTGAATTGACCAACTTTACACTGAAGTACTTTTCTTTTTATTATTACGTATGTAACTTGTTTTGTAACTGATGATGTAGTAATATATTCATCTTCAAATGATGACAATAATGTAATGTCATATTTCTTCAAACTCCAAGCTACTTATTATAGTTGATCCAAGGTTGAAAATAAATTAATTGCACATTTTCAATCATCAAAAGATCATACACAACCATTGTTTCTAAAATCAACTAGTTGAAAGTGAGGCACATGTTGTAGGACAATACAAAAATACAAAAAATAAAATTTATTGAAATTATAATATCCACATAAACACATGCTATCAAAATATTATATTCTTTATTATTCACATAAAATGATGATTTACTTGTGCTTTTATAAAAATTATTTTGATGAAGATAAGAGTCGATTTGGCCATATAAAACCTCACTTATAAATTATACATGCTTTCTTAAGATCATACAATTATTTCTTCAACTTATAAATTGTCCTTTTAGATTTCAAATTATATGTCATTTGCATCAATGATATCCTGTGTTACCTACTAAATACTATGTCATCTGCACTCACACTAAATATTTTAATACACAACTTATTAATGCTTATATACCATGTTCCTATACTTACTTGGCCATTATATTATTACTAATTCATCCATCATGGATGAAATATTTATGATCACTAAAATTCTTGATTCATACATTCTGCATATTATCATGATAAACTTGAGATTATAAATTCACCAAATAAATTATTGTCTAAATATTTGATGACTATTCTACTTGCTTTAGTGTTGGCAATTCAAAATCTATGATAGATAGGTTTACTACAATTATCATATCCATCATAAATGGAGTGTAGAATGGACACATTTCTCTTGATAACAACTTTAGCAGTCAAATCTTGCCACTCATAAGTGCATGCTTATACTAACTAGATAGTTATTTGAAACTTGAATACATGAAACACATAACTCTTTCCCTTTTTCAAAAATTTATATTTTTTTTAAGAAAATAGTTTGACCCACTACAATGGAAATGCATATTACCTCTAGACTTCTATCAATCTTTGGTTGTCTATCAGATGGGTATGTGTGTTATGTTTATGCACTATGTTTTTATCATTGAATCCTTTCTATGAATAATTTTTTAAACAATCATCATTTTTCTTTTCCCTTCTTTGAATATTTTTAAATTTCATCTTTAGATCTGAAAAATTACATCTATTTTATTTACCCAATTTTGAGATTCAACTGTTGATGGGGGTGGAGAGATGAGAGGTCTAGCATAGAGTAGGCCCACTCGAAATAAACCACTATAATTAAGAGGAATTCTCTATTCTTTCACTTTGATATGTTGCCCCCCATATTAATCGTATATTTATGAATTAATCGAATATAAAAGGCATATCAATAGATGAATTTTATTCTTCTCTCCTCCTATTAGCTATGTTGGGAGGGATGGAGAGAGAGAAGGTGGTAATGAGAGTAGCCACTACACATGAGGGATGGAGGAGAGAGAGAGAGAGAGAGAGAGAGATCAATGATGATAAGATAGTCTTTTAATACAAATTATGTGCTGAATATAGTAAGTATTATTGAGGCATTAAGCTGTAAAAATGGTAAGTTTTATAAGATCAGGAGTCAAGGAAATAGATTAAGAAAATTTCCATGACACTGATAGTTTACACAGAACTAGAGACATTTAATATTTGATGCATATTTTATAAAACAGTCGTTACGCCCTTTTTATTTTCGTAGATCGGACAGGCGCCCGTTCAATTGATTTCACAATCCCCTCTCGGACCCGCCGGCGGCCACGCAGAGAAGACACCTCCTCCCTCCCGATCTCCTGTTCCACAGCCTCTGTCGTCCACTCCCCCCGATCCCCTGATCTGCCGTTGTTCCTCGCCGATTCGTTGCTCCCATCTCTCTCTCTCTCTTGCTCTCAGCCCTCTGCGATCCCTCCGATGCGGGGACTCTTGTCCACCGACTCCCTGTCATGTTCCGCTTTCTGCACCTTGACCTTGAGATAATCTTCTATTGATCTCCGTAGCGGCTTTCGTCGTTTCTATTTCTAACCCGGTGTCTCACCTCATATTCAGCTATTTCTTTCCCCGTTTCGATCGTTATTTTTCTGTTGATTCATTGTGTCGGTCTCAATGGACGAAGTAGTGCATGCTGCTCAGGAGGTGAGGATGGATTGGGATCGGACGGTTGATCAACTCAAAGAACATGTCAAAGCAATTGAGAAATGTGGAGGCTCAGGGAAAGGAACGGAGGAAGCTAATACCCTCCCTAGATTGAATGGTGCTGCTCGGGATGGCCTGGCTCAGCTCAGGTCGTTGCAGTTCAAGCTTGATCTTCTTGCCCAGCAGCTGCCCACTGAAGAAGAAGTGCAAATCGCTCTGTCAATCTTGGACTATTGGAAGGAGCAACATGAAAGGTTTGATCCCTCCCCTTCTTCTCGTTCTGCTGCTTTCTTTCGGGTAATTGACTGCTAAAATTTTCCCCTTCTCTCTGAATTAAGGGTTTAATTTTTAATATGTCTATTAATTTATGATACATATTTACTTATTTCCATGTTTCTAGTTTGAGAGTCAGTCTGAGGAATGCCAATCTTCAAGCGAAAGCAAATATTCGGAAAGCTGCCCAAGCAGAGGTGAGGATAATTGTAGATAAGGATTCGATCTAAGTAGGGTTGCAATTGCATATCCCGGTGGTTTTATAAGAGCTTGGTATTTAATATTTGCAATTACTGAAGGTATGTGAACTTGGAAAGGTTGCTTTTTTATTCCATTTTACAGTTCAGGCGATGGAAAATACGTGGTGGATTCCCTAGAAAATTTACTTGAACTCGATGGATTGTGTGCATTATTTTTTCCTCTTTTAGGTTTTCCCTTTTTGTTGATTTTTTTCATTTTTTCTTTCTGTATCGATCACTTAACAGATTTTCGTTTTCCACATGCAGAGAGAGCTTCTTCTAGGAGGTGGGGAAGAGTCTACTATCCGAAGGCGAAACTTGCAGTATGCGACTCATCCTATTTTTATATGAATTATGGACTGAAATTTCAACGCTAAACCTTTTTGTCAGTGAAGAATCAGAGAACAACATAAATTGTACTCGAGCTGGTTATTGCGAGCTCATTTCGGTTTTGGGTTTGTCCAAGAACCATACTTTTCAGAAAACCTATTGCTGCTCTGAAACATTTCCATAAAATATAAGAAAATGTTAGAATTATGTATGACTGGTCGCTATGGACCAATGTTCCATACTTTCTCAACGGAGGACCCCTGTTTCTTTCTTTCTCTATTTTCTTCCTCACCTCGTTCAAAACGAAGCAAACGGCCAGAAAGCTTGTTCCATCTGGGGTGGAACAGCAGTGGCAGGCTCCTCCTTTGTCTTGCTTTCCCCTGATTGTCAGTATAGCAGCAATCCCCGTGTCTTCTTCCCTGCTTGCTTCTCCTCATGTGTTGATACGGCTTGTTGAAAGGCATGCTGTCAATGCCGCGATAGTAGTTCATACTCTTCTTGCTTCTTTTATTTAGAGAGAGATTTTCTGCTCTGTGCAGTGGACTTTGCCGCAGCTTTCCCCATATCCAAATTCCCTGTCTCCCTCTGTTTCTCCATTCATTTGTCTGTTTAATACGTTTGATGTAAATTTCAATCAAGAACAAACAGCCTCGTAGATGCATTGAATTTATCTGGGCCAACCCCTTTTCCTGGTTCTATCCCTACTCTAGTTTTTAAACCATCAGTTTGCCCGCCGTCTATAAAGTAAACTGCAATGTGTTGTTATATCACCTTCACCCAAAAAAAAAAAAAAAATCATCGTAGGAACGCATTTACTTGAAAGTATTGTTGTATCATTTGCTTGCATTATTTAAATTTCCTAGTCGCATTGAAAAAAAGTCACAAAGTACAATATTTCGTCGATTGAAAAGTATTCAAAGAAGACGCCCCTGTCATCTGCATGTTTTGACAAGGTAATTACAGTATCTATGTTTGGGTTCTCAGTCAAACATCTCTACTATCCCCAGGACAAAGGTTGGGATGACGGCTGCTGCAGAGGGCATCACGGAGAGCCTTCGCCGCTCTCGACAGTTGATGGTCCAGGTAATGTGGTGTATCAGCTTCGCAATTTGAACGTTGACCAGTTTTGTTCTTAATTTTTAGCGTTGAAAACTATGATTTTGACCGCTGTTCATACCGATTCGAAATCTGGCGCATCTTTCCAGGAGGTGGAAAGGGGTACGAGTACGTTGATGACTTTTGGTATGTTCTTACTTTGCAATGAGTCCTCTCTCTCTCTCTCTCTCTCTCTCTCTCTCTCTCTCTCTCTCTCTCTCTCTAGGCGAACCCACCCTTCAGCTCTGTGCGTCAACCCTCTCCATGGATCCAAATCCCTTCGCCAAGATAGCCCGGCTCATCCTGTATTTTGATCCGAGATCATAGAAGAATCCATTTGTTAAGATTTCGTTTCTTGATTTTAGAGGAATCTACGAGTGTGCTGAAGAAGGCAGAGAGCGAATACAAAGGGCATCGCTCTCTGCTGATGCGGACTCGGAATCTTCTCACCACAATGCAACGTCAGGATGTCCTGGACAGGTCAAGAACCCTAATCCTTCGAGCTCGCCCGGATAGTACCTTCCTCTTTTTTCTTCTTTTTTTTTTCTGACAGAGGAGTTCTTCCTGCTGCTGAGACAGGGTGATCCTCGCGGTGGGGTTTCTGTTATTCTCTGCAGCCGTTCTCTACGTCGTCTCCAAGCGGATCGGGCTGCTCAAGCTGCAGAGGAAGGTGACCGCCGCCGTTAAGGCCGGCGCGGTGGGACCCGAAGGAATGCGAGACGCCGGCGCCGGGAGGGATCTTCTTCCTCGCGAGGAAATTCCTGCCCCCAACATGCACGACGAGCTCTGAGACCCCACCTTCTGATTCTTCCGTCGGAGGCAACCCCGTGTGGTGATTTAGAGCCGCAGCTGTGAATATTTTGGCGAAAGAGAAAATATTCGTAATCAGTATGAAGTTTATATGGGAATTCCTCACAGCTGGGTCCATATCCCTGACTAGTTTTCGATTTACAGTGTAGTTTTGTCCCTTCAACTCCACTATTACAGAGAGAGCGAAAGAGAGAGGGAGAGAGAGAGCCGGGGCGAGGTGAAGGTGGGGTCGGAGCGGGCGGACAAGATCTGGCGAGAATCGGGCGGTGCAGATATGACGACCTGCAACCTTACGGCATACGTCGGGAGAGATGAGGCTGTGGGAGTGACGCGAAGAAGAAATGTCCCAGCCCCTGCTTCCGCCACCGCCATGCATTTCCATCTGAAACGAGCCCTGCTGCAGGCTTCCGCCGCCGTCCAGCGGACGGCGCGCGGCGGCGACCGCCGGCAGATGGGCTCCGCTTACTACGGCGTCGCCGCCGGCGGGGTGGCGGAGAAGGCGAAGTTGAGGGGCGTTGTGTTCGACATGGACGGGACGCTGACGGTGCCGGTGATCGACTTCGGGGCCATGTACCGGGAGGTGCTGGGGGAGAATACCTATATCGCCATGAGGTCGAGGAACCCCAACGGCAGCATCGACATCCTCCACCACATCGAGACCTTGTCGCCACCGGCGCAGAAGAAGGCCTACGAGGTCATCGCCAGCTTCGAGCGCCAGGCCTTGGAACGCCTCGAGATCATGCCGGGTGAGCGTGCCATCTCCTCGTCTTCCTCCTCAGCCCTCGCGTCTCCTTCTACCTACTCGAAATAGCAGCGGATGAACGCGCGAGCAAGATGATGAAGGGGGGGGTCGATTTCTCCCGAATCCTCGATAATTTCCTGGTGTCGATCGAATTATTATCTACACTTGAATGCGTGCGACGGACTGTGCCATGGGGATCCGGATGCGGACTAAGGATCTGTCGCTCCCCCGTCTCAATAAAAAAAAAAGGGGCGATCGGGCCTGTCGAATGCAAGAGATCCATCGCCCGTTCCGTGATGTTTCAGAAATTTTGAAATGTCCGGACATTGGAACAATCCTCGATATCTTGTGGACGTTCAGCTGACTTTGATCCTAGGTATTACTGCCCGCAAACTGGTGTGATTTCCTTGGTGATTCATGGCTTCAAGCTTGAGAAAAACTTCCTCCGAAAAGTCTGACAGAAACAGCTTCCCCTTCTCCTGTCACATTTACCATGATGGATATGAGGGATGTTTCATCTATGCTATAGATGATGAACATGTTCCAATTATCAGAACTCGAGAGGGTTTCTTAGTTCTTCTGATTTCCAACATCTTTTCGTCTTCTTTTCTATAAACCGCCAGCATTAACAACGTGGAGTGACAATTATGCAGGTGCTGCAGAGCTCTGCGGGTTTCTGGATTCTCGGAAGCTAAGGTGAGCTCGCTGTAACTCTTAAATGCTCCATATGAATCGTCCTATTCTGCCCTGCCTTTTCCTACTTCACCACTCAATTTTTTTTCTTTCTTTCTCTGGACAATGGGCGCAATCTCTTGTATACCCAGGAGGAAAAGAGCTTTCTTTTTGTTTAATTTATAGCTGATGGATGGTTTAAAGACTTGTGAGCATCTGTTTATGCTACTATGATCTACGGGAGGCATCGATTTTTATGTGACCACCCTGACTTCATTATCTTGAGAGGGCTACAGCTGGGAGATGGATCGCCTCCTGAATGATTCCAGATTAGATAGCCTGCATTAAATTCAGATCCCCCCTCATAAGAACAAGGCTGCATCCGAGTTTTGTTCGGTATAGAATGAGGGCGTAGTTCATCTTCTGACTCGATAGCTGGTATGATTTCTATTTCTGACTGCCCTCACAGGAGGGGATTGATCACCCGCAACGTCAAGCAGTCTGTCGACATATTTCATGTTCGATTCGGGGTAAGTTTCTTGGCTTTACTGAAAAAATTCCGTGTGAAATCCCCCTCGCTTGAGGGTATGCTGCTAGCCGGAGGGCCTTGGAAACTTTGGCTTTGGGTGTCTCATAGTTATAGCTTTTGCAGATGGAATTCAACCCGGCGCTTAGCAGGGAGTTCCGACCGTACAAGCCTGATCCGGCTCCACTGCTGCATATCTGTGCGAAGTGGGATGTCCAGCCAACTGAAGTGATGATGATTGGCGACAGCCTTCACGATGATGTGAGTGGAACCCCCGACCGACTTTGGATTCTTGGTTGCTGCATCCATTCACTTATGTTTCAGAAATGGGTCGATGAAAAAATGGCGCCTTTATTTTTCTGAACTGTACAAGATAAGATCAAAAGACCTCCGATTTAACATAAAAGGTCAACCCACTGTGGCTCCCCTCTCCCCCATCATGCCCACTGTAAGTAGCCTAAAGCCCAGTTGGGGTCCAGGCTCCCAGATAGAGAACTCTCATCGCTCATGTGGGAGACAAGAAGGTCGTGCCATAGCTGGTGCGGTAAGAAAGCTTTGGACACGTTGGGTGCTGAAGATGCCAGGCCCAGAAACCTGCAAGTATATATTGCTCATTATGGTAGTCAAGTTCCTTTGCAGTGTTTTGCTCATTTTTAATCTGTTGACCTTATTTTCATTTGGTTAGAGTTAAGTTTCCTGAATCTCACCGGAATAAGTGAGATGATATGCACCGAGAGTCAATGACGAGCTTTGAACAGGTGGTGTGTGGGAAGAGAGCGGGGGCTTTTACCTGCCTTCTGGACGAATCCGGGAGATACGGCGCCCACGAGTCCCTGAGCGAGGGTCTGAGGCCGGATTTCAAGGTCTCTTCTCTTGTTGAAGTGCTCTCGCTCTTGGAAGCCCATTTCGAGCTGACTCCACACTCTCAGATCGACCGGGAGAAGATTAGCGGTGCGGGTCGTTGACCTTCCAGCCCTGGATTTGTCCTTGAGTTCTGTTTCTGGGGGACGACCCCGGCTGGGATTCTATGAACCGGAAGCTCATTTCTATTGTGTGTCTATGTTGTCTATGTAACACGGTTACTGAGGAGGTGAAGGCCCATTGATCGATCATTCACTTATCATCTTTCTCTCTCTCTCTCTCTCTCTCTCTCTCTCTCTCTCTCTCTCTCTCTGGCGTTCATGATTTCGGAAGATTTACCGTGTTTCTGCCGGTGGGTTTTTAAGTCAAAGGATGCTGAACATTTTGTAGCCTGGTCGCATCATTTCTACGAACCAGTCTTCCTCATGCTCTTCGTCCCTCGCCCTTCCATGGAGAAGGACGACCAGCTTTCGTCGGCTGGGTGGTCTGGGCAGAAGGATTTATCGGCGTAGTATCAAGCGGAGGGCCCTGAGAAGACGATAATGGCGGAGGGAGAGTCCGGTACAGAAGCTCGAGTAGTACTACCACTACTACTACTACTGGCTATCTTTGGGGAGGGGTTCCTTTGCCGCCGCTGCTCGTACAGGGGAGTACAAGCAGGATTGAGAAATAAATTGGCCGGCGTTGCTTCCTCTAGAGAGAGAGAGAGAGAGAGAGACGCAGGGGCGGCGGCGAGGAAGACCAGAAGAAGAAGAAGCTGTGATGGGAGTTCCAACAGGGGCGACATGAGGGCACACGATGGGGAGCCCTCCGACCATCCCTCGCGGGACGGCCTCCTTCCACCCGTCCGTGTGTTCTCAGGTCGCCCCTCCCGGCACTCTCCTCTCTGTCTCTCTCTCTCTTTCTGTGTAGATGGGAAGCCCGTGAACTTCGTTCGGATGCTCGGGCGAGATGATTTGACCGACTCCTCCCTCCATTTTATTTTATTAGTATTCTAAATAAATCTTTTTCGCGTTGAAAACCCAAAATTCATCGACATTTCATTGAACGGTGTCGCCGGGGGATGAGAGAAGGTTACTGAGAGAGAGAGAGAGAGACGAACGATAACAGTTTTAGAAGTCAAAATTGAGAGAAAAAAATGTAAGAGCTGGATCATCATTAATGACCCTCCTGAGAGCAATCAAAGGAACGTTCTTGAACAATATAGCGCGTGTCTACAGGAGCATTGCCGGGCGGTTCCGACGCGACCGCCGCCTCCCTCTCTCTCCTTGCCGTCCGATCCCCGGAAAAGTGCAGGAAAAATCACATTTTTCCGCTTTTTCGAGGGCTTCCCAGCCGTCCGAGCCCCCGTCGTCTTCACGGGCCCCGTTCACCAGCAACGCAGCCCACACCGGGGGAAAGCGACCTGCGTGCTACGGACAGAGGAAGGACGTCCTCGGCCACCTCCGCAGCCTAGGAACTCTCTGGAAAGAAATAATCTTCTCCCTGAAATAGGCCGTCCCTCCGACCATGCTCCAGGCTCTGCTTCGTCGCCGCCCCTGATCCGCCTCGCTTTCCCCCCAGCGACCCATGATTTCCGCCACAAGGCCGCCGGCGCTGCATCTCCGGGCTGCTGCTGCTCCTCCCTTGGTCAGGTCTCCGGCGACCCGCGCCGCCCTCCGCTTCGGCTGCTCCGCCGCCGCCTCCAACCTGAAGAAGAGCAAGCCTAGTGGATCAGCGGCCCTCCGCCGACCCGTTCTCCTTCCGCCGTCGCCGCTGAGAAGGAAAGGGAAAGGGAATGGGAATGGGAGGGGCGGCGGCGCCTTCCCCGGCGGGCATGGGGAGGAGGACGAGCGGCGGATGTGGGCTCTGTGCGGGTTCGGGTACTGGTTGCAGGGTTTCAGGTGCTTCCCATGGCTGGCTCTAAACTTCCATTTGACCCACGGGCTGGGCCTCGGCCCCTTGGCTCTGCAGCTTGTGCAGAACACTGCAAACCTTCCAATGGTCGCCAAGCCGCTCTATGGGATGCTCTCCGATGCCGTCTACATCGGCGGCGCTCATCGCCTCCCCTACATCTCCATCGGAGGTCGGTGGCCCTCTTCTCCCTCCTCCCTCATTTTATCTGCTTCTCGATTCATGCATGAAGAACCACCCACCGCCATGAGGAGTCAGTCTGCCTGAAAATCTTGCGATTTCTTTCTCTGCAAAACACACCAATTTGGCGACCAATTGATATAAGTAGGTCGCCCTCGTAAACATTTCTGCCGTTCATTTCAAGCCGAGGCGCCTCAGGGCTCCCAAGGATTCATTCATGGAGGAAGGTCTGCACCGTAGGCTGAAACAGCCCGGATGTCTGAATACTGCTTGCTCTCTCTTGCGGGTGATGGTTTAGGTTGGGTTCCCTCTCAGTTCTCGGCTGAATTGAATTCCTTCTCTGTGCAGTCTTCTTGCAGGTCTTGTCTTGGGGGACCTTGGGGCTGATGCCCATCACCAGGGACATGCTTCCGACGCAGATGGTGTGCATCCTGCTCGGGAATCTCGGGGCGTCCTTCACAGAGGTCGTCAGCGATGCCCTCGTCGCCGAATCCAGCAAAGAAAAGAAGAAGTCGGGCTTCCTGCAGTCGTGCTCGTTCATGGCCTTGGCGGCGGGGGGGATAATGGGGAACCTCTCCGGAGGCTTCGCCCTGGTCGGAACTCAGCAGCCAAAGCTCATGTTCCTCAGCTTCGCTCTGCTGCTCACGGCCCAGCTCGGAGTCGCGCTGACCACCCGAGAGGAGGGCCTACTCGCGGCCCCGCGCCGCCATGGGAGAGTTGACTTGGTGCGCGAGTCGGTCTCGGAGAGCCTGGGCAGGCAGTTCTCCGTCCTGATCAGAGCCATCAGCAACGAGAGCTTGCTGCAACCGCTCTCGTGGATTGTGGCCTCCATAGCCGTCGTGCCGCTCCTCTCGGGGACGATCTTCTGCTTCCAGACGCAGAGCTTGAAGCTGGACCCGGTGGTCATCGGGCTGTCGAAGGTGATGGGGCAGATGATGGTCCTCTCCGCCTCCTTCGTCTACAATCGCCATCTGAAGGAGATCCCCTTCAGGAAGCTGATATTCTGGGTGCAGATCGTCTACGCCATCTCCCTCCTCTCCGACCTAGTCCTCGTGCAGCAGGTCAACCTCAAGATGGGCATCTCCAACGAAGCCTACGTGCTCTGCCTGTCCGCCATAGCCGAGGCGGTGGCGCAGTTCAGGATCCTCCCATTCTCCGTCCTCCTCGCGGGTCTGTGCCCGCGGGGCTGCGAAGGCTCCCTCTTCGCCTTCTTCGCCTCCGCGCTCTGCATGTCGTCCATCGTCAGCGGCGTCTTCGGTGTGGGCCTGGCGACGCTGGTCGGAGTGGGCGGCGCCGGCGACTCCGCCGGGCTCTCTGTCGGCATCGCCCTGCAGTTCATGGCGGCGCTGGTTCCTCTCAGGTGGATCTCTCTCCTGCCCGTCGGGGCCAAGCTTCCGACAAGATCATGATCAGAGCCTCCATGAACCAGAGCTGCCGGAGTATTTTTCACAGAAAGGTCTTGCGGGAATTTCTTTCTGAAGGGTGTTCTCAACAAGTGTCCCATGGCGATGATGAACACCGGGCCGGGCCTTGGGAATGGGCCCGGGGGTTCGAGGCCTCCCATAAATCGTTCTGATCCTCTAATTCATTCTGTCAATGAGTTCTGATTAATTTCATGACCAGGGAATCAATTTTGCTTGAAAAAGGGAAAGAGTTCAGCTTCCGAGGTCTAGAGATGGGCTTTCTCTTGTTCGGGCCCATTGGGCTTTCCCGACGATCCACGCAGCAAGAACCAGCGCATGATTTATCGGTCAACGCACACTTTGAGCGTCGTCATCAACCCAGACAGCACCTCTCACGGGGACCTCGACATCCATCGTTAGCGACGAGCTGTGGCCATAAATAGAGTGATTAAAGAAGGGATTAGCATCTGACTCACTTTACATGGAAGAGAACGAAGGCCATGCATGCATGAGAAGGGTCAGTCGATCCGGGTCAAGTGACTCTTGGACTTACCCCCGACCGGGGCCCACCGTTGACCCGCCTCGCCAAAGGGAGGGAGGAATACCGGAAGTCATTCGTCCTCCTCGTCGGAGTCAGACTTTGCAAAGACGGCCTCCGGCTGGGTCTTCTCATAAGCGGGTGCGATGAACTTGGGGTCCTTGGCCGCAACGTCGGCATACTTCAGAATGGCCTCCCTCGGATCTTCGTCCATCCATGTCTCCTTGATCAAACCCCCTTGCTGCCGAGAGAAAAGATGAATATTTTAAAAGAAAAAATAAATGGGAAAAAGCCTACTTTTACTTATTTATTAACACAGGAAAATATATAACCCGATATTTAGCAGGAATATATGCGCAGAAAAAGCTCATCTTTCACGCACACAAAAATAAATAAATAAATAAATATTATTTTTTAATGGAAAGAACCCATATTTCTGCTTTTGTGTTGTTTACCTTGAGAAGATATTGGGTCAGCAAGCTGCCTTTCGTAGAACCAACTCTGCCCCCAAAGCCGGGGCCGGTGACCGGGAGCTCTGGCTTGTGAGACTTGATGGGGTCCTTGAGCATCTTCTCTCTCTGCCGTTTCCGGCTCGGCTGGTCTCTGAACAGGGGCAGAGCGTGAGGGTTGTGAATGACGGGCTCCGCCTGAAAATCGTCGACTGAGGTCTTCCTCGGCGCCCGCCCAACGCACACGAGAGCTCCCCTCTTACTCATCGTTGGATCGTAGAGTATGTGGGTTCCTCCCTCTTTCTTGTCGCCCACGGTTGCGAAAACCTTCATCAATCGTTACATATTCCATCAATCGTCGGATCGTAAGAGGGTCTCGTGTATTAGAGAGTAGAAAGGGTGGCGGCAAAGACAGATCAGATCGAACCTGGTTCAGCTTTGGGTGCCAAGCACAGCGCACGACACTCAGCTGAGGGGATATCCCCACCCTTGATTCGAGCTCGAGTTTCTTCCTGCTGAAGAAGCACAGAAGGCCCCCACTCGCTCCATCTTTCTCAACAGAGGTACCAGTCAATATGAGCTGCTCGTCGGGACTGAATGCAGCGTTGGTTTGGGGATAGTTGTTTGGCAGATCTTCAAACACTTTGATGGGACTTCTCATCAGCCGAAGATCCCACACCTGCAGCACGGATATGGGAAGAACAGATGGTGAACATTCCGCAGTATAAATATATCCAATAATAATGATAATGATAATAATAATAATAATAATAGCAAGAATGAGAAGGGGTAAAGGGAAACCACCTTCAGAGTGCCGTCCATGCTTCTGGATAAAAGGATTTGGCCATCGGTGGAAAACTTTAGGCCTGTGATGTCGTCCTGGTGTGCTTTCTCAGCATGGATATCTGGTCTGCTTCCCCAACCAGGCTTCAGGGCCCATATCTTGGTGGATCAAATAAATTGCCTCAGAGGACGTGATATAAGCGAATAAAGTAATGCAATTAATGCCCATGACATAGTAACAAGCTCTTGCATTATTGAACCAGGGAAAAATTAAATTAAATTAAATTAAATTAAAGTAAATTAAATATGTCCATGCATATGCATACCTGAATGGAACCATCTCCGATGCCCCCAACGATTCGTTTGCCTTCGAAATCCCAAGCACAGGAAGTGACTGGAATTCTGGCCGGCCTTGAAAGCTTCGGTTTAACAACCTATTGAAGGAAAAAAATAAAAATCAATGCATTCTTGCTCTGATCTTTGAATCTAGCGTGGGAAACCAGTTCGCACTGATCTCCGAAGTTTACGTCGGATTGTGCGAGTCAAACGGAATGTAGCGTGGGAAACCACTTATTCACAAATAAGTGGAATTTGTGCGAGTCAAACGGACCTGTTTCTGACTCTTGAAGTCGGACACATCCCAAATGCGTAACGATCCATCTTCTGATGATGTTAAGATCGTCTCCTTTACCTTTGGGTTCCACTCTCCACAAGTCAAGCCAGAGATATGCCCCTTAGTGTTCTTCAGATCACGAATGTACATGTCCCCCTTGATGAACTCCCCTAAGGTAAGTCCATCGCGGTCATAAATCTGAAATGAGGAAACAGTCCCTGATTCGTTATGAACCTGAAAATATAGCACTCCAGATAGAAAACACGAGGATAGAAGCACCCAGTCCCACCTTCGCTTGAGCTGAACCTGTTACACACAAAAACCGGTCAGATGTTGGACTCCAGCTTATGCTGCGAACTTGGTGCCCTTCAGACGGTTCCAGCTGCCTGAAAGACTGCAGCTTCGAATTCATCCCTTGGAAATCGTACATCCGGACAGAGTAATCGTAACTGCCAGAAAGGACTCTGGATCCTGAATGGTCGATAGCCAGTGCAGAGACAACCTGGAAAACATGCGGGAGCAGCAAGTCTTAGTAAGTGTAGTCTCCAGATTGCGTATGGAATGTCAACTGAACCCATGAAGCAAAAGCCTCAAAGATCTAGATGAGATTCCACTCAGATTTAATGGACAGCAAACGACTACAACGAAGTAACCATCAAAAGACGACCATAGCACATTCTTCTTCATGATTCATATGTCAGTTCAAAGAAGTAGATCGCTTTGAAGACCCTACAGTTAACAAAACTGTGTACCCTTGGCGATAGCTGGTTCTTGCAGGTAATATTACCAACATAAGGGAAGACACAATTTCCAAGTTTTGACAAAGTGAAAATGAAATCTAAATGATGCAGCTACGGCAAAGAAGACAGAGGAAACACCAAACAGTTTCGAAACACCAGTCAGTGCTACATGCCATCTCACTCCAATTGATAGCCAGTGCTTCTTCATGGTGACTACAGGGAAGAGGTAACATTAGATGCTTCATTACTGTCAACTGAAAAGATATCAATAACTGAGACCGTAAGGGTTGCCTCTCCTACCATAGTTGAAGCTTAGGTTTTCTCATCAGGTTCTAGGTTATCATCGATCAATTGACCATATCCCCAGGCAGTCTTGATTTTCCCTTTAGATGAAATTAATACCTACCATGCTTATGAAATGAATTTCAAAGGTAAGTTTAAAGTCTGGGTTTCCCCATAGCAGTCAAGGAGTCTTCGTCCACCACACTAACCACCCCCAGCCCTTCTTGATGTCTCCGACATCAGACGATGACGAACTTCTCCATTCCTCCTCCTGGCAGGTGCATGGTCACTGCTAGTTGCTTCCCATCGTCTTGTTAAATTCTTTGATCTCCTCCCGACCCCCACCCCCTCTTTTCCCCCATTGCCTAGCGAAGAGGCACGGCAAATGACTAGCAACCAATATTTATAGCAGGCTACCTCCATAATTTCCCAACTAGGTCACAGCATAGAGCAAGCACCGCAGATGATTAGATTCACTACGCAGAAATAAAAAACGGAAACATTCTAGCCGATTTGGGATTTCGTATGCAGCTAATCAACAAATATGTAGCTCTGAGAAAGTCAAGGAGAAACAACGTACCCTTGAATGTCCCTTCAGCACGACCTCGTTGCTGAGGGGCAGCTTGAAAGCATCGTCCGGCAGGTCCACATATTCTCTATCTGAATCATCGTCGGATTCAGAATCCGTGAGGTTAGACGGCCGCTGAGGCCGCGGGGGCCCAATCATAGCCTCACCATCGTCTTCTTCCTCCTGCGGCGGTGGGGGCGGCCGAGGGGGTCCAATCATCGCACCATCTTCTTCCTCCTCTGGTGGTGGCCGCGGAGGTCCGATTCTCGCTCCATCGTGCTCCTCTTCCTCGTCCCCTCCGGGAGGGAGAGGAGGCCCCACCTCAGGCCCCACCCCAGCCCTTTCATCCTCGTCATCCCGTTCCTCAGCTCCGCCACCCGCGTCACGCGATCGGGCGCCGCGCGAAGGGTTAGGGTTCCGGAGGCTAGTCAGCCAGGACTTGGAGCGAGAGGACACGGCGGACTGGGATGCTCCGTCACCAACGGCGGCGGAAGAAGAACCCATCGCGGGTCCGGTGGTGACCCGCCGGGTGGCCGTATGCGCGGCGGACGCAGAGTTGGGCGTCGACTTAGTCTTCTTCCCGAATGACAGAGGGAACATTGCCCGCATCGCCTCGTCCTCCTCCATGGCTCCCCTCTGAACCGCTTCTCCAAACGAAGAAGAACCCGACGGAAAGCTAGTCGTTGGCACAAACCAGATATGCGTGGAACTAATTATAAACCCCGATCAAAAGCCGCTGACCACCGTGCCCAGGCCACCGACCTAGCAGCTCACCCCATGACGTCATGCTTATGTTTATCCATTGGAAATGATTCTTATTTTCACCTACAAGAACGAGGATAAAGTTGCTGTGATCGCATTCGGAAGGAAAAATTAAGGGAAACGATTTATTGTAGTTTAATATTTAAAGCAAATGAATAATCCCAGAATAACGGATTCTAAGATCATCCGTTCGGTGCAGCTGCCGCATGGCACGACACAGCTCAAGTTGACTACAATCGTTGACTAAATCAGGGTCGCTTACGTTTATCCCGCTCGAGATTATTTTCCATTTTAAATATTATTTACACCCATAGAAACGAGAATAAGGTTTATTTCTCGCAGTTTAATCTTTAAAGCTTGGAAATCATCCCAGAAAAGCGCGTTCTAAGATCTTCCTCAGGGTTGACTAAATCATAAGGCGAAGCCTGGAAGACCCACGGGCGAAAATATACAGCAACGCGGCGGGGATGCAGATTAGCCAGGTCGCCATCTACGACGACGTTGACTTACACCCTGGCGGCGGTGGTGGCGGCGCCGCCCTTGGGGGCGGCGGGGTCGATGGGGCCGGCGGCGTAGTCGGAGTCCCGGTAGCCGGGGCCGTACTTGCTGCTGAAGATGCCGGCGTGAAGCATGAGGACGTAGAGCAGCTGGGTGAAGGCGAGGATGATGACGAAGGCCTCCAGCACCCGCAGCCGCCAACCCCGGTGCCCTCCTACGTGGATCTCCTTGCAGGCCAACCTGCAAGAACGCCGCCCCATCCGACGACCACCGCCGTTAGCAGCACGGCGGCGGAGCCGAACAGGAGAATGCGAAGGAGAAGAAGATTGAGGTAGAGAAGAGGACTCACCCGAAGGCCAGGGCGGTGACGGCCCAGGCGACGGTGGCGGAGGAGGCAGCCGCGGCGAGGCTGTCGCTCCGCCAGGAGCGAATGTGGTTGCCGCCGGCGAGCTTGGAGGCCACGCCGAGAACCCCGGCGAGAATGGCGAACACCAGGAAGTAGAATGTCGCCCCGTTCCCCGCCACCCCTGCAGATGAGAAAAATAGACCGGCAACTTCTCTCATCCATCCATCCATTTCTTCACGTGCTCTTACACCTTCGGCGCCATCGCCGGGCGTTGGTGCAACTCACCGGGGTAGTTGGTCTGGCCGTTGATGAAGTGGTTCAGGTTCCAGCTCGCGAAGCCCACCACGACGATGTACATGATCAGGTTGAGGAACAGCAGCGGCGCCGCCACGTTCCTCCCCACCATCTGCGCCATCGCTCCCCCTCCCTTCCAACTCCTTTCTACTCCTCGGCTTCCTTCCTTCCTTCCTCCCTTCCTGGTACGGGCTTCCTGCTCTGAGCGGAGAAAAAAAGGACAAGTAGGAATGCCCTTCGCCATGGGGGTTGCATAAATCGCGCTAGCGGGGTGGCGGTGCCAGCGGCGCCCCTCGACACGCGGCGGCATGCAGCAGATCACCCGCCCCTGCTCGCCTACACGTCACTGGACGCGTGCCGAGCATGGAGGCTCTCTTCCCTCATCGTTATCCTGTCTGCCGCCGCCACCACCGCCCCGCCGCCGCCACCGCACGTGGATTCAAAATGGGTTCTCCGGCAGGAAGAAGGAGAAGAAGAGAAGTCTCATGGCGGTCTTTTGGGCCATTTTTCGAGCAGAAGAGAAAACATCTTAAAACTTTGAAGGAAAAGAAAAGGAAATGAATGGAGTACTAATGGTTATTTTCTAGGAAGGAGGGGTTCTGAAGAAGGCGGCGTCTTTGAAACCGGCGTAGAGGGGGAGATCGAGGGCTCTCTCTGCAATCCGCCGGTCCTCGTGGATTCTGGCAATGAGGCTCTCCAGCGACGAGAAGTTGGCCTGTGCAGGCAGCAGAGAGTGAGCGGAGGAAGGAAGGGGACGATGATCGGAGTTTCAGTTTCCGTGAGGGGATCGTACCTCCGGCCGGATGTAACCGACGACGGCGAGACGGAGCTCCTCGCCGTAGAAGTCCTCGTCGAATTTGTGGAGCAGCCATGGTTCCTGCAGGCGTTGTAGGAAGGAGTGTCGTCTCATTCAGCGAAGGTGCGGGGGAGGGAAGGAGAAGGCGACGATCAGGGGAGTTTGTCTACTTACTATGGTCTTCTCTGTGTTATCGAAGTAGGGGTTCCAGCCGACGCTCATGACCATCTTGTAGACGCCCCTCCTCGACAGTCCGGCCCAGCCGAAGTACACTCCGGAGGCTTGCTCAGCCAGCACATGCGGGAACTTCTCAGCAGGAAGGTTAGCTGTGGGCATGGCGAAGATTATTTTTTGCCAAATATATCAGAAAAAAAAGAAAATAAAAATGAAAGGAAACCCATCTGATTCTTTCAGAGGACGATTTTGGAAATAGTTCATGGCCCGTGTTGCATGATTCTATATATTAGATTAGTTTATACCCTCTTCCAGGCTGTTCTTCCCTTTCCCGGGCTGTGAAGTGTGATGATGCAGGTCTATGAAGGATGAGAAAGAAGGCAAACCTGTGGGAATCCCAAGAACCTTTGACCCGCGGCCGAATCCCTTGATAACAGGACCCCCGATGTACCAGGGCTCGATGGGTAACGTGTCGTCTACCCCTGCAAGTCGACCTCGAGGGCTTAGAGAATTAGAGACGGAAGAAGAGCGGGATTAAAATGGGCGACGGCCGAGCTCAGGGATGTACAGTCGTTAAAGGGAGGCAAGCCCCACTTCTCAGGTTGTAGATCCAACAGAGAATTGATGACCTCGTCAGCTGAACTGTACAGATTTGCTTGTTTCGGAATGGACGGAACGGCGACCACATCCATGGCCGCAGCCTTCGCAGCAATGACGCCAGGCCTGTGGTGTGGGAAAAAGACTCTTCTCAGTCTCAGATAATCCACTGGAATTCGTCATTGTAGGCCTCTGTTCTATTGATAAAATGATGGTTGGCTGATTTCTACGCAAGCAACCTCAACCAGAGAAGACATGATGAACAAGGCGAAGTTATTTGATGATTGAATATGGAAGGAGAAGTCCGCAGCCTGCATCATCAGGCGTGCTCGGAGCCATATCTTACCCAGTGGAGGAAATTTCCAAGGTCTCAAGACCACAACATCATTCAAGAAATTCTTCCAAAGAATTCTCACATGATCATGGGTGCTCGGGAATGCAGCTGGGATTCTTATAGTCACTAAGGTTAATTAATATCTCTCTTCTAAATATTTTCTGGTTTTCATGGTTTCAGCTGATTTTAGGAGAATTTGAGCAGTCCACTGTGTTATCCATCATCTCAAGCGCACTATTGGTCAGTAATATGGAAATTTGGAGGTGGACATCTGGCGGATTTGTAGCATGGGATAAGAGATGTACTAGACCAGAAATGACTGAAACAGAAGAGTGCTCTCAAGGCCCATCTGCTTCAATGGTTTGAAGCCTAGACGGAAAAAAATCGGCGAGAATCGGACTAAGAAGTTTTCATTTTGTGCAGCTAATGTGGAGATGCAGATACTGCTTGAGAGAGAAAATTACGAAAATGGAAGTGATCTATTTCTAGGGTAACTGAAGAGAAGGCATGGGGAGAAGACTTTTTCTAGGTTTTCGAGGACCAAAAGAAAACTTAAATCCATAATACGCATCCAGAGGTGGTGGAAAACTATTTCCAACAGCCTCCAAGAGAGTTCAAATTCTGGGCTGTGGAAGTCCAAAGAATCTTAGCCCTTCCCTCTTCTAATCCTACATTCATACTAAAAATCACATGCTAGTTACTTGGCAGCTTGAAGACTTGAAAGGGCATAACTGAGCTCAAGTTTGGGCCAATATTAGACTGAACTTGATCTGTTTATTGGAGGCGGGTTATGTATATTCCCTCATGTTCCCCAAATTTATGCTGGCATGTACATTGAGTGTGTAAGGCGTTAGCTGTAGCCTCAGGTCTAACCAATGAATTTCATTTTTTTTAAGAACTCATAAGCAGGTGTGCTTTTTCACAGGAAAATTCTTAAATCTATTAACTCATATCTAATCAACTTCTTTTCATGCCCAGCAAAAGGCACTCCAATACAGAAAATACATAATTTATGGACTAGCGTACAAATCCAACCATCCGTTGTCATACACGTTTCCTTCTAGTTACAATCAACTCCAAGAAATGTGAGAATTTATGAGACGATCGACATAATGCTAGTTACAGCAGAAGCGCGGTATATGAAAATAATCACCAGAGATATAGTTTTCCACGGCTATTAATATGAAAAATTTTGTAAGTTATTGAAACTTACAGTGAATCCTCGATGACAAGGCAGTTCGCAGGATCAACATTCATTCTGTTTGCAGCTCCCAGGAATCTTTGAACATGGAAGAATTGATGAATTAGCTAATGAGTCGAGAGCACTTTAACAGAGACCTTAATAATATTGATGTATAAAATGTTCCTTCTCACATTTCAGGTGATGGCTTTCCATATCTGATTTCGTCACAACCAATAATGACAGAAAATGATTCTTTCCAACCTGTATATGAAGAGCGGAGAAACATATGAATCATTGTAATGGCATAAAGTTTTCGATTCATTTTTCACGCATGAAAGAATTTTTCCAAGGCACCGAACACACCGTCATGGGAGGCTATTTTCGACTCTATGCTTGACCTGGGGGAGTTTGAAGTCAAAGCCAACGGGACTTGATTGCCGGACAAATGTCTTATCAAGCGGTCAGCACCTGGGAGGGCTTTAATAGTGGACCAGCTGCAGAAGTCCACGATATAAAAACTTGATTGTAGGAAGCAGACACAGAAGTCAATAGGACAAGCTAATAAAACGTGTTGACAGAGAAACACAGGGTGCAAAAAAATCACGAAGTTATTGACTATCCAACATAATTTATGGGATTTACTGCAAAAAAATCAGCCCGACGGTTACGGGCATTAATCTATTTTTACATCATATACTAATCAAGATGTGCCATGCATCACACAAAGTGAATTTTTTAATTAATTTAATGAGTTGTTGGGCGCATGCCCAGATCTGATTAACTTCCACTGTGGCAGTAAGACAGTGAATAATCAGCGTCCATTCGATTTTACCACCTCTGAGAAAGTTACTCAGGTAGATGAGTTTAGCATCTCCCCACAGAGAATGACTCGATGGTATGGTTGTTGATGCATCTATCATGGATCTAATATGCCATCTGCCATCATGGAACATGGTTCTTGGAAAATATGTTGTGTAGAGATGTCAAATGAGAAACAAATCATTACCGTTCCGAAAACATTGGAGTAACTTCATCTAGAAATTCCTCGGTTGAGAAAGGGAGATCAAAGTCCTCTACGACTGCACTTGCAGCTTCCAGAGGTGTTTTCCCCACAGTTCTATGAACGCATCTGCGATCCCATTGTTTTCCATATTTGACTAGGAACACTCTCATTACTTCCTCAACAATACCATCTGCCAGGAAGCAGAAAACAATGAACGACTAAATATAGGAAGAATAGAGTAGAAAAAGCAGGCAAAGTTCAGTAGATCAGGAAATTGAGCCGGTGAAGAGAGGCTAGGATAATCCATTGTCACCTGTGTTTAGTAGCGTACCATCCAGGTCTATGATTACATGCGATTTCATGCACCTCGCCACAGCCATCTCCCTGTCTTCACAGAAACACAAGAAGTTGTCAATGCTATGTGATAGACTTCCTCTTTAATCCAGAAGCGACCTTCAAAGTCAGCAGAAAAAAATAATGTGGCATAAACTCTTCACAGGCTTCTGCAGAGACTCTTCCCAAGATTAAGGCAACTCTATAAAGTCTTCATATGTCAAAGGCAGAAATAAAAAGAAACCCTGTGCAGTAGCACTGAAAATGACTAAATAAGGGTTCGTGGCACCATAGTTCATGCCCTAATGCTCAGCATAAACTATACATTCTTCGGATTATCTTCACAAATTGTGGCATCATGCTGGTCGACTTTGCAGTGAGATAAATGGATAAGAAGAATACTATGATAATCTTGCTCCACAGAATGCGCCAAGGTTGCTACGTGCTTTCTTCAATCTGATATTCCAGGAAGAAAAACAATAGAGACATTTTGAAGAAACAGAATTTAGCTGAGACCAAGAACCACTGATTCAACTTTCGAAATCCCGATATTTATGCACCGTCAAGGGTACTACTCAGCCTAAGTTACTGGGATTATACTGCCGTTGTTCTCGATTGTCTTTCAATATCCCACTATTGTCGGAGAAACAACAGACGAACCCCCATACGAGCTCTTGGCTGTTCATCCATTATTCTATTTCCATGGAAGGTCGAGTTGGCGAGCAATTTGATGGGAGAAGTGTCTTTCCTCCTACCTTCGTGTCCCCACTCAAACGAGGATCGTTTACACGGCAATGAGAAAACTGGTGAAAATGTACGCGCTCTGCTTCTTCTCCCGTTATAGAGCTTGTCGTTTAGACAGCATCTAATGGTCTCACGCTTCCAATTCTCTTACCTTCTTTCATGAGCACGTTAGAGAATGGGAACAATGAGGACGAAAAGCTTAGAACAACAATTCCAAACAGCAAGGCAAAGTTCGGGGGATAAGTGGAAGGAAGGAAGGAACGAAGAAGAAAACAGCGACCGTCGGAAGCACGAGCAGACAGACAAAATCTGGTCACCGAAACAGAGAGAATGTTGCGAGAATTCCCCCGATTAGGAAGAGTAAAAATGAGGACGCTATCGCCATTCGTGAGGAACAAGGACCAAAAGAAAGACGGACGACTGCAACAAAAAAGAGATGGAGCAGGAGATAATCAACCGACCTTAGATCTCGACGAGGTGATCTGCAGATTCTAGGAGGGGAGCAAAATATTCAGCGAGCCAGCGGACAGGACTGCAGCGGGAGGGAGAGCCTGGGGCCTCCCAGCAAGAACACCCGACGAGATAAAGCGCGCAGATGTGGGGGCCTGGGCCCGGTCAGGACGCAGCAGCCCACGTAAGCGCACCGAAATCTCCAAATGCTCCTTGGACCGGTGGATGGGCCTCGTGAAGCAGCACTGCGGCCACTGCGGATACGCCGATAAATCCCAACTCGTTCTCTCTGCCGGCGCAGTGAGGAGAGGGACCGTGGGATTGGTCCCCGGAGCCCGCTCCGACAGCCGATCTAAACGCGCACTCGCTGATCCGATTGCGGAGGCGAAACTAGAGATACTACGGCCCCGGAATTGAACGGCGCCGGCGGCGGCCGGTGGGCGGACGAGAGGAGCGCAGAGGAAGATGACTCCCGCAATGCAGCTAAGATTTTGCATATAAATTCCCAAATTGCGACCATTATGCAATTAGCCCTTTTTTTATTTATTAAACATACATTTACTTTCAAATTCTAGTCCTCTCTCTCTCTTTCCCTCTCGTTGACTTCTAAAATCTGCCTTCTCGAGGGCTGACTCGAGGATCACTCCCTCGGTCAATGCTTACAAGTCAACGGCTTTACTTTTTCGGTACGGTACGGCCCAAACCTTCGGAAGGTAGAACAGATGACATAAATGAAAGGTGCCGCCAGATGATTTATAGAACAGGAAGAGAGAGAGAGAGAGAGAGAGAGCAAAGAATACCGTCAATGAAGGAGGGGTTCAGATGGTCCAATTGCTCGCTGCGCCGAGGAAATCAGGGCGAGGGCAAGCGGGTCCCCAAAAGGACGCTGGCCTGGTCCTGGATTAGCTTCCAAGCTTCCTCGACGTGACGCTCCTCGGTCAACGGCGCGCCCACCACCAGGCGCAGCATGAACTTGCCGGAAAGGACCTGCCAGGAGACAAGGGCGAGGTCAGCGCCGCCGGGGAAGGTCGCATCGGTCTGGCTCGGGCGGGCCAACGCACGGTGTGGGAGATGAACATCCTCCCGGTCCCGTTGACGGCGTGCAACAGGTCGTCGTTCAACTTGTTTCCGTCGTCCTGGCCGTCGGGAGGAGGAAGGAGGCGGAAGCAGACGAGGGAGAACATCTGAGGAGCGACGACCTGCAGCACCAGCGAATCACCGCTGCGAGTGTCTGGGAAACATATGAGAAACATGGGAGAAACCAGACGCAGTTTTCAGCGTTACCTCAAACCTCGGATCGGAATCAATGAGCCCTAAGAACAGTCGAGCCAGCCTGATGTGATTCCTCACGTAGTTCTGAAGCTTTTCGACCCCATACAGCCTCAGTACCATCCACAGCTTCAGGGATCTGCAGAGGGCGAACACGATCCTCAAAAGGCCGACAATGGCGTGAGAGGGAAATCTGCAACCATGGCGCTGGCGGGACTAGGAGAGTCGCAAGTCCCCAGAGCAGTGGACATGGAGATGCAGCAGCTCAACGAGGGATGTCTGATGTGTAAGAAGAAGCGACAAGGATGAGATATAAGACCTGAAGCGTCTCCCAAGAGGTATCTGCCAGTCCTTGAAATCTACCACTTGGTTTTCTTGTGAAGCCTGGAACACCAGACGATCATGAAGAGTAAATAACAGCGGCCCAGTTACTGATTTTCAGAAGAAAGGAAGAGGCTAATTTATGAGAACTAGAGAGAGAGAGAGAGAGAGAGAGAGCAAAGAAAAAAATAAAATCCAAGGAAATCGAAATGGCATTGTTTTCAAGAATTAAGCAGATGGCAAGAGTGATTATCCGTGGATATGAAGTTTATTCAATTATGAGAGTAGATCTTCATGAAGTGATTCTTTCAATTCAACAATCATGCAATCTACTTTGAACAAAACAATAAACTTCACGGTCAATTAGCAGCTCAAAATCGATGCAAGTTTTCGGCTTCAACGCAGAGACCGCCAGAAAGAAATTTATCAAGGAGCATGTTTCAATGAATGAATTCACTGAACCATAGCATGTTCAACAGGAGGACAAGTACACAGACACCAAACCTGAACAAAAGAGTTCACCGTATCTTACCTTATTTTTCAGATAATCAGGGTTAGTCGACAAGGACTTGATCAAAGCACCACTGTCCTGCTCATAAACAATAGTGATATATGGTTAGGTGCATTAATCAGATGATAGCCTGAATGATATCCAGAAATAAAGTGAGATGATCAAGGTGACCCCTGTCGAAGTCACCTGAGTTTTTTGGAACAATTACGATCTGTGATGTGGGCAGCAGATGTAACTTTACCAAGTTTCTATGTTGCATAAGGGAATTGGGTGCAATCGCCTTCAGAAGAATGTAAGAGATGAATACGATGATGGTTGCAAATCGCAGCAGTTATGAGGTCCTAAAGCTCGCCCTCTGTTTCTCACTGATGTTTAACTAGCATCCTAATAAATGGGGAAGGGAGGAAGAAAATAAATTACGTATCATATTCTTCAGGAACTTGTTTTCTGAAAGGCCGTGGCGTCCATGCCATCATCTAACTATTTCCCCTCTATTTAGTCATTCATAAACTAATGCCCATGTAAGACTTCAAGTTACCATTATACATATGGAATCTTACACAAGGTGCCGTCAAGAGCATTTTCCAGAATTTGAGTCCCTCAACGCCAATAACACTCACTACATAGGCCGAGGCCAAACTGAACGAATAAGCATCGATAATCATGCTTTGAAGCTCAAAAACAGATGGAAGTGCTGAGGCCAAAGTGCTATGATGGAAGAAGGATTTCCAAAGCACCTGTCCATTGCTGAGTGAAAGCAAAGAAAACCATGCTCTGTGAGGAGAACTTGCAGTTACAGAAAAAAGAAGGCAGACCTTCACCCAAAGTAGGCAGCAGTCAAAGTTTGTGAGCATCCATTTGTGCACATTCATTCCAAAGGAATCTGCCTCTTCCACCCCATCAATATAGCGGCGGTACTCTGGACATATACAAGCATTGCCCGCATAAGCCGCATCAACATGGAACCACATATCATAGACCTAACAGGAAAAAAAAAACAGTGTATTGGTCACCAAAAGGCATCCATCCATTGAGATACTCTGGAGGTTGAATAGCTATTCACAACAAAACCAGGATACTTGCTATCCAGCAGAAACATCAATGTGCACAATTAAAACATGCACCGTCGGAAGACGACTAGTTCTAAATGTTCAGAACAGTTTATGAGGAGAATACAGCAAGCATGGTGTCTGTATTTGCACAACAGAAGGTCCTACTGCACTCATCGATTTCGTCCATTTTTAACATTTATTGTAAGACTATTTTTACACAACTTACTCGATCAAAATTTATTCGGGGCATGATAAGCAAAGACCCAACGGCCTCCGTCACATAATGAGTAAAGCATTCTAAATAAATCTACTCATGCAAGCATAATAAGCAATTAACTCTTCAGTTCACTTTTATTTTTGCTCATCTGCATTTTAGGCATCACGTCCATCACCATTACTTCAATACTTAATGAAAGCCGTATGGCATGAAGCATAATTCAAGAACAGCTACCTTAACCCAAACAAAAATGCGATTGGCTTGGCTAATGGCCCGATCAAACCTATCCTTATGACCAAATAAGAAGAGTTTCCACCCAAGTCGGGTAACATCAAATTCCTGAAGCCTAATGAACAGCCATTCGCTTTGAATAGTGTAGACCCCTCGCTTGGAAATAATCCGTTTGCAGTCTCATCAAACCATATTTTTAAAAAATAAAAATTACTTCTACACTTTCGACAGTGATCACTGACCCCAAGACTTAAACTAGACTCGCTGTGCCTACATTTTCCTCGTACAGTATTGAACTGCTAACTTAGACATGTCACTACAATGAAACGTCATCTTATCACCTTCAAATAAAACTTGTACGTATCCTTTTCAATATAAAGTAATTGGTTACTTGATAGCAGACATATTCTTATTGTGATAATCATCTAATTTGCACAGTTCATCGGTGTTTGAACTCTTTGAGACATGAACTCTGGGTCAACGTTGACAGTTACAGAACAGAAACCCAAGAAGAATGAAACATATTTCTTAAGACAAATTAAAGAAATCATAAAATTAGCGTAAATACTTTGCTCTCCACTTCGTTGTGGCTTACCAGAATTATATGGGGAGATTCACCATAAAGGACTGCATATACGGTTTATCAAAAGTTCATTAGTAGGTGCTCCACTCTTGAAAGTAGATGAAGGACATTTATCAATATTCATTGATTAATAAAATTGCAAGGTTTAGACATCCAAGAAAGAAAATAATTGGCGAACTATAAGATGCCACATATAGTAATACCAATAAAATCTTATATGAAATGTGTAGCTATTCTCATCTGATGACACTGAAGCACATTAATGTGACATTTTCTAGTCCGAAAGGATACATACCTTGGATATTTTTCCTAGGCTACACAAAGGATCCACAGCTGCTGACGAGGTAGTTCCAACCTGGAGATTTTAAACAGTTTTATCAGCTTTTGAATATGTTGATATATCCTTTCAGCAGGTAGGAAGGACAAGTAAATCTTAAAATTTTCACATCGAAGACCCCACTAAAAAAAAAGCCCTTTTAGTCCAAAAACAAATCAGGAGATTCAAAACACTGTTTTATAACTATATCTTACAAGTTTCAACAGTTCAGATCTCCAATGTATCGTAAACCCCATCCCTCCTCCTGCACCACCTAACATTCCATGTTTGCATCTCACAACTCTTTGAGTAACCAAGACAATTATTGAAGAAATATAACGATTTTACTTAAACATACATAAATCCTTTTTGATTCGTCACATTGGGAAAACAGTTAGTAGACGGCAGCCGAATGAAAGTAATTTTGATGTGTCATGAAGGTGATATGGGTTTATTTTCTAAGATAGAAAAAAATGTGATAAGAGTGTTTCTCACTGTAGCACAGAGGAAAAATGGTTGCAAACCAATTGACATGTCGTTTGATATTTTCTCACTAAGTACTTTCGGATCAAGAGAGTAATTTGCGCTGAAATCTGTTTTGAGCACTCTATAATTTTCTGGATGAATTCCTGCAATCTGCCAGAATAACATACGAAGATAACAGTATCAGAACAATGTTTAACAATAACTAGAATAATATCCGGGCAAAAGAGTCGATTCAAAACACTTTACAATCTAGTAATTTAGATCATATTTCATCTTCAATAGACTAATCAATGAAATTTGTGTGCATTGACTCCACCAGGATGTTTTTGTTCTTTAACTGAACTTTACAAAATTAAACTAGCTTATCTTTCATCCTGCATCCTGGTGCATTGACTCCACCAGGATGATAAAAAAGAGAGCTAGTTTAAATTTCTGAATATCGTTTAAAATACCAAAACATTATGCTAGAATCACTGAACTCAAATTCCATTGGTCTATTTATTCTGTGCAAACAATATTTGCATAAGATCTAAAATGATTTTATTGGACCAAATACTCAAGTGAGATATTTTTGGGGCTTAAAATTTTTCTTGGAACTCTAAATATCAACAGAAACATTATTCTCAAATTACCTGGCATGCTTTCTGCAAAGAAGAGTGTGTTTGATCTGATGCATATACTACAAGTTTTCCAATTGAGTTTTTTCCGATTCTCCTCAATACTTTATCGCGAGCTGCCAATAATACGACAAGGATTGCCTCACTAGAAGTTCCCTGAATAACTCCTCCTCCCTGCCCTGTCAGATGAAGATATTGAGGACAAAAAAATGAACAAAACCAGAAATCAGGGAAAAATAAATATCAGTGTTTGCAGGTGAAATAAAGAAAGGAAAAACTGAGAACAGTGAGGGAAAATGAAAATCAGAAACAGAAATTGAAAATGAGTTTAATTATTAATTAGGGCAGTAGATGAAAATTTTGGGTTAAAGGAGACGATTTTCTGCAAACTATGAGCCAAAAAATGTCATTTTCATTCAAATTTGGATAAAAAATATGAAAAAGTAGCAAGTTGGTAGCCTATTTGCAATTTTGTATGAAAAATATTAATTGCTTTATTTTGTGATTTTGTATCCAAAAATGAATCAAAATGACACTCTTTGACTCGAAGTTTGCAGAGAATAGTCTCCTTTCACCCAAAAATATAGAATCGTCTTTTCAGTTCGTTAAAAAGCATAGAGCATGTTAGGTAAGAAAATAGGGGTTCACCCACCCAAAAACTGTATCTCCAGACGAGCTACAATAAATGCCTCACCACAAAAGGGACAAGCAACTGAAATAAAACACAAAGAGAATAGCACATGCCACATCGTACAAATATTTATATGGAAAACCCCAACGCGAGGAAAACTACAATAAAGAGAAAAATGCTTCACGCGAATGAGATCGCCAAGTTATTCACGGTTAGACATCTCCTTCACCATGCGCATGGCATAACACCCTAACGGCTGCTGTTTTCTTATCCCCCTTTCTAATCCTATTAGGGATTAGAATATATATCCCTTGTCCAAAGGCAAACACTCCTCAACAAGTGGGGAAATGATAGATATTCTAGGTTTCAAGGGCGCTGCACTGAAAACTCTCAACAGGGACGCTGCTCTCCTGCAACCCTGCGAGCTCCTTGTGGAGCTCAACCCAGGGATATCACTCAATGAAGACTCATGTTGACTTCGCAGATTAACATAAATAATATGAGGTACAGTCATAACATGGTAATTAGTCCAAAAAGATGGAAAACATTTCTAACTCGTGCTAAAACTTCGAACACAGCTAAAAAACATAAATTCATCACATTGGACTGAAATCCACAGTGCACGCAAAATAGTATCATTTATTTTACCTGACGAAAGAAAATGTTGAGGAAGCTTCAACATTTTAGCAACCCAATCTAACACGATAACTTCAAGTTCTGTTGCAGCAGGAGAGGTTATCCAACTGAAACCCAGAATGTTGAAACCAGAAATAAGCATTTCCCCTAAGAACCCTGCAGTGCTGCTATTGCAAGGGTAATAAGCAAAATATCCTGGACTTTGCCAGTGTGTGAGTCCAGGAATAATTTTCCGTCGAATATCTGCACTCAGAAAAATATTGCCTCAATATTTTGCAAATAAATGGATTAAATGATTATATGAACTCCCAAGTCTATAAAGTGTTAATTGTGATATGTTGGTGGAAAAAAAAGCATAATAATAACAGCCAGAAAAGAGAGTAAAATAAAGGAATGTGAGACGTCACCATCAAGGACATTTTCCAACTTCTCCGGATAGTTAGGAGCCGAATCAGGTAAAAGCTCGCACAGATACTCAGGCTGCAAGCAGAAATTGAGATTACTTGACTGCCTACCCTCCGTCAGACAGTAACAAATTTGGTTCACTTTTGTCCCTACCGACATGTGAAAAACTATAAAAGGTTCTCAAACAAAGATATTACCGAGCAAGCTAGAGAAATGGCTACTACAAGAGTCACACAGAATGCATGGACATAACAGGCATTCTGGAAGAATGACAAATTTTGGGAAGACCTCACAAACAATTGTACAAGGAATCACGAATGATGCTCCAACAACCAAAATGAGGTTATAGAGATCAATTTACACAAGTAAAAAAAATCAGAAGACGAACCCCAGGACAGCATGTGGGATAAAAACTCTGTTTAAAGTACGAATTTGCGTATTTAAGAACTTGAGATGAAACAACTCGATAGTGCATGATACGTTTTTTTTCGAAAATTGAGCACGAACCCATCAAATTTATAATAACTTAAAGATTACTAGGAGAAGAAAACCGAACAGTAACGAACGGATTGCACTATAGGCAAAAAACGTTGCCTGAACGAATTGGTATATTCTCAGGGGCACAATAACCGAGGTTAACTGCCCAGAGATGGCAAGCTTCGCAGAGCAGAGGACAACGTTCAAACGCATCATCCTCTACTAGTACCTTCACTTGGCTGAGGACGGGAAAGCTCTCGATGTTTTTGTAATAATCGGCGATGAAATCTACCATCTGGTGGCCATACTCTCTGAGCTGTTCGGCGTCCATTGGTTTAAGATCGCCCTCCCTGGAGAAAGGAACAGTCAAGCACTATTCAAAAAAAATTGAACATGGCGAGGGAGGGATCCCATCCGGCAATAGAAAAGAAAAACACACATTATCGAGGGAGAGAGATGTCCTGCTCTTTCCCTTCTTTCTCCTGAGCCCTCGCGGTGTCCTCCGCCTAACGGGAGGGAGACATCAGTGGAGCAGAAACCACTGAACCCTTGTCGCGGATTGGGGGTAATGATAGAGAGAAAAGGGCGTGCAGAATATTCCATGAGAGAGAGAATTAAATATATTCCCAAAAAGAGGGAATTAAATATCCCATTAGGTATTTAAACAGGAACATATAGTAATATCGGAGTAAGCTATTTCATAGCTTGCATTCAAATAATTACGCACGTGTTAAAAATTGACACGTCAAACCAGTATCTCCTTTAAAGTTATTTTTAAATCATTTTAATGAAAAAAATATAACGTAGAGAAAAAAAGGCCTAATTTAGCGAAACAGCGCAGGTCGACGATCTCGAGATCTCAGTTATTGACGGCGTTGCCGGAGCTGGCGGCGCCACCGTTGCCTCCCATGCACCGGCAGCTCCCCTCCCCTCCCCTCCGCCGTGCCCTTCACCTGAGATCCTTCGCCGGCGACGACGACGGCGGCGAAGAGTGATAAGGGACCGCTTCATCTTACCTGCTTCAACAAGCCGCCCACCTTCTCCTGTCTTCACCATCTCGTCCATCTTCGTCTTCTTCTTCTGCTCCTGCTGGTGCTTCTCCTTCCCCTTCCCCTTCTCCTTTTGCTTCTGCTTCTCCTTCTCCTTCTGCTTCTGCATCTTCTTGTTCTTCTTCTTCTTCTTCATTGCCCTTCGGATTCCGTTCGCCGGAGAAGAAGACGACGTCCGTCCGGCAACCCCGGCGGCGGCGCCGGTCGCCGTCAGCATCTGCAACTCCCGCCGCCATTACTGCCGTCATTAGTGCCCACCATATTTTTATTCTTCCCAGGCGAGCCCCGGATCCCTCGGACCGGAACGCTCGCCACCCGCCACGTCATCATGCGATATCACAACTAAATAGACAAATAAATAGATCGCCTACTATATTTGTACATCGCGTCGAATGACGTCATAACTATGAAATCCGTTTTTTCCGAAAATGCCCGTTAGTCGCTTTCCCCAGCCGTACGCTCGGGTGACGTGCGACGCGGGATATTCGAGTCACACGTCATCAGCACCCTGCGGGCCCCGCCTGTCCTTTTCTACCCCTTCACGCCGAGGCGTTCGACGGGGGCCTTTTTCACCTTGATCCGCCGTCATTGTCAGCTCAGGAAAAGGGAGAGAGAAAAAAGAAAAAAAAAAATGCTTCCACGTGTCTTAAGGAGGAGAAGCGCCAGCGAGAATGCTCCACCCCGACGGCCGCCGTTAAAACCGTAACGAATTACTAAAAATGAAGTTAATTATATTCTAGTCATTAAAAAAAAATGTTGGACGGGAAATGTATATTTTTAAATACAAATAAATAATTTTAAATAGTATCGACGGCAGCGAAGTATTTGCCCGTCACAGGAGGTGGTACACAGAAGGGTCTATAACCCGCCCAGTAAGCGCAGTAGAGATAGATAGAGAGAGAGAGAGAGAGAGAGATGGGGGGGGGGGGGCAGCGCCAACTTGAAAAGCTGTCGGTACTGCAGTCCAACCCATTCCATTTCTCAGTCTCTCCACTACTTACTCTTTTTCTCTCTCTTCTCTCTCTCTCTCTCTATCCTGCTGTAGTTAGCTGTTAGTGGTCGCTGTCAGCTGCACTTGCTCTTTATTTCGCTTCCCGACTGCCTCGTTCCGCCCCCTCCTCCAAGATCTGTTCTGCCTTCTACCCCTATCTCTCTGGCGATCTGCTCGCGTCGCTGGAGAAAAGGGAGGAGGAAGGTGGTCGTGGTCGCCATGGATCCGCCGACCCCAGATGGAGCTAGGGTTTCATGAGTGGATCCAGTGGGCGAACTACTGCGCCTGTCATTCCCCCCCTTCTCCTCGATTACTGGCGGAGGTGGCGGTTCCGCTGGACAGCCAGGGATGGAAATGGAAGGGAAGAGGGAGCTCCGGCTGCTTTCAGGCCGGGGCTCTGATGATAACGGGCGCTGCTTCTGACATTGGCGTACTCGGCTCGTTCCTGTCGAGAGGAGAGAATGCGGGGTTTTGTGGTGCTGTTGTTCGCTCTTCTTCAGCTTGGTTCTTTGGGCTACGGTAAGGCTCCATTTACCTAATTGTGTCGGCATTCCCCTAATTTCTTGCATGCCTTCCATTGCGCCTTGGCGAAGAATCCAGCTGTCATAGCGTATATTAGGTGCCTGAAATGTTTAGTCTCTTTCTGATTTTTGAGATTCAACCACGAAAGACGCTTTCAAGTGGTACAATGAAGGTTGCAACGAAAATGCGGCCCAATTTATTCGTTTCTCGGAAAATTTCTTGTTGTCCTGGAAAGATTAAGGGAATGTAGGTATAGTTGTTCCCTGGTTCACGTAATTACTGACAACTTAAAAGCGTGTCACATCATTGGAGGGCCTTGCGCTGTCAATCGAAGTGGTATAATATTATATTGTTGTGGAAATCGATTAGGCGTGTGCTACTATCTCTCTCTCTCTCTCTCTCTCTCTCTCTCTCTCTATCTCTATCTCTATCTCTATCTATCTCTATCTTTCTCTCCCTCCCTCTTCCCCCGGTTTCGCCGGTCAATACCTTTGCTAATCTGTAAAAAATTAAGGTTTAGCAATTTTTTTGTATTTAAGTGAACTGATTTCCTAGGTCAGAAATTTATTCACTATTATCTCACTCCTCGTAATGCAACGACCTAAATCATACTTTGGTTCATTGATACTACTTCGGACCAGGCCTTTCTCTGGCTCTAGATAAAAGGAAGGGTCCAGTGCCTACAGCTTGATTCAGTTTCAGCTAGACACATCGTCATTTTGTGCTTATAGTTTGAATCATGCATAGCCATCTGATTGATATGATGGAATAAACTATAGAGTTATGGAAGGCTATAAAACAATTACTGGATGTTTTTTTCATTAGAATCGAAAGAATAGTAGTTTTAGTGGAGAGAGTTTTAGAAGTTCAAATTGAGACATGTTGCACTGAATGGATGGCTCCGACGATTTTTACACTCCTGCTATGTAAATGGGGAATTATGGAAGCGCATCTTGTCATAGTATCGTTACAGTGGACAGAGTTGTACATTTCGAGATAACTTGATTGCCCTTTTCATTCGTGTGGTCTTTTACTCAGAATTATAGTGTGTTATGTTAGTTGAATATTTCCTGATTTGAAAAATAATTAAGAATAAAATAAATAAATAAACAGAAGAATAAATTAATGGCAGTAAGGGCAGAAATGGTGAGAACATTCTGTCATGTCATCCTTGTGTATGTCACTTCGCTTATTTTTTTCTTTTGGATGTTTTGTTGTTTCTTCCGTAGGCTTAATATACATCGTTTTGTCTGAGTTGTATTTGTTTAAAACTGGCTTATTGAGGTCGTATATTCTGTTCTATGAGCAATTCAAGTCTCTAGTCACCATCTTGGGACTTTGTAAGCTCAAAAATATAGAGAGCAACTGATTTCAGTTAGGACATGTGTCTGTAATTATATTGTGTCACTAGTCGCCGACACGTCTCTGATATCATACTTTTAGAATGATTCTTTCTGTTTCTATTCAAGGAAGCTGTACATAAAGAACTGCTGATCTAATAACACATCACTTACCCTTTTTTATTATAATTATTACCTGTTTCAATGTCTTCATATGCGTTCTTTATATTTATTTTCAAGATAGCCTTACATGTCTTCCTAAAATTATTACTCAATAAAGTGACTACCCTTCTGGCAACTTTTTAGTATCAGCTGATTGGGAAATAGTTACATATGGATAAGTTTTCACATTACTGATCCCTAACTAACCTTTGCTTTGGAATGATTATGGCATAACTTATTATTATTTTGCTTTAAATTTCCACGAATATCTTCTTAATATTTCAAGAGTCAGGTATAAATTCTGAACTGTGATTACTGAGTATATTTAAAGAAAAAAAAAATTAGACAAGGGAGGTATTACACTGATGAAGTTTTCTTGGGTGAAGTGATTCATGATAAGTTTGGTTGCTGAATGATTGTATGGCCATGAATTTTTGGATCATACACAAGGGAAGCAGGAGAAAACTCGGGGAGGGGGTTGGTTTGGTGAGTAGACCCTAGGAAATCTGAGGCTCTTATTTGGATGATTGGTGGATTAAGCTAGAATTGACGGAAGTAATATGGAGCTACCATTGCCATGACTTGAAATGTCCACATTTAATGATCCATTCTTACTATTGGAGTCATTTGAGTGCTGGAACAGAAAATTGACGTCACTGGAAGATGAAAACATTGCTACCGTTTCATGGCCCTGGAAAGAGCAAAGATGGTTCTGATGGAATTCTGGTAGTTCTATGTAGAATGCTAGCTTTTTGTCTATTCACGTTTAGGTCTGTTTATATTCACGTCAACACAAAATGAGGAGTGGACCATCTGCAGGGGAAGTCCAGATAAATATCCAGTTATTCAGATCGCAAATCATTCACGGAATTAATGAGAATTTCTATTTGCATCTTGGTTTATCCTAAGAGTACGCACAACCTCGCCTATTGAGATCGTAAGAGACTGCATAAACTTTAGTGATCTCGGCATAAAAAAAATGAAGAGTTGGCTTTGATGGAATCCTGAGAGTATGGTTTATAATCAGTACGAGCAGGTCAAATTTTCTCATAAAAAGGAAGGTGGAAGATTGGAGGAAGAAATTTCATGCGGGCAAATAAGTGCATCAGATGATAATCTACTCTTCCATCATTGTTTTTGATAAGTGGAGTGTGCCCAACATGACTCGGATTGTGACTGACACGTTTGGCTTCTCACTTCGTTTGAAGCTGGTCTTGCAATTTGAATTTAATCCATTTGATTGCTACCTTGTTTTACATTTGTAGCTATACTGATTTAATAATTAGCCCCCTTAGTGTCACACTTACGAAAAAGAGTTGAATTTCTCAAATGCGAGTGGGTTTTCCTTTCTTTTGACGAATATCAGAGACATAAGATGGCAATCATATATTTTACATCCTTGCAGGGACTGCTTTTCCTTCTCTGAAATCATACTTGCTGTTCACATCCAGGAGAGCATTAAGGAGGCACTCACACCGAGGTATAGGAACTGTTGTGCTCTTGCACCTCGTCCATATAGCCAATTTTTATGCTCATGTTCACAACACTCACTTTTATCTCGTCAGTGGTGCTTTGCTAGATTCTTGTCGACATGAACACTACTTTATTCCATAATTGGGTTTGCAATGGTCATTCCTTCTGTAATTTTGATAAAAGTTTGTGTTATGACCCATGAGGATAGTAAAAGCTAGTTTTTTCTTATAATTACCGGCAGATTGGGTGTTTCTGTTTCTGTCAAATCATTTGTCTGACTCACAGTTCAGTTAATCAAAGGTCAACTGACTAATATATTCAACGGATGCGGTATTTCCAGGCTCTGCCCATACTCCATCAGAACCACCACAGTTATGGCCTGTGACACACATGGGGCCAGCACCGTCACCTGCACCTGCTCATTTCTCCAAACATCGAGGTTGCTTTCCTTTCCTTTATCGCACATATTTTATGACAGTGTTTGCAAGCATCTTGCAATTCTGTTTACCTTATATTTCAGGGTCTGGAGCAGGTCCTCGTGCTTCCAGACATCATCGAAGAATTCCTCATGTACACCCGCCAGGTCCATTTACCCCCCCAAAAGGCCAAGGTGTGTACATTGATTTCCTATGCAGGTTGACTGCCACAACTTGCACTTGATTACCAATCATAGTTAATCAGCTTCATATTCTCTTGCAGACTGTGGTGAAGTCACATGTGCTGATCCGTTGACTATGACTCCATTTGGTTCACCTTGTGGTTGTGTTCTCCCTATGCAAGTTGAACTGGATCTCGGGGTTGCCCCATTTCGAGTATTTTCTGTCGTTGCAGAGCTGGAGGTCGAAGTTGCAGCAGGAATATACATGAAACAGAGTCAAGTGAGAATAATGGGTGCAGCTGCCAGTAGTCTCGACCCAGAAAAAACAAGAGTTGATATTGATTTGGTGCCACTAGGGGAAAAGTTTGACAACATGACTGCCTTTCTAACTTATGAAAGATTTTGGCAAGGAAAAGTGCCAATAAATGGATCCATGTTTGGGGATTATCAAGTGATTTTTGTTCGCTACCCTGGTAAGATACACTGCATCTTTTGTGCTAGAAATGATTCATATCAGGTCATGTTAGCGTTTGTTGTGTTTTATTGTTTGAAATTTCATTAACAGGGCTTCCATCCTTACCACCCTCGGGCGCCCTTGGACCTAGTAGAAGTGGCAGCATTCAAAATCCCTTTACTGCATATGTGCCTGTAAACAAGAACTCGAAGATGAATGCCAGAACTATTGTCATAATTGCTATATCTTCATTTTTACTTGTTATGATTTCCATCGGGATACTTTGTGTCCTTTTAAAATGGAAAAGGATCAGTGGACCATCAACTTCTGTGGATCTTGCATTTACACCACCAATCACCCGACGATCAGGTAAAATCATACAAGTTTTCTTTTCAAGTTTTCTCTACGCATGTCTTCTTTGGCAAAAATTCGTCTCTTAGCATGTTCATCTCTAGGTGACATCTTTGGCGGTTTTTTAGAATTTCAGTACGTTGGCAAATATGGGACCCTCAACCCCACGTGTTTGTCATAGTTTTTAAAAAAATACTATATGGGAAAGTGTATTGGTTTCGTGTATTCACGCTGATAGACAATATGTATGCTGCTTCGGTGGGGTAATTCAATATTGCACCCATTGGTAGCTTTACTCCAATCGGGGAATGTCGACTTCATTAGCGGATGGAAAGGATTATTTATGAAATGCTAGTTGCTCCTTCATAACTTTCTGTTTCTTTTTTTTCTTTTTTTTCCAATTCTTTTCTGTGGTAATATTCCTGTGGTTTTTACCCTCATCTAGTTCAGATTGTTTTTGATTGATGGCTTCTTGAATAAATTTATTGAGTCTTCGTTAACATAATATTGCAGTAATGAGGTCCATGATGTCTAGTAGTCTGGTAAGCTCGACAACAGTCTCCCTTGTCTCGACAATGGCCACCTGCCCACCTTCAGTAAAGACCTTTTCACTAGGGGAGCTTGAGAAGGCTACGGACAATTTTAGCTTTAAAAGAGTTTTGGGTGAAGGTGGGTTTGGCCGTGTTTACCATGGGAACCTGGAAGGTGGGCTCGAGGCTGCTATTAAATTGCTAACAAGAGAGGATCAGAATGGAGATCGTGAGTTTATTGCCGAGGTAGAGATGCTAAGTCGATTGCATCATCGTAACCTTGTCAAGCTGATTGGAATCTGTATCGAAGGCCGGGCGCGCTGCTTGGTGTATGAGATCGTTCGCAATGGAAGCGTCGAGTCCCATTTGCACGGTATGATTCATAAAAACTCTTTTGCTTTCTATCCCTGTATCTGTGGTCTTTCTTGTGTCCATTCCATTCCCAGTGAAGTATCTCAACAGGCTTCCTAAGTTGGATGCATTGCTTTCAGTCGAGGGGATTTCTGTTAATCTCAGGGCTGGTAGCAAATTGGTTCAAACTGCATTTGAGTGCCATTAATCTCTGTTCGTCCCACAGCTGCTTCTTAGAACCAAGTTCTTCATCACTTGACCTACGATAATGTTCATCCTATTTGGCCCGAGTTGTTTTAATTCTATATTTTCTTTATTTTTTATTTCCTAAATGCCTGCGTTTCAATTCAATTCTAGGTGTTGACCGAAAGCGGGGGCCTCTTGGCTGGGATGCACGGTTGAAAATAGCGCTTGGTGCTGCAAGAGGACTGGCATATCTACACGAGGACTCCAATCCGCGCGTCATTCATCGTGATTTTAAAGCAAGTAATGTTCTTCTGGAAGATGATTTCACGCCGAAGGTGTCAGATTTTGGATTAGCAAGGGAAGCATCCGAAGGAAGTCAACACATTTCGACCCGGGTCATGGGAACTTTTGGGTAAATTCTTTCTTCTTCACTGCTTTCCAAGGTCAAGACTTTTGGATTTGTTGAAAAATGCTGAAGCAGAGGATCAGGATTAAACATATAGGCAGTGTGCCAAGTACCGTTGACTATTGATCAGATCGCAATCTATGAGTCTCCTGCTTTTGCTTGAATGCAAGTAATAGGACACAAAAAGAAAACGAAAAAGAAAAAGTAAAAGAATCTAATCACTGTTTATCATTCTTTCATAAGAGCTTTCTTTGGTTTCGTTCTCTTTCTTTCCTTTTTCTTTTTTCCCCCGATTCATTCATCTTCCATGCAGACTTAATTTTTATTTTCCATTCATTTTTTTCTGAAAGAAAGAAAAACCAAAATGCCAACGCTGCAGGTACGTCGCTCCAGAATATGCAATGACGGGGCATCTGCTGGTGAAGAGCGACGTGTACAGCTACGGCGTCGTCCTGCTGGAGCTGCTCTCCGGGAGAAAGCCGGTGGACTACACCCAGCCCCGCGGGCAGGAGAACCTCGTGACCTGGGCGCGCCCTCTGCTGGCAACCAGAGAAGGCCTCGAGCGGCTGGTCGATCCTTCGTTGGGGGAGAAGTACGACTTCGGGGACATGGCCAAGGTCGCCGCCATAGCCTCCATGTGCGTCCACCCGGAGGTCTCGCAGAGGCCCTTCATGGGGGAGGTGGTGCAGGCCCTGAAGCTCATCTACAACGACGCGGAGGAGGCCTGCGAGGACCTGTGCAGCCACCGGGAGGAGGGCTCGTCGGCGCCGGACTGCGACTTCAAGGGGGACGGCGGTGCCGCCACTGACGGCAGCTGGTGGAACGGCGGCACCCCCCGCCTGACCTACGGCCGCGCCTCCTCCTTCATCACCATGGACTACAGCTCGTCGGGGCCCATGGAGGAGATGACGGACCGGCCCCGCTCCGAGTCAACCCTCGTCGGCGACTCCTCGGCGGCGGCGGCGGCGCGCCGGAATCGGTCGGGGCCCCTGCGCACCAAGCGTCACCGGTCGGCCCTCTCAAGGCTGAGGGGCAGCATGAGCGAGCACGAGCTTCTCTCCCGGCGCTTCGCCGACGGCTACTGGTTCTGATCGCCTCCTGCTCCAGTCAATCCTCGTGCATACATGCTCTCTCCCTCTTCCTTTTCTAATTTTTTTTTTCTTTCTTCTTCTTCCTCTTAACCTTAAATGTATAGTCAGTCAGTCAGACAGTCAGTCAGTGAGTCAAACAGACGGACAGTCGCCACCTAGGAGACCGTCACCGCTATGGATTTCCTTCCCCTTGGCCCCTTCTTCTGTGAGGATGGATCACTCGCAGAGAGAAGGTTGGTTGCCGTGGGCTTCTAATTTTGAGGTTTCCATTCATTTCCCTGTGAGAGAGAAGAGATGCGGTGCTGAATTGAAGGTTCCTCGGGTGCAATGAATGCTGCTGCTGATCCCTCCTCCACGATTCCAATCCTTTTTTATTGTTTCGATTATTATACACCAAGAAAATAAATGAGGAGAGGAGAGGGGAAGCTCTCTCAGGGGCGCAGACTCCTGACAGGGGGGATCCTTCTGAGGCGGCTCCTCTTCTTGCTGCTGCTCGTCAAGATCCGGAGGCTCTGCCGGAGAATGTCGATCTCCCTCTCTTTCTTTGTTCCCTCCGCCTCCGCGGCCGCTAGTCGCTCTCTCAGCTCCCCCATGGCCGCCTCCTTGACCTCCACCTCCCCCCTCAGCCGCTCCGCCGCGTCGTCCTCCGCCGCCACCCATAATCTCTCTCCTGCACGCACAAAAGAAGAAAAATTACGTCACATCTCCCTCTCTCTCTCTCACACACACACTCTAGGTTGGTAGGGCGGGCACATGGGCATTAACGTCGCCGAGGAGAGAGGACAAGATGGCCGGTTCGGAGGGTTCCTCTTGTTGTGGGATCTCCCCCCCGAGAAAGGAAGGGCTAGCGGCAGAATAATTGGGCAGGCAGAGAGGATTTGACTGTTGCAGGACGGAGACGGATGCCTTCCTCCTTCTTGCATGGGGGAGGGGACGACGGGGAGATGGCGACGGCCTCCCACGTGCGCTGCAGTGATCCATACGGCGGCGATAATCGCCGGCGGGGGAAGGTGCGATCGAAGGAGACCCTATCATGCTATTAGCTGATCTCGGAGATAATAAAATAATAAGACTTCCCCCGGTGAATAATAGCCAAAGACGAACCATCGTTTGAAGAATTCCGGCGGATACCGTCACTCTGAGAAAAGATGACGACGAAGATCTGAACGAAAGGGGAAGAGGAGGGAGGCGAAGAAATCCCGGCTATCAAGAGCATTTTCGAGTGGATATCTCGGGAAAACAACGTAGTTCTTGATTAGACAGCGCGTCGTTTTCCCCGCAAGAAAATCGGACGTGATGGTTCGATTTCACCTGAAACCTGTTCATGATTATATGCGGTAACATTTCTTTAAAACCTTCCAATGAGCTCCAAAGCAAACTGTATATCCTCGCCAAAACTCTCCTCTCGAATGCCCGATCGACGAAAAGGGGAAGAGTTTTGATTGGGAAAGATGAAATCTTGAAGCCTAGGATCGTTCCGGAATTTTGGCTCGAAGCGGAAAAATAGAGGTTCCGGTTCTGGGAAGAGCTCGACGGAATCGGAAGGACTACGCGAAGAAGCAAAGCAGACACTGTTGAAGCCATGGACGTGAAGGATCTCCGGTCTGTGGGAGGGCGTGAGGAGGAAGGAGGAGGAGAAGAGGAAAGGGAAGGCTCCATATCTACAGCTAGCTACGGAGGCGAGTGAGAGAGATGGCGGCGTCACCTTCCTTGGTCCGGAGTATGAGCGCGTCGAGCTCGGCCTTGATGGCGAGGTACAGCTGCTTCCACTTCTCCACGGCCTGCTCCCTCCTCTCCTGCTCCGTCTTCATCTGCTCCACCAACCGGCAAGCACTCAGCACCCGTAACTCCTCCTTGCTCAGCCCGTCACCGCCGCCGCCGCCCCCCGCCGCCGCCGCCGCGCTCTCGTCCTCGAGCTCCCGCCGGCGCCTCTCCTCCGCGCCTAGCTTCTTCCTCAACGCCGCCATCTCCCCCTCCTGCCGCCGCCGCTCCCGCCGCCATGCCCCCTCCTTGGCCGCCCTCTCGCGCCTCTCCCTCCTCACCTCCTCCTCCAGGGCGTGGACTTTGCTCCTCAGCACTGCCGACTCCTCCCGCAGCTCTGCGCACCGCTTGCTCGCCGCGCAACCCATCGCAGCCCTTCCGCGCCGGCGGTGCCACCCTCCTCCAGAAGTCGCCGGCAGCGAGACACACCTCCTGGTTACTATATATAAATAGTTTCCTCACCTGAGGATTCGGACGCCATGAGCGGGGCTTGGAGATCCCATCGAAGAGGGAGGAGGAAGTGAACCTACCACCTCTCTCTCTCTCTATCGAAGAGGGAGAAGGCGTTGACCACTGGAGCGGGTCACAAACCAGAGGATGACTGGGGACAGTGGCAGATTACCGCAGGAGGTCACCTTGGATTCCTGCAGCGACAGTGACGTATGCCTGGGGATTATTTATCAGCCCCGCCACGGTGAGGAGGATAAGGAAGAAGATGACGGGCTTCTCATCTCTGATAAAGCAGATTCGGATTTCTATCTATCCAACCGGCGCAGCTTAATCGGATGTAGCGGTGGGGCCCACATCAACGTGAGAAGCCCAGCGCTCGGGGCCACCTGGCAGAGAGGGACCGTGGGAGATTAATGGGAGTGGGTCCGTGTTCCACGACGAGTAGTGGTAGATTCGTATCCGTTGACCGGGACTAACTGGTGGGGGGGCCCTCCACTGTCCAAGATTCCCTCAGTCAAAGTGACGAAGGCTGCATGGTTGATGTCAAACTACTGTGGGCTCCGTCGGTCGCCCTGTCCGTCCATCCAGACACCGCCGAGCGCCGGTTGGCCCCAGCAGACTGCTTCCTCCGGCTAATATGGACCCTCTGGACTTGGGTGCTTGTGGGCTTCTATTGTAAGATTATCAAGGGAAGTCAACAGTCCGGGTGAAACCGTAGAGCGGCGGCCCAATGAAGGGGGCCCCTTCGGGAGGAGAAAGGGGGAGAATGGGCTGGTTTTTTTCTCCTGACGCGTAGAAATTCATTCCATATCACTTTGTACGGTAAATAAATTTGATCCTTACTGGCGATTACTGGTTTTATTTGTCAAGATCTTTGCTTTTCCTTCGATTCGCCGCCGCCAGGGGGGCCGGCGGGAAACTGGGAAGTCGGGAGGCTTGGCGGCGATGGTCGAGTGAGTGATTGAGGAGGTGGGGTTGAAGAGGGAGGGAGGGAGCGAGCGAGCGTTAAACCCTAGTTTGCCGCCGTCGGAGACTATTGTCGTCGGAGAGAAGCAGAGGGGGGGGCCTCTAGTTCTCTGAGGGATGGGAGGTATGGGGGCGATGGAGGAGGGAGAAGAAGAAGAAGAAGAAGAAGAAGGTCTGGTCACCCCCGGGGAGTTCTTGGGCGAGTCCACCCTTCTGGTTGCCGGGCGAGGCGCCTACCTCGCGCCAGACGGCCGCAAGATATACGCCTCCCTCGCCGGCCGCCGCAGCGTCACGCCCCCTGTCCATGGCTCTGCAGAACCGGTAGGTTCCCCCTCTTCATCCTCCTTGGATTCTCCTGCATCATCGCCATTGATGGGGTTTTCCCGTCTTCTCCGCAGAGGGCGACGGTCGAAGTGGTCGGGCACAAGTCCCATGGCGCCGTTCCGAAACCGGGCTCCATGGTCGTCGGTCGGGTAAGCCATCTCATGTTCGACCTTGGTTCCCAAAGAAGTTCCATTCCCCATGATGTACTCCTCCCAAGAGGCTGAGTAGTTCTGCTGTGTGGATGGAATTTTCGTTGTTTTTTTTCTTTTCCCCTTGCTTTCCTTGCCTTCTACGCAGGTCACGAAGGTGATGGCCAGATTAGCTTCAGTTGACATCATGTGCGTTGACTCCAAATCTGTTCGGGAGACGTTTACGGGCATCATCAGGTGGACCTCTTCTCCTTGCTGAAACAGAAAGACTGGCCCTGATGTCCCGTCTAAATCTACCAACAGAAAACGTGTTAACTATAGTGTATTTGGCGGAACTTGGGCATATTTCACTTTTAGCGCACAGACAAAAACCTGGGAGTTAGCTCCATACCTGCTGCCTGATTCAGCTCATCTTTGTCTTTGATACGTAATCAGGGTGGTTTGGTTCTTGTTGCAATAGTTCTTTCACGAAATTTTTAGGCTGTGGGTTGGGGAAAAAATGATTTCTTTAAGTCAGTCTATGGAGATGCAAGGGCACCATTGGGATCATTTCCGTTCCACCTTCATCATCTGTGGGAGAAATCTCGTCGAATTTGCCTTGACTGACTACCCGCTTCGATAAACATGCAAAGAAAAATAAAGATCTCTCTGGGAAAATCTTTGTTCCCTCGGTGGGATTTTTTCTATCTGAACAGCTAGTTCTTCAGGTAGTCAACGCAATGATTTTTTAAAAATCTTTGTTCCCATTGGCGGTATGTTTAAGCGCCATTTTTCTGCAAGAACTGATAATTTCAATACTTTTAAAGCACGAAAACCTGGTTTTCCCGAGTAAATAACGTGCGCTTTTTATGCTGCATAGTTTCTTCTTTTCTCTTATGATAAATACTTTTTTTAATATGTTACGGTTAATAATAATCTTTGACGAAGGAATTATCTTCTCTTCTGCTTACAGGCAACAGGATGTCCGGGCCACTGAAATCGATAAAGTGGATATGTACCTGTCCTTTCGTCCTGGAGACATCGTGAGGGCATTAGTGGTATCCTTTGGACGCTTGAATTCCCGTTCTCCTTTATGAAAATTCGGCCTTTTTTCTCGGAAAGTCTACTGCTTTCTCTACATTTGTTCATGGGTCACCGATTCCCTCTCTCTCTCTCTCTCTCTCTCTCTCTCTCTCTCTCTCTCTCTCTCTCTCTCTCTCTCTTAGGTTAGCATGAAGGGGTAGCATTTTCTTCCGAAGATCAGCCCTCAGTCTAGATTTATGAAGCTTCAGTCTCTGGATGAGCATGATGCCCATCCAGTGCGATGGGCTTCTGTTTCTTTGACCCACCTGTTCATCTTCCAGCAAGATGCCAGGGAAAAAGGAGACCGATAAAGCATATCTTCTTGTGTTTATCCCCAGTGATTGAAAACAATAATATTCCATGTTATTTGCTCAGAATTAAGGTTTTCCCAGCACTCTCCTTCGTCGTCTCCTGGTTTAGAGAGTTGGATTACCATGGTTGATCCAATGGAATTGGGGTAATCATAGAAGAAACTCGGACCCACCACCCTACTAGATGAGCCCAATTGGAATCGGACCGATGTAACAACAGTCAATGCCACCAGACTGTGAAATACCAACCCTTCTCTCCCATTCTATCTTTTTTTTTGTGATCATTCACGGCGGAAGAGCCCTCCAACAGCTGAAGTCAACAGGCATTGTTGACCTTGACCACCATGTGAAAGCTTTCTCTTGGGGACGCGAGGGCCTACTATCTCTCTACTGCGAAGAACGAGCTGGGCGTTTTGTCTGCCCAGAGCTCGGCTGCTGGTAAGGAACATTATCTTCAACATCAATCTTCAACATGCCAGTCGGCCCACGAAGCTTATACGGATGGGGTGCCTCCCTCTGGTGGCTGCAGGAGCCGCGATGGTACCCATCAGCTGGACGGAGATGCAGTGCCCAGTGACCGGCCAGGTCGAGCAGAGGAAGGTCGCCAAAGTTACCTAGCTCGACGCGATCGGGCTCCTGTTTTTGTTGCACGACTGTTGACTTTCTTCATTAATTCGACTTCAATCCCCACTCGATCAATGGAATCAGAGAATTTCCTTTTCTGAATATATTATACTGGGCAATAGCATTCCTCCGACGATGCCCAGCCTGTGGTCAACCCTGCTTCATGCATGGAGAAGAACACATGGCGGCGGGGTTGGAGGAGAGAGAGGAGACGATAATGGCAGAAAAAAGTTCCATTACTTTCGATAATCTATCTCGGCTTGCAAACGCCGCAGGTTGAAGTTCACAAAACGAATGGAGAGTCTTCTTCTAGGAGCAGAACGCGGTCTTAAGAAAACACAAAGCGGTGGGGGAGGCGGCTTTTCCTGTCTGCGTCTCCTACATGAAGATGTTGGGGCGGGAGGCCTTGAAGGTTGTCTTCAGCCTGCGAGTGGGGGGTCTCACCTTCCTGCAGACGAGGGGGAACTTGATCTTGGAGTCGTGGAACTGCTTGGTGTTCTCCCGCTTGCAGAGCTTGGAGGGGATGGTGGCGGTCTTGATGATCTGGATGCAGGGATGCCTCACCCGGTGGCGGGAGGCCATCTCGTTGTACATCTGCTCCACCGCTCCGTTCAGCGTGGTGTCCCTGTACTCCTTGTACATGTTGTGGTACCCAGTCCTGCTCTGGTACCTCAGCCAGATCCCAAAGTTCTTGATCGTCGTCGGCTTCTTCTCGAAAATCTGATCACACAGGGACGGGGCGAATCAAAACTTGCCGCAATTCATTCGTTAAGAGCTTCGATTTCCGGTAGGGCTAGACAGAAATCTGATATCCTTCGGTGAGAACAATGCAAGGAACTCTGGGCGGCTCTGGGGTGAGTGCTATGGAATTAGATTCAGATCCAAATGTACAGGGAATTTCAGGGGTGGGAAGAAGAACAAGGCAATATTAGATTTCTTTCAGCCATCATAGATCGGAGAGGGCAGCTCAAGAGAGGACATACGCTTCGCCATGAACTGGGTAGGATAGATACGAATGCGTTATAAACTGGTTCAAATCATGCGAGACGAGTTCACACTTTGCTGTAGGGTCATTCAAGCAAAGTCATCCCTAGTATGAGAAAAGAAACCCCAGAGAGGGCTCACTGCCATCATGTAGGCAACTCATGCACGTGAAAAATGGTAAGACACTACGAAAATCACTGGCTGTGTTCACCATCCATCTATGGAATGGCCTCAGTGATTTTATTCACGATTTTTTTACCAAAAAATAATGATAAAGCAAAAGAAGGGTAATTGGATGAACAGCTTTCGAGTAGTAAAAAAAAAAAAAGAGCCAACCGTTACTTTCAACTAGAGTGTTAATATTAAGAGTAAATTACATCGCTTGCACTAATTTTCACAAATGTTCTGCATCAACAATAGAATGAAGCACAAACACCCACACACATAGAGGGAAGATCACACGGTATCATCTCATAAGCCCAACCTGGTCCTTGGACAGGCCAGTCATGGGCTATGGCAGGGTATGGTCTGGAAGCCATAAGAACCCCCCTCCCCGAAAATCCACACACAGCACCCCCACACGGTATGATCTAAATTTAGAACTTAACTGTCTATTCATCAGCAAAGCTATTATAAGTTTTGAGAAGGGTCTGGGCAATCATCAACAGAACAATGAATTATAGAAGATAATAAGATGCTAAACAAAATAAGAGACACGAATTTCGTTGTCCCTTCTACTGGCATAAAAGAAACTACTGAGGTACACAAGAAGACTACGAGGCGTTGTTCCTGTTCAGATCAAAAAAAATGAACGGGCACAGATGAAAAATGTTCCTTCTAAAGTTAGATCGCACAGAGGCTCTGGTTGGCACATTCCCATAGATTCGGGGACAGGTTGGAGAGCAGCTTTTGCTAAGTAAAGGAGGAGAACATAGTACGTTGATTAGTCCTTCATGCAGCCTTTTGAGGCCTCTGGTAGTAGAGCTAGATAAATGGGAAGCACAAGGCTCTACCACGACCAAAATTTTAGGATTCGTGACTAACATAGTATGCTAAATCACCGAACGCAGGAAAAGCTGCTAAGAGTGATTACGAAGCTTTACCTCATTGATGGCGAGAACTTGTCCGTTACTCTTCTTCACCTTCTTGAGTTTCCTCAAGAAGTACCTGCAAGCACGTAAGACTCGAGTTTGTCAACTTAGAAGATTCAAGGATAAATAATAAAGAGTGCTATAATCTCTCGGATGATACCAGAACTTAGACTTCGCCCTCACTTCGTTCGTCGCCCAGAGCTTCATCCGAAAGATCTTCGGATGCCCCTCGGTTGAGGTCGGGAGGGCTCGTCCCACCACCTGGTACTGATGAAACTACAAGAAAAAAAGAGAAAGAAATGCGGAAGGAGGTAAGTAAAAGCGAGTTAAATATCCAAAACCATTCACCATGAACAGAGCGAATGCGGGACCGAATCCTATGTCTCGCATAAATTTCAACAAAAAACATCGGAACCCCCATCGAATATGAGATCCCTGCATACGCAACAGGGCAAGCTTGGAGGAGCTCAGATCTGAAAACCCTGGGAACTTCACCATCAGCGCCGGCCGGACCTTATTCCTGTCTCCCCCGTGCCGACGGCGTCAAAGAAGCATCAAACAAGGGGAGCGATCCGATCTCCATCCTAGTCCTCTAAAGCCTCTCAAAGGACGTTTCTCCGAAGCCACGAAAGAAATCGACGGAAAATGAGGCTGGAAACGTAAACGGGTGAGCACCGTACCCGGAAGATGCCCATGGCGGCTGCACTCTCGCCCTGACACTACGATTCCTTCGCGCCGCTTCCGCTCCTCTGCGCAACCGGGAAGCTCTGTTATGGAGAGGATGACGGCGAATCGGTCGCTGAAGAAAACCTAAACGAAGTCCCCCGTAGCTTCCCCAATCTATCCAATCAACATATACATAATTACGAGAATACCTGAGGCGTGAGAATATGGGCCTGGGGGCAACGTCTCATTTAACTAATGGGCCGGTACCAGGCCCGAGATCGGTTAATGCCCAATCGTCCTAAACAGCCCAGCCCATACCGACGGCTCCTCATGGGATCCGCATCTTAATTGGACATGCTGCGCGACACGTGGCTTTAGATGATTCGCTTTCACACTCCCAGACGGACCTATAAATTTGGTCCGTTCTTCCTCGTTTCTCCTGTTCTTCCCGCGCAGCGCGCTTCCTCGGTTGTTCCTCGCGAAAGGGGGATCTGCGAAGATGTGCCGTCGGCAGCGGGAGATTGCCGGCTGAAGAGACATTGCAGCCAGAGTGGAACGAAGAATCGGTTCTAGGGCTGATTCGAAGCAGGAGGGCGGTTTTCGAGTACCGCGATTTGAATCGGGGATCCAGAGAAAGGGGGTTCCAGAGGCGGTGAAAAAGGTCGGCGGGGGCTAATTTGGATGCCTCCGCCATCGAGGACACTGGCGCCAAGGAGGCGAGGGCAGCACTCCTGGAAGCCAATGCCAATGATCCCTATTGGCGAGGATCCTCGCATTCCTCGTCGGATGCAGAGAGCAAGAATCAGAGGTCTACTTCCTAACCATGATCGAGATACGGCCGTCTTCATCACCATTCTCCCTTTTCGGTGTTGATTCTCTGTGATGGATTTTGATGCGTCGATCGGTGCCACATCTTCGGTCAAGATCAGGGATATACCGAGCGAGTATGATTCCCGTGCCTTCACTGTTTTGGTTGCTGTCTTCTCGGTCCACTGTGCTTGTACATGCCTTCAATTCTCGTCGACATGGTCTTTACATCATATCATGCCTGTTCCCATGATTATCAGCATCAAATGCGGAAATAATTCTGGCAGTATTGGTGGGTGAGACGGGTTGTGCTCTGCGAGTGGACCGTGACACAGTGGCGACACTGGAGTGGTTGGCTGATCTTCGTGGGTCCATCCAAGGTCTGTACGCAAAGCGTTCAACTCTCCTGAGAACCAACTCTGCATTCTTTATTCGATTAAATGAGCTGGAGTCAACGGATCAAGGACAGAAAAATTATAACCTGCAGTACGTTCATGCCATACGCAACATAAACATGATTTTTTAAAAAAAATAGCACGCGCGACTGATCTTCAAAGCCGGATACGATTCGTCATTCGTCAGTCTGAATCTTGAATGTGTTCAATCAATCGAGGATGCCATTGATTTAGGCGAGCATCGGGCTTCTCCAAATCAGCCTCCACTGTCCTGCGATTTCCAGCCACGTCGCGAGTCAATGTCCACATCTTTCTTTTCCCTCTGGGATTGGCAACCCCCGAGGATGATGAACAGACTTCCAATCGGGGTCAAAGTCTGACCGGTGCTCTTGGAGGGAGTTCTGTCTGTCCTTCAGGCGATGGCAGAAAATCCGGATCAAAAGCGGTGTCTTTATGGGAACAAACCCTCTTCCCCTCAGAATAAGCAGCGAGGTCACGAGGCAGCCAGTGGTTCACTTGTCGCCGGCCGTCGTTTTCGGAGAGTTTCCATACGGCGACGGCGACCCTGGCGGCAAGTTTGACCACGGCAAGCGGTTTTTAAAGCCCCTGTGGGGTCGCCGCCGGCCCAGTGGTCCTCTTCGCGCGGCGATAATGCATGAGTATTCATGTTCTATCGTCCGACCAAAAGAAAGCAACCCGTCGGTCTATTCTCGCCCGATGGGGAGGTCCAGATTCTCCTCCCCTCGGACTCTCTGAGGCAGATACCCGGCGAGAATCTTCGTTGGCAACTGGTCGGAACTGAGGACGTATCGGGGAAGGTCATTTTTGTGGGACACATCCGGCTGCCGCGCATACAAACAAGCGATACCCACAACGTACTTTGATGAACCAAATTCTACCGAAGACTCTGGTGAAAAAACGGGCATGCCCCCCTCCTCCAGAGATAGAAAGAGAGAGAGAGAGAGAGAGAGAGGGAGAGAGAGGGCATAGATGCTGTGTTATGTGTGTAGACGCCACGTATAAGCCCGTCCAAGTCTAGATAGGGATCTATTTTGAGGCTGGGGTCTGGCGATTAATATATATATGGTGTTTGACCGTGAGCATGATAACTCTGAAGGTCAGAAGGAGTTGGGGGGGTCGTTTATCAACGAGGGTGCGGTTGAGATGATAGAAACCCGCCCCAGGTGTGAAGTTAGCTAGCCGAAACTTCGCATGGATTTCCCCATTCGTCGGAGTCATCCAGCGTTTGGAAATGAGGTCGCGTGCTTCTAGGGATCGGGCATCTTCGCCTGGTCTCCTAAGAATCTGCCAACCCGGACCCTCTACCGAACAGATTTCAGCGGGAGAGATCACTATATGGGAAAGAAGCCTATATTTTAAAGCTTACCCAGGAAAGAAAGCTCTTCTGAAGGGGTGCCCAAAGACGAGGGGAGACGACACGAAGGGAGAAGGGCCCGATGAGACAAATCTAGGGAAGGGACAACCCAGAGGACACGCCGAGAACGGACTATCCGCGTCCTGGGGCCTCTCTCTCTCTCTCTCTCTCTCTCTCTCTCTCTCTCGCTGTGCATGCTCCGCTGGAGAGTTTGGGATGGCCTCTGAGTGCATCTCTGAAAACCAGGGATCGGGTTATTATTGGCGGCTTCGTCTTCTTCTACGCAGTGAATCATTGGTAGGCGTGGAGGGAGAGTATTAAATGCCCACGCCGGAAAACCAGATCCCCACCAGACTGACCCAGACGGAGTGTACTCTAACGCTGGCTCTACCTGTCATTATTGATTGAGAGAGAGAGGGTGAGGGAGAGGAGACTTTGTCGTCAGTGACGTAGGCTTGGCGTCTTACCGGACGTGGAGTTGGAGGTGCCGACGCGTGCCTGAATCAGGGTTTAGGTGTGGAGGTTGACCCGCTGCCTTCTGTGCTTGGCGTCCGGAAAAACCCCCACGCGCTGTCCACATCACGCCCGGGATTCCGTGCTCCTGAGTTGAAAAGGAGAACGACGAGAATCCAGAGATGCGAACGCGAGCTGGGAAAGCGGGATAACAGAGATTCCACGACGACATGGATTTTCCAGGGAAGGGACGGGGGGGATGGGGATCGGACAGAATTCACCGGCAAAACCCCCATTGGTCGAGCTTTCGCGTTGGGGATCAGCTTCTGCAGGGTCGAACAGGGAACGGAGATCCCAGCTCCGAGGCTCGACCACAGAAGAAATCAGGATTCCAAGCGAACGATCTGGGATCAGAGATGAGGGTCCCAAAAGTCAAACCTCTCTTATTTATCCCGCCTAATCAGGACGAGCACCTGTTAAAAAAATCTCGGCATCTGCTTCCTCTTCTCTGAAATAAATAACAAGACAAAACATGAATCCAGAAGACACTTACCATTTTCAAAAGGAGCGGTGATGTGAGCGAGACACGGTCATGAAAGCGACCAGACCTTCACGTCCGCAGCCGTCTTCCAGCTCACCATCAGTGCATCCTCGGTAAATAATTCTAGGAGAACCGTTGAGGAATTAAAATTGGCGATTCTCCTCCCGGTCTCAATCCGAAGCCCATCATCCCGGTGCATATTCTATTCCTATGTTTATTGCCGATCACAGCCTTCAACAGGCTCTCGGTTATTTCTGAAGAAAACCATTGGCGTGACTCGGGCCAGGAAGATGACCAAGACGAAAGTGTCCCTGTTAAAGTCGTTTTCGTACATTTAATGGCATGTGGAGCGAGAAGATGAAGCTCGTTCCTCATTGTGGATGGCTAGAGTCTCTCGGTACGCTGGTGCCCTTGGACGCCATAAAAATACAATGAAAATATCTTAATTATCATACCCTAAGGGAGTGGGAGAGAAATGAGAATTACCAGAGTTTGAATCTGAACTACTGATGCCGGGCTCATCTGACCTATGCTTATACCAAGCTCTGCTCCGCTCCAAAAGGATTTATCTATCGAATCATACCTTTTACTTGGTTGCGTGCGTTCCCGGGAACAGTGATACCATCCCAATCTGTCCTCACCGGAATCGCCTGCACGACACCCCCGCCCCCCGTCCGGATTGATGTTGATGTTGATGTTTACAAAGATTCAAAGCGTTGACTTCGAACCTACAATTGAAAATGGATTCCGCATCCGGAGAGGGGGGATCGCGTGTGGCGAACTCGGGGAAGCCCTGAATCCGCACACATCGGCCTCATTTGGAGGCCAGTAACTCGAATCAGAGAGCTTCCATATGCTTGCGCCGAGAAGGAAGAGAGATCAGAAAGGTTGGAGTAACCCCTCGGAGATCGCGTTGGGATCTCGGCTCCTCCCGGTCAACGGATCCGGAAGCTCTCCCTCCACGGGGCTCCATCTGCGATTTCCCCGAAGATCATGAAGCGGGGAAGAACTTGTGACAACAATATCATAAATAAATAACTAAAATATTTAAGGAGAACTTTCTAGAGGGACCCGGAATCTTGCCTCCAATTGACGGAGCTGGATGCAGATGGGATTCGAATCTCCCCCCGGAGGCGTGCTAAAGTGGTCCTGCGGGCGCAGCCAATCGCGAAGAGGGGGCGAAGGTTAGAGCCAGCGAATTGGCGCGCGGGGACATCACACCGCAGCCACAACCAACAGTTGAGGCGATTAGCGCGTATAAACAAAAACAACTGATGGAAGTTCCCGAGCGCAAGTTGGAGAATGAAGTTCCGGAAATGCCCTTTTACACTTTGCGACGATCCTGCTCCAGTCGGTTATAAAAGCGGCGCCACAGGACCCTCAGAGCGCCACTTTTCCATCTTCTTGTTCCTCCTACCGCCGCCGCCACCACAGTCTGTGTCTTCCGCAGAAGGAGTAAGAAGGAGGAAGAAGGGGGAAGAAGGAGGAGGAGAAGAGGGAAGGGGAGAGATGGCGGACATGACCTGCTCGGCCATGCTCGGCGCGGGAGCCGGGAATCTATCGACAACGACGGTGAGTTTCATCTGCGAGTCGTTCCAGAACATCACCGGCAGCCTCGAGACGGTGACGAACCAGATCACGGACGCCACCTCCGCCATCGACAGCACGTATCTCCTCTTCTCCGCGTACCTCGTCTTCGCCATGCAGCTGGGATTCGCGATGCTCTGTGCGGGATCGGTGAGGGCCAAGAACACCATGAACATCATGCTCACCAACGTGCTCGACGCCGCCGCGGGGGGGATCTCCTACTACCTCTTCGGCTTCGCCTTCGCCTTCGGCGCCCCCTCGAACGGCTTCATCGGCCGCCATTTCTTCGGCCTGAAGGACGTCCCCGCCACAGGCTTCGACTACCCCTTCTTCCTCTACCAGTGGGCCTTCGCCATAGCAGCGGCCGGGATCACCTCCGGATCGATCGCCGAGCGGACTCAGTTCGTCGCCTACCTCATATATTCCTCTTTCCTCACCGGCTTCGTCTACCCGGTCGTCTCCCACTGGTTCTGGTCGGCCGACGGCTGGGCCAGCGCCAGCCGCCCCGAAAACCTTCTCTTCGGGAGTGGAGCTATCGACTTCGCAGGATCGGGGGTCGTCCACATGGTCGGCGGCATCGCCGGCCTGTGGGGCGCCCTGATCGAGGGGCCTCGGATCGGGCGATTCGACCACACCGGTCGCTCCGTCGCCCTGCGTGGCCACAGCGCCTCCCTGGTGGTGCTCGGCACGTTCCTCCTCTGGTTCGGATGGTACGGCTTCAACCCGGGGTCCTTCCTCGTCATCCTCAAGAACTACGGCGACCCCGGGTCCCCGAACGGGCAGTGGTCCGCAGTGGGGCGCACCGCCGTCACCACCACCCTCGCTGGCTGCGCCGCGGGGCTCACTACCCTCTTCGGGAAGCGCCTACTCTCGGGGCACTGGAACGTGACCGACGTCTGCAACGGGCTCCTCGGCGGCCTAGCGGCGATCACCGCCGGATGCTCCGTGGTCGAGCCCTGGGCCGCCATCGTCTGCGGCGTGGTGGCTGCCTGCGTCCTCATCGGTTGCAACAAACTGGCGGAGAAGTACAAGTACGACGACCCCCTGGAGGCGGCGCAGCTCCACGGCGGGTGTGGCACCTGGGGGCTCATCTTCACCGGCCTGTTCGCCAAGAAGAGGTACGTCAACGAGGTCTACCCGGGCCATCCCGGTCGGCCCTACGGGCTGTTCATGGGCGGCGGCGGGAAACTTCTGGCCGCCCAGATCATCCAGGTCATCGTCATCGCCGGGTGGGTCTCCTTCACCATGGGGTGCCTCTTCCTCCTCCTCCGCAAATTCCACCTGCTCCGGATATCGTCGGAGGACGAGATGGCCGGCATGGACCTGACCCGCCACGGCGGGTTCGCCTACGTCTACCACGACGAGGATTCCCCCAGCCACGGCGGCGGGTTCATGATGAAGTCCACTCCCAGCCGGGTGGAGCCCTCCGCCTCCACAGGCCACACCCCCCAGGCCTAGGGGGCGCGGGCCTCTCTCTGTCTCTCTCTCCTCCTTGATTTCTTGCGCACTTTTGTCTTCAAATTTCCATATGTATTCCCCTGGATGCGGCCGCCATGGCCCGATCGATACCTTCTTGTACAGCGTCAGGACAGCGGAGCGAGCCGAGACTCCTCGGCTCCTCCTCCTCCTCCTCCATCTTCTTCTTCTTCTTCTGTGGGGACTGGACGGCTGAGATGTGGGAGAGGAGGGTGGCCACGTACCCCTCTCGACGGCGCTGGGTTGCAATAACGGGTGGATGTGGGAGTCGGAGCAGCCCCATCTTCTTATCTTCATCCTCTAGCTGATGTGGTTGGTGATGCGCTTGTTGTCCTCTTTTCTTCTGTCCATGTAAAACCAAGAAGAAAAAATATATAAAAAAAGTCCCCTGTGATCTGTGATTCTCCCTCACCTCTCTCTCTCTCAATCTCTCTAAGATGGTCTCCATCTTCCACTGTGTGTCTTGGGTCATCTTCTTCGTCTTCGTCTTCATCTTCTTCTTCTTCTTCTTCCTGTTGTTGCGGTTGCAGACATACGAGGGCCATGGGGCTCCAATGGCGGGCATCGGATTCCAGGGGGTCCACTAGTTTGTCCCCAGGCCTCTCCCCCGAGCAGCTCGGCATTTAATTTGCCGTGGCGGTATCTCCTGGGGAGCAGCCCTCTCCCCCATGCCCCCCACGAGGGCTGTCTAAAAAAAATGTCCCTCCTTTCTTATCCCTCTCTCTACAAGACGCTGCCTGATACGGCGGCGCCGTTGACTTTTCCTTTTCGCCTGATTCAAGATCCATCAAAGGAGTCAACCCACACCCACCCTGCAAGAAATTATGCGCTTCAGTCTCCGGCGACCTCCTTCACCCAGCCCCCCATGGCCAGCGCAAGTTGAAGAGACGGAGAGAGAGACACTCCCAAATGGCGTTCAACATGGCCAACCTGCAGCCCCTCTAGTGGTCGACTTCTGCTCGGATAAAAAGAGGTGGGGAGGAGGATGATCGGATTATTCGGATGATCTTCTCCCCGAGACCATATTCCTCGTGACGAGCAAGACCGACCGGCCATGGCGGTGGCGGCAGCTGCGGCGGGCATCTGGGTAGTCATGGGAGCATATATTCAACACACAGACAGATAAATTTGAGGGTTCTCGACGGACGAACGAGAGGGACTCTCTCAAGATGGCCCGTCTAGTTGTCTGCTTTCTGTAGCTTTGGCTTTCCACTTGTAGACTTCCGGGCAAGGACATCAGATGGGTTAAACCGGGAGTGTAGTTCAAGCTATAATTCTTCCAAGAGCACCTTCATCAATTGTTCTAGAGAGAGAAAGCCTCTTCTCCATCTGTCTCGCCCCCCCATCTAATAGTCATAGCACCTGGTGATTTTGGCCGACCAACCGATCCCCTCTTCTTGTTTCCTTTGCCGGCGCTGCGTTGACGTAAGATGTAGTCGTCCTCCGGCATGAATAATCAATCGGCCAACCATCCGAGCGAGAGGTCAGACCAGAGGTTCAGGTTCGGTCTCAATAGGCGAAATGGAAGACATGGAAAAGCACCTAACATGGCAATTCCAAGGTTAAATGATATATCATTCAGGGTGGTTCCATGTGTTGGGAGTTGTAGAGAATAATATCTTACTAGACCTTATTGGGATCTAATAGATTCTTCGTATCCGATGATTGAAGTAAGATACTGTGGACGTAGAAGGATTCTCCAAATCACGTAAAATTAGTTTGTCTTCTATTCTCAATATCTCTTTCTTGAGATGTATCTTGAAATAGACTTTTAATGAGGATGAAGGGGAGATGGGGACGCTATGATCTCAAACACCATTAGGGTAGTTTAAGGCGATCATAATCAGACAACCTATTTCCATGAACCTCAATAGCCTGGGTCATGCTATACATGACATCATCTGGGAAGGAGCGTGCTCCATCCCTCGAAGGGCACCGGGGCGAAGGTTGCCGGCAGCCACCTCTACCATGACCCCTAGTACCCTTCGGAGGATAGTAGGGCGCAGATTTCTTTTCAGCTCGGCGGCTCGTAGCCACAGGTGGCTGGGGCCGCCCTGATGCTTCTCTAGCCGACATAGGGCTTGGAGTCTCCCAGAGTCGGGAGGGGTCTGGTACCGAATCCGTCAGTCTCGAAGGAGATGGTGGACTCGTGTCCACTCTAGCTACTCGAAGAGCTCTGATTGAGCTTGTCTCTACCATGGCTGGGTCCTATGGGTGCCTAGATGCCAATGCAATCCTATATGAATGGTCTACTAGTGGTATGGAAGTTCGGTGAGCGTCCTTAGGGGACCGAGGTTAGGTGATAACCCAACCTGGCTCTGATACCAATTTGATGCAAGAGGGGGCGAGACCCTTGTACCTGGTCAATAAAACTCAAGATCGAGATGGGGTAGTCGGACCGATTCGGACAGAATGTATGGACCCTAGACTCTAGGTCTAACCACGTAACCTAAGTACAGGCAGGCGTACCAATATGCATGATTAACCCAGGACAACTCGGGGAAACACTCGACGATGGTAAGTGTGAGGCCCTCTCGGTCCACGTCTAGACAAATGGCGGAACGGTCGTCGTGAAGTAGCCTAGGGCTACAGCTCACGAACGGTGACGAGTCTGGTGCAGCATCGGAAGTCACGATCTGATAACCCATCTTATCCTGTCTACATTCTCCTAATGTCAGTGTAAACAAGTCAAGAAAACCCTTCAAAAGATAATTAAATTTAAGAGGAAAGGGTATGGAGGTAACCTTTGGGGCTGCGTAGCCCGACGGGTCGTGACGAAGAGTAGACTCGACGTAAGTAGAGACATCCGGTGAAGAGCGATGCTCAACGTCGACGGTCGGTCCTAGTCGAGAGTTGCCATAGTCATCGTCGTAAGACGTGGCATGGTCGGATCGGGAGTGGGCCTGCTGGTGGGCCGAAGAGCACGCTAGCAGACGCGCGCGGCAAGCCGCGCGGTGTGTCTCAGGGCACGCGGGCGGTGGCACCTAGTTGGCGCGCGGGCCGCAAGAGCTGGCGTGCGGGGCGCATGCAGCGCCGGCACTTCAACGGGAATGTCGAGCATCAGTGGCGCTTCAGCGGGAATGCCGAGCGTCAGCGGCGCTTTGGTGGGAGTGCCGAGCGTCGAGGGCACTTCGGCATGAATGCTGAGCGTCAACGGTTGGGCGGAAACCCAACCATTGCTGGAAGGATCGGCCTTCTCTGGTGGCGTCGAGAAGTGGAGCAGAGGACGGAGGCGATCCGGCCGACGATACCAAGGAGGGTTGAGCCCTCCTGGTCTAGGCGGCGCTGGAGACGGCGCGATGGCGGCGAATCGTCGGGAAACTCCAGCAGGGGTCTGTGAGGAGCTTGGACTGGATCTAACTCGTCGGCACGGCAGTAGGGTGTCTCCCGATGTCGGCGGCAGGTAGGCGTTCGTCGGCGAACAACCAGCGACTAGGCGGAGCAGCGAATGACGACTCTAGCGAGTTTATGGTGGAGTTCCAAAGGAAGAGGTGGCAGTCGAACCAGGAGTTGAGAGACTCTGGTGGAGTGCTCGGCGACGGCTCGTAGAGAGGCGAAGCAAGCCCCTTTCGTCACGACGGCGTGACGGGTTTCCAGTAAAGGCGGCAGCGGCTGCAGCGGCAACCGCGACCATTTCGTCCGGTGACGGCGGCGATCTCATGGGAGGCAATGAAGATGTCCGGCGGCGGCAGTGGTCTCAGGCGGCGGCGGGACTTCTCTGATAGCAGTGTCACGATGAACGAAGTCAGGGTAACAACGACCTTCCTCTCCTTCCTTCCCTCCCTATCCTAGGTCACAAAGAAGGTATCTTAGAAACGATAATTTCTCACAAAATTCGGTGCTTTCTTGAGGGGGGGGGGGTCCTACCTCCCCTTATATGGGGCCCACAAGTGGGCTAAGGGGAGGTGGGCCCACTTGAGGCCCTCAAGCCCATAAGCCACAATAAGGCTACAAAAGGGGCTTATTGGGCCTCTAAAAGAGAGACACAATAAGCTCCCCTAAAAGGAGAAAGAGGAGGGCCCTCGTACAGTGCTTAAGTGGGCCTCAAATGAAGACCCAAATAAGCCCCAAAAGAAGCCCAAAAGGAAAGAAGCATAGGTCCCCCCCCCCCCCTTAAGATTTTAATTGGGCCTCAAAAGAGAGACCCAATAAAACCCTAAAGAAAAGGAGACACAAACAACAACACACACATAGAATTGGGCCCACTAACACACAAATGCAAGGCCTGACAAGTCAACGTGAAAATACAAAGAAAGATAATGGTGAGCTCGAACTCGTTGTCGTCACGGAGGTAGAATGTCGTTGTCCCGAAGGGTTAGGCCGTGTAATGAAAGCCAGGCTCCTTCGTCTTCGTGCTTCGATCAGGCTGAACTCGGACTGCTGGTGTCTCTTGAGCTGATGGAGATGGGTCCCGCTCACCATCAATGACTCTTTTTAGAAAAAGTCAATTGAGAGAGCTAGGGGTGTCCTCAAACTCATCAATTCATCACATTCTAGGATTTACTTTAAAAACATTCCCTCTCCACCTTTTCTCCTCTATTTTAATTCTAATTTATTATTATGTAGTATGATTTCTTAATTTTTCTCTATTTTACATTATATCAACTTAGTATTAAAGCTATGGTGCCTATAAATTATTAGAAATCGTGCTTGACTTTGATTATCTCCAAATGACTTTTTTCCTTCCTCCCTTTCTGTGTTAATTGAACACAAGAGAGAGAGGGAGACATGAAAAAGAAGAAGGCCGAAGCCCTAAATTTCATTATTCACAAATGTTTACATGTTGCTTGATATTTACATCGACACACTATTATGAAATAGGAGAGGGTGAACTGGTCTAGTTTAATTCTAACTAGTTCAATCTATAGTTTTAATACAAGATATGATGGACATGAAAATAAAGGACTAAAATACTAAATAAAAAAAATATTTTTAACACTCTCTAAAAGTTGATGAATATATGTATATAGTCATTTTATGAATATATTTACGATTTAATCAGTTGTAGGCACATATAGAGTACATATCTATCAACTATCTATCTTCTCATTTTTTAAGTGTCCGTCAATCTTTGTGTGTTTAGCTATGTCATGCTGAACATGGTTGTGGACAATATTAATCATTGATTTATTATCACAACAGAGCTTCATCAGACCATGAATATTGATCTTAAGATCCTTCAAGATGATGTTAACCCATAAAATGTCACAAATACTTTGTGTCATAGCACAAAATTCAGCTTCTACATTTGATCTAGCTACGATATTCTATATTTGACATCTCCAAATAATAAGATTACCTCCAAAAAATATATAGTATCTTGATGTTGAATGTTAATCTATAATAAATCAAGCATAATTTGTATATGTGTAGCCTTCAAGTATTAGATAATCATGTTTTTTGCACAAAATGACTTTTCTTGGTCTTCCCTTTAGAAAGTGTAGAACACAATATGTTGCATACAAATGTATTTATTTCGGAATGTGCATGAACTAACTAATGACACTGACTACATATGTTATATTTAGCCATGTATATGATAAATAAATCAATTTACCTACCACTCGTTGATACATCCTTTTATCCATAGTCATATTTTTCTCCACTGCACTTATCTCTTGATATTAGGATTACAATTGGAGAATTAACCAATTTGCATATTATTTTTCATTTTCAGTCACAATAATATTGTCCACATATACTATAGAATCATGACTCCACATGAAGAGGAATGTTTGACAAATATAGTGTGATCACCTTGACTTTTTTTGTATCCCATCTTGAGCATAATTTTTATAAACCTATCAAATTAAGCTTGAAGAGATTATTTCAGTCCATACAATCTGTTCTTTAACCTGCACATAACATTAACATTTAAATTCCTCTCATATTTATGTGGTATCTCCATATATGTTTCATCTTCTAGTTAACCATGTAAAAATATATTTTTATCATCAAATTGCTTACGATCTCAACTAAACTTAATTACTTATGACAAAAATATTATAATTGTATTCATTTTTACTACTAGTGTAAAAGTTTTAAGATAATCAACTCCATTTGTGTATATCATTTTGTAATTGGCCTACCTTTGTGTCCTTTTATAAATTCATTAAAATGATATTTAATTATATACACCCATTTGTAACTAATAACTTTCTTCCCTATTGGCAACATACAACTTTTTAAGTATTATTTTTTTTCTAAGCTTTCATCTCTTAATTCATAACAAGTTAAAGCCTCAGAAATAGTCTTTGGGATTGAGGTTAAATTTAGGTTAGCTACAAAGGTCTTCTGTGCAAGTGATAATCTATTATATGATAGAAAAAGTATCATAGAATATAATGGTTTTTTAGTACATTCGCTTACCCCTTTTTGAAAGGTAATAGATTGGTCTTCATCATTAGGTAAGATACTAGCTTGAGATCTCTCATTTGACTCATCTCAAGAGAATTCTTGAGCATGCATGGATTCTAGAATATTCTCTTTTTTCCTTAAACATACTTTGTTAAATCTTCTTCTTTTGGGTTCTACATTAGGAGTATATTCAGTAATAAGTGGTTCGATATGAGCTATAGTGAGGTATGATAATGAATTAATAGTAAGAAGTAAAATATTTAATTATGTATCTTCTAATATTTGAATCTTATCATAATGATTTGATGTGTTATAGTATAATTTATTCTCACTGAAGATGTCATCCCTTGAGATGAAAATTTTCTTTGTTGAAGGATAATAACAATGATATCATTTATGTGTTTGGAAATATGTTACAAAAAATATATTTTAGAACTCTAAGATCTAATTTTGCTTTGTGTCATTCATGAATATGAACAAATGTTATACACCCAAATATTCAAGATATAAGGTTTGTTTTTAATAAAATTTGAGGATAAAAGAAAGATAAGATGTCAATTAAAATTTTAAAATTAAAAGACTTGAGTGGTAGACAACTTATAATATGGGCAGTTATAAGAACTCCCTCACCCAAAAAATATTTTAGTACATTATTTTGAATAAGAAGAGTTTTAATTATCCCTAGTAGATGACTATTTTTTGTTCAGCCATCCCATTTTGTTAAGGTGTATAGGCACATGATGATTTGTATACTATAATTTTTTTCTAGAAATAAGAGGATATGATTGAAGTAATATTTAAAGTTATCAGATCTAACCCTCTGAATTGTTGTTTAAAACTGAGTTTTATTAAAGAATAGAATTGTATGAGTGTCATACTTACATTAGATTTATGTTTAAGTAAATAAATTCACTTCATTCTTATATAGTCATCAATAAATGTGATAAACCACCTAGCTCTACTTGTGTTAGGTGTTAGTGTAGGCCTCCATACATCACCATGGACACGGAAAAAAAGTATTGAACATTTTTTTAAAAAGAAATATATTTTTTGATGTTTGACAAATTCACATATTTAACACTTGAATTAGAGATATTCGAGTTGTGAAACAAAGAAAGAAATATTTTTTTAGGATAAAAAATGAGGGATGTCTCAATCTTTGATGTTGAAGTCAATTCTTTCTCTATTTGATAGGTCATGATTCTTGAGAATGTTGTTTTGATCTATTCTAATATTTGATTGACTTTGAAGCTCTAGATTATAGAGTCTACTCCATTATCTAGTACGTCCAATCATCCTCACATACATCTTGTCAAAAAGTAGATAAGTATTAAGATCAAACACAATATTATCTAAGTCTCTTGTAAATTTGTTAATAAAAATGAGGTTTGTGGTCAACATAAGACCTTAAAGTACATTTTTTAATGTAATATATAGTGACAAACAAATGTTTCTCTATCCCAAAAACTATAATTGAGGAGCCAACAATTATGATAATTTTCTTATTACTTAGACAAGGGCTCTTGAATCGATGATCTAGAGTAAAGATTTACTATTTATTGAGACACTCAACCCAACTAAAGTTGGAAACTTACTTGAACAGAAAAATAAATACTAAGCTTGTAATACTTGGGCTTGTAGATATTTGGTAGCTTGTCCATGATCTAAAGTATTTACTTTTGTTTATTGGGCCATAGTGATATATGTGCTTGATTTTCACTCTTTTGTTATCCCTTCTTTTGTGTCCATTCATAATTTTGAAGCCTCCCATATAATTTATAACACATGTCAAGAATGATGGTTGTTCACATCAAAGCTATGATTCTTGAGTTCTTTTTATCTTAAACTTCAAGCTTCAAATCTCATATCTCCAGCCTTCAAATTTGGATGAACTAAATGGTTAATCATTCTCTATACTTTAAAAATAACTTGTATTTGTTGAGACCACCAAAAGTAATTCCCACCTTCTAAATGATTTATTTGTTGTATAATTGACAAATCTCCATAAATCGGACTAAGTTTCACTCTCATAGATTAGGGTTGTTCTTGTTTTCTCATAGAAGTTTTTTTATACATTCTTGAGAACTCATGAATCAAATATGTTTGTTTTATAAAAGAGTCAATTTATAGATCAAAATATGAATCCACAATTCGGGTTATGTAGGTCAATAGCATGTGCTAAATTATCACCTAAATAGTGTAAAATCAACGAACAACTGGTGACTTGGTCTAACAAGTCATAAGAAAAATTTATTCTCACAAAAATAAGAAACTATCATTTAAGAAGAATAAGATTGATCACACTTGAGCTCTCATATCATGTTAGAAATCGTGTTTGACTTTGTTCATCTCTAAAGGTCTATCTTCTTTCCTCACTTTCTACACCAACAGTAAACACAAGAGAGAGACACATACACAGAAGGAAGAAGGGTGAAGTCTTAAATTATATTACTCACAAATTCTATTACTAATTGGTTGTTACGAAATGAGAGAGGGTGAATCTATAGTTTAGTATACGGCTTTATTATAAGATATGATGGACAAAAAAATAAAGGACTAAACTAATAAGAAGAAAAAATATTTCTTACGTAAATATGACAAAAGTTACTAAAACTTGGAAAAGGATGTCGAAGAGTTGAAATTAGGGATTAACTATCTACCAATTATTCAAGTGGAAATATTCAAGATTGTATTTAGAAAGAATGTATTGAAATAGCTCTCATAGTCAATGACATAACTCTTTTAGTATCTAAGTGATAAGTCAAATGTCCTTAATAAGGTGTGATGAGAACATTATGTTAATCAAGGGGGCCAATAAGATGACTAAAAAGAAGCAAAGATAATGGGTTGACCTCAAATCAACATACAATAAAAGATGTCTAACTCTAAAGAAATTAGGTTAAGATCTTCATTAAAAGATTTAATCATGGGTAGATGGGTGTATTGATGGCATTGATTTCAACACATATTGAAATTTTTATTTATAAATTATTTTTTAATAATATATTGAATGTCAATTGAACCATTAATATATATCATGATAATTTACATGAGAAGTATAATATTATTGAGAAAAATTCAAAACATGTCTATATATATATATATATATTGATGATGTTTGATACAATCATATGACTAACAATAAATTCAAAGAGGTACACCATTAAGATATATTTTTATGTTGAAATAATATAATGTAATATTCTTAGAATATAAGTACAGAACAATATGTGTCAACATATGTGACTAAATCTCATATATGTTTCTAAAAAGTAAAGTTATTAATGGGATTTGAACATAGCACTTGAATATTGAGAAGACCGAAGCATTGGAGTATATAACATTTAAAAAATTAAAATAACACATAGTTAGATGTGAGATTTAAACTTGAGAAACAAGCTATGCAAAGTTAAGAAAATAACAGTTGAAATATTTGAATATTACAAAGATCAAGTCATGGGTGGAATTTAAAATTAAGATCGTTGCAGTGACACTATAAAAAGTTGATCAAATATACAAAGTAAAACTATAATATCAATAACTAAAGTAAGAATCAATCCCAATTATATGCGGCAATTAAGCACACTATTCACATGATGTCATCAAGAAAGTGGAGAAGTCTTTGCCACGTAACTGACATGGTAACATATCAAAGTTTACATGGAAAAAATGATGAAGTAAAATGACATACAACTCAATCTCAAAAGTGAAAAAATATGTTGAAATATGATGAATTTTAAAAACAAAGCTTCAAGAATCATTTGTGGCAAGCATACACATCTCGTAATAACAAAGGACCCAAATTCAATCTCGCACACCCTAGATGATAATATATCACCAATGTTCATAGACAAAATGACAAACTCCACAAGAGTAACCAAGCTCAACCTTGAAGACCAAAATATTTGTTGATTAGTCTCATATCTCTAAACATATTACCAAGGACAACCTATGTGATAGCATAAAGATTTAAATTGAAGAATGACCAAATATTAGTGATATGAAATTTAGATAATAATATATCACTACATAAAATGACTAGTTCAACAATCTCATTTGAGCTCAACTCTTAAGACACATTATGAAGAACAACTTACATGAGAGTGGAAAGATTTTTCAGTTGAATAATGACTAAAAGTTAGTAGCATAAATTTTAGATAGTAACTCGTCAACAAAATACATGAACTAAAGATAAACTAAATAAGTATTTTTGAATAATACTCTAAAAGAGAAGATGTTTATTGATCAATTACAAATCTCAAGACAAAAGATTACAAACAACAATTCAAGAGTAAAAAGTTTAATACCATAAAATGATTTAAGGTCAACAATATGTCACAGTGTAATGAGAATATTTTCAAATTCATATGACCATTTTCAGATGCTAAAGTTGTATAAATATATTAGAGTATGAGGAGAATGAGCTGAAAATGAATTGAAGTTATCATTGAACGAAGATATTTGCATCCACATCATTCACTCAAACTCAATAAGAAGATCATATTCCATCTCATTAACTAAACCACTCTTTTGTTACTCTATTTCTCTTTCTATCTATTATTCTATCTAAACAATTGTTGATGTCACTTATTAGTGGTGACATTGGAGCTATAATAGTGTATTCATGACACCATTTGTTGCAACGACATAATTCTTTATGGTGAAATAATAATCTATGAGTTTGTTGAGCCATTCTTGTTAAGTTGGAGAATGAATCTTTTGTTCCAACTAATATGCTTTCTTCTTAATTTACATACCAAATAATTAGCAGTCCTACATTTTTACACTGATATTATTCGATAATTTGATTCATTTTTATAAGGAGAGAGACATTGACATTTTACCTTTAAACCTTGGCTTATATAAGATTAAGGTCTCCCTTTCTTCATTAACATAGTGTAGATCCATGTTTTGAAAGCATCACATTTAATATTGAAAGGAATATAAAACTTTGGTAGGGTGGGTTAACACAAGAGTCTGTCCTTTTCATTTTATTGAAATCATTTTCAATCACTCTATCCCATTTGAACCTTTCTTTAATAATTAAGCAAAAGGGGTTGCAACTATCCCATTACACTAGATTCTTCTTTTTAGAAATTACTTATTAAACTTATAAATATATACATGAACTTCACATTCTTTCGGGTTAGCCATTTGACTGTGTCGTCCACCTTTTAGTCTACATTCACAATGTTTTCATTAATCACATTTGCCTAAACACTTTGAATTTTTTGCCTTCATTGGATGTAATTTAAGGAGTTGAAAGGCCAAACTTTGATGATTAAAATGATCATGCCACTTTTTTTTGTTGGTCAAAAATATCATAAAAAAGCTAATAAAAATTTGCAAACTTAGTAGAGAATTTTTTGTACTTGGCATGGCATTCTTGTTCAGTAATTTCCTCAGAAATTCCCTCATCTTCAACATCAATTCTCTCTCTCTCTCTCTCTCTCTCTCTTCTGCAGAGAGAAGATATTTTTAGCATATTTGATGTAGGAGCTGATCCCTTGTTGCTGCCTGTCTAGAAGTGTTCCGTTCCAGAGATCCAGAGAATCAGAACTCGGAACAAGCTCTTTGTTACATAACTTGGGAGAACCGCACCCTAAAACCAAGCTCATGAATTAGAGAACCCATGATCATAAACCCCATTTTTAACAAAGCGAGACAAGTCCCATACCTCACCAATGACCTAAAATGTGGCATATAATACAAATATAAATTATACGCAAATATGGTCAAAGTGAGAAATTCCTCAAAAAAAAAAAATCTTGGACAATTTCCTCCCTCGGCATTAAAAGCCAAAATAAAAAAACTTTACTTATTTTTCTCCATTTTTCTCTTGTTCTTCCTCCGCTGCTCTCGCTCACCTGGCGAGAGAAAGAGAGAGGGGAGGGATTTGATGAAAAATTATAAACAAGGATGATATATAAATAATACCCAGAAAAATGACGAGGGCAAAGATGAGAAGGAAGTGGGCATACGCTTCTTCTCCTCCCTTCTATTCCTCCTCGAGTCCTCTGCCAACCTCCTCGTTTCCTTCCACTTCCCAGTGTCGACACAAATCTGCCGAGAACAGGAAATAAGAACAGGCGCAAATGGAGAGAAAGAGAGAGAGATTCAAGACGAAAATAGAAAACACAAAGGCCCACGTAGCTCTTTTCTATCGCAGGACTACCAGAGACCATGAACAAAATAGCTCTCCAGTGCGGAAAAGAGAGAGAGAGCGGCAGATATCACCCATAAAATGAGCAGATCCCATGATACATGGTACGATCAAGACAGAGACAGGCGCCTCGAATAGTTCCACTCGCATGATAGAATCAAGAGACAGACAAACAGACAGACAGGATGATGCAACATGGGTGACAGTAGGCTGTCAACGGATTCCCCTATTTTCTTTCCAGGATTAGCTGATCCACTGACAGCCCCAAAGAGTCGAATTTCAGAAGCCCGACAGAGGGATGAGAGACTACCTGTTGCCCAGAGTTTCGAAGCGCTGCAAGCGGCTCAACACGATCCTGACCAATGACCACAAGCTTGGCTCTGGACTTGCCCTTGGAACCGTCGGCCTCTCCCCGCTTCTTTGAAAACTCTACAAGCTGCTGCTGAAGGAGGGGCGAAAGTCCAGCCTGAAACAGACAAACAATAAGAAAAAACATTAATTTAGAGAGACAAATAAGCGTTATCATTGAAGAATAAAAAAACCACATATAGAATAATATTTTCTTTTCATACATAAAGCTTGCACGTGAAGCTTTATGATACAGGGATGGGGGGTCAATAAGAAAAAATAGCTCTTTTGAGGTACTCTAGACAAGAAATTAGTCACTAGAGGGATAAGATTATGAGATGAAAACGTACCCCCGCCAGGAAGCGATGGGAGAGAGTCCTTGGTTGCAATGGTTTGGCCAAATGGGAATTCAACTCCTGAATTTAGAATGGCTAGATAATTAAAAACGTTCAATAAATACAAGAGATTGATTTATTTATTTATTCCCCACAAATAGATGACAGATACAAGACAGAACCTGCTGTAATTTCTGCAAATGGGCAGAGTTGACTTTTCTCTTCCGATTGCTCTGTACTGTCTCTTCCTCACTTCCACTGTCATCCGCCATTAACTCCACTGCTTCTGCACTTCTCTCGAACCAGCTCTTGCTTGCATTCTCCTAAACAATGTTAAAAGCACGTAAGCAGAATATTCATGAAGATCCAAGCGTTCAGAACATTTAAATATAAAGTTATCCAGTTTATTCGAAAAGAAAAAAGTTAAATTACCCGGGAGTTGATCCGCATCATCTTGTCTATTTGGCGGGAAAGAGACAATCTCTTCATTACCTCAAGCATGTATGAGTCAACCAACGGAAACTTGTGCAGGTTTTCCTTTGCATATGAAGAAATATATTTATATTTAATGGTCACGACGACCCAAACTTTCAGAACACTTAATTGCACAATTATTCAATGCAACCATACTAATAAAAAAAAAAAATTTAAAAACAACCAGTTAGTGGCTGGTGAACTGACCTTTGACAGGGACTTGCACAAAGAAAAGAATTTTGTCTTGTCTGCAGGGGAAATCAATGCAATGCAGCACCCATCGGCAGAAGCTCTGGCAGTCCTTCCACTTCGGTGTATATAAACCTGAAACAAGAGTATAAGATGAAGGACAAAGGAGTGGGGTGGCCGACCATTAAATTGCACTGCTTACATCCGCAGAATGAGGGAGTTGAAAATGGATGACGGTTCTAACTCCAGGAATATCGAGCCCTCTTGCGGCAACATCAGTGGCAACCAGAACCCCATCGTCACTTTCACGAAACCGATCGATTGCCTGATAAAAAAGATGCAGGTCAAAGCTATGTCTTTTAACATCTCAGCTGAAAGATATGAAATTAACATAGAGAATAAACTCAGAAATATACCTGATGCAGCATTACTCTTAAATACTTGAGATTAGTTCGTCCAGTTTAAGTTTCTTATTATATTGCATAAACAATATAAACAATCTCGCGAAATAACAATTATTAGGGACATGTAAATTTTACCTTGAGACGTGCTCTCTGTTGCATCTGGGCATGAAGAGTCCACATTCTGATGCCCAAGATGCGTAATAAAGAAGAAATTCGGCGGAGAGCAGCAATAGAAGTACAGAAAACTATGGTTCTGCCGTGACCGTGAACACTTAAAATATAGTATAAATATGCTTCTTTATTATCATCATTGCACCTGAAAATCAGTAACCCATAAGGCCATTGAATTAAAAAGGTACGTCTGCCAGCAATTACCAATATCTGCAACAGTATAAGAATCAGCCTGCAGCAAATAAGAGAATATCGTATGGCTATCTACATTCAGAATTGAGTACAGTTTCTTGAGGACACAAGAGGACGTTTAGGCAACGAGGATACCAACATCCAACAATTACTTCCTCGCAATAGGAATCCACCATCATAAATCATCTATACCGATATCTAAAGGAATGCAAAAGGACCATCTTTCCATGTTACCATTTTGCAAAGAATCGACCTGTGGAAATAAGAGAACCTCGTATTGACTTATGCTCGGATCAGTGACAAGAACTTTTGTTTATTTCCAAGGGTTTAATGATTTTTCTTGCACCAAGTAAGCATAAATCTAATGCAATTATCTTCTTAAGTGGAAACTTCCATCACACAGATTAACTTGTTTGGTACATTTCGGATCCATTGGTGCCTTCTTAGATATGCCAGGGGTCCGATCATCTCCTCTTCTTCCAAAAGAAAATCAGATTAGACAACTTTCTGAGTAACATGAACTCAAGTCCTACTCAAACTAATCATGAGCAAGCAACATAGTCTGAGAAAACTTCATTTATTTTTCTTTCAGGTGATAATGGGATATGCTTTCAAAGACATAAAAAGTTAAGGGACAAAATGTAGAACAGCACAAATGGGATCTATCAGTCATGAAAGAATCTAGATTCCACGGGATCCAATTTAAAGATGCTTTGTGTGGCTCTAAATTAGCTGAAAATTGTAATCCTGATCAAAATTCCATTGGATTTTATTGATTCTATCTTACAAATATTTTAAAAAAGTATATTCATCAGGGAACATAAAGTGCAGCAGAAGACAAACAGAAAACAAAGTATCTCCGAACTAAAAGATGAATTTCCGGGAAGAGGAATACTCGATGAATGACTCTTCAAGCTTATTAGCTACAATGGACGCATTTGTCAAATCAACAACTTCAACATCAGGCCTCATTCCTGCGCGCTCAGAGAGTTTTTCAATCGAACTCAGGTCATCAGAAGAACCCGACTTTGCTTTGAGAAATCCACGCTTCAGTTTTTTGTGGAAATTATTAGATAGAGATATTGTTGCGGAGAAGACAAATGTCTGCCTTTTCTTTCCCAATGATGTATCACCTGGTTCAACAGAGCCACTACTAGAAGGGAGCATGTCAATGATTGACTGTAATTCATTGAAATGGCCATTCTCTATCATCCGATCAGCCTCATCCAACACAAAGAAGGATAATGAGTTCAGCTGCATCGGAGAAAAATACAAATGTCACAACCAAAATATGGGAAGGAAAGCAACAACTGGACAAACAAAATTGCACCACTACAAGTTCGAACCTCGACAAGGTGATGTTCTCCACCTGACATAAGTTCCCATAACCTTCCTGGAGTTCCAACAATTATAGCAGGCTTATTTTTCAGCAGTCTCTGTTGCTTTTCAGTGGACATGCCACCGACAATAGGGACAACTCTAATACTGGTGAGATTGGCTGCCTCCTTAAGATGATCACAAACCTAAGCAATTAAATGGCCCAAAAAACAAGTACAACATTAAATAAATATTAAAATTGGGAGTTTGTATCGAAACCCCGAGGTTTTAAACAGTTAAACTCTGAAGGCAAATAAAATTACAATGAAATTTTCCATTTTCATCAAGTTTAGTTATTGCATGCCGAGGAATGAGGATTCCTGTAATGAGATAAAAATAACCTCTAATGAACCACAAAGCGGGCTAATTGTAGATTTGCATAAGATTCAATGCGCTTCTTTCCTTCTCCAGACGAAATAAGTGTTTTCAATGTTTGAGCCCTTTCTTTCCTTTTGCCTGTTACCGCAAAAAGAAATGTTGATCATTTTTAAGCCACCCGGTTCATACATACCTGCAAGGAGAGTTCCCTTGTAGGAGCAAGAATAAGGGCCCGAAGAGGACCTCCGTGGATGCCTTCCTTGCTACCATCTTGGTCTTCCCCAGATAACCTGGCAGCCTTGTCACGTTCTTTCAAGAGGCATTGCAGGATGGGCAAACCAAAAGCAAGCGTCTTCCCAGATCCTGTCTCTGCCGCACCAATAACATCCTGTTGAGAAGTTTTGTCAGGAATTCTCATGCATTTTATGGGTTGCTGTCATCATCTTCTGCGTTGCAAGTGGAGAGAAGGTCGATAGCTCCGACTATTTCCCTTCTAAAACAATAAGGAACCGTTCGAGGGAGGGAATCAACCTTTCCTTGGTGGGCAGCGACTGGAATGCAGGCTTTTTGGATGGGCGTAGGTTCCTTGAACCCAAGTCTTCGAATTGACCTCATGAGCAGAGGATGCAGCTTCATCTTCTTCCAAGCACGATATTCATCATTTTTAAATACAAACTCCCCCTTGCTGTCATCTTCCATGTCGGTTATCTCTGAACCCTCCGCTGAAGCAACGCCTGAATGGGTAGTGAGGCAAATTTATCAAATTCAGGAAGGAATGATATATTTTCTGCGTCGTGAAGCAGTAAAACCCGGTGATACCAGCAGGAACAAGAGCAACCACTAAGAAAAATATTTTTTTTTCTCTACTTTCGGGAGTTTAATTCACTGAAATTACAGTAATTTGTGCGGTCAGTAGAGAGTTTATTTCATTCTCCCCAAAACACTGAATCCTAGAAAGAGATAAACGGGAGGGTGTGGGTGTGGAGCGAGACTGATGCGAGTGAGGGCTGAAATGCAATGTCAGAAGACATCCTATGGATCACAAAAGGAAGGCGAGCTTCTTCAAGTATACGCGACGAAGAAAATAGATGATTGCTTTTACCTTCCGGAATTCGCTCGACACAAGCCGCTTTGCTCTCGTGATTTTCCTTGCTAGTCTTCGTTTTCGCCTTCTTCTTCCTCGGCTTCTTCTTGGCCACCTTCTTCGATTCCCCGTCCTCCTCGATGCCAGACTCCTCTTCACCCTCACTGCGACCGCCGCTCCCAAGCTTCCGCTTCTTCTGGTTAGAAGAAGAAATCTTGTTCTCCTGGGTCGGTTCAGGATTCCCGCCAATGAGTCCATACTCCGACTCGTCAATCTCCTCCAGAGAGAGGAAACCTAAAAACGCCGCAGCCGTTCAGTTCGAGAGAAAAACGAGAGACGAATTTCTTCCCCCGTCCGGGTGCCCCAGAAACAATGGGAGAGAGAACAAACCTCCTTCTCCGCCGGTGACAAGAGCGAAAGGATCCTCGTCCTCGTCGGGGAGTGACTTCCTCCAGGCTAGCGACTTGGGTCCTCTTTCCTTCCCACCACGCTCGCGGCCACGGCTCCGCTTCGCCTGCTTCTTCCTCTTCTCTGTCTTCTCGTCCGGCGGAGGACCCGCCGCGGGCGACTCTTCCGCCATCGCTCGCTAGCGCAGAGAGAGAGAGAGAGAGAGAGGGAGAGGAAGCAAACCCTCTCCGAAAACCCTGCTGGTTGCCCCATTCACGAAGTTTTCTCCAAACCTTAAGTTAATGTTATTCACATGACTATCCTAACTATATTATTCTTATCCTTATGGATACAGAAAGAAAGAAATAAAAGAACATTACCTTTTAAATAATACTGTAACTTTGCGGGGAAATTACGGATATTTCTCAACATTTACTGACGGAAGCGAATTTATCGGGCTTTCACGAAAAGACACGTGCAAAAAAATGACGTGGCAGGGTCAATTTATAAGGCTGCCTGGATTAGCCAACCCCTGTTGGCAAAAGTACACTGAGATCATTATATTAAAATATATATATTATTTATAGGACGGAAAATAGTACATGCTGAGAGGGAATTTAGATTTTTCAGGCCTTTTATTTATTACCCAATAAAGAGACGGAAATGGGAGAGGATGGGGGCCCTGGCGGCAGCACGTGATTTTGGCCGCCAAACTACTTGCACACATTCCGAGAGCCCCCCCCCCCACCTCCCCCCCCGCCGACGCGCTGCTGGGCCCCGGCCCACTTCGTTGCCCGCTTCAGCGGGGGTTTCGAGATCCAGACAACCCCAACAAGCCAAATGGGGAATCACCCGAGGCTCTCCCCCCCCTTTCTCTCTCTCACTCTCTCTCTCTCTCTTCTGCTACGCCCTGCTCTCTCTCTCTCTCTGGCTTCTGGTGGGGGAGGAAAATATAATGAAAATGGTCTTGGGGACAGCTCATTTCATGCCCACCCAATTGGCCACCGCGTGGGAGGGACGAAGAGAAGGCGAGAGAAGAGGGGTGGGGGACGGAGGGACGGAGGGAGAGGCGGAGGAGAAGGAGAGAAACCCTAATGGGTGACTGCAAAACCCTTTCCAGCGGTGTCTGCTGTACGGTGCCTCCACCGCCACCGTTGGTCCTGGCAGCGGTGGCGCTCTTCTTCCTCCTCCAGCCGAGCGCCACGCCCGCCGCCGCGGCGGACCTGTACGGGCTGGTCTACAAGGGCTGCGCGACGCAGACATTCTCCTCCGATGGGGGCGCCGCCACCGCTCAGCAGGCCCTGGGCTCCCTCGCCTCCGCGCTGATAGCCCAGTCTGCCGCCTCCAAGTTCTACAAGACGACCGTCTCCGCCGCCAATGGGCAGCCGGCGCTCTTCGGCCTGTTCCAGTGCCGCGGGGATATCAGCCCCTCCGACTGCGCAGCCTGCGTGGGCCGCATTCCCACGATGTGGGTCCGCCTCTGCGGCCAGGCCGCCGCCGCCGCCAGGGTCCAGCTCAACGGCTGCTACGGCCTCTACGAGGTCTCCGGCTTCCCGCAGGTCTCCGGCACGAAGATGCTCTACAAGACCTGCGGAAGCGGCGGCGGCGGCGGCGGGTTCGAGGAGAAGAGGGACACGGCGTTCGCCAACCTGGAGAGCGTGATGGCCAGCGGCAGTGGCGGGGGCTTCTACGCCACCAGCTTCGGGAGCGTCTCCGCTATGGCACAATGCGAGGGGGACCTATCGGTGGCCGACTGCGCGGAGTGCGTCACGGAGGCCGTCCAGAAGGTGGAGGTGGAGTGCGGCGGCGCCGTCTCCGGCCAGATGTACCTCGACAAGTGCTACCTCGCCTACGGTTACTCTTCCAACGGCGTCCCCCACGCTGGCAGCGGCGGCGGCGGGGGCGGGGGAGGGGGCGGCGGCGGTGGGTCTTCAGGTACTTAACTTATTGCTCCCTCTCGAAATGGCCCGTTTTATAATAGCCGATGTATTGAAGCTCGGCGGTGGGTGAAGCAGGGCAGCCGACGGGGAAGACGGTGGCAATTGTGGTCGGAGGGGCGGCGGGGGTGGGGTTCCTGGTCATCTGTCTGCTCTTCGCGAGATCGCTGTACAAGAAGAGGGACGGTAAGCACAAGGCCTCCCCTTCAGAAAAGCTCCGAGTCCTCCTCCCCACCGGCGGCCGTTCATTGTTTGACCTCTCTAGCTTCCTTTTCCCTGTGTCCAGACTACTGACGAACGACCTACCGTGAGGACTCAGAGCTCGTCCCATCCGCCAGAGATGACCAGAGAGAGAGAGAGAGAAAGAGACTGAAGAGTATGACGCAGGCAGGCCCTGAGCGAGCTCCGATAGGAGGACGAGGAAGAAGGCAACCCGAGAAGCGAGGACGAGGGAGGGGGAGGGAGATGGTAAACACTACTGCCTGTCTCGAACCCCCTGCTTCTCTTCTCTGCATGTATACCTCACTCTCTTCTCTCTCTTTTCTCTCTTTTCTCTCTTCTCTCTCACTCTCTGTCTCTGCCTCTGCCTCTGTCTCTGTGGCGGAGCGACGGCGGCCATTTTTGTGAATCAGAACATTCATTGGAGAAAAAACAATTCCTCCTCCTTTACCGCATGGGCGCGGCCTTCAAGTCGAGCAGGGCGGAGACGCCCTGGCAAAACTGTACCTTTTTAGCTTTCAGCCTAGAGTAAAACGAGAGTAAACTACCGCGGGAAGAGGGTGGCCGTCCAAGTCAAAGGGTCGTTCACGTCACGTGATCGTCGCAGATCTGGCCGTACTGCCTCCGATTCCGACCCCGCCCCACCGACGCCGTCCGGGCCCCGCCGGCGGCCGCTGTATGAAATTTCTATCGCTGCCATGCGCGCTTCCACCCTGGAGCTGCTCCTCTCTTCCGTCTCTACGGCGGCAGCCCCGAAAATCGATGAGAGTCAACGGAGAGAGACAAGCCCAGCTCAAGTCGGAGCGTTGGTTCGACGCCCTCGCAGTCACTCCGTCGATAGACGGGCGGCGGCCGAGGATCACATGACTCGCTTCCTCCCCTGCCTCGGATGCCTCTCTCTCTGTCTCTGCAGGGGAGAGAAGAGATGGGACCTGTCAGGGCAGGTTTGCCGGGGGAGGAAGGGTGAACGGCGGATCTACAGCAGCGGCGACATGATGAGGGAGGGGAGGGGAAGCGTAGGAGGTGCCCCACTCCCACGTGATCCTCCACCGCCGGCAGGAACGGACAGGCGGCCGGGAATCTCTCCAACGCGGTGGGCGCGGGAGGCGCCACTCCCGGGCCTCAGAGCAGATCACGAGCCCGGCCCATTTCCCCTGCGAAGATCTCCCACACCCATCACCAAAACAGCAAAAAAGGACTGCGGGAAAGTCAATCCCTGCAAACGGACGATCAAAGTCAACGTGGGATTTCGACCGGCTGATGTACGATAACGAGTGACAGAGCGGAGAGATTAGAATGGATGCGCCGCGTTGAAGGTCGATTATTCTTCGAGGAGCTCCCAGATCATCAAGTAGCAGCCGGTGGAAAAATGAGGGTGACAGCCCAGCAAGAAAGAGAGCCAGGATGGTGGTGCCAGAGCGATGCTCAGATGTTTCTACTGAGTACTTCACAAGAATCCCTATCCATGGCTGGAGCAAGCTGAAATCAACGAGAAGAGGCCATCTGAGGGAAGCCCTCGTCCTCTTGGAACCAGACTGGTCTTACTACAAAGCCACTGTCATCTATGTTTCCTGAGGCCGGGATGATGGATAGCTCCATCTCACCAGAGTCGACGCTAATGCTCGAGGTGGGGCGGGGTGGGCTGGGGTTATGATCAGTAGCGAAGATGAAGATGAATATGAAGATGAGGATGAAGATTAAGATGAAGATTAATATTAAGGTTAAGATTAAAAATTAATATTAAAATAATGATTAAGATTAAGCTGAAGATTAAGATGAAGATAAAGATGCAGATGAAGATGAAGATGAAGATGAAGATGAAGATGAAGATGAAGATGAAGATGAAGATGAAGATGAAGATGAAGATGAAGATGAAGATGAAGATGAAGATGAAGATGAAGATGAAGATGAAGATGAAGATGAAGGTGAAGATGAAGATGAAGATGAAGATGAAGACGAAGATGAAGATGAAGATGAAGATGAAGATGAAGATGAAGATGAAGATGAAGATGAAGATGAAGATGAAGGTGAAGATGAAGATGAAGATGAAGATGAAGACGAAGATCTCATGGATCCACACCGCTGCTCCTACTTGGAGATGCTGATGCGTTTCGTCGACAGAGTAAGAGAGGATCCAAAGGCCGGCAGGGATTCCGAAACGGAGAAATTGGAGACAAATGTCCGAAGCAGGTCATGCGGCCGTCTAATCTATTTGCATGGGAATTGGAAATAACTGCGACCTGAATGAATCTCGATCACAGAAAAAAATCCAAAAACGCATCATATTTGAGAGAATAGATCGGATCTATTTCTCTCAAATATCGTCGTATTATGCCACGAAGAACAAATCATTTCGTAGAAACGGGCATGGAATCTCGGCTGGATGGGGATGGATGACAAAACCATTTGAAAAGCCCATGGATCATGGAAAACAAGTGAGAGTTCTCCCCTTGAGAAACACGAACAGTCACTCATCCACCTCGCCAATGTCAAACCGAAACCGATCATCGACTATCGAAAGCACCCCGATGAACCCTAGCATAACCTAACTTCTGCACGACACCGCCCTGCACAAACAACCGTCGTATAACACAAGATAGAGCAGAGGCTGTGGGGTTGAACTCCACCTGACATCACTTGCCCATCGCCGGAGCACCGGCCAGGGACGGCGGCGGCGTGCCAAGGAGGCTGGCCTGCTGCAACTCCAACTCATTCAGCTGCTGCTCCCGATCCATCTCGATGATCAGCGGGACGACGAGGACGATGAAGGTCGTTCCCGCGATCCAAGCTGCCTTACCGGTGCTCCGCAGGAGCCGGTGCGCAATGGTGGCCACGTCAGACACTGCCTTCTTCCCCCTGTAGACGACCGACGACCGCGATATCGAATCGGAAAACCTCGCCAGGACGCCGCCGCCGCCGTCGTCCCCGCCGCCGCTTCCCCTCCTGATCTTTGCCGCCATCCCTGCACGTCCAGAAGAGGGAGACCTAAACCCTCGCCATCTGGTTTCTCTGCCTGTTCCGCAACCGGTGGTGCTCTTTAGACGAAGGCGGCGCCGCTTAATGGGCTTTACAGGGAGAATAAATTAGGCCCATATAAGGAATTTCTAAGCCGGCCCCCGGCCCAGCCCAGGTAAGGCATCTGCCGATCTGGGCTGGAGGATGAACGGCGCGATGAAGTCAAAAACCGACACGTGGAGGCTGCCTGGGTGAAATACGTATAAAGGGTCTCCATTTGATAGTGATTGGGGGGGAGGGGGGGCACATTTTAAGGAAATGTGTATAAAAATAAATAAAAACTAAATTGGGTTTTATGGGAAAACATCTATTTTAAACGGTTTCTGTTTTCCGTTTTATGTCTGCGTTGAAGAAGAGATCAGTGGATAGAGGGGGAAACAAGAGCCGACACGTGGAAGACGCCTGAGGGCATGCATAAAGTTAATTAAAATAAGATAACGGGGTTTATGACGTAAATATATATTTTAAGGGGTTTCCGTTTTTCTTTTTGCGGAGAAGAAGAGGAGATAAGTGACAGAGGGGTTAAGAAAACATTTTCCTATTTAAAGAAGTGAAGCGAAAGCTCCAGGCATACCCAAAAAGGATGATGGCCGTTTTCCTCCAACCTTCTCTCTCCTCCGTCCCGAAGCTCGAATCCGCCGTCGCCAGTCGGCCTCTCCGCGGGCGCCGTGGTAGCGGTGGCCCGCGGATGTGCGCCGCCCCTGACCCTCTCACAGCGGTGGCGGGCCTCCTCTGGGGCAGATCTCTCCCGCCGCAGTCCCTCGTCGCCGCCGTCCGCACCGCCTGGTCCGCCGCCTGGCACCTGATGATGCGGCAGCTCGCCCCCTCAGCCCGCGCAGGTACATATTCACGGCCTCCGAGCGCCTTTCCCTCCGTCTCCGACGAGTACTACGCCCTCCCTCTTGAATCCCTGCGCCTCCACCTCTATGTGGGGCTCCCCTGCCCCTGGGCTCACCGCACCATCATCGTCCGCGCCCTCCGCTCCCTCGAATCCCTCATCCCCGTCTCCATCGCCTCCCCCGGCGCCGATGGCTCCTGGGACTTCACCGACGGCGGCGGCGGCGGCGCCGGTGGCGGAGGGCTCGTGCCAGGGGCAGACCGTGCCGGCGGGCGGCGGACTCTGAGGGAGATCTATGGATCGCGCAGGGGGGGATACGAAGGGCGATCCACAGTTCCCATGCTGTGGGACTCGGCGAAGGGCGAGGTCGTCTGCAACGAGAGCTACGGGATCGTGGAGTTCCTCAATTCGATCCCGGGCGGCGGCCCCGACCTCTCTCCTCCGGAGCTGAGGGTGAGGATCGAGCAGTGGAACCAGATCATCTATCCCAACGTGAACAACGGCGTTTACAGGTAAGTAATAACAGAAACCCAAGAACAGCTCCCTTCCTCGACGAGTCGCCGGTCTGCTTGGAAGCAGAAGAACAATCGCGCGTGACCACATTTCACCTGCGTTAGGTAGGTGCGGGTTTTCGCAGTCGCAGGAAGCCTACGACTCAGCGGCGGAGAAACTCTTCGAGACATTGGAGCTGCTCGAGGCGCACCTCGCCGTCTCGCGATACCTCTGCGGGGACGCGCTGACCCTGGCCGACGTTTGCCTGTTCACGACGCTGATCCGCTTCGACCTCGTGTACAACGTCCTCTTCAGGTGCACCAGGAAAAAGCTGCTTGAGTATCCAAACCTCCACGGCTACACCCGCGACATCTATCAGGTATACGAAACGAAGGCCCTTTCCTCCTCCGAAGTTCCCACTGCTGGTTTACGACGTTGACCAAATCCTTTTCTGGGGGGTCGTAAGGGACTTCAGTTCGCCATTGATGATGATGATGAGTGTCGTTGCTATCTAGTCTGGAATTGGATGTGCCTCTTCTCTCTCATACCGGCCTCATTGATCATCTCGGGTTCCGGGGAAGAAGAAGCTGAAGGGGATCCTCCTCCTGCGGCATCGATTAGTTCTAGAATCTGGTCTGAAACAAATTATGAGTTTTCGGATGAGTCCCAGTGTGGAATTAGCAAGATAGGAGATATGACCCCATGACCATATCTTGTGCTTCTTACCCTTTGTCATTCTGTTAAGGTATCATTGTGAGTGAGTGATCATCCCTCTGCTTCAACTGGCCGGCTGAATTAGTGTCCTCTCTGTTGATTCCCCTCTCCAAAAGCAGATTCCAAAGGTGGCAGCCACCTGCAATTTCGACGCTATCATGGATGGATACTACAGGATTCTGTTCCCCCTGAATCCCAGCAACATTCGCCCAGTGATGCCTTCTGGGTGCTCTCATGAGGCCCTTTCTAAACCTCATAACAGGGGTTAATGCCTCTACATCAGCTTGGCTGCAGTCAGTGCATAGATGGTACCGGATTCAAGATTTCTAGTCAGGTTCTCTCTCTATCTCTCTCTTTCTGTTTGTATACATACACATATATGCAGATGGATAGATATGCTATATATACCATATACGGAGATGCAACCACACATGCATGCATCATTCAGGAGTCTTTTAACCGTAAATTTTTTTATTAGTGGCATTGCTACTCCCCTAGGTCAATGAAAAAAAAACCAATGGGCAATGTCAACTGGATTTATTTATTTATTTTTTGGGAGTCACAAACATATGCAAAAACGCTAAAACACATTCTGGGTGATCTTCTCAGATTTCTAGGGAGCTTATGGTGGATGATAAATTGTTGTAAATGGAGAAAAAACCTTGTCACAAAGGACGGAGGAGAGAATGCCAAAAACCGCCTCAAGATTCATTCAATTCTAACCCCCCATTATATAGGGAGTAACAATACACAACTTTTGCCAAAACACCCTCAACTAATTACACTATTTCCCCATGGCCTAGAACTTCCAACATAAATATTAAACAAATTTATCGAGGCATCATTAAAGACATGGATGAACCCTGCATAACTTTCTCAAAATACCCTCAGTTTTTTATAATATTTCTTTGACTTAAAACTTCTAACACTCCCCCTCAAGATGAAATTTAGAAAAGTTCATCTTGATTATGTTGTTGACAAGCATTCACTTGTTGGAAAGCAAATTGTGACAATGACAATCTATCATAGCAACGACTCCCTCTATGACAATGTCAGAAAGCTCCTCTTTTTCTGGGTTGTGACAATGCATGATTGCTTCATAGGACAATGATGTCTTTTGATCCTAGCTTGCATGAGATGGTGCCAAATTGCATGGGACTATGCATAATGGTGTTGAACAATGTGAGATGATGACCTTGGCACACTTAAGATGTTGTTGAACAAAGAGCTATTATGGACAGAGAAGGGACAATGCTTGATGGAGGAGGGATATCACTAGATGATGGCACAGATTGTTGCAGTGTGGATTGTGGGTGACTCTATTCACCAGATCAAGGAGGATTTTGGACTGTTGCAAGTCAAAGGGAAATGGACACTAGATTGACTACACAAGAATGATGGCGGATGGAGGATGACATCACCCTCCTTGACTACATCAAAAAAAAAATTGTATGAAGATCCAAATGTTCTTGATGAAGACAAACAGACCATTGACTAAAATATTATAGGATGAGTACGGATAAGAGAGGTCAACTTTTTCTCTCAAAAGCACTAATGAAGATGAAAACAACAACTATGGACTTAGAAACTTCAGCCTCTAAATAGAGAACCTGATGTGAATAAAAATGACGCCAATGGAATTGAAGATGTCATTGACATTGGTGAACTTGGATATATTGTTGAGTGACAAAAGAAGATCACTTTGGAGAAACATTAACTCCAGCAAGAAGAAAACTCATCATCCCTAGACTAGAGGATTGAGGGAAGAAGAACCTACTTTAAATGATGGAAAGAAAATCTACTCGAAATGGCAAGACAACATGTGATGAAACCTTAGTGGAACAAACCCGCTCAAATACCATGTTAGAAAAGATAGACATAAGGAGATTGTTGAGGGGAAAAACAGCGAAAATCATCTCAAGATTCGTTGAGTTAGAACTTCCAACAACTATCCTTTGATTTCATGGGTTTCCTTAGTGTTCACATTTTCTAATGTAAATCAGCCTAGTAGTCATCTTTTTCTTCTCTCTCACTTGTGTAACTACTAGTCATCTTTATAGCCCAATGCCCAATTCTCATTTACAAAACTAACTTCGTGTTGAGTTAAGCATTAACTTATGATGATTCTGATGATTTTTTTTATATTAGTATGAAATCATGAAATTGATATATGTATTATAAATTGAATGGAAGATTGATGGATTAAATGACATTAAAGAGTTGAGAATACTTTAGTATTAATCTAAGGTGTAAATCATGAAAAATATCTCACTCAATTTCAAATTCTCATCATGGATATAAATGTTCGACTGTCTGAATGTAACAACAATAAAAAGTCTATGTGAGGTAAAGATGTTATCATCTCATGTGTAAGTTTTAATGTTTAAATTTTCCATAGTAAATGGCTTCAATAGTGTAGGCATATGAGTAATCAGAATGAATGTCCTTGAACGAGGAGTCAAGTGAAATAAAATTTAGAGAAAATGATCAAGGCATTGATTTGATATCTTATTTTACAAGATTACTTAGTTTACATATTCAAGTAGGGGTAGAATGGTTCAGAAGTATGATCTTTCATACTAAAGTAATTTTTATCTCAAAAAATACGTTATATAAATAGGCGTGGGACCACTCACTGGAAGTTTTGATTCAAAGAAGAACTCAGAGCTGAAAATTGTTCCTATAAATTTGAAATACCAAGGGAATTATGAACTTTTCACTTTTTACGATTAATTTATCTATATTTTCTAGGATCCACGTGTGGCCCATTAGGGCATGTTTTATCTTAAATGTTTGTCCCAATAAGGGTGAAAAGGGGGTGGCTCAACCTACATATAAATAACGGATTTCACCCAAAATTACGATTTAAAAATGATGGTTGTTGTTTCAATAATGATTTCTCCCCTTCGTTGACTCATTTCAACTCTTAAAGAATCAAGGGTAAGATTGATTGCTTCAAGAGAGCTGTGGACATCTCTCCAACCCTCAAGAGCTTTTTGCTCCAACATAACATTTTTAAACACTTTCTACGTCAATTTTGTGGTTTGTGAACTAGTTGAAACACACGTGGTGTGTTGTCAACGTTGACTCTTACTTTAGCCTAACATTTTTTAATGCCTTCAATAACTCTTGATGATTTGAAGGTTACAGTAAATTCATTTCATAGTGTTATTCATCCCCTATTTCACTATGGTTTGTGAACTAGTTGAAACATACTTGGTGTGTTGTCAACATTGTCACACGGTGTCTCCTACTTCAGCCCAGTATTTTTTTAATACCTTCAATTTAAGGGTTATTGTAAATTTGTTCTATACTATTCTTGGTTGATTATTGTATGTATATTGGTTGAGACATGTATTAGTCCATATGCATTTGTAACAAGAGACCTAAGGACCTAGGAATTCTAGGGTTAAGAGTTCTAGAATTTGGGAACGTAACAAGTTCTTGCTCCCAATAAGATCAAAGTGTATTCTGGGGGTAGAATAATGACATTAATTTAGAATCTTTGAAAGTGGATGTAGGTCAAAAGAGTTTTGGTGAATCACTCTAAAATTTGGTGTGAACTATATTATGTTGATTTGTTTTATATTTATGGTATTATTACTTAATCTAAAGAACAATTAAAAATCAATTCACACTTTTCACGTTTGAGAAATTCTCGAAGAACAAATTCTTTGATGTATGAGGAGAAAAAAAGAATAATATATAAATCGCTCATATAAAAAGAACAAATTCTCACAGATAAAAAAACATGAAAATCCCTGCTAAGTAGGGTCTTTTCTGATTTGTTAAAAAATAACCAAAACTGCCTTTTATTGAAAAAAATGACGGCCACTGATGATGGATGAATGATTTTGTGAAAAAATCCAAGTTGAAGAAGTAGCTGAAGTAATTCTGCAAGCGCCTCTCATAAGTGAGCATTGAAGGTGCGCTTTAAACAGTTCATGGCACGGATCTTTGGGTGATGTCTCAGGGATTCTTCTTGTTTTATCTTCACCTATCACATGGAGGAAAGCCAGAGATTATAGATTGTCAAACGCTGTGGATGACCAACCTGTGGGTCTTCGTTTCTGCCACTGCTCTTCTTACCTTGAACTCTTGTGTCTGAGTTGACATGGAGTAGACATCGTCGTCGTCTTCATCGTCGTGGTGACCAGACCTTAGTCCGGTCGTCTCTTCGAATTCATCACTCTTGGCAAATCTTCCCCTCACGCGAGGGCGGCTGTCTGCCAGAGTTTTCCTGCAAGCATACTGAGAGCATTACGTTAGCTGTTTCCCGGAGGGGGTGGGCGGAATGCGGGTGAGAGTCGGTGGCAGGAAGATGGGAGGGTGTGATGCGGAAACCTTGATCTTCTTCCCGAAATTCCTCATGTTCCTCTTCTTGAGGTATCTGTTGATCTTCGCCGTCCTTTCTTCCGCAGATAGCCGCGGTACTTTGAAGCTGGAGATTTCCATGGTCGCAAAGTTAGAGGGCGGCGGCGGCGGCGGCTCGCTGCAACTTATCAGATTCTGGTTATGACCAACCACCTATAAACGTGAGGGGATAAGAAAAGCTAATCCATTTTGAAAATGTTAGTTGCCTGGATCTGAGCTGAACCAGGCGCGTACCTGGTGGTCGCCGAAGATCCAGTCATGCCCGAAGGTCCCGAACTCTTTCGCCGCGCCGGTGCAACGCCCATCCTGAAAATTCATGACACCCTCCCGCGCCGGTGTTCCCGTCTCCTGCGCCGCCGTCAAATTCCCGAGGAAGATCCCCGGCCACTCCGGCGCCGGTGCTCCCATGCTCGCCGCCCAAGACGGGGTGAGCAGTGCCGGATCCGGGAAGAAGAACGAGGTGGAGTCCGGCGAATAATTCATGTTCATCTGATCCATGAACTTGTAGTCTACGTCCGTGTAGCTTGACAACGATGATAAGCATGGGTTGCCGGAGGAGGAAGCCATGGATGAGGCGGGCTGTGTTGGCGGAACCGGCAGCAGCTGTGAACCCGGTGAGTACGAGTAGCCATCGATGTCGGTGATGTCCGGCAGGCCTGTCTTCGCGAGACAATCCTCTGGGTAGGGAAAGTATCTCGAAACAGGGAGTTCGTTCGGTGGTGCCGGCGGCTGCGGCGGCAACGGCGGCACCAGCGGCGGGAACGGCCGGTGGATGGTGAGAGCTTCATTGGGCTTCATTTTCGGCTTTGTCAGAGGATCCTTCGCTGTGGAAATGACGGACTCGTCTTCCGGAGAATAGGGAGGGAGGTCGGAAAACAAGGAATCGCCGCCATAGCCCCAGCCTCGCCATCTTCCGCCGCCTGAATTGTCCGAGAAGAGATGGCCGTTGTCATACAAGTTATCGGTGAAGAGTTGCTCCTCATTGGCTTCGGCCCCCTGCGGGTAGACGAGAAGACGCGTTAGGAGATGAGAAACGCTTGCCGATGCAACGGAAGCAAGTGCCCATTATAGGCAAAGCACAATTTTGTCAGGTCAAACCAAAAAGTGTCGAGTGGAACTTTCGCGTTGACTCTAAAACGCGTGTTAGTCCACTGCCCCGTTTCTCGGCGGGAATCTTGGGACCCTACACACTCGTGTCCTCGATTTAGAAGGCGCGTGGCGCCCGAACGAGAATCTTATAGTGTGGCTTGAGAAAACTCCCGCCGTGAAGGCCAGAGCTTCCCAGCTTCCGGAAGGGAGTCGACTAGCGCAAACCGATTCAGGCACCGGGACCTTACAAAAATCGAAGCAAAGATAGGCAAAGACCAGACTCACCTCTGCTACAGAATGTAGGATCTCCGTTCTACTTTCTTCGGTCCTATTCCTCCTGTATGGATTTACAGGAACTTTACAAAGTCAGAGCTAAGACGGGCAAAGACCACGCTAGCTTGTGCTACAGAAGAGAGGATCTCCATTTGGCTTTCCTCCAACATGGACACACCGGAACTTTCAAAAGTAAGACCTAAGATGGGCGAAGACCACACTGACCCGTGCTACAGAACAGAGGATCTCCTTTTGACTTCTCTTCGCTCCTCTTCCTCCTGCGTGGATTTACCGGAAGAGCCCTCTGGAATTGTCTCCGGAGTAATAGGGTACCATATAGTTAGCTCTCTATCTGGGATCCCAAATCTGAAGTTGGTCGGGTCGGTGCTCGAATTGGTCATGTCCAGGGAAGACTCTTATCGAGGCCGGAGAAAAGCCAGTCTACATGGAGTGAGACAGGGTTCGTTTGGATGCTCAAGGAGGTGACGTCTGGTGAAGTTCTCAAGGAGACGTCTGGTGCTCCGAGATAGAGACCACACTCGGAGGTGCTCAAGGGAGGGTTCGTCGGGGAATATGTCTTGTGAGGTGGTGGTGGTGGTGGTGGTCCCGAGGAAGGAGTGATCTCATCCTTGAAAGCTGAGATAACCCCAAGACGACGGCGGAGTGGCGGCCATTATCTGTCCAGGAAAGAAACAATGGCAGTTCAAATGTAGGAAAAAAGAGGAGATCACCTGAGACTACTAATCTCCTAACCGGGAAATCGTAGCTCCCGACGATTTCGAGAAGGAATGATTCCGCCTCCTCGAGGAAGGGCAGCCGGAGGAACTCCGACGGAAAACTCACGAGAGAGGTGAAATCGACAAAATTATGTGGTCGGATCGAACGGATGCCGAAGATTTCCTAGACCGAACGACGCGATTTCCATTTAATTGATCGAGGGGGAAGGCGAGGGAAGGCAAACGCGGAAATGGAGAGGGGACGGAGGTATTACAATGGCGACGAAGTGATCATTCGGCGAATGAACGGCGCTGGGGAACGTCTCTGCCTTCTTGCGGCAAGCCGACGGATGGAGGACGCAGACCGATTCAGGGAGGAGAGAGGCGGCGGCGCTGACTCTCGGCTCCTCCGGTAGTGAAAGGGATCCTATCTCCATCTCCTCCTCCCCCTCCTCCTTCGTTCGTTCCTTCGTTCCTTCGTTCCTTTGTTCGTTCCTCTTCTCAGGGGGCAGTTGGAGGAGAGAAGGAGAGGACGTCCAGTGACTGTGGTTCCACCTATCTTGAATTTATACACGGGGACGCAAAGCGAGGGAAAGATAGTGAGAGAACGAGGAAAACGCGCGTGGGCTGGAGAAAGGGTCGCTTCCGCCTCCTTCTCTGCACATTGCCAAATCTGGAAATACGCCGTCCCGGTCGGGCCGGTACCCACGACGCGATCTGTTGCGAACAGCTGGAGAAAATATCGGTGTTTTTTATTTTTATTTAAAAATATTTTCAACATGGGTGCAAGGCCTATTAGCTCAGTTGGTTAGAGCGTCGTGCTAATAACGCGAAGGTCGCAGGTTCGAGACCTGCATGGGCCAAGTTTATTTTCTTTTTATTTACGTTTGAATCAGGGATCCGAATCATTAATTTCATTATTTAAAAATAAATAAATATTTATTTATCACAGCTTGCATTTCTTCAAGTGCCGATGACTTTCTCCCACGTGCGTTGTGTTCGAAGCCCGACCGCTTATGTATCTTCGAGAAAAACTAAAATTCCCCGCGAAAAATTAAAAATATATTGACTGGGATACTTATTCCTATAAATCTGGAGGATTTTTCGTCTCCGCACTCCAGGAGAACCTGCTGGAAGAATCCAGAGCAACCCCCCCCCCGGCGATCACGAACCATCTGCTCCGATATTTGCTCGTCGACGTCTCCATTCTCCTCTGTTGATTCCTCGAAAAGCGTCGATCCGGTTTGCTCCGGTCTTCCGTCGCGCTTCAGCAGCATGATCGGTCTCCTCTCGCGCCGCCGGGGATTCATCGAGATCATTGTTGATCGGCGCCTTCCGATCGCGAGTCGCTTACCCTCTAGCATTTTTCTTCGCCGTCGCGCTTCTGCTGATTTCTCCGCCGGAGCCGATGATCGATTTTCTCAGGCGCTCCGTCCTGGATCTGCAACTCTCCTCTGGAGAGGTTTCATCGTATTCTTTTGGCATAGATTTGAAATCACATCTCAGATCATTTACAGACGTCGGAAAATCGGCCGTCCGTCTCACAAATTCCCCTAGTAGTAGATCATTGCGTCGCCATCCCCGCCTGAATCGTTCGGCGTGGATTTGGGAAAATGTTTCCGACGGGATCCCCGCCTTCGTCTTGTGATTCCGGACGGAAGATTTCTCACCTGCTTTGCTTTCAGGAACTATTTCATACTCGGTTCGGACGTTGAAATCTACCGCCATTCGTCTGACCGGGTGAATCGAAGCAGGAAGAACAAGAAGATGCATCCGATTTCTACACTCCGAAAATTAATATTTATCCATATATATTATTAATGCAGCCGTCGATTACGCCTATCGCCGCCACGAGCCTCACTCTCTCCCTTGCGGATGCGAACACGGATGCAAGAAGAAGCAATGCCGTGACGTCCGACGCGATCAGGGTAAATATCTGAATAGGAGACCCCACATGCATGATCTATGAGGCAGGGTAGATTAGAGAGCCATGATGTTGCTTTGACCAGTGCGGTTTGGGGGGCCAGGAGGAATCTGCCGACAATGCCCCGCCGCAGAATGCGGTCTTTGCTTCTGACGTCCTCCCACCGTTCGTTGCCCATTTTTCGGGCCGCCTTAATCTTCTGAGGTCCAGGAGGCAGGCTCAAAAAGTCGCCAGCTTGTTGACGTTCCACGTCGGCGCCCTCGAATCTCTCTTCTCATTCTCTCTCTCTCCCCTTTTATGTCGGGCGGCACCACGCGTGGTAGGATGGCAGGTTTGACTTTTGACAACTACGCGGCGCAACGATTCCCGCTGTCTCCCGAGGTCGTAGTCCGCCGCCGCCCAGCGCATGACGAGGAGAGAGAGAGAGAGAGAGAGGGGCCGACCCACTGCGACGGCATCTCGTAGTGCCCACGAAGAAAGCAGCAGGGAAGGAAATCAGATTTATATGGATTAATCTTATGAATAAAATTCATATTACAACATATCACGATGTTTAAAAAGGAGAAATTATTTATATTCCTTTAAAAAAAGTCAAATCGTAGATAATTTGCGTCCCATTGTGGCTTATGTGGACATCCTCTTTATAGCTCTGTACATTATAATTAAAACTCAATATCTTACACAAAAATATTTAAGATAATTGATTTTATATGAATAAAACAAGACTACCAGGAATGAGTACCCCCCCTCCCCCCCTCTTCAAGTGGTTGAGTTGACTTTTCCCATTTGGAAGAGCCTGCTACTTCACTCGGTGAAGAAATCAGTCGAATTATGGGAAGGGCACCCCGCCTTGACCCCCTGCACCAATATCTGTACAAAAACTGTGCATCGTGGATTGGGTCTGACTTATCCCCCGCATGATCATCACGAACGGATGACAAAAAGTCAAAGCCGTGCGGCCTTTGCTGCCATCACGTAATAAGCAGTGTCGCCTTCACGGTGGTTGGTTCCTTGAACTGATGTTACGTCTCTCTCTCCATCTGTATCTCTTTCTCTCTCTCTCTCTCTCTCTCTCTCTATGTATATCTATCCATCTATCTATCTATCTATCTTTATATATATCTCTATCTATTGACACACAGGGACAGTACGGATACAAATAATCATGAGGGCGAGGAGGTGTCATAGCATGGAAAATCGAGGGAGTCCGAGCCGGTGCGCACGTCGATGGTCCAACTGCTGAATATTAAATGCCATTGGAATCGATCTGAGAGGGGTATTAAAAATGTTGTGGAAAGGGAGAGTTCGAGAGGAGGTCGTTTTTCCGCGGAGACACGTGCGAGCAATCCGTGGCAGCAGGAGGGACGGCCCTGCGGCGGCTCGCACGTGCCTCCACATTTTTTTAAAATTGCCAACATTGGGATAAATTTGTATTTATCGGGATTCCTCTCGTGGATGTCAACTGCCGGGGGTTGATATGGGCCAGGAGCATTTGATGCGTAGGGAGGCGTGCGCAGCGCCAAGTACTTCGCGCGGCCTCTGATATTCGCTCGAAAGCTCTCTGTCTCCGTCTCCGTCTCCGTCTCTCTCTCTGGATTTTTAACTCGCAGTGGACGGGGGAGGGGATGGAGTTCCTCTACCCGCCTTCTCCTTGTTCCTCTCGGAAATCAATCATCTGCCAGGCGGCTGGCATCTGGTGCGGGGGAATTCCTCGCCGATCCCTGGCCTCGGTGCCGTATGGGCCCCGCCCCGTGAGAGCTCTACTGTAAGATTCTTCACCTGCTCGTCGTTTCGACGGACTTTTCTTGCCGGTTCTCTCGACGGGCTTCCCGAAATCTATCCCTGTGATTGCTCCTCGTCGTTTTCCTGTTCTTCTGTTTCTTCGTGTGTTGCACGCCCAGCGAGCTATCTCCTTTGATCCCATCAAAGTTGGATTCTCTCTGGCGTTTGATTGATGCCCGTGGCATGGGAAGGATCCTCGAGGGAGGGCGCCCAGTCAGCGGAGATGCCTTCTATCTGCATCACTCTCTCTCCGAGAGATTCCGGCCGGGAAACGGTAGAAATGGAAGAAGAGGTTCTGCCGATGAGATCAGAATTGCCGGTGCTCCTCATTCCCTCCCGGGTTCAGAGCGGGGCGGAAGGTTTCGGGGAGGCCGGATGAGACCATCCGCTTCACAGAGAGACGAGGCTTCGCAGCTTTTCCAATTCCTTCCTCATGAAGTGAAAACTTTGTGGCGTTCTGCGGCATCTGTTGCCGTCGCCAGGTGACCTCTGGATCATGTCGAGTCAAAAAGGGGTGGAGATTAGTATCATAATATATACTCTCTGATTTTTCAACAACGAGTTTTTCTCCCGATCGGGTTTCCTCCAGACCCCCCACCTCCACCCGTCCTGCAACACAGAACATCTCGATACATATGGATATATATATATATATATATATATATATATATATATATATATATTTGGGACGAGTTTGAGTTTGATGCAATCTCTCATACTTGAATGTATACTTTCTTAAGCAGGACTTGCTCCAGATTTTGAGGGGGATTCACAGCGAGGAGTCTAAAACCATGGGAAGGGATGAAGCATACAGAGATTAAATTGGTTCTATTTGCAGCCATGCCCTCTTCTTCTTCTTCTTCTTCTTCTTCTTCCTCAGAGCTCTTGCCTGCTCCAGTAGAGGGGACATCCTTGGGGGTGTCACCCGTCCTCTAGCTGGTCTTCCATGGAGAGGGGACTGCTCTTCCGGTAGAAGGGAGATCTCCAGGGTTGCCCAACTTCTAGTCAGCTTGTCTTCCATGGAGAGGGGGCACAGAAGCCAAAGACTGATCCCTCTCCAGACCCATCTCGCAACAGGTTCTGCGGATTCAGGGTCGTCTTCAAGTCTAAATAATTCTTCGATCCCATCTCAGGAGAGGGATTCGAGTGCCCCTCCAAGCAAGGGACCCTCCTTCCCTCAGACGAGCTTCTATCACCAGGCACCATTCCAGCCTTCGGCACCAAACGCCTGCTCGAAGCAATCCGATGAACTCGTCTGGTCAGCTGATTCGATCGAGAGATTTCTCGTCGGCGACGATGCGGCCGATGGGATAGGGCAGATGCAGAGCCATGCCATGGCGGGGTCGGCCTCCCGCGCCAGGCAGAATGACTGGTCTGATTTGGTGTCCAACGACAGCCTCGGAGGCAGCTGGAATGACTACGTCCTCCGCACAGACGGCGCTCTCGCCGAATCCAAGGTACCCACCCCAAAGGCAGATTTTTCTCTGGATTTCCATGGTTTCTTCATAAAAAGATTGCTTTTTTATATGGATAGAGTGATCTAAAAACTATATATAAATAGTAATTTCTAAACACAAGGAAGATACCCAGAGCACAGATTTTATGGATCGAAGTGACTGAGACCTTTTTTCTTTTTCTTTTTATCGAGTAATCTCATTTTTTTTTTACATTTATGAGAAAACGACATCAGTTTTCTGATTACAAAATCCCTTGGGCGCTTTTATCTAGGCTCTCTATCCAGCCGCATCTCACCTGCTGGCGCAGATGGCGCCGCCGCCGCCGCAGTTTTATCAACAAATGCCGTCGAATTCCGGGGGAATGAGCGCGGCGAACGGTTCCTTGTCCTCTGGCAGCAGCGGCCCCCCCGCGAAGCCTCGGATACGGTGGACGCCCGAGCTCCATGAGCGCTTTGTGGAAGCTGTCAACCAGCTGGGGGGCAGCGAAAGTAATGCCATTTCTGAGACTGTGACTAATCTTCCGCAGAGGGCGTTGACCCCCCCCCCCCCCTTTGTGCAGTATCCTCATGATTTATTTTCTTTACCCACAGAGGCCACACCTAAAGGTGTCTTAAAGCTTATGAGAGTCGATAGGTTGACCATCTACCATGTGAAGAGCCATCTGCAGGTGCTCATCGTCTTTCTTTCCTCTTTGACGCCCAATCTTCATACATCACCGCACCCAGTTTTAATCGGTTGCTCTTGCTTCTTTGAAGAAATACAGGACTGCCCGATTCAAACCGGACTCACCCGAAGGTCAGACGACGAACACGGCCCCTTTTTTTCCAAGAAAATCTCTCATTTTCTTCATTTTCTTTCTCGTGAGCAGGAGCGTCGGAGAGGAATCTCGATTCCCTTGAAGGGATGACTTCTCTCGACCAAGGGACGTAAGTCGCCCATCCATCGTCCATCCGGGGAAATTATAACCAGATTTGGGGGTGGACGTATTTTCCTCGCTGATGCTGCGTTGACTTTTACTGACAATTATCTTTAATCAGCTAAGCAAGCGGTGGATTCTAACTTGCAAGTTTGCCCAACCTGAAGTAGGGTTATTTTTTCCAGGGGACTTGGGATCACCGAGGCGCTACGACTGCAGATGGAGGTCCAGAAGAAACTTCATGAACAGCTCGAGGTTCCATAACTTGATGTTTTTATGTTCCAAAGTTTTCATCGTCGGTTGATCCCACCCGTGAATGGCTTTGGATTTTCTGACTCAAAAACTTGTATGCAGATTCAGAGGAAGCTGCAGCTGCAGATCGAAGAGCAGGGGAAGTATCTCCAGATCATGTTCGAGAACCAGCGGAGGATGGATAATGGGGGGCACAATCCGTCTTCCACCCTCGACAGCGCCGCCTCCGCCACCGCCGCTACAAATGAGACTCCCGGTCAAGATGGGGCCGCCGCCGGAGACACAGCAGTGGACCCAGAGCCAGCCAGGGAAAGCTCCAGCGGAGCGGGCGGTGAGCAGCACCGGGTCAATCCGGAGACTCCCCCTGGGCTTGATTCAGTCCCCTCGGAGGCCTTTCCATCTACCCCACGCGGCAAGCGCCCGAGGCTGGGCGAGGTACATCCTTGATGCTAGGTTAGTCGTCCTTCGCTGTTCCGGCCGCTGATACGGTCATTGTGTTCGTCGGTAGAGGAAGAAGAGGATAATAAAAGTCAAGACAGAACTTGACAACTAGATGGATGATGAAGGAGAGGTGAGGTATTTAGTCTTGTGATCGACTTCCACTGGGTCACACGCTGGGGCCCTAAAGCAACTCATTTTTTGGGGGAAAATGTTGCCCCCTCCCCTTTCAAAGAGCCTTTGCGGGGAACTCTCCCTCTCTCTCTCTCTCTCTCTCTCTCTCTCACTCACTCTCAGGGCAAAGATGATCGATGCCCAGTTGTACGGATGAGCGAGTTCGCCAGATAATGAACTTCTCACGAGATATGTAGCAAAAGTATAGACAGGAAGTTGACCATATGAAATCATGCTTAACCAGATATGAAAGAGCAGGGCCTGAGGCGACCAATCTCGACGTACCTTGTGGCATCGACGACCGGCTTCCGGGGCTTGATGCGTCTCAAGTAGGGCAGATTGGAGAAGGCTCACCGGGAGGGCAAGTTTCTCTTTCAATCCCATCTGGAATATGCCCGCGCGCAGGTGCGTCTCAAGTAAAATAATACGAGTCGTCGCTAAGAAAACTTATGCTGTAGCGCCAGGGGGGTTGCCAACCAGTCTCCAGGCCAGACCTGTGAAGATGCCACTGAAAGGAGCTGAATACCTCAAACCTTCTGATGTTAGATTCACCAAGAACACTAAAAAAATCGCCAGAACCGCTGGCAACGCCGCAGGGACTAAATATTCTGAGAACCTCACAATCGTCATTCAACATAATAGCAAAGATAAAACATAGTTTTATGAAAGAATCTTGATAGATTTCAGAGTCTGACTTGAGTTCTTGCGAAGAAACTGAGGCCAAGGGGGCAACGCCAGGCACGCGTGGTGGGATGCACAGAGCAGGCCAAGAATCTTGTTCAGGCTTGCTCGGGGCCAATAAATCTATGTAATTGGATCAGGGAAGCCGTCGCAAGAAGCTAAAGAAAGGGAGCACATACATTCCACATGCCGAGCCCTGATCAAGGTGTCAGAGCCAATGACCATCCTGCTCGAGCTCGAGCCCACAGGAAGAACATTATCCAATTGGGTATGGGGAATGCCCACAACGAGTCCAGATGAAAGAAGGTACCCATCTTTTTAAGGTGAGGTACAATCTTCATGATTGAGCACAACAAGTATGATGTGGGAACATTATCTGGTTTCTGTTTAATACATCATAATCACCTGCTCCGACAATCTTGGCTGGTTTTCCTTTCTTTTCTTTTTTTTGGCTATATATATACACATGCATAGATGGATAGACATGCTCCCCTGTTTTACCGTCTTATCTATGATTGCCCAGTTCATCTCTTCAGATGAGCACCCTCTCAGCACAGGTTCCTCACATCCCCGAAGAACATCAACGGAATGATCCCCGAAAGACTGATAAGTTGCCCCTAAGGTGCTGCAAAGTACGGATCAATACGAGAAAAGGATCTTCATAGCATAGAATTGATCCCCAGTACGAGGCCTGCCGTAAATCAGAAATTTACGGAGTTCGACTCCACACGTCGGAGGATTGAATAATCAGAAGACGTCCCCCATTCAGATGCTTCCACCGCGAAATAGAAACCAACCCGGAGTTCGATCGAACGCCAGCGTGCGACCCCTCGTCCTCATCAGCCACTCCTAGGGTTTTGGTTTTCCGCCCTTCTCAAACTGGGACTCCCCCAAACCAACGTGACAAGGAAAACGGAGAGGGGAGACGCGGATTGCGGCGAATGCAGGGGCTCACAGATGCATGGGAGCCGAACGCCTTCCTGAGGACCTCTCTGATTTTACAAAAATCGAAACCAGGAGCTCTCGCGATCTCCACCCCGGTTGCAGGCTCTCAGAAGCCGCTCGCTCTCATGATCGACCAGAGCACCCTCGCCTCCTCTCCGCCACTCACACCAGCGAACACGAGACGTAGGAGGACAAAGTCGAGTGGGCACGTAAATGGGCCCGGCGCTTGGGAAAAATAATCGGCCGAGATACGGCCCAACCCAGTAAGTTGTCTTCGCCGCCACGTCACCCTCCCATCCTCCCCATGTCACCACAGCATCTCACCTGGAGCTCCACGTCAGACCCACGACGGACTCCAGCCCTCCATTTGCTCCTGATCTGGGGGAGAGAGAGAGAGAGAGAGAGAGAGGCTGGTAGATCTTTATAGACAATATCTGAGAAGGAAGACCAGAGGAGGTGGAGAAGGCAGAAGCGGCCGGCGGTCGACCCGGCCATGGATGAAACTGGGGATGGAATTCATGTCAAGAAGAAACCCACAGCTAGGAACCCTAGGGGATTCGATCGCCATGGATTCCGCCGCCCCTGCTGCTGCTCTTCCGTTTCCCCTCTCGAAAGCCGACCCTCTCCGTGCTCGCAATCAGCATAGCGTAATATCTACATCACTGCGCAGATGCAGGAATCCCCATAGTCGTCGGCCTCAGAGTCGCTGTTATCACTGCACAGAGAGTGTGTGTGTGTGTGAGAGAGAGAGAGAGAGAGATAGGGGTGTTGGATGTTGTCGCAGATGCATTCTGCAAATAATAGAAGTGGATCAGCCCTTCTTCATTCATGTGTTCCATTGGATGATCCTGCCGCCATAGGTCGATGAGAGATCGAGATCGGGGGTAGAACAGTGTTATCTGGAGCTTCAAGCTTAGGAGGAGGAGTCGTGGCGGAGCTCTCATTCGAAGGACCGGACCCTGGGAGGCAGCATCGGGTTCCTCCATTTCTGATGAAGAATCGGGGGAAGAATGGTGGAGCTTTGTTGGGGGCGGGTGGGGCGATGATATCCGGGGTTGGGGAAGCGGAAATCGGGAAACGAGGGGCGTAATTGGAGGAGATGAAATCGAGCTGCACGATCGGCGGGACAGGAGAAGAGAGAGAGATTCAGACCATGAATCCCAGGTGCTGGCGGAGAGATGAGGAGAGAGCCAGAAGCCCACACCTGGGTTGGAATTCGAGCACCTCCGCGAGCTTGTTGCCGTGGCGGTCGTTCCACCGGACCTTCCTCTTCGCGTTCCTCTGGCTGCCCTTCGCCATCACCGCCACCCTCCGGCTCGCCGCCAGGAGAGGTCTCGACTCCTGATCTCCACTCTCCTCTCCGTCGACAACCCCTTCCACAACCGGACAGGTGGGGGCATCTTTAGCCCCCTTGCAGTTCCCGTCAGGTTTCGCAGCATCTGCATCCATCAGTCCTCGGAAATTCCGATCCTCTGCAGCTCAATTCTCCTGGCTGCGAGCAAATCTTCCGACTCCAGCAAGCGGATGGCGAGCGAAATCCAGACGAGCCATCAACAATGGCCCTCCTCCTGCTCCTCTCTCCTTCCCCGGCCAAGAGACCGCCGCGCAAATCCAACAAGAAGGGGGAGATATCTCCAGCTCTAGTAGACGAGATCAGCACGAAACCAAGGAATCCCGGGAAGCAAGAACCTGGCCAGATTTGGCAGGGGGGGCGATCCGCAAGAAACTAGGGCACAGGGGCGGGACTTCTCACAGAGAGCGAAAGAGAGAGAGAGAGCGAGAGAGAGCGAGAGAGAGAGAAAGAGCCGAGAACACGAGAAAGAAAGAAAGAAAGAAAGAAAGATGTGGGGGGTGGACGGATGGGAGGAGGGAGAGAGAATGGGGGGAAGCACCGCCTTGGACGAGATGGCGGCGACCGAGGAGGAGGAGGAGCACCACCTCCGCCGCTGCCGTCGCTCGCACCAGAAAAAGGACGAAGGGAAGACTTCTAAATGAGGCCCCACGCCGGCAGCCGCATTTTTAACCAGCCCCCCGTGAAATCTGATCCGTTGGGTGGGGGAGAGCCACCGAAAACCCCCCTCGGCCGTGCGAAATCTGAGCCGTCGCCCTGCTCAGCTCCGGCGATCTCCTTCCTCCTCGTGTCCGGCAGAGGTGAGAGCGTCCATCCTCCTCCCACCATCCACGGCCGTCGCAGTCAGTCCTCCCTCACGATTCCCCCTCCCCTTCGGAGAAGAGAAGAGAAGATTAGGGTTCTTAAATCCTCCGCCGCTTTCCCCACCCGAGCGAGAGGAGGTGGACTTGGGAGAGCCATGGCAGCTGGTGAAAACCTCTGGATCACCGCCACACCATGCATAAAAATGGGAATAGTTTTTTAGGGCTTTTCTGCAGCGAAAAAGAAGCAACATCAGCAGCTCGAAGGTTACCGTTTCCCTGCCTGGAGTCCACTCCGTTTATCGCATCTCCTCCCATATCTGCAATCTCTCAAACTACGGGTGTCTCTGTTCTTCCCACTTGATCAGGCCTCCCCGGTGTTTCTGCGTCTGCTTGCGCTGCCAGATTTTTCTGTTGCTCCTCAGAACGAGGATTATGGAGGCACGAAGGGGATGATCTTGATGAATGAATTGTGTCGGAGCATGCGCACATCAGATTCAGAAAAAAAATTGAGCCAGAGGAGACCTCCAGATCGATATGAATGTGCGGTCGCATACATAGCTTCGAAGGGCAGATGAGATCATCTGAAATCCTCGACGGGCGCTGACTCCTCAAGAAGGGCGGCGGCCTGGAAACACTCCGCCGCTTCAGCCACCGATCTGCCGCCCCCCTCGGCGGCGCGGAGCAAGCCGAGATTGAACCAGGCGGCGTAGTTGGTCCTGTCCAGCCTGAGCGCATCGCTCAGGTAGCTCCTCAGGGCCGTCGGCCGTTGACCCCCGAGTTGTCCGAGAACGACGGCGGTGGAGACCATGCTCGGCGCGTGGGAGGGATCGATCTCTAGTGCGTTCTTAAATGCACCCAGCGCTTCTCTGAGGAGGCCCCTGGCCTTGTAGACTTCCCCTGAGAACATGAACGCCAACAGGTTACTGTTATTCGATCTATGCTCCCGACTGAACGACATCTGATTCTTTCTTCTTCTTCTTTTTTCTTTCTTCCCCTCTCTGGTATCGCCCTAGACGCAACGGATCAGATGACAACAGGATGATCGAGCCAAGACCCATTTTAGTTGTTAGAATACCAAAGAGGTCCTCATAAGAAAGATCAAAATTTGACCAAGGAGATGCAACTTATCCACCTCCATGTCTGCGTCTGTATGCGTGTGCAAGAATGGAAGAAGAAGATGAAGATGCGAAAAATGGGAGATCAAATACCTGCGACTTGCCACAATGGAGCCGACGAGGGTCTGATGGCCCTGGATTTAGAGAGGCAAACCTCGGCATCGTCCCACTGGGACATACCCACGTAGACATTAGCCAGGTCATGCCACGCTTCTATCTCTAAGTTGCTGTCTTTTCCTCCGTCCTGCCATGAATGTCGAACCCAGTTGGAGCACATGAATCAGTCTCCAAGCGATTGAAAGCCGCATGCAGCGTCCGAATCTCAAGCAAAAAAAGAAGATCAAAAATCAAAAATAAAGTAGTGACCTTAGCAGAAGACTTCAGTCCGAGGCCAAGGTTCTTCTTCCTCCTGAGATGGACAAGGGCGAGAAGCTGTGTGTACGTCTCGATCGCGTTCTTAACCTGTCCCCGAGCAACCTGGATTCTAGCTTTGATCCGCAGCAGCTCTCCATGGCTCCAGCTCTCAGTCTGATCCAACGCGGCATTGACGACGCTCTCCGCATCACGGAAACGCTTCTGGGCGGACAGTATCCGAGCCAGCAGAACCCAACTCCCTACATTCGATCCAGCTTCAAGTCTCAGCAGCAGCTTCGCATAACGCAGCGCCGCATCCAACTTCCTCTGCTCGGCGTTCTCTAGGCTGAGATTATGCAGAACTCTCGGATCCTCGCCCCTGGTCATCTTCTCTGCTTTCTCCAGCACCCCGAGAGCCTCACGCTGCTTGGCAACCCTTTCTGCGTCTGAGGCGGAGGATCTCGCCTGGGCAGAGAGAGAAATGCCCATCAGCAGATTGGCAACACCCCCCATCAGAACATCCCCCGCCTTATCCAAACTGTCCACAGCCCTGCGCGCGTAGGAGACACCGTCTTCTGCGTGGGCGCCACTCTGCCCACAAATTTTGGAAGCCAGCAGCAGCGCTTTCAAGCAGTCCGGGTCCTCCCTGGGGCTTAAGATCTTCTTCAGGAGATCCAAGGCGACCAGCTCGTCCCCTTCACTCGAGTAACACAGCGCGAGGGTGTAGAATCTTTCTTTCCTGTCTAGCACCCCGGGGAGCAGGCCTTCGATCAGCCCGGCTAAGGCGGTCAGCTCCCCAGAAATGGAAAACGCAAATGTCAGATGATCGATGACCGATGGATCCCACTCGATCTGGTCGAGAGCAATCATCCTCGATTGGATCATCAGCAGAAGAACGGCCTCCTCGACGTTGCTCCTGGGCACAAAGGAGCCGTCCATCGTCTGCGCATAGGAATTTGGAGGAGGATTAGCTTCGCAACCTCCATAGAGAAGGAAAACCGCGAACTCTTTTCGAATCCTCGCAGCTGTCGCCGCGTCAATGTTCCAGTGATTGAGAAGGGCCCTTCGGTATGACGAGATAGCTTCCTGGGGAAAACCGGCCTGCTTCCACAGCTCTGGAAGCAGCTCCACGGCCCTGCTCAGCACCTCCTGTAGCTTAGAATCGGTTCCCGAGTTCACAGAGAAACCTCCCTTCGGCACGGCAGCTTGGACGACGTCCAGTATAGTGCTGCATGATTGCGCAGCTTCTGGAAGAGGTCAACACCCAATAAGAAGTCAGAGATGCAAGACGGGAGTCATGTGCCACCATGTTTCTGAGACATGACACCAGCAGATAGATGCATGAGAACGGGTGGTTAAAGTAATATCGGAGAAAGGTGTGTTGACCTTTGAATTTCCCAAGATGCGCCAAAGATTGGGCTTTGAGAAGAATAGCTTCGAAGAGCAAACTGACGGCGTGCATTGACATGGGTTTGACCAGATCACCATGAAGCCGATGTCTGTGGCCCTCTGCCCTCCCCGCGATTGAATGCTTCAATTTAGGAACTACTGTAATCATGTCGATTCCATCAAGAACACGAAGCGCGGCCTCCACATTCCCCCGGCTGTATTCCATCCTCCCCAACAATGCTCTGGCTTCCTGGTTACAAAAATGAGAAAAAAAATATTTAATTTAAAGTCTTGTTCTTCTGAAGAACAACCGATTGACTTTCGGGGGAGGAGCTTTTCTGCGCATGATCTAAATAAACAGAGGCAGTTCCATCCGGATGAACAACACGAGTTCTTTGAGAAAATTTGTGCCCAATAAGATAGAAAATGATCGTCGAGAGATACCAAGATCAGCATGCATTGTATTGTCTGATGCGTTAGTAACCAAGCAGCCTGAAGCACGAAGAAGCAAAACATGAGACTGAGAGGGTGCTTCCATTGACAAGCAACAAGCAGGGGAGTGTCCTCGCATCCAGCTGCAACCGGATGACGGAAGGCGGATTCTACTCGCTTAGAGATGAAGGAAAATAATAATTTCTACAGGAATGGATGTTTTCAAAAGGAAGATGAGGATCCCGAATGAAGGTGCTCAGATTTGAAAAGATACCCAGATTAGGGAACTCCAGTAGGATCGTGAGAGATGAACACAAGATGCCGACCCATCTGTAAACAGCGGGCCATTTCATCCGCCAGTGATGATGATGCTCAAGATAATTGGCAGATCAACAGATCTCCCAGCACAAAGGGGAACATATTGGGCCAGAAATCACAATCTCTGTATAATCCCATGTCCTATTGATATATCAAATCGCTTGAAGCATGGAATTCCATCAAAGAAACATGAAATGGACGAATCTACAGATGGTGGTCAATGGAAATAACTCTGGAGCATTAAGAAAATTTACAGATTTTGGGGAAGAAAAGCGATCACAGAGAATTTACTTGACTCGGAAAGAACTCAGTGAAATCAACAAGGGAATGAAAACCCGAGGAACGGAGACCCGCCCACTCACATCGTAGTTCAGTAGTCCACCCTCGCGAAGGGTTGAGACAGCTTCTTCAATGTTTCCAGTGTCGATCCTTTGTTCGATATCATCAACACCAGGAGAGTCGGTCTCAGCCGGGGGTTCCTTGGTCGCCTGGTGATCAGAGGACTGGATGATCTTGTCTCCTTTGACCTGATCTCCCATGCAGATGCACTCCATTCTACTCGGCAGTCCGGGCCTAGAACAGGAGAGATCAATCTTTCGCACTTCTCATCCAATTCCTACTGCCCATGCCGCCTCGCCATCTGGTGCAGGAAACGAACGCCGGAAGAAGCTTCCTGCAGCCACAACACACCAATTGGAGAGCACTTCCCGAGCAGGAAACGAAATCTAGGATGGCTAATCTCTGGAAATGAGGAAGAATTAGTCTCTGATAAGGTCCGACAGAGACGGGATCATCCACGCACTACTGTGACCAGGGTGACTCCTGCATATTCAGATAGGTCGGAGCGTCCGAAAGTACGATCCGGAGAAGGGACGAGGAAGACGAAGAAGAAGAAACCGGACAAGGGGCCGAAAACCTATCAGAAGCAATTCCACGGCGAGACCTGTAAATTCCGCCGACGATCCGGAGAAAAGATGATTCGGAAGCGGGGAATCCGTTCCTACCTTCCTGAACGGCCCCTTGCGAGAAAAGCGATGATCCCGGAAAACCAGGCAGCCAAATCAAAATCCAGAGGGAGTGAAACCACCAACGCGAGAGAGGGAACGCGTACAAGTACCATGCTCGAACACACGGAACCGTTGACTCCCGACCCGCTCGTTCATCAACCGGACGTGTCCTCTAGCAGATGCTCCTCCTCCCCATCAAGACGCCGCCCCGTCCCTTCCGACAGCTCCGATTATTGATGAAATCCACAGCAATCCTGTCACCATCAGGAGGCCGGACGAAGAGGACGCCCCTCCAAACTTCCGTATGGAATTCCCACGGTTCCTCCCCCCACCCCTCTTCCGCTTCCCCCGCCTTGCGGTTGAATAGGGGCTCCAAGTTCCCAACAGTCGCGTTTTGAAAGTTCGCCGGCGATCGTGGTTGGTTGGTTCCTCCGGGAATACAAAAAAGACGGCGACTGTAAAATAGGCGCCGCTGTGTTCAGAGTCAAAGGAGGCTTGCAGGTGGGCTCGAGGCGACTGTCCTTCGTTCCACGGCGGCGGGGCCAACTGCCCATAACTCGGCGAGGAGACGGGCGCCTCAGGGCGCTCTCAAGCTACGCGGAGGAAGATGGGGCTCTGCGCAGATGCGGTCCCGGGCCGAATTTCTCCATGCGTTCCGACAGCAACTCTGCTCCGGATCTTCTTATCCGTGAAGTAATGGAAAGATCAATGAAAGTATTTAACGAATCCATTATATTTTTTGACGTATGCAGAGAACGCGACGAGCAGCAACCGCCATTCCCGACCCATTTTAGATTGGAATCAAACTCGCAAAAGTACACGAAATAGAGCAGACCCACAATTCCTTAAGTCTCCAGCAATAAGAATAAAGCTGAGAACGGCCACCGAGATCGCACTCCCATTTGTTTTTCTCGTGTTTGCTGGATGGGGAACCAAGCAGGCCCTCCCTCGCCATTAATTCAGACATGGGCACAAGAATGCTTCTCCCTGGTAGGGGGAGAGAGAGAGAGACAGAGAGAAAGAGCGGAAGAGAAGGAGGTGATCTGTTAACATTATCTAGAGAATTCCATGAGCAGCCATGGTATGGACAAGAACCAAGAACAGTCGGACGAGGACCTACAACATAAATTAGAAGTCAGACGGCCCTACTACCACCTACTTCTATGTACCCTCCCATCCCCGGGATCACCAGGAACAACTGAACATATATTGTTAGAGAGAGAGAGAGGCAGAGAGATGATTGTTCGTCTATGTCACCTCGCGTTCTCTTCCTTCTTACCGCCGGCAGCCCCTCTCCCGGCCCTGCCCGCCTCTGAAAACCCTCAGGCAGCGAACGGAGGGAGCCCCAGGCGCCCGCCGGAGGAGGAGGTAGGAGAAGGCGAGCCTAGGAATCGTCCAGCCTAACCCACTCGTACCGCCCAGGTAGCGCGCAGTCCTTCACCGGATCAAAGTTGTACCTGCCGCAAGAGAGCCCACGAGGAAACAGAAGAACAGGATTAAACCAGACCAGGTGGAAGGAAGGAGGATCCCTCCGAGAAGAAAAAAACGAGAAGGGGTGTGGGGGGAGCCTACTTCTCGGTGAATATCCTCTGCTGCACCTGCTCTGCGCCGGCGAAGAACTCCTCCATCTCCTCGGAGGTCGGGATGCTCCGCAGCGCCGCCGGCTGGGTTCTCCGACCGGACGCCGTCCGCCGCCGGGTGGTCGAGCCCGGGGTTCCTGCGACGTCTGAGTCCTTTATCAAGCTGCAGGGCGTGGTCTCCCTGACATTCCTGCAACGATGTCACAAGCTCCCATCCTCCATGAACAGTTCCCCGAGCACACAACCACAAGCCTTACAGAAACAGACTTGGGCGACAAAGATCACAATCACAGGAGAAAACGACGATCGAGAAGAGAAAAACCCGGTTTGAAGCTCAGTCGGGCACTGAAAATCCCAATCGAAAAGCTGATCCCAGACGAGAGCGATCACACAAGGAACAATGCAAACTTCAAAAGGCGCAAATCGAACGGACCCACCCACCACTCTGGGGATGCGATTTACAGCATGCCCAGAAGCCTTGAATGAGCCTACCTGCAGCCGGGGAAGATTAAAAAAGGAAAATAAATAGGAAGACTTGGATTTTTGCTGCAACAACAACAACCATCGGTCGCCTTGTGATGAGAACAAAATTAATTAAAATAGAGAGCATCCACTTCCCCCCCGCCACCCCTCTTTTTTCAGCAAAAAAAAAAAAAAAGAAAAAAAAAAAGAAGAGAGAAGATGAGCGGCATTTCAGTGATGGCAGGACGAGGCCAAAAAAGATTCCCCCGAAAGGACGAATCAAACTGATCGACAAAAGCTTGTCTCTGCCATGGGCCGCTCTGCACGGAGCTTCAAACTGAACCGAGCACAGTTGGTGGTGCCCAGGAGATTCTATCTCTGGGGATTAACATAGCAAGCGACCGAGCCCTCACGTCACCTCCGAGGCCCGCTCTCGGCTGGGAGGAAAGACGCCAAACCCAAGAGGCACTGGAGATTTCTCAAGAAGAGGGGGGAAAAAAAACATGAAGATCTCAAGGTTACTGGTGGTTCCTATTTGTTCTTGTTTCTGGCGCATGCAGGACAGAACATCCGCTGACTCGGCCCACAAAAGACTCCGAGATGGTCCACCAAGCAAACTCCGGTGAGAAGAAAATGGAACGATGGCGGCCGATGACGATGGCCGCCACTCTCTTCCGAACAAAGAGGGAGGACGAACGACGGGGGAAGAATACACCCACGGAGCCCACGTCACAGAAGGAGAAGAGAGAACGAAGATATGCCTGCCTGCTGAAGGCAACGGGATTCCCGGGTGCAGACCAGAAATGAACGCATGCAGGGAGTCCAGGCTGCAGAATCAATTAAAGAAGAGATAGATAGATAGATAGATATATATATATATATATATATATATAGAGAGAGAGAGAGAGAGAGAGAGAGAGATTACAAATTAGAGGAAACCAGGATAAGAAATCTGCTGCGGAATACAAAGCCGCCGAGATAGAAGACCCAACAATGAGACATTTCGCTCTGGAATTCGAAAATCGTCGTCTCGACGGGAAATTCAAGGGAATGATTATGCATCGGAATGAGAGCAAAAATCCCAGAATATACAGGATATCAGAAGGGAAAAAAAGGGGGGAAGAAAACCACGAGCGAGCAAGGAGAAAAGCGAGGCGAAGGATTGAAGGAAAAGTTAGAATTTCCGCGGAATACATGTAGAGAAAATACAGGAAGCGAGAAAATCGGGGAGGGGGGGGGGGGGGGGGGGGAAGGAGCCCACCTATCTCTTGCTTCGAATTCGAGGAAATTCTCGCCGAAGGACGCCTCAATGCCATCGCTGTACGGGGAGGCCTCGGAGGCTAGCTCGTCCTCCCATTCGCCCCTCTTCGACCGACTCTTCGCCGCGGAGACAGACCCCACTGACTCGGAATTCGCAGAGCATGCCGTCAAGATAGGATTAGGGTTCTTCCCCGCCGTGGGGCCCTTCGGGCTGGTGGCCGACTTAGGACCGCCCTTGTAGCCATCCTTGGGCCTGGAAGGGACGACGAGGGGCTTCTCAAGCCGCCGGCTCCGTAGTTGGAGATAGGAAATGTTGTCGTGCTCCGCGGGTGGAGATGGAGACGGAGTAGGCGCGGCGGGCTTCTGGAGGCGCTGTAGGGCTAGGGTTCTGGCCCTGGTGCGGACGCCGAGAGAAGACTGGTGGGAGACCTCCATGACGGCAACCTCCCCCGCGAGCTTCGCCTTCCTCATGTACTTCCCCATGCGTGACACAGAGGCAGAGAGATAAAGGAGAACAGAGCAAAACGACCCGCTTCCTCTACGATACCATGGAAGAAAAAGAGGGGAAAGAGGGGAGGAGAGAAATACGCAGCAGAGAGAGATAGAGAAAGAGAGAGGAAAGCGGTGGAGAGAAAGGTGATAAAAAGGAGAACACAGGTGGGGGAGTCGCAGTGGCGAAGGGATAAGATGGGGAACAGGGAGGGGGAAGTGGAAGTAGAATGAAGCGGAGATGTCCAGAGAGAGAGAGAGAGAGAGAAACCCCTCGCCCCGGGTAGAGAACAAATAGAGACTCCAGGGAGAGAGAGGGAGAGGACGACTGGCAAGGGAGTGAGGAGGAGGGCGAGGGGAAATCGGGTCTTAAGGTGGTAGCCGGCCGCTCTGATACAGTCAGGTACGGAGGAGAAAATTGGGGGGGGGAAGAAAGGGAAAGGGATTCCCCCCACCGTGGACAGGGGGACGGAGGGACGGAGGAGGGAAGGGAATGGAGGGCCGACGAGGACTCGGAAAGGAGGAAAAAGGAGCGGACGAAGGAAGAAGAAGAAGAAGGGAAAAAAACCCACCCCGTCGGGGAGGAACGGGGACGGGCGGGCTCTCGATGCCGCCGCCAACGATATTTTGGAGATAAATTGAACTTCTCGTACTATTCTTCTCCCCTTCAGGAGGAGAAACTCGTGCAGCCCTGGCAACGTCTTTAATCGCGTCGGCTTCGAATTCCAGGCTCTTTTGCGGATAGAACCCTCATAAGTTCGACCATCAACATCGGAGCCGTCATCAGTCCTCTATTGGGCAAGTGGCCATCTCGAGCCACTAAATCGCGCGTTTGGAACAGATTCCTCCTACTATCGGGCCGCAACACGATCCTGTGATCCCTGAAACGATTCCAAAATAGCCACTTTGTGACCTCGCACGTGGGAGTATTATACTGATATTTCCCCAGAATCCGATTTTCTTTTTTCTCAAAATTCGTATAATCGAGGTGGCGCATTCCATTATCTCACCGCACGTGGGGGCTTGCGTGGCGTGAACTGGGCAACACCTTTGGGCCTGCCACAGGCCGAACAGGATCCGGAACCGGCGGCCCGCATCTCGCCGTCCACAGCGGAAGGGCAGACGATCTTATCGCGAGACGATAAGTCATCCGGGCGAGATGAGACTTGACGGCTACGGCGTCATTGGATTCCCTTCCCAAAACGGACAGATGGGGGGAGCAGATGTCGCCTTTGCTTTCTATGCGTTCACACTGTCGGTGGAAAACTTGGACGTCTGGAAGAGGGAGGAGGTTGAGGAACGGAAATTGGCAACCGTCGATTGGCTCCCGCTCAAACAGCTGCATCTGGATCCGTCGCAATTAGCTGATTCTTAATGTAAATTCACAACAGGTGAATGGAAATCACGCAAGAATATTGTCGATTTCTCACGAAACTTTTTTCTCTTAATGGAATTCGTCGAATGGGACGAAGGCGAGAGACATTTGCGATCTCTCAAGGTCTGGCGAGGGAATTCCCGCGGACGCCAGAGAGCGCGCGAGCGACCTCCGCCGACGGAGGCTGCTTCCGGCGGGCGAAAATTCAGTATCATTGCTGTGTCGTCGTTCTAATTGAACGTGATGCCGTCAGGTGACGGCCGAAGAGGATGACTCGACTGTGGCAAGTCGCGGCGCGGAAGGCGGAGGGGAGCCAATTTCCGCCGCATATATTTCTAATCCCAAGAGCTTGATCGCTGACCGATGATTACGCCGGGCTCTGTAACAGAGGCGAGCAAGATCTGCAACCAGTCCGGGAGACTCACCTGACCGTGCTCACTAGGTTGCGTGCCGATCGCCCTCATCCTGTCGCTCCATCGCCATACACAGGAAGCGTCCAAGCGAAGAGAAGACACCCCTTGAGAGCGGTGGATCCGCCCAGTACTTGTGCTCTGCCGCCGTCCTTGTGTCAGCGCCCGAGCCCGCCGGGGGGGCGCATTAAACCGCCCCCCCCAAGCTCTCGCCGGAGGAGCTTTCAGTTCATTCCCTCCTCCTCCCCTGATTTTGAAATTAAAAAAACTAATTATCATGGATCCCGATGAGGTAAATCCTACGGCTCTGGGCGGGCCTGATTTGGGCGGGAACGGCGTGCGTTGGCGGGAAACGGAGTCGTGGCCGTTAATGGCAATCGGTTGGGCGGGCCAGCAGTTAAGCCACTACCGTCCACTGAGCCTCCCCCCGTGAATCGTGTCCGTACGAGATCACGCGTTTCGGGGAGGCCGGGATGTACTTAACCGGGAAAAAGGACGGGAAATTGCACCGTCTTTTTTGAAATCTCTCTCTCTCTCTGTTCACTCCAAAAGCAGTGGACGCAGAGTCGAGCAGAAGGCGGGGAATCTTCTCCCCCGCGTCTTCCCGCCAAGAGGCTAACGGCGGAGCGAAGACGGCTAGCGCTTGGCGGGAGGGGAGAGAGAGAGAGAGAGAGAGACGGTCCGTCGTCTTCTTCGAGGATGATGGAGGGGGAGAGGAGGAAGACGTAAGCTCCCACTTCGGGTTGGCAGCTCCTCGTAAAAGGAAAACCTGATATCTTATATCTGCTTTCAAGCGCAATGGCGCGGCGGGAGGTTGAAGACGGAGGGCGTCCCGGGGGGGTCCCACGGGAGGAGCGTCCGTCGCCTAGGCGAGAGCGCCGCCCTGGTAAGGGGCCGTACGCGGCAAAGGTCGTAGCAGTGCGCGCCAATCATAACTCCCCTCAGATCCATCGATTGCCGTCTCCTCGCCCTTGTACTAGCTCCTGCTCTCCTCCTGATACTCCTTTCAACCTGTCACATCGAGCCTGGTAATGGCCGGCGACGTTGCCCGGCGCAACCCGCCGCAGAGAAAAAAGTTCCATTATGCGTTGTCCTCCAGCCCCTCGCGCCGCCCCGGAGAAGAGACTCTCCTCTCCACCTTTAGGTAAACCCTAACGCGCCAGGGAGGACCACGAATGCCTGACGTGTCCGGGGATTGGAGGAGGATGTTCTCCAACGTCGCCTCTCAAGCACTCGCTCGTGAGCACCAGCTTCCTGAACAGACGAGACACTCCTCACGGATCTGCAGCGCCGGAGACAGGTGCGGACATAACCTTCCCTTGGCCGATGCGTAGAACATGGATTAGAGACGAATGCTGATGGATCCCATCATTGAATCACACCTCCTACATTTTTTCCTGGTCCGGATTGGATAGGGGACAGGATATACTCGCCGGGAAGTACATCCTTGGATCGGAGGCGGACGTGGTCTCCCGGCTGTGGAAATAAAGTAGCCGCCGGACGTGGCTCCTAGATCAATAAATGGGCAAGCGGGGGAAGGAACTCCCACGCCTGCATTGCACGTGGGGGCCTCCCCTCGAGCCCGTGAGAAATGACTGTGTCAGCTTCAAGAGAGGGAGTCACAAGACGGCTTAGTTTTTTGCGTCGCGGCAGCTTTCTCCTCCCTCCTCGTCCCTCCTCTGAGCCTCTTCCCCTCTCATGCTGAAGCAAGCAAGTCAAGCCAGGAAAAGCCAGAAGGGTTTCCTGGCTTCCGAGTTCTGTAAGTGGTTCTGAATTATCGATGCTCGTGTTCGCAGGAAGGATCGGGCCCCCAAACTGGCTCCAAGATTCTGCAAGCCTGAGTCTTTCGCGAATTATTATTATTTTTTGTTTTCCCTTGGATTTAACCCTAAATCTCTCTGGTGAAAACTTTTTAGGGTCGCTACGGCGAAGGTGGCGTCACGCTCCACTTATGGAACTTTAAGGGCCTGTCGGGCCTCTTGTGGCGGCGGCCCCCCGGCGGAACAGAGGCGTCAGACCTCACGGGAAAAGCCGCCAGGGTGCGGCGGAGGGGGGAGAACACGGCAGCAGTGAGCCTCGCAAGACTAGCGGCGGTGGCTACGGCGGGGCTTGGGGAGAGGAAGCCTCCACAAATCATCACACCATAATGCTCGTAGGCCAATCGCTGGACGACGACGGCCGCCGGCGCCCCCTATCCGGCTCGTCCCCTCCGGTACGTCTCTCTCTCTCTCTCTCTCCCTTTCCCTGCGGCTACAGTGCTCAGTCACACACGTGAGCCGGGCTGATCTTCGTAAACTCTATGAACAGTGGCCTCCTCTGCGGGGGGATGTAATTTGTCCCATTGGGTTTGAGCTCGATTGTTTTAGACAAAGTTCTGGGAAAAAACATCGATGGATCTGAGGTATTAGTACCCTGGGTTTTGTCCGTCGGTTTGTCTGAATCTCTCTCTCTCTCTCTCTCTCCGGACCAATTTTCCTTGTCTCTGCCGTCTGCTTCTGACATCGTTCCTTTATGCTCCCTGGAACAGGCCCGTCCAGAGCTCCGGGGGAGTTCTCAGACGGACCAAGAGAAAGAGGACGCTGAACAGAGGGGAGACGGGACGCCCACTGAACCAGATGCGACGGGTTGATGGTCCCCGGAATGCGATGCCAGTCAGTCTTCAGCAGGTACGCCATCTCCGCCCACCCCGCCGGCGGCCTCCTCCCTCGCTTCTGCCTCTGTTTCTCCTCGGCTTAGCTTCCCTATGTGGATCGGCCGGCGGCGCTGGCTCAGAGGAGGGATGATTAAAGTTCCAGGCACCGTGGAGAGGAAGGATCTTGGCTGGGACGGAATGGCAAACTGGTGTCGACCAGTTGACTTCCCAGATTGAAAAACTCCAAGAATTCGGGGGTTCTCGCCGGCGAGTGCCGGAGTCGTTCGTGGGAAAAGCCGGAACGAAAAGGATGAGGCAACGACGTTCTAGAGTGTGTGTGTGAGAGAGAGAATCTATAATAAAATTGGTAAAAATCAATTGCATTAATTGAATTCGGCGGCGTCGCTCTGTCTCTGTGCAGCTGGACCCAGTGAGTTCCACTCCGTGAACGCACAGCGGGCAAAATGCTCGCCGCCGGTGAAATCTCTTTAGATTCGCCGGCCTTCTCCTCCCTCATCCGAGGAAGGCTTCTGGGCCAACCTCACCAAACGGCAGCAGCTGCGTAGAGAGAGAAAGAGAGAGAGAGAGAGAGAGAGAGAGAGAGAGAGAGGCCTTTTCCGCCGCCGAAATGAGGCTTCTGAGTTTTCTGAATCTGGTGATACTTCTGGTCGCCGCCATCGCGGTCGTCTTCCTCCCCTCCGGTAAGCCAGAGCAACGGACTCGCACAGTTTTGCCACTTCAGGTTTATTGAACCGTCTGAACGGTGCAGGAGCGGGGGCGTACGTCTGCATGGAGAAGACATGCGACGACTTCCGCCTTTGCGACGAGCTCTGCCGGCGCCTGTTTCCCGGCGGCGGCGGGAGTTGCGACCCCCCGCTCTACCTCTGCTGCTGCAAGACCCCATGAAGAAGGGGAAACCCCTCCCCCCACCAAATCCCTCTGCTGAATAAGATATGAGACATGTCAACGCCAGAAACTTAGTTTTTTTTAATTCCTGTTGAATCAGACGAAGCCCAGGTCAACCAGAAGAATAGTTCCTCCATCGTGATCCTTGACCTTCATCTGAATTTTCCTTCTTTTAGCCCGAGTTTTCCTCCGTTGACTTTACGCAGTGGAAATATCAAAGAGCATACAGAGCCGCGGGGGGCGGGGCAGAGATGATGTTCAACGGGAAGCCCACTCGTCCGGCAGCACCGCCTAGACGAGGGGCGTGGACGTCATGAAGAGCTGCAACCCCGTCAACCCCCCACTCGGAACTTCCAGCTGCTGCTGCTGCACTCCAGCCCCGCGATGACGTCATATGTTTATTTTATCTGGGATTTATTAATCATTGACCAAATCTTCCACGGCTTGGACGCATATGATAATTAACGGTCAAACCCAACTCTTATGGAAACAAATCACAACGTACATTATTCGCTCTCAACGACCTGCTTTGGAAACAAATCACGCCCTCTTTAAATATTATTAGTTTGAAGGCTTTCCGAAAATAAGATTTTTTTTATTTTTTTATTTTACGGATTGCGACGCAGAAAAAAAAAAAAAAGTTCCTGCCCAACCCGTCCCTGTCAGTCTGGGGGCTCATCAAAACTGTAAGAATTCGGCCCGAAAGCCCGCTGACGACTCTCTCTGTGTGTCTCTGTATAACCCTGGGGTTATTTCATAGGATTTTCTCTGGGCCTGTCTTGGGCCTTAGCCCTTAACATATGGGCCCGTTAAGACCACTTTTTATTTTATCTTGTTGCTGTTAATGTATTATTATTATTGTTGTTGTTATTATTATGAATTGGCGGCGGTGGGTAGCTGGGACTTTTAAAGCGGATATTATGATGCGAAAATAACGCGGCGCCCGTGCCGCAGATAAGTCATAATCCTTGCCGGGCCCAAGAGTGACCCTTTAAGGGTCCGAATCGGTACTCCTGGTTGCCATCCATATTTGGATGGGACCGGCTCCAACCTCCAACCTCCAACCTCCATTTCTGCTGCTTCAGCTTCTCCACGGCCACCGGCGGCGCAGCGCAGGATGGCGGCGGCGGAGGAGGGCGGGGGCGGCATGGCTGTGATACGCGACAAGGGCGAGATGAGGTCGTGGTCAAGGTCACGGAGGAAGGCGGGTGGTGGCCTCGCCCTGGTGCCCACCATGGGCTATCTCCACCGGGGTCACCTGTCGCTCGTGGAGGAGGCCAAGAAGCGGGCACAGTTCGCCGTCGTCTCCATCTACGTGAACCCCGGCCAGTTCGCCCCCACGGAGGACCTCGACTCGTACCCCTCCGATCTCCAGGGGGACCTCCGTAGGCTGGCGGAGATGGGGGTCGATGCCGTTTTCTGCCCCACCAACCTTTACGACTATGGGGAAGGCCGCGGCGTTGTTGGCGATGGGGAGAGGGAAAGTTTTGCTGGGGCTGGAAGTATCGGCGGCGGGGACGTGGGCAGAGAGGGGAAGTTGTTGTCCTGTGTTGAGGACAGGGGCGGAGAGGGAGCAGGGCACGAGACCTGGATCAGAGTAGAAAGATTGGAGAAGGGGTTGTGCGGGAGTAGCAGGCCTGTTTTCTTCAGAGGAGTCGCCACGGTTGTGGCCAAACTGTTCAACATAGTGGAGCCCGACGTCGTGGTGTTTGGGAAGAAAGATTACCAGCAGTGGCGCATCATCCGCCGGATGGTGAGAGCTCCGATTCCTATTCCCTCTCTCCCTGGTTTCCACTTTACGCGCTTTCTTTCATGTCGACTCTGTTTCTCGATTTCTGCAATAGCTGCCCGTTTTTTTTTTCCCCTGCAAATTTTTGAGATGGAGCTGTGAAGAAAGAAAATCCAGTGCGCCATTTGTCGATGCATCTGATTCTCTATATGAGCGAGTGATCCGTTCGGCATAATCGCGAGCTTCATAGAATCATCAAAAGCCAGTTCGACGCAGGAACTTGGAGCCTGAAAAGGTTTTCTGACCATATTCCACTCTTACTTCAACGTTTCAACGGCAGATGGGAGGGCGCAGCCTGGGTCCTTAGTATGCGATGATTCTGGCTCGACAAAACCTGCTACTGCTGGAAGCCAGGATCTCGAATGATGAGAATATTATGTTAGGAGAAGTATTGTGACGTTTCTCTTCCAGAGATTTATCCCTTTTTCTTTGTTTGAAGCTCACCTGCTTCTCAAGCTTCTTACGGGTTCTTGCTTATTTCTCCTTCGTAACACGTCTTACTTTAAAATTAAATAAATTATATTCCATGACTATATTCTAATCTGTACTTTGAAAAATATTTTCCCAAACCTGTTCTTCAACTTGGTACCAGGAGGCTGTGTTCCTCTGCTCATGGCAAGCAATTTCTTCAATTCCCTTATTAAATATTGGAGGAAAAATAAGTAAATAGGCTTGAAAAATACCAGAGGGGTACTTGTTTGTGACTCTGGAAACTGACCCGCAAAGTATGCAGGATCAATGAAGGATTGGTGTTGGCCCTTTTCTTTGTTTTTTCTAATAAATATCTGTGCTTGAGAAAGAACAGAAAAAATGTGATCATCGTTTATTTACTTATCTCCTTCATCGTGCAAGCCCACATTCTGCTCTTTATCTCCTTCAATTTGCCCCATTTTGTGCAGCCTTTTGTGCCATTTACATCCATTCATATGAAAACCAATTTAATCAGGCTTTGTTCTCCTCCAATCCGGTCCCTACTCTCGATGCTATCTGACTTAAAACATTTGTCCCAGGTTCGAGATCTTGACTTTGCTATCGATGTCGTCGGTCTAGAAGTTGTGCGTGAGATCGATGGCCTCGCCATGAGCTCCCGCAATGTTCTCCTCTCGCCCACAGAGCGTCAACAGGTTTGCCCTTCTGTTGACTAAATTTTATGTCAACAGCGTTGGACTTTATAACCAACTGGATGTTATCTGGGCATGCATTAAAACTTAGTCGAAGCCCCATAGAAGCAAGGTAAGGCTCAGGCTTTGGGTGGTATCATCCAGGATTCGACTCTCTTAATCTAATTGGTGTGAGAAACGATAGACATTGTGATATCCATTATATTATTTTTATTGACTCATCTTATTAGACTCTATACACCAAACATGACAATATCTTCTCTCTCTCTCTCTCTCTCTCTCTCTCTATATATATATATATATATATATATATATATATATAAAGTGTATTTAAAAAAATATATGTGGCTTGAATGAAGACTTTGAATATTGATATTTATTATAATGCCATTGCATCGTCCAGGATTTACTCTACGGTGACATTTTTTTCAACTATCTTTCTCTCTCTCTCTCTCTCTCTCTCTCTCTTTTTTCCCGTTGTTCTTCTTGATTGAAATCACATATCAAGGACTGGTTGTTCAGGCCTTGTCCATCAGTGAGTCCCTCTTGAAGGCAAAGGTCGCCGTTCAAAATGGGGAAACCTCCTGCGAAGGCTTGAAGGCTTCAGTAACTCGGTCAATAACTCAGGCGGGTGGTCGAGTTGACTACGCAGAGGTAATTTTTTACAAATTTTGGTGGGTTATTTTTGTCTCAATAATTATTTCTTCACAAATTTTCGGTGCGACAGATCTCTTCATTGACAGTCTGAGGTTCTCTTTTATCTACCTGGAACCGACCATTTAAGTCCCATTCTCTGATAGCTAATTAATTATTTTTCGACTCATATTAAATTATCAAGAAATAAGACCTGTTACTTCCGTAGAGATGAGTCTTCAGATCCATGGACGAAGAATTAAATAATTTTTGTATATATATTTAATAATAGACAGCAGATCAAGTGGGTGAGGAGAATTCTCATGCTCCTGGTACCTTTGTTACTGAGAAAAATAAAAAAATAAAATCTTTCGTTATTTCTGCAGATTGTTGACCAGGAGAATCTTGGAGTTGTGAAGAGAATAAGGAGCCCGGTGGTGTTCTGCGTGGCGGCATGGTTTGGAAAGGTGAGGTTGATTGATAACGTAGAGATCAGCCTGTGAGAAGGAGCACGCTGTGCTCTTATTAGCTGAAGCAGTAAGTTCGGTTCACTTTAGTTGCTCAACCGCCCCGCGCCTCTGCCCGGTGCTCATGACGCGCTACGGAACCTCCACCGTGCCGGGGGACCGAGCAGGGCATAGCTAGCGGCATAGGAGCCTACTCGACGTCAGCGGCTTCGTGCCGCACTGGAGTAATCCAATATGTGGTTCCGCACGTTCCACCACTTCTCCGTTCATTTCCAATACTGATCGTGAAACACCATGAGCAGCAGGATGTTGAGGTCCGGAATTCGAAGTGAAAGTTTTGATTTGCCCGTTCCTTGTCGTCATGGAAAAGAAAGGCAGAAATTAGAAAGAGATTATTCCCCTGGAGCTTGTCCAGTACCAGCAGTACTAAAAATCCATCTCCTTCGCCGTTTCTACCTGGCGCTGCCGCCTTGCATGCAAGCGAAGCGCTATTGGCGGCAATTAATACTCACTGAGCGATGATTGATGAAGTCAGTCAGTGCCCTCGATTGTTCCAGAGAGAAGGATCATGGCGCCCCGAAACCATGACATCCGGCAGCAGCATCTCCTTGCGTGCAGGAGACTTCTATGCCGGCCGTTATTCCTGGCTCTTGGCTGCCTTGGAACGTCGATTCCACGTAAGTGGAAGGAAGAATGCATGAATCACAGCAGAGGAGAAAGGACGGATCACCTGCCGATCTTTGATCCAACAAAACTATGCCAGAAGAATAGGATACAGATCGACCGGCACAAAAGCCTTCTTCATCAATCTACGCTCATTGAGGAGACGGTGACATAGATAAAAGGGGAGGGGGGACGAACGAAAAAGATGTGTGGCTGAGGGGAGGAGAGAAAGAAAGCATGCATTGAAATTCTTTCTAAGGCGCTTGCGAAGAATTCAAGGAAGTCTATTACTGAGAAGTGGTGATCTCATCTCGTCTTGCTTGCTGGGAGAATTCAAGGAAGCTTCCGGACCACCTTTTTCCCCATAGCGAGCGATCACTCAGCAATGATACCGCCGGCCGGGAAGAAGTATATCTATCCCTTACAGGAATCGAAACCGTGTCTTCGACATGAAAAAGACGATGTCCTAACCACTGGACGAAAGGGACAAAAGAACATTCTTCCTGAAGCACCAGCTCCAAGAATAGAAATGGTTCTATACGAAATTCAACGATTTCGTTTGTGTTCATGTTGTTTGATGTGAATACCGACAAAGTTAGAACACCATAGAAACTTTGCGGACTTTTTCATAAACCTTGATTTCGCTACGTTCAATAAGAACCCAACTGAAATCGGTTCATGTTCCGCTTCCAAAGTAAGTTGTCTTTGCCCAAGTGTGAACTGCAGACGACTCTTCAGTAGTTCCATTCCTTCTGGGTCAACCCGGGGTCCCAGAAGGGGAATTCAGTGGGTCAGCCAACCGGCGGCTACGTCTAGCAGGTAGGCGACAGACCCCCACATTCACTTGACTTTTGACATTTGATTTGCTGAGCAGACCTTCTACTGGGAAGGGAACAACTCACCGAAGGAGGCAGTAGGAATGAAAGAGGCGGGCAAGCGGCTTATGTAGGGGTCGGCATTCCTACGTGCTCCTCCTATTGAAATAAGAAAGAATGGGTTTATGGATGAAGTCTTCGGAGAATTGTTTCGGTTGCGGAAACCGGAAAAAGTCGGGAACCGTCGGTTACCTTTTGAATCGACGAGCCGTGCAAGGACGCAGGGATATAACGAGTAGTAAGCCCAGCCGAGACGCCCTTATCTTCTCTTTCTTCGGTCGATGGGACTTCGACTGTACTGTCACTGTAGGGGGTGGTAGGCTTAGTAGGGCTCGAACCTACAATATCACCGTTATGAGCGGTACGTTTCAACCAATTAAGCTATAAGCCCTCATGCAATTCGCTCACTTCGAGAAGAGCGGACGGAGGAAGAGGAGACCCTCCTTTGCTTTGCTCTATCTGCTTCTTCCTCAACCCGGGGCCCCAAAACCAAAAGTAAAAGTAAAGAAATGAACCTAAGGTTTGGAACCCTCGACCAACTTGATCGGATGAACACAAAAAAAAATCGGCACGTCGTTGACCCCGCCTTTTGTGAGTAATGCGCCGAGACTTGATTGAGTTCCTAAAATCCTATGAAGACGTCTTCTCCTGGTTGTATCAGGATATGCCAGGATTGGACAGCGGGGATAGCTCAGTTGGGAGAGCGTCAGACTGAAGATCTGAAGGTCGCGTGTTCGATCCACGCTCACCGCATTTTCTATTTCACGCCATTTTTTTACGTTGAATCACGTGTTCACGCCGCTAATGTGTGCCCGGGTGAAAGCCACTTCACAGAGAGAGAGAGAGAGAGGGACTTTCCCGCCACCATATCTTCTTCTTCTTATCCTTCTCCCCCTCGCCTTCTCCATCTACCTCTGCGGCTGCGGCGGTGTTGTGCACGGGAGGACATCGAAGCCGGGAGAAGGCCTGCGGTGGGGGGTGACGGAGGTCCGTCCTTTAGACGCCCAGGCTGGAGGTCGGGCAACACTCTCGCCTTCCGCGAAAGCAACTGCTCCCTCCGTCAACGAGAGGAGGGAGAGAGAGAGAGAGAGAGAGAGAGAGAGAGAGAGAGAGAGAGAGAGAGAGAGAGAGAGAGATGCATGCATGCACAGGCAGCTGCACTCCCTAACGGGTACTGGTCAGACTAGGCTAGCGATTGGCTCCTGTATACTATTTTTGTCAACATGATTAGAGACATTCTAGAGGACCGCAAACCATGCCATGTTTCCCATCTCGGCAGTGTAGTGTCTTCCTAGAATATAAATTGGAAAGGTCAACGTTGGGACACAAGGGACCAAACAAGTTGACCCCCGTTGACCAATGGGTGTCAGCCCCGCCAGCTAATAAAAACGCCCATAGTATTCGTTGACTTCGGGCCCACAAAATTGGGCTATAATATGACCGAATTGACCCCCTATTATCTTATTTTAGCAATTATTCGTATATTTCTGCGGAGAAAGGTGTCCACCAGAGGGGGAGGGGGTTTCCGTCATTGAGAAGAATAACAGGGACTCCAGTGCAAAAAACTCAATTACGAAGCGAGGGAGAGCGAGGGGATTGGGAAGAGAGGGGCGGACAGCGAAGGAGGGGAGGAGGGAGTGGAGGAATAATGGAGGGGGTTTTAGCCTTCGCCCGGAGATCTCTGAGTCTGGCATCGAGCACCGGTACCCGCCATTCCCCTCCCAAGCTTCTCCCTTCCCGAGGCCCCGCGCCTGTTCCCCGCTCCAGTATTCGATTCCAGAACTCGGCGTGTTTCCGGCGGCGGAGGAGGGTACGGTGCCGTAGCAGCAGCGGCGGCGGTAGTTCGCCGGCGCCTGACCCAGGTACTGCCACTCGTCGTGCACCTAGCCAAAAACTGATGAGGTTGCCTCCGAAGCGGTTTGTTTCCGTTCCACCCCCCTCCCCTCCTTGAAACATTGCCCTCATGGGGCCTAAAGCTTCAGGGTCTTCGTGATACGAACCTTTCGTTTAATTTTTATAAGAAAAATATTTTTTTTCCTGGGTTGGACTCTGTTCTGTGTTATTTTATTCTGTGGAAGGAAGATGGATCTCGACTAGCTTTGGTTTTTCTCTGATATTCTGAGACTGGGCCTGCATGTTTCCAGATGGGCGCGTCAAATCTGTTTCCTTCGAGCTGGAATACCAGCGCCCCATCAGTGATCGTTTCCCCTCAGCTGTCCATTTACCGTTACGCAGCTTCATTAGTTTCGTTAAGTAATTAGACAGGTTGATCTGAATGTTTTCGGAAGGGCTTTTCATTATCTTTGCTAAAAATGCCTATTTTTTACGCTTTTTCATCCCTTTCCATTAACCTGAGGCACCATCTGTAATATATGTTTGTATTTTTCAGAGCGGCAGAAGGAAGAGACTAATTTTTAAGGGCTTTTAATATTTCAGGTGAAAACGATAGCAAAGCTGCTCTAGATGCCTTCTTCCTGGGTAAAGCTCTTGCAGAGGCGATAAATGAGAGAATAGGATCCAACGTGGGGGAGTTCTTGAGCGTCATTGGTCAATGGCAGGCGGAGCAACAGAAGCAAGTTCTCGATTTCCAGGTGAATGTGCATTTTATATGTACGTTTAAGCAGTGCTAGTTGACTTTTAATCAGGAAAACTGTTTGTCTACTTCCGCATGTTGCCATTTTGAAAATTAAATACGTTGATTTGAATGGGGTTGATCGTCTTCATGGGTCAGAGTGCTTCATTTAGCTCAATTTAGGCATATTTTTTCCCAGGTAGTTTGCACATTTTCTGTGGGAACACTCTGTTAGTCAACATTTATTGAGATCGAATACGCAGCATCAGGGTATAGTCAAGGAAGGTCAAGATGCAGAATTATGGTTGCATTTTTTATTTCACAAACGCATTGCCCAACACCATTAGATCATCATTGTTTGTTTAGGGTCGTATGAAATTGTTCCTTGGAAACGTAGCCCTTAGATGGCTGCCCAGAAAACAGGAGAATTCCAAATGGGCATTCCCTCTCGCATTGTTAACCCTAACGGAAATAAAAGTCAACGGTTGGATTGCAGGGAAGACTTGGGCTATCCCTTTCTGATAACAGTGCGGATTGAAAGGTTTTGTTGATGAGTTTGAAAGAGAAGGATATGGAAAAAACAGTTAGAAAGTTTAGCTCTGTCGCCCTTCACATGGATTCTTGATCACCAGCTATCCTCGGTGTGGACTGGAAGCGCCCCTTTGGATTATGAACGTTAAAAAGGGCACAACTGAACTGCTTGTTGCCCTCGACCCATTCATCCTCTGATGTCAAGCAGATCAGTTTTCCATGTTCTAGCGTCTGTGACAGTCGTTGCTAAACACCATCTGTGATAAAGTGAGGCTAGCTTTTGTGCAGGAAGAGGTAATGCAGAGGGCGAAAAAGGCAAAGGAGAAGGCGTCAGCAGAGGCGTTGGCGGCGGAGGGCAGCGGCTTGTCGACATCTTCGAGGGCATCCTCGGCGCCTGCAATTGGGCGTCCGGTATCAGCATCAAATGAGGATGATCCCATGGAGGAAATGCTCAATGGCTAGTCAGTGACTCGTCCGAAGAGAAATGGGGCCCCCTTCCAACACATGTTCTCTTCTCTTCTCTTCTTTAATTATCCGATTATGATAAGTTGTATGTGAGCATCGTCGATTATACTGGAAGTCATAGCTTGATGTAAAGATTAATCGAATGGAGAGATGCGGTTTTATTTCAGCGTCACATCTCTGTTGTCTCGGCTCTTACAAGGTCAACGGGCTAATGATGTCCGGTATCAGACGCAGAAACAGGGCTGGCCCGAGAGAGAGGTGACGTACGTCACTCGGCGGTGGAATCCCCAGCGCCTGGTGTTGCCGCTAGATGCTGCTCGCCGGAGCCCTCGAAAGCACGTCGCATGCTTGGACGTTGAATGAGATCCACGAATAGCCCCAATTCTTTGTTTGCATCGTCGTCGTCGTCCTCATTGTTGTCATCTTGTAGCGGAAAGAATGAAGACCCCCTTAAGGTTGATGGGAAGATCGAAACCAGAAGAATGCAAGCCCGGCTGCTGGGTTGTTGTTGGTTGATAGGCCACCGTTAGCTGAAGACGACGCTGGAGAGTGTGGGAAAATCCGCCTTCTGCTTCTCCCTCCGGCGATTCGGTTTGGTAGTTTGCTGCCGCTGCTTGTAGGGCGGCTTATCTCTCGGCAATGCGCGAGGCATCGTCGAGCCAGTAGATTGTCTTCCCTGCTGCTCCCACCTGACGTAGCAGAAGTCCACGCCGCCGCCGGCAGCCAGGGACGCTGTGCTTCTGCTTCTGCCTCGACGTATCTGATGGAGGGCCCGAATGAGAACGCCTCGCGCGAGAACGTGAGAAGGAAATGAAGACTTCTTCCTTAATCGATTTAACCTGCGGGGGGCCGCCGGGCAAAATACAAAAGACTCAGGGACGGCCTGAGTATCGATCGGGAAGAAGGGGGGAAAACTGACAGAAGGGAGGTCGATCGAAGACCGACGAAAGGGAAAATCAACACAAAACGACCCAATTCTCAGATGATCAATCTCCTGTCCTTCCGACTTCTCTCTCTCCTGGGGCCATTCTCCTGCTGGGGCCTCCTATTTGTAACCGTCGTGTGGCTGATTGGCCCATGCTTTCGGTGGTTAACGGTGTCCTGTCTCCTCCTGTTTACGCTCGCGTCGAACCGGAGACGTTTATCGGTGGTTTAAGGTCAGGACGTTCGGCGCCGGGGTTGTCCCTGGTCCGCCAGCGTCCCATCAGTATCTCTCCCGGCAATGCGACGGGTGTCGCTGGGCAAGAAGAAAAAGAAGAGTCGTCCATGGGTGCCCCGCCGCCTTCCCCTCCCCTGAGCCAGCGACCCGTTCCGGAAGGGCCAGGAGGCTGCAGAACCTCCAGAAGAAGGGGACGAGGTGGCTAACCACGGAGTTCCGCCCTTCTTTTGACCCAGCGTATCTCCCCTCGCATCGTCTAGAGAAATGTCGAGACAGAAGCAGAAGCACAGCGTTCCAGTGGGGAAGCCGGAGCCCAAGAGGGAGAGGAAAGTGAAAGCAGCCGCTGGTCGATGGGCGCTGGGACACCTCTGGACGAGGGCGGTGCAGCGGAAAAATGGTGAAGTCGCATGAAATTTGCATGCCAAAGAAAGGAGTGCATGGAGAACCGAACAAACCAGGAAGAGAAAAATGTGTTCAAGCTAGTCACTCGAAACTCACGAGAAAACATTAACATCACTGACGATCTACGGTCCTCGGCCATACGTTTGATGGAGGAAAAGCCGGCGCCGAAAGCAAGTGATCCACGGAAATGGCCCCGCCAGCAGGAGCGAAAGTGGAGCATGCGTCTCCAGGAAGTCTGCGGATTCTGCGGTCTGTTTACGCGTTTTGAAGAGCAGAGTTTAGAGGAAGGAAAACTATCATCGCTTCTCATTGCTCACCTAGGTGACGAGCAACCAGGAGTTCTCAATGACGCCTGGAAGGGCAAGATGTGAACCTGCTGCCGGCCAGTCCCCGATCTTCTGAGCCGAGCAACCAGGAGTTCTTAATGTTTCTTCTTCTTCTTCTCAACCCTTGGGTTTTAGATGACGTCTTGGAACCTTTCATGGGCATCGCCAGTGAGACTGAAAGTAAGACAAGGATTTTGGTCTCTCTTGGATCATCAAAATGGCGAATCAGTCGCACTCTCATTTCACGGCTCTTGCGATATATGGAAACTATTAAACGAAGTCTTCGTGATGCGAAGCATCAAAGCTCGGCAAGTCATGGGCATCCAGAAGAGTTCCCGAAGCATGGGATCCTTCGTCTGAAGTAACTACTCTGATGGACCTCGATTGTCTGCATAATCTTTTCGGCGGGGGAAGGGGGAAGAAGAGGGGCGGGGGAAGGGGGAGTTTGGATCTGACCTCTGGTTCAACGAATTATCGTCTCTAGCTCCACGATTTTTGGTTAAAAGTTTGGGTTTTGGGATTCGACTTTCGGCGTAGCGATTTTTGGTATCTTCATGCCGCTGCAACGAGGGACGCGGCAGAAAGAAAAACCTCCGTTCATGTTTATTAGATAGAACCCTCGTCCATGATCATCGCGATCGTACAGGAAGAAGGAGATAGCAGCTCGATTGCACTGGTTCATACATGAAAATAGAAGATGAAGCCTTCATTGTTGCACTAGTTCAGACAGCAGCATCTGCCAGCGGATGTGCAGCAAGCGCGGTGAGCGCCTCCGGGAACGTAGTTGCCGCAAACACTGGCGCAGTCGACGGAGGCGCACGTCCCCGGTGAAGCGAAGCACTTGACTCCCGGGGTGCACGTCGGCTCCGCCTGAGCCACTGCATGTAACCATGAGCGAAAACAATAAGAACAGGTAATGCTGATCATGTTTGATGATATTCCAAGCAGAACGTGAACTCGTACCGGGAGATGAGATGAAGGCCAGGAGGACGAGCACAGCGAAGAGCTTCATGGTGGCAAGAAGAAAGAAAACTCGACAACTGGGCTTCTTGCTACTCTCTGTGACTGGGTTGCCATGAATAGTCATATTTATAGATAATCGTCACTTTGGATTTGGATTCATCTTCTTTATTTATAGTCATATTTTATTTATTTTATGGATATCTTTCCCTGTTTGAGCAAGTGAATCCAAAGGAACCAATGCTCCGGATTTTGTATTTGTTTCCGAGTGAGAGCAAATCCTCAACATTAAAACTCTCTGGATTTGGATCTCCATTCAACGTCCGGAAGTATCAATGATGGATGTGGGGAGAGAGAGAGAGAGAGAACGTGTAGATTTAGTATGCCAGGATTTTCTCCCAATCTAGCTTAAAAGTCAACTAGATATCCTAAAATACAGGGAAAGATGCAGGAGATGGATGAGGACTCTCCATCTTCTTCCTTCTCCCAACTAACTTGATCCTCCGATTCTTCCTCGTCGAAGTCATCCCTAGACGACAATGCCCGTGACCTGGAGCATGTCGAGTTTCCCTTCCAGAGGCGGTCGCCGGCCCCCACTCCTCCCCGGCCATTCCCGCATTAAAAGAGATCCCGGTAAAAAACCCGGCGGTGAATTCATGTTACTATGGCCTTGGTCAAACAAGGCTAGCCGTTAACTAAAATTTAGGAAATGGCCAAAAGAGACGAAGGGATAAGACAGGAAACGCACTCGTCTCTCTCTCTCTCTCTCTCTCTCTCACACACACACACACACACACACACAACCTCACGTCGAGAGTGTAAAGGAAAAGTACAGTGTCCAAGGGCGAACCCTTCCTTGACAGATCACCCATGGTGGAAGCACTCCCGGTGGACGAACTTGGAGGTCCCCTTGCACTTGTAGGGAGCTATGAAATCTCTCTCTTCTGTGTCTAGGTAGACCCGGCACACCCAAGAAAAAAATAGGAGAGAAAACAGCAGAGAAAAACATGTGAATGCACACATAGGAGATAACACCTGAGTAATCTCCAGGCAAGTTTCATGCGTGGCCCGGAAGAAGAGGAAGAGGAGGGGTGGGTGAGTCCGGAGGCATCATCATATGAGGAAGGTGTTTACAAGAAATACCGACTCAGGGGATTCATGAGACAAGAAGGTGTTCGTGCCAAACGCTTCCTCCTTCTGATACTACCCGACGGCGTCGACATTATGATCCGGAGAGTTCTGGACGGCCGTCTCAGTGAGACTTCCCCACCTCATCGTCTGAGAGAGAGAGAGAGAGAGAGAGAGAGAGAGAGTTGACCAACAGAGCAGACCCAGATCTCCTCCTGCACCGTAGCTGCTCCAAGGTTTTCGCTATAAGATCAGATATCTTTGATCTTTCATGCAACGAAACCTCATTCACTAGGCAACACATTCTCTACAGGAATCTTTTGCCTCGCAGTTCAGGGCTAATGCGTCACATGGGTCCTGGAGTTTGGCACTCAAACCCACCCGTGAGCCACATTTGGGAGAAGCAAACGTCTGCATTGTTCCTAAGCCTCTAGAAGAAGGAGAAGTGGTCTTTAACCTGGCCTGCCTTTGTAAACTTTACACGCCTAACCTAACCAAGATATAATACCCATCTCGTGTTATTTATTTTTCCACATTCACTAGAATAATTGGCTCAAAAAAGAATAGAACAAATTATTCGTGGGATGAAATCACAAAGAAATGAAAGGCAGAATTCTGGGGTATCCATCATATTATGATTCTGAAAATCAACGTCCCACCAGAGTTTAATTAAAAGCAACTTAAAAATAATATGTGCCTCTGGATATAACGTGGTTAGAGAGATAAAGTGCCCTTGTGGTGGGCCTTGGGTGTATAAACTGAGGTTAGGAAGAAAATAACGTCCTACCCATAAGCCCAATGCTCCAGCCTGGGGCTCAGACGCTTTGGTTCGGCCATCATCTGTCTGCCATTGGGAAGACAACCCGCCTGTCGTCTCATCGTTTACTAGCTAAGAAAGTGCATCGGCATCAGAGATTGCGCAGCAGACGATGAGTCTCCTGTCAGTCAGTAGTCACATATGGTTGAGTAGGGATGTGCCCAATTCACATACATATCCAAGAATAGCGGAGTAGGGATGTGCTGTTTTCAACTATCAGTGAAATTGTTTAAACTGAGGGGACACATCAGAGGGTTAACTATCATAAGCTCGTTTATTACCCACCCCATAAGTTCTCTCTCTCTCTCTCTCTCTCTCTCTCTCTATGGCGTTTCCGATTCTACCCACTCGAAAGAAATATCTGATGTGATATCCTATCCAGTAATGAAAAGACGAGTTTATACGTATGACAAGTGTTAAATTCTCGCTATGAGAGGCGTTCCCTGGATGTCAGGTGAGACGCGAGAGCCAGTCAATCCTCTTTCTTGCTGTCGTCTTCCCCCCCTTCTCCCTTCTCCTGTTGCGCACTGCTACTCGACTCCTCCTCCTTCGACTCGTCGTACTCCAACAGCTACAAGCAGGGCACCAAGATCACTCCATAAGAAGCTATAAGATGGACATCATCATCATCATCATTACTATTATTATTATTATTATTATTATTATTATAATGATTATTATTATCATTCAGCCAGAACAGATGACGAGAAGGCTTGCAGGACGAAACAAACGCCAAACAGCAGTGTGCAAACATATATTATATTCAGCCTGTAGCAATTTACTGAGCTGTGTGGCAACAGATATATATATATCTTCAGATGGCTAGCAAACTAAAAAAACTGACTGAAAGGCGCCTGTGAAAGTGGCCCATCTGTTCCATCCCTACTGCGACTACACACCAAGTAGCAGGATACACACGAATCATGGAACGTTGAATAATAATAGCAGCATGCATATTCTAACACCAAATTCCAAAATGCGTGGTGCCCACAAAAAATAGACGCAACTCTTTGTGAACCACATTCACAGTGTGTAAGGTAAGGTAACTGCCGACAGCTATGGAGAAGGCATGATGCATCAGAGTCCAGAAATTACGCTAAACTTAGCAAAAAATAAAAAAATAAAATCAAATAGAAAACTAGAGGCTCAAATATCAACAGTTTAATCATGTTTATGGCAATAAAGATTGGAACTATTACAGAGGCATTCTTATTGGGACTAGTGAAAACACTAGCATGCGATAACACAGCAACAATCTGCGACCAATGGGGCCACAAATTCCGGATGCGATAAAGATGCATCGTACCCGGAGGACAGTTTTCATGAGAGAAATGATGTGATAACACTCATGTTGTTGTTCATGTTACTTCCACATGCTGTTGAACACGCCAATGGATGACGGCTTTCATAAGAGGAATGATGTGATAACTCATGATTGTTGATTTCCACATGCCTTGCCGTTTGAGCACCAAATGGAAGATGGCTCTTGTTGGTGTTTAAAAGAAAAGGAGTTACAGTTCAGGCCATCACATTGAAATAGTACGGACAACAGCCGATGAAGTCGCCCACATGACTGCAATGGGGTTCCAAACCTGATTAAATAGCTCCCCAGAAACCCCCAACCAAGCACGTCCCAAGCAGTGTAATCTCAAACGTCAGTGAGCAACCAAAACCCTTGGATTTGAAAGATTCCCACGCGTATGTACCGAATCACCATACTCTATCCGACCTACATGTCTTTCTGAGTCGACTGTCTTACTCAACGACGATGACAAACTGCCTCTTACGTTAGAGTGTCCCGGGGTTAGGCAGTTGAAGCTCCAAAAAGGAATTTTATGAAGCGATCGTAAGCCAAGAAGGCAAATTCAATGCTTACTTACGATTTGTTCACGTCAGCAGAGTTTTAACCATGATTATGACAAGAAAAATTATCTGAGAAATGTAGGATAAAAAAACGAAGAGAAAGGATATAAGAGGACCAGATGCTGTTCAGACAATCGAATCATAAAATGCCAAAACACAGATCGCAGCTCAAGAAAAATGAAATGCCAGGAACGATGCCAATTGCAGCTGAGAAATACCAAAATTCCAGACAACTGAAGACCACGTCATCAGCAGAAAAGACAAAAGCTGAGCATCTTGGGGGACATTAAACTGTTTTGAAACAATAGAATATCCCATTAATCCTTCATTTTAGAATTTAAAACTTTTGGTATGTACGATGGATGGACCACAGTAAAGCTCTGAAGAAGCGCGGACAAAAGAACAACAGAAACTGTCATCAAAGTTAGAAAATACGAAACTCGAGGCCATCATAAACGCACTAACTGACCTAAAAACAACAGAGAAAAACATATGAATGAACACCTAGGAGATGACACTGAAAAAAACTTTATGACTAAAAACATCTTCAATATCAAAAATGTACCATGCGCGTAAATAAAACTGGTGGTTTCCAGGTACATGTGTTAGGGAACAAATTAGCAAAGTCAAAATCCACTTAAAAATCTTATCAGAAAGATTTGTAATTGAAGGTGAGTACTTCAATCTGATTCTTCGTCTAATTAATGAGCAATCGATCTCAGCGGCCTAATTTCTTTCTTGTATTTTTAATGCACATGCCAATCCCTTTAACAAGGTAATATAAACGCCTCTCAGAAAGTAAAAATCTAGAACCAAAAAGCCACATGAAAAAAACTCTTTAATCAATAAAAAGACATACCGGTTTCACTTCCCCTTTCCATAGAGAATGAGTAGCCACAAATCCGATGACACCAGGCACAATGTATAAAAGTGCAGGCTGCAGGAGAAATCCATCACATTAACAAAGGAGTATCTTAAGAGGATTGATCATAACAATAGGCCCATTTACGATTTTTACCTGCGCAGCTTGAAACCAGTTCATCACAACAATCGTAAGGACCAAACCCACTGTGTAACCAAGAAAAGCACTACTGAAGTAACGACTGTCCTTTCCTCTAGAAACATCAAAACGCAATGCCAGCGCCACAAAAATACCTATAGCAGCAGAAAATGCACAATCAGTCTGAAAGCAAGTTGTGCTTGTTGATACTTCCACTTTTATCATTTCTCTTAGAAGAGACTAGATATCGAAAACTACATAAATGAAATCAAATATACAATACTATAAACAAGGCAGGGACATAATATAGCACCATGAATCAACATTAGAAATTTATCATCAGCAATGTTGACCAAGGATTTATATCCATCAGTTACTTCGTATTATTAATTGGCAAGCAGCTCAAGACAGTTTACCTAGGCCATTTAACCAGAGATAAAAAATAGGCACCCAATAACGTCCATCCCCGTACTTACACCCTGAACAGTCGTATCCACTCCTAATTCAGCACCAACTGATTTTCAGCATGTTTCAATTTCTTTTTGAAAAAACTCCCAAAGTGTAGCAATTGATATGGCCTTTTCATAAGTCCAATGTATAAAAGTTGGCTCGTACCAGAGCACATTTTTGCAGAAACCACCGCCTCTTAGGTAAAAGCCCCAAAGACTAAATATGTCTTAACAAAACAGTCAGCGTCTTTAAAAAAATATCATTTCCTTCTCAATCCTAGCAAAATACTATTAAATTAGACATCACAATGACATTAGAAACTCAATTCTACGGTTTTTTTGTGAAGCAGTTGAAAGGTATCCCCGCTCAGTACATATCTCGAAAGTTTCACTCTAATGTATACAAATTCCTTTGGGCCAAGACCAACTTTCATATGGGATTTGTGCAGAGTTCTTTATATAATGCCATTATATAAAACAAACACGTTACAACAACTGAATGTGCGTTGGAGGTTGTCAGGTCTTAAAAAAGGCAAAACGTATAATAAGCTATCAGTCTTTACTAACAAAACACCTTTCATATAGAGAGGAGACGACCAAGACCAATAAGATGAAACTTATTAAACTGATAAGCAGAAATTAGGGATCAGAAATCATACCAGGTATTACGATATCCCCAAGGCCAAGCATAGAGAATGGCCGTGCAGCATCCGAAGTTGGAAATAAGAGCTACACAAAAAAAACCAAGATCTAGATTGAAAAACGGCAACCCACTAAATGCATCTGGAAATAAAATGATGGAGACTCGGACTAAAATCATAGACTGGTGGACTCGGTTAAGTGCATATAAGGCAAACCTTAATGGGGGCATCAAAAGATTTTGCAACGCTAACCATCACTGGAGTAAAAAACACCCAGAAGATATCATAGAAGAAAAGTCCCACCTGCAAATACACGAGTCAAAAAGTGTAGGTTTTCGGGAAAAGGATAAAAGCCAATCAAAGACGAGGTCTCGAAGCATCAAACATTATAAACTCATATTCATCTATTCTGACATATAATTGGTCCTTACAAGTGACGTGGATTGAATGTGCGTCGTTTACTTTTCCATAACGGAATCAGTTTTAGCAATATTTTAAGATCAATGTGAAAGCCAATTTCATTTCGAAGTGCCTCATCAAAAGTCAGTTGAGCCCAATAACACAGATTAGAAAAAAAAAAATCACCATATAAATCTACAGAGGAACCGATAAAAAATGAAAGAAAATTTACTCGAACTTAAATTATGCAGAACCAGAATGATCCCAAATATTTTTGCACAACCATGTTGCGACACATCACCACCAAGTGATAGATATCATGTACCGGAAAAAAAAAGGTCCCTGCATATTCTTATTCTTACCAAGAGGATAGCACCCGTCTTGAATGATCCCAGAGACAGCATTTCTATTCCCTGTAAAAAAATATGAAAGCTTGTTATGAGTGTTCAGCTTTTGGCATGCTAGTTTACGAATTCTAAAATGGGCACTACATCAAGTGTATGATTTTGCACAAAATTTCACCCATAATGCAAGACACAGTAGCAGAAACTTCTGGCGTGTTCCCTTGAAGAGTGATAAGAAAGAGGCTGACATCAAAGGTAATATGTTTGAATATAATATCAACCATAAGAGAGGACCCTTTAGACCAAGCCCTCAAAGGTCCTCCCTCATTCACTAGGAACCTTCTTGAAATGGAATATTGGATATTTACAGATCATCTATAATACCAAAGGTCAGATTTCAGCATAGTACAAAACGACTGACTCAACTCAAACCTGAATAGATAATAACTGAATCTTACACCCTAGGTGCTGGGAAGTCATCCCGCCTAGTCAACTAATCATATCCAACTGACTGGCTCCAGATGAGAAAGCCAATGATGAAGGTCAGCCACAGTTCCCCAAGTGCCCCTCAGACGGATGGGTTCTAATCGAGAAAAATAGTAAAAATAGTATATGGAGCTAGTTGATACATTCCAAATACATAATCCCTTACATGCTTATGTAAGGGCATGAAACACGCTGTCATGAACGAGACAACAGATGTTTTATAAAGCAAAAAAAACAATAATATTCGTAGAAAACACCATACTCCAGAGTCAAACTACCTAAACCAGAATTGGGTATCCAAAAGAAGATGAGTTGCTTAAGAGATGGCAAATGTACAAATCAAGGAATCACAATAAATGTGAGATAAAAGGAGAAGGTCAGAAAGAAAAATGAAGTCTTAAAATATCAACAAAAAAAAAAAAATCACCTTAAAAGAATTAAAGAAACAAATGATAAATTTTGCTTTCTGTCATTGAAAAGATAACCTGAATGCAGAAAGCAATCCCCAAAATATTGTTCGCTAACCAATGCTTCTTTGAAGCATACCAGATGCAGAAAAATGTCCCAGGTATCGCTGCCACGATCTGAGATTTAGTGAACTCGACCGAAATAGCTGAAAAAATTAGTTGAGGAATATTAGTCAAGAGTAGAGAAACAAACAACGCATTTAAGATTGCCTATTCGTAGAGGGCCTTCAAGAGTTTATAATGACATATCATATAAGAAGCTTGGGCATTTTAGAGTGAAAATAAGCTGCAGATCTTAGAGTCAAACTTATTCAGGAAACAGAAGAAGTGAAAATTCTGTCATCTAGTGTAATGAGAACTCCCCCGGAAGACAAATTCTGTTTCATATAGCAGTTGAATAAAAGGCCGCACACATTATCCTTCACGGATATTCAATGTGTCCTCCGGTAGTACTTGCCTATGCTTTCCATTTTATATCATTTTAGAACTCTCCTCTTCTGCTAATCAGAATAACGATTAATTCTCACTTATCCCGAGTTATACATAGAATTTCCCATCCATGTACGCATTAAGCCCATCTGGCCAAAGGTAAATGTAGGTGGCACAGTGAAAGGACCTCGAAAAAATACAAACTATATTCTCTTTCCTGTCAACTATTTTAAAAGAATCAAAACAGCTCCCAGATGAGAAAATAAAAGATGTAATCAACTTTGGAGAATCTACTCCACAAATTACATAAAAAAACGGAAGTTCATGTTTTATTTGTCTGGACAAAGGCGACATGAAAGTTTTATTACAATGGTCCATGAACAGTGAGGCATTTTGATCTCTGAAGCACACTAGCCAGGTTACATCTTTAACATGAATCCAGTTAGCTTGATATTAACAGATTCAGCTTTTCTCTTTCATCTTATCTAATCATCTAGCCCTACCTTCCGTAGCAATTAAACAAACAAATAGTACTTGATATGATCTCAAATAAATATGAGAGTTACATAAAAAATAGCACATACTGTGAAAATATGGCATACGCCAAATAATGAGGCCTTCATTCCAAGTTTCTGGTAGGAAACGCTTAATGGCAGGTAACAATGTAGCACTGCAAAATCCAGGAGCTAATGAGACTGCAAAGCAGTCAAAAAAAATGATAATATAAACAATGAATAATGGTTCCAAACAAAAAACTTACGATAGAGCTATGATCCCTAGAACGAAGAAGTAGCATGTTAACACTGCATTAACCAAGTCTTTTGAGAGAAACTTGAAAAGTAAAAACAGGGACAACAGCATTGCACTTCCGACCAAAGGAAAGCGCATTGCATGTTCCTTTGACATTGTCTCCTGCACAAAACACGGAGTAATCAATCATGCAGCAGAATGTCCACAAACAGGTTCATGTAAACAAAGTATTTCTAATAATGTAAAGCTTAACAAGGAAAGGTATTCTTACTGAAGGAAGTGTTGGCTTGACAGAGCGGTAGCATCCTACGTAAACAGTCAGGCATGCCGTTAAGATCACATTCACATTAGGTTCTACCTTCACAATCAGCGGAGCCAAAACGAGACCTGCAAGTTCGTCAAGCAAACATTTCATAGGCAAGAAATATGACACAGTAGGAGAAGCTGCCATAAGCCCACCACAAAAGATCATTCTCCTATTTTTTGTCATTGAAGATTTTTGTCATTTCACAAACGGAACAATACCACTATGAGAAGCAGCAAGTATTGGGGAAAATAAAAGAAATAGAATGCACATCCTATCGAAATCCCAGTTGTTCCTTCCCCAAAATAGATAAAAGATATAGTTCACTATTGAATAAAAAAATACACGCTGGTACAAGAAAATATAGCCAATCTAAAACCTTCGCATGTCTCCTTCCTATAGAAGTCTGGCTTCTACAAATATCAACTATTGAGTTCGAAAAAAATACTGATTTCTCATATTTTTCAGATTCTCATGTTGAATAGTTTCCCCTTAAAACTTTGCACGCTCTGGCATTAATCCGAATTTCATCCAGTTCGTGGAGATAACATAAATTCATAACTAAAGTGGTTCGAGTTGGAAAAAAAATCTGGTAGAAAATGCGCCAAAATTGATAAAGAATCAAAAAGATTCATTAGGAAAAAAGCTCATTCTGTTTCATCTGCCACATGAAGATGAAGGACCAAAGTGTATATAGTAAAGTGTGCACCAACTCATGCAACAAAGTAAAGCTAACAGAAATGTGAAAGCACACAATTTATCTATTTTATGGTGTAAAATGATGAACAACCAAGAATTTCTAATTAGATTATAACTGCATTTTTTGGCAAACATTCGTGTATTAAATGTAGTGTTCATCAGCAAGGACACCTACCAATGAAAAATTTTCTTAAAAGGAAGAGGCTTCTAATTACGTGCTAATGAGAGAAATCACAAAAGACAACAAATATTCAACACAAGATTTAGTAGACCTTGCTGATAATGCACACATCATAGAGAAATTACCTGCAAGAGCGATATTTGCTGCACGTTCATGTGTCTTCATTGTCAGAAGCTCGAGAGTAATCCCTATAATTTCAAATAGTCAACCATTTCAGACGAGAGATAAGTCTGAGTCGACAAATACAACTTTAGACAATAAGTTCAAACTACCCCGCTTGAGTAACGATTTTTCTTTTTCAGACGGAATGATTGTAGTCATTACAAGACAAATAAGCCCTCACAAGGGCGAGACAACAGAAAGATACAACACAGAGAATTGAAATCTAAAGATCCACGTAAGAAAAACAGATTTCCGCGTTGCAAATTTGTACTGCAGTGACCTTGCAGGAGATTCATTGTGTTTGAAGCACCCAAGTAACTCTAGCAGAATTTTTTCTGGTCGTTTCAGAAATTTATCATCGTGGTCAAACAGAAAATCAAGGCTTTAAAATGAAGGAGTCATCTCTGACTTTTCCCCGTTCCTCGTACCCTCCATCTCTCGGTCGATCCCCATTCCCCTCCCCCGTCCCTCCCACTCTTCCGTTCATCTCGATGTCCATTTTCAGATAGAAAAAACAAGAACTAGAAACGAGAGATGAGATGTGTTTACCTCGAGAAGCCTGGGCTTTACCGTGAGGGTTCCGTCGCTCGATTCAGCCGCAATTCCGCCGATCCTGCCTTGACAGGAAGAGGGGGAGGGGGAGAGAGCGTTAGATGGACGGGGTGATGGCGTTGGGCCGCGAGCGGGAAATGGATCGTCACAGAACGACAGAACTGGAGACAGAGAGAGGGGGAGAGCGGGAGAATGAAGGACACACCACGAGGAGATGACAACGGACACGGAGAGGGGGGATGAATAGGCGAGAGATTATCGCAGGAGGACGGAGGCGCCGAGGGGTCGGGCAGTTGGGGAGATGCAATAGGGCTGGCTTCGATACAGAGGGAAGAAGGAGATTGATTACCTTTGCCCACTGTTTGCTCCACGACCGTACACGAGATAGCACATGTCGAGCGGTGTCAGCGGGCCGATGCCGGCTCTCTAAAAGCCCGATCTGATCTCCTTGTCTGAGCGCTGGGGCATTTTCCAAGCGGGCCTAATAAAAGCCCGAAAATATGAGATCGGCCCGGGTCCCCTTAGAACGCGGCAATTGTAACAAGACTTTTGTGGAAAGAGATCCTATTCGGGCCTATTTATTACGGAAAAAGATATATCATAAATAATTTTTTAAAAAAGAAGATAAGAGGGGTTTGGGGCTGACCGAACTAGTTGACGTTAACCGGACCGGGTCAACGTTAACCTGGCCGGGTCTGCCCGCCTTTGTTGAACCCACACGTCAAAACTTTATCCTTCCCACTCCAAGTTTCGTATATTCCACCCTACTAATGTAAAGAATACAATATATATATATCTCCCTCTCTCTCTCTCTCTCTCTCTCTCTTGATGGCGATATTACAACGGTTTGAGAGAATGGGTGCTACTTTCTAATTCAAGACAATTAATTTACGGGGTCATACAATAATCGGAAGATATTTGGGGAAGCCCCGTTGACGGTGGGGTCCACCTCCCCTAGGTTGCTGGCGGCCCACGTGCACCTGGCCCCCACACCACCCGCGCGCTCGCTCGAAGGACCATAATTGCTCCCACCCGAAAGCACAGTAAAAAAAAACGGAAATAAATAAATAATATATTATGTTTTTAAAAGATACGCGTATTGGGGTCCCCGGAATTATGTTTTTAAAAGAAAAGCGAGAGTATAAGGTTACCGTTTTTTTTTCTTTTCTTTCGGAGTTGGTAATTCCCTCGGCGGCACCGCCCGGACTCTACCTGATTTTGGTCTCGACTAACGGCTCCGCGTCGCCGCCGGCTGGGGTCAACGCGGCTGTCGGCGCGGCGTCAGCGGTGAGGAAGAATACCAATTGGTTGGATTCAGGGAAGAGCGGCTCCAGGGGCCCACCGGTGGGCGACGAGAAGAAAGAATGCCCCCCGATGCAAATTCGCAGAATCTCCAGGGTATTCGTGTTCTCCCTCTCTGCAACTCCCGTCCCCTCTCTCTCTCTCTCTCTCTCTCTTCTCTCTCTCCTCTCTCTCTCTCTCTCTCTCTCTCTCTCTACCTCGACAGGGGAGGTGAGGGGGGAGGGGTGAGGAAGGGGGCTGAGCGGCTGCTGTCTCCGGCGTTCGTTGGCTGGGAGCTTGCATTAATGGCGGCGTCGAGGTGAGCTCGGAGGGCGGATCCGAGGTCGAGGGGGCTCGTACCCCCCCCCCCCTTTCGGGTGGTGGGGACGCCGGCAGCGGAGGGTGTCCCAGAGGGGGCGCGAAGCTCCGTCCGGATCCTCCGCTCAGGTCGCTCTCTGAGCGCCGTAGGTGATGGTCCTCCCCTGCTCGGTCGCCGAAAGCTGCAGCTCGTCCTAGATTAGGGCTTTCCAGTTTTCTGATTTAACTTGGGGAAGACCAGAGATGGGAGTTGAGGAGCACGGCTTGGAGAGGTGTATCTTTCGGCTTGCTGCAGCAGACCTCTGGAGGGCCGACGGCTGACCCTCTTGTTGCCAGCTGGCCGCCGGCGGTGCTGCTTGCCGGAGATCTAGCCGTCTTCTTTGGTTTCTCCCGGGAGGCATTCCTCGTTTCAGATCTGAACTGCGGTAGCGGGAGGGTTTGCGCGCGGATTAGGGTTTCCCGTGTATCCCTCCGCTGTGCTTCCTTGTATCAGAACTGATCCAGAATGCCGAGGCCTCAAATCTCCATGATAATGTGATCAAAATCGGTGAATCCAGAAGCGAATAGCTCTCGACCGGTCTCCATTCCCATCAGATTACACTTCTTTGGCTCCTCAGCAGGGGAGAGAGAAGAAGGCTTTGATCGGGAGTCTCACTCAGCATGGAGGATCCCTCGAAGTACGCCCACAGCCCCGTGCACCTGGCGGTGGCCTGCAGGGACCATGTCGCACTCCGGCGACTGGTGACCGCCCTCCCGCGCCTTCCGAAAGCAGGAGAGGTCACCACAGAGGAGGAATCCCTCGCCGCCGAGCGCACGGCGGACATCGTCTCTGCAGCTATCGACCGGCGCGATGTCCCCAACCGAGAGACCCCTCTCCACCTTGCTGTCCGACTGAGAGACCCCATCTCAGCGGAGATCCTGATGTCCGCCGGCGCAGACTGGTCGCTCCAGAACGAGCAGGGATGGTCCGCGCTCCAGGAGGCCGTGTGCACCCGCGAGGACACCATTGCAATGATCATCGCCAGACACTACCAGCCGCTCGCCTGGGCCAAATGGTGCCGGCGGCTCCCCAGGATCGTCTCCTCCATCTCCCGGATCCGGGATTTCTACATGGAGATCACCTTCCACTTTGAGAGCTCTGTCATTCCCTTCATCGGCAGGATCGCTCCCTCGGACACATATCGGATTTGGAAGCGTGGTCCAAATCTCCGGGCAGACATGACCCTTGCTGGCTTCGATGGATTCCGCATCCAGAGATCGGATCAGACCTTCATATTTCTTGGGGAAGGCATGCCGTCGGAGGATGGGAGTCCTTCTCTGCCTCCTGGTTCGCTGATTGTGCTGGTTCACAAGGACAAAGAGATCACCAATGCCTTGGAAGGAGCTGGAGCTCGACCGACGGAGGCTGAGGTAGCCCAAGAGGTTGCTATGATGTCTCAGACCAATATGTATCGGCCCGGGATTGACGTCACCGAGGCTGAGCTAGTCCCCCACTTGAACTGGCGGCGGCAGGAGCGAACAGAGGTAGTCGGGAACTGGAAGACAAAGGTTTATGATATGCATCACGTAATGGTCAGCGTGAAATCAAGGCGGGTTCCCGGTGCGATGACTGACGAGGAGCTGTTCGCCATTGACAATGATGAGAAGATGGCAAATGGTGGTGTGCACGACGGATTGGATGATATCTTGACTGCAGAGGAGAAGATTCAGCTGGACTCTGCTCTCAACATGGGGAATTCAGAAGGCTTTAACGAGGACGATGAACTAGACAACTATGAATCTAATGGTCTCCCCAAGGAGAAGAAAAGCTGGTTTGGATGGAACGGCAAGAAGACCTCGAAAAGTAAAGGCGAAGAGGTTGAAGGCCCGACTGCATCAAAGAGGTTCTCAAAGTCAGCTACAGAAAACGGGGGACCGAAACATGAACCGCATGAGAAAACGAAGAAGAAGAAGAATGGGGTCACGAACGAGCCTAGTAATAAGCACGGCAGTGAATACAAGAAGGGGCTGAGACCCGTCCTGTGGTTGACACCAGACTTCCCTCTACTAACAGACGAGCTCCTCCCTTTACTCGATGTGCTGGCGAACAAGGTCAAAGCTGTAAGGCGACTCAGGGAACTGCTGACTACCAAATTGCCTCAAGGCACATTCCCCGTGAAGGTAATTGGAATGTACCTTCTACTCTCGTCGTCGTTCAAGTCCTTCTTTATGCATGCTAATACATGCAATGCCCTGGGAAGCGGGCAAGGGGGGTGGAGTTAAAATGGACGAATACTGCGGATACTCTGCATATTGACGAGATTTCTCGGAGCATATATGTGAAGGACCCACCCCTAAGTATGAACCCTTTTCCGCCCCTGAATGCCAGGCTGCCCATGTTAAATTTTCCTAGATTTCTTCCCGTGCCTTATCTACTGTCTTTCCAAATTCACATGTCCTCTTTGGGTGAATGCACATGGCTACGGCGTGGCAAACTGAATGATGGGCGTCTGATTAAATCTCCTTGATCTTGTCATAGGTGAACAAAATAAGGTCTTAAGTCTGAAAAAACATGTAGGAGATGGCCATTCCTTTCTGTGTGGTATCATACAATTCGAGCCATCTGAGCATCATCAATGAAAAATAGGACTGAATTCCAGTACAGTAAAGGAAAATGATCATCAGAATAGGGTGCAACACTGTATAGATCCTCCAGATTGGAATGAGATGGTGCACCGATGATAGCTGTTCGAAGAATCCTAGTTTGCTTTCAGATGGCAGTAAAGGCATGCCTGCTGGACCTTGTTTGCTGAAGATTCAGAACATCCCTGTGAAGCACTATGCCCACTTTTTTTTCCCCTTGAAAGCATATCGTATTTTTCATGCTCCCTCCATTTATATATGCTTTCCGACGGGTTATTTATCCCTCCAATGATTTCTTTTCTACACAGTCGGTGGTACTTACTGGACAGCAAAATGATGGAATCCCAGATTTTTACACTCTGCTGATATGGTTTCCATCCCATTAATACAATACTCTCCTTGGACCAATCACATTGAGCTATCCCAACCCTAGACTGAAACATAGCATCTGGTATTCGCTCGACTATAATAACCTTATTAGGATCCTTCTGTCAGAGTGTCACCAAACCCCTTGTCTGAAACAAGGTGAAAAAGCAGACGAGGGAAGAGGTGGGAGAGGGGGGGAGAGCTGACCTTCACGACAAAGCAAGCCCACCAGTGTTCCAGTGTCCCATTTTCCGTCATCAGAAGAGTTGTATGTTTACTCTCGATGCGATGTTACCCTCTTTTTCTGATCTGCTGTTCATCCCAGGTCGCAATCCCGATCGTTCCCACGATTCGGGTCCTGATCACCTTCACCAAGTTTGAGGAACTCCAGCCCGCCGATGAGTTTGCGACCCCTCCCTCGAGCCCCAGCAACTTCTCCGGGGGCAAGGTGAAGGAGGCGGACACGTCCAGCTCCTGGTACTCGTGGGTGAGAGGGGCACGCGGAGGAGCCGCCGCCTTCGCCAACGCCGAGGATCAAGGCTGTAGGGACGAGGTGGACCCCTTCCTCATTCCGCCTCACTACACCTGGGTCGACGCCAACGAGAGGAAGCGCCGTATGAAGGCCAAGAAGTCCAAGAGCAAGAGGGCCGGCAAGAAGCACCCGGCCAAGGGCGGCGCGGGGACTCACCAGACGCCGGACGGCTTCGAGTAGCTGCAGGGCCAGGCGCCGGAGGCTCACATTTATTTAGATTGTTCAGATCTTGGGTAACATTCGATTCTTCAACTTAGCTTGTATGCGTTTGATTCTCGTCTCCCCTACCCCGCAAGTGTAGCGTCTGGCTCGGCCGAGGGGTCGGATTTTCGTCGTCTCCTGTGTTGTTTATCTTCACATCTAACCTTGCTGGCTCCGTCGTGTACCTCTTCCTTCTCTTCTCCGTCTCCGGGAAAGGGGGACTCGGACTCCACTCCATACTTGGGCGATGCCTTCTGTGGGCAGATGCCCACTCCCTCGGCAGGCTTTGCTTGCCTCTCAGCGGCGTCAAAATGGAGGACGCCCCTCACACGGATCTCTCCGAGGAGAGAGAAGGAGAGAGAAGGAGAGAGAAAGAGCGGCGATGATGAGGGGAAGGAACGGAAGAAAACCCACGAAACCCTCAGGCCAAGGAGTCTCTAAGCTTCCCCGTCACAGAGCGATGGAGCGATGAAGGAAGCCCAGAGGCTCACCGCGCGCAGAGAAGAAGAGGGAAAAGGGCAAAAAAAAAAAAAAAGGTCCACCTGTCACGCGTTGACCATTCCACCTGTCCCCCACGTGGCACCTATATTTTTTTACCAAGATCCAGAAACCGGCCCAAATCGGCTTTGGCCCATTCGCAACATCGACACCCTCGATTGCCGGAGATGGTAAAATATTTTCTTATCCTATTTAAATAAAACACACTTGAAAATTTCAAGCGTTTAAAATATAGAAAAAACCTGGTAATAAATATATACATAGAGAATAGATGCGAGCGCTGGTCGATGATTATATCTCATATTTCCCGTGCGAGTTCTCTAATTAGAACAGGCGGAATCATTCAAAGAGGGGAATTTACGATGGTAGATTTTTAATTAAAAAAATGGGTTTTTTTTTGGGCGCGTATTTAGTGTTCTATTTGGATCCAGTCTTCTTCCCTTCGATACGAAGAACCGCTGGAGGGAGATTTTGCTTTCCTCTGGGCGTGAGCGTTGGCGTGGGCGTTCGATTGAATGATTATTTTCAGGCATTAAATCCGAGGATCGAGATGCTCGGCGACGGCCCGCCGTCTGTGTTCAGATTTGGGACAGAGAAAAAGAAAATGGGGGACCTTCGCCGGAGGCAGGCTGGCGGGGTGCCGCCATCTTTCGCATTTGGATTGTTTGATCCTGCGAGGCGGATAAAGCTCGCCCCTTTCCCTCGCAGACGAACGAGCCCTTTGCCAACCAGGATGATCATGGGGTCCCCCTCTCAGTCAGAGAGAGAGAGAGAGAGAGACGATACGGAGATTGGGACAATTAGAACCAACCATTCTTATAGGATACTCTGTCGCTGGGTCACAGAGGTTGGGGGGGGGGCGGGGGGGGGAGGGGATGGATGGGGACGGGGTGGGCTTACTGTTCTTCGACTTGGATGGATTCATCGGAGGTTGCCGGCGGCCGCGACGGAGGACTGCTCGGTGGACGGGAACGTTTGAAGAAATCCAGCGCCGGGAATGAGATGTTGGCCCGATCGCGCGAACATCCCGGGGGGGGGGCTGGGAAGAAACAGGCGGCGGAAAAGGTGGAGGATCCGTCGGCATTCACGGGTGAAAGAGACTGCGGGTTCTCCCGGAAAACTGGAGAGGAGCAGACCCAGAGAGAGAGAGCCCTTTCTTCCGTTCGGCGGCCCTCCCTTTCTCTATATTTGAACGGGGGCCGCTTCCTTCAAGAATTCTGAATGACTCAGACGGGTTCTGGTGGCGTTTGGAGTTTAACGCCGCCGCCTTCCGGGAGGTTTTGCGGAACTTACGGTCAGTAGAGCAGCATGAAAGAGTCTCAGACTGTGAGAGAGGCTGTGGCGGGCGGGAGGGAGAGCGAGGTATCGGGAAGGAGCGGGATCTCCGAGCCATCAACGGGCATGCTCCTGCCCCTCGGTCTGTCCATGGCCCAGATGATCTGCTATCTCTCTCTCTAGCAATCAAAGTGATATAATTCGCCCTCTGCATCTGGGGGCCTCCGAATGGCCAAAAGCGACTTCTTTATTCGTCGAAAGCGCGTTCTTTTCCTCGGTAAAAACCACCAACGAGTGCCGCCCTGGCACCGCGCTCTCTCTCTCTCTCTCTCTCTCTCTTTGAAAAAGAAGAAACCGGGAACAGGAGGGCCCTTGGAATCCCTCTCTCTCTCTGCCTTTCTCCCTATCCCGTGTGCCGAGAGCAGACGAAGGCCCGCTCGCTGAATCTCTCTCTACTCCGTCCTCTGTGTTTGCATCTATGTGGACTCATTTGCCCGTCTACTTACCAATGAAAACCTTTTTCCTGTATGATTTCTGGGGAAGCGGGGTGGGGTCACCCACACCCCCGCATCGGGGGCATCCTCTCCTGTTGCAGTGGCAGAGCCCGCGAGCGATCTCTTGGCAGATAAACACAGAAGAGCGAGAGAGAGAGAGAGAGAGAGAGAGAGAGAGAGAGAGAGAGAGAGAGAGAGAGAGAGAAGAGATGCTTTACTTGCAGTCTTTGATCAGCAGGCCGCATTCAGACGAGCCCATTCGTGTGATTTGTGGAATTAAATGAGTCTCTCTTCATTTCTTTGCATGGATTAGGGTACCCTGCCGCTCAAGTCAAAACCGATGGGACTCCTTGGACAACCTTCCAACGAGGAAAAGCCATGGGAGGACACAGTCGAGCTTTATCTTTTGAGATTCTTCCCCTTCCATCTCCACAGGCAGGAAATTACTGCTCTACCCTAATGAATCCCCACCCCATCCCACCACCTCCCCCGAGCTAATCCGGTTTCGCTGATCTACGTTTCCGCAAAAGCCTACGCTCAGCTGCGCTCCCAGTTTATTCATCGCCGGCGTCTTCATCTTCAAAAGCTTTTGCTGGCTGACCCTCCCCTATAGTTTTGTCTGCTCAAGGGGTACTCGTGGAACTCCCTCTCTCTCTCTCTCTCTCTCTCTCTCTCTCCTTTCTCTTTCTCTTTCCATGCGCCAGGGTTGCCCTCCAAGGCCGAACACTGGGCGGCTCGTCTCTTAAGAGAGGTCAGGAGGCTTTCAATCGGGCATATCTTCATGCGCTTCTGCTACTCCAGAGGCATCTCCTCCTCTTCTTTCTCCTCCTCTCGTGCCCCGCTCATCATCTTGGTGGCGCGGCTGCTGGTTAATGGATTGTGATCCCCTGTGGGCGCCGGGGGGGTGGCTTCTTCTAGATCCAGAGCTCCAGATCTGCATGGCAAAGGATGAGAACCTTCCCTCCAGCCTCCTGATCCTGTGGCTCCTCTTCTTCCTCCTCCACGTCGGGGCGCACCCGGCTGACCAGCAAGGCGCCGCCGCCGCCACCGCCACCGCCGTCGCCGCCATCTCCGCCCGGAAGCTCCCCTCGGCACCGCCAGTCTCTCATCAGTCCATGAAGTTGCACCCGCGGAATCCCCGCTCGGGCAGCCGAGAGTTCAGGGCCGAAGCGCACGAAGTCCCCAGTGGTCCCAACCCCATCTCCAACAGGTAGCGCCGCCGCCGTCTCCGCCGGTCCACTTCCTCTAAGACGGCGGCGAGGCCCCCCCACGCTGTTGTGTTACAGTCCCCGTGGTCCGCTTCTGTAACGTGCTGCTTCTCTTCGGCATGCTCGAACTCTTCTCTCTTCCCCTTCGATTCCAGCACTGTATAGAAGAGAGATAGATATCCTGTCTTCTCCGCCGGCCGCGAGGGGGGGGTCACGCGGCGGCGGCGGGGCTAGCGCATCATGGAAGAAGCCAGCGTCTCGGATATTATTTTGATCCGTTTATTGCTAAGATTGCGCTCTTTTAATCACCAGCTTCTTGCGTCTGCTGTGATGTCCAGCCGTATTCGATCTCTGATCTGCAATACCCAGTCCGTCACCTCCCGCCTTTTCCCCGTGCTTTCTTCCCCTCCTTCTTCCCTCCTCCTCATGACGGGCTTTCTCTGCATCTCTCTGCATCTCTGTGTCTCCTCCTATCTCCCATGTCGTCGGCGTCAGATTTGGACAGTACGGCCGCGAGGGAGGGAGGTGTCCTCCTCTCCGGCGAGCTCTTTAGACCACCGACACCGCCGGCGGTGGAGGAGGATGCACACCAGTGAAACCCACCCCACCCGTATTTACTCTGCTCCCCCCAGCTGGTCATTCAATGAGGGTCCCTCTGTCTGCAGTCGGAGCTTTTCTCCAGAACAACCAACCCGCCTAGCTCCTCGAGCCCCCGCCCCATTTACCGATTGAGGACGGCCATCGCCGCCGCGCGCCCCCCCCCCTCCCCCGAACAGCCGGAGAGGGAGCCCCAGGAATCCCGTGAAGCGGCAGCGACAGTGACCCGCGGGAAGGACGGGACGACCCGCCGGCTTTTCCGCCGCCACCACCGCTCCCTCAGCTCAGCAGACTGGAGGTGCCCGGATGACGACGTGCATGAGAGCCCGCTTCTCTCTCTAACTCTCTCTCTCTCTCTCTCCTTGCTCCGGGAGAGCTCGCCGGCCGCCCGCCGGGTCCGGTCATGCAGGACCCGCCTCTGTCTCTTCTCCGCTATCTCTGTCTCGTTGAGCTTGTCGTTCAACGGGAAGTGGGACCCACCTCTCTCTCTCTCTCTGTGACCCGGTGAGCGAAATCGGATCGGGAGGGCAGATCGCGGACGCGATTCCTGTTGGATCGGCCGAGTAGCCGATTCCCTTTTTTATTAAAAAGTGTATAAATACGGTACATATTTTTACACGTGGAGGATACTAATAAAGTTTTAGCACCCCAGTCCGCAATGTTTTGGGGCGTTAATGTGAAAGTACAGGCCACGTCTATTCGCCCTGTTTTTAGGGGATTTGGGCCTAAGCAATGAAAGTGACCAGCATACAAATGGGCCATCTGGATGGGCTTCTGGCCCAATTGAACCAATAGGCCAACGGCTGATGTCTAGATGGTCCATGATGACTCGTGTTCGGATCCGGCCCGATAATGTGGTCGACGGGGACATACCCCAGACATACCCCCCCCCCCCTCGAACCCTCCTCCTCCATCCTCCCGTCGCAGGAGTGACCTCCCTCAAAAGCCTGAGACGGGGCCGGCGAAGGGGAAGTCCGATAGTCGCCGAAGGCGATGATGTTGAGGGACGCCGAATGAGAAGGGCGGCGATGCTGGCCGCCGCTGCCGGCCGCCAAGGTGGTCGGGATCTTCTCCTGTTAATCCAACTCCATTCTGAAAGAAGCTGGCACAGATGAATGGCAAGGGGAGCTCAAGGCCCGGCCTCTCCTCTCCTTCTCCTGCTCTACGACCACCGCCGCCGCCGCCGCTCCTCCCGATTCGTCCACTCTTCGGCCTCCCCTCCGCCTCTGACGCTGCTGCGGCCACCCACTGCAGAAGGGAGGATTTCACTCTACCACCCTCGCCTTCGCCCCCTCCTCTCCTGCCGGACCTTGAGGCAGCTCCTCCAGGCTCACGCCCACCTCATCACCTGCGGACTTTTCTCCCGCGATTCGTTCGCCGCCAGCCGTGTCCTAAAAGTCGCCGCCGACCTCGGCTGCCTCGAGCACGCGACCCTCGTCTTCCGCCACATCCGCCCGGCCCCAGACGCCTTCTGCTCCAACACTCTGCTCAAGGCGAAGTCCAGGTCCCCCGCCCCCCTGCAGGCCGTCGCTTTTTACTTCGAGTTCGTGGGGGAAGGATTCGCCCACAACAGCTTCGCCTTCCCACCTCTCCTGAACGCGTGCGCGAGGATTCAGTCCCTCGGCGACGGCGAGAAGTGTCACGGCCAGGCGATGAAGAATGGGGTCGACGGCGTCGTCCACGTTCAGAACGCCCTGATCAACATGTACGCGAGCTGCGGCGCGGTGAACCGTGCCCGCTTCCTGTTCGATGGGATGACCCTCAAGGACTTGGTCTCCTGGAATTCAATGGTGGACGGGTACGTGAAGTGTGGGGACCTGCCCAGTGCGCGCAGCTTGTTCGATCACATGCCCGAGAGGAACGTCATCTCATGGAACATTATGATCTCTGGGTGTTTGAAGGGCAGAACGCCAGAACGCGGATTGGAGCTGTTCAGCGAGATGGTTAAGGCCGGGCTGAGAGGGACGACGACGACGATGGTGAGTGTGATCACGGCGTGTGCTCGGCTAGGTAGGCTCAAGGAAGGCCGGTCGATTCATGGGTTCTGCATTAGGAACTTTGTAGAGCTGAACCTCATACTTGAGACTGCTCTGGTTGACATGTACAGTAAATGCTTGAAGCTGGGCTCTGCAAGATCAGTATTCGATGGGATCCAGTCGAAGAATTTGATATCCTGGAATGCGATGATCTTGGGGCATTGCATCCATGGACGCCCAGAAGATGGGCTCTCATTGTTTGAAGACATGGTGACGAGAGGTGCGGTTCTCCTCGGTTGATGTCTCCTAGTTGCTTGCTTGCGCCACCTTGCTCCTGATTTAATTAACTTTGATCTAAAGTTTGAATCCCTCTCCATTTTTATTTTTATTTTTTTTATGAAGGTTCTAAACAGGAGGAAGAGACTGATCGGCACCATGAGCGGGCAGAAGATGCAGGAATTTCACCGGACGAAGTGACCTTTGTTGGCATCCTATGTGCTTGTTCTCGTGCTGGCATGTTGACCGAGGGGAAGAGGTACTTCGACAAGATGGTGGAGACTTACAGCATCACGCCCTCTTTCGCTCACTACTGGTGCATGGCCAATCTCTATGCTGGTCTTGGGCTCGTCGAAGAAGCGGAGGAACTCTTGAGAACCATGCCAGAGGAGACAGAGTGTTTGGTGTGGGGAAGCATGCTCTGGCTGTGTCGCTTCCACCAAGACATTGGGCCGGGCGAGGAGATAGCGCGACGACTGATCGAGCTGGAGCCCTTCAACAGCTCTCGATACGCCCTGCTGTGGAATGTGTACGTTGCAGCAGGTCGGTGGGAAGACGCAGGGAAGGTGATGGAGATGATGAAGCACCGAGGGCTGACTGCCATCCCCGGTCGAAGTCTTTCAGACCTGAACGAGATTGTCCACAACTTTAAGGTAGGAGACGGGTCGAGGGCGGAGATGGAAGGCATCCGTTTGCTGATGGGTGAATTGGCAGCAAGGTTCAGACTGCAGACTGAAGGAATGGCGGATTCAGTGGAAGGTGGGTAGTGCTGAGACTGCCTCATGCTGCCTAAGTAAGGGCTTTTGTCGATCCATAGATGATTTTTTTAGGGTTCTTCCAAAAGGAATAGTGGAACAAGTTTCATGTCGTTGTTTCGGCCAGGGTTGATCCCCCCTCATCTTTCAAAGGGCACTGATCGACGTGCTACCTGCATGCTGGAAGAGAATCAAAGCGACTGCATAATGGCCAAGAAGGTGTACAGTACGTGAGGAAAGATTCTTGGTGAGAACAGGATGTTCTTCCTCCTCTTAGCCTTTGGGCGAAAGTCGCCTGCCTTTTTCCGGGTGAACACAATAATTTCCAACACTGCTGTGGATTTCGGGGTGGTTTTTATTCAGTGAGACCCAGGTCAACCCTTCATGGATCCCACGATATCCCCGTCTTCTTCTCCTCGAAATCCCGCCATGGGCAGAGCACAACTCAATGTTTTCCCATGGGGTGAGCTCGCTCCCCCCCCTCCCCATCTTCTTCGTCGAATTCAATGGTGTTCATGCCGAAGAGAGGTTTTCACCCTGGAGAAACCTCGCTTTAATGGCCCAGCTCCGGCTTCTATCTTAACACTCTTGGCTGCTGCGGAATTGACGGTAAGCAAGCGATTCCAGCAACCTGAGAGAGTTCATTGCCCCGAGGTAGAAGAACAATGAACATGAATCTGCGCACTACATTTCTCAGATTAATGAGCCCATTTCATCTAATTGCAATGCTTTTTTCTGTTTGAATCCAAAGAAACTGTTCAGATCCAGACGCGACGCATTCAATCCGTCGCGGCAATTTATCTCCCACCCCGAATCCATCAAATCCACCAAATCCGGACAACTTATTGCGCGCGATTTGGAAAGGTAAAAGCTTCGAATCCCCCCCCCTCACGACTGGGTGGTTATATATGCGTCACCCGCGGCTGTCTGATCCCCGCAGAGCGACCCGCATTAGGAAGGAAGTTGAGAAGGTCAACGAAGAGGGAGGAGCCCCTTTTCCCTTCCCATGACGAAGCTCTTCCTCGTTCTCGCGCTTCTCGCGCTCGCGTCATCCCCTGGTAGCCACCCCAATCCCTGCATGCATCTTTTGTGCCTGTTTTCGTGGTCGGGGGGGGGCGGCGGTGATGCTGCGGTCCTTCTAATCTCGATGTTTGACTTTTCGTCTCTCTAATTTATTTTCCTCGGCAGCGGCTGGGTTTACCCCAGAACCAACGGGATGCCCTTCGGACGCACTGTGCTTCGGCCACATGCCCTGCCAGAGGTGCCCCGCCGCCTGCAGGTACATACGGCGCCAAACCACCTGCTGCACCGCCAAAGAAGGCCACTGCTGCTGTCTCCCCTAGGATGCGGGCCCCACTTTCTCTCTCTTTAATAAAGTCTAATAAACTCCCGGGTGTTTGGACCCGGGTTAATCTCATCTCGTGCGTTGACTCCGTCGCCTAATTACCCGCGTCGAGCAATCTGAATCTTCATAGCTTTTTATAATCGTGCGGAAAAAAAGAAGAAGACGCAAGTTCCATTCTTTTATCATGGTTGCTTTGCGGATGGGTAGTTGAGTCAGCGGCGACCTCGAAGGTCAACCAGGGTCGTCCTGTCCGGGAGGCACCTGAGCCGACTTCTGGGATGGCGGGTACAGTCTTCCCTTCATGACCAGATCAGTAGATTTCTACTCTCTCTCTCTCTCATCGGCGGCCGGAATGGAGGGGGAGAAGCTGGGGGCGGCGGTGGCGGGGCTGTGGGCGGAGGTGAGAGAGCTGAGTCTTGGCACCTCCCCGCGAATCGACGTCCTCGACACCCCGCCGTCGCCGCTGGTCTTCCTCCGCGATTACGTCTCCGCCAACAAGCCCTGCCTCGTCCGCGGCGGCGCCGCCCACTGGCCCGCCGTCTCCCGCTCTCTCTGGTCCCACGACTCGTACCTCGCCGCCATCCTCGGCAAGGACCGGCACGTCTCCCTCCACCTGACCCCCGACGGCCGCGCCGACGCCCTCGCTCCCCTCCCCGACGGAGACGACGATAGTAATCTCTGCTTCGCGTCGGCCTGCGTCCGGCGAGCTCCCTTCGCTGCTGCTCTGCGCCTCATCGCCGCGTCCGGCCGCGACCCGACCTTGCCGGTAGTGGCTTACGCGCAGGAGCAGAACGACTGCTTCCGGGCGGCTGCGGAGTACGGCGGGTCGGCGCTGGCGGCGGACGTTGAGGAGGAGGTGCCCTGGGCGACGGCGGCTCTGGGCTGCTCGCCGGAGGCGGTGAACCTCTGGGTGGGGAGCGGGCGTTCAGAGACCTCCTTCCACAAGGACCATTACGAAAACCTCTACGCCGTAGTCACCGGCGAGAAGCACTTCCTCCTCCTCCCGCCCACCGACGTACACCGCCTCTACGTCCGCCGCTACCTCGCCGCCCGCTACGTCTCCTCCTCCGCCGCCGCCGCCAGCACGGCCGGCGTGGAGGAGCTGAGACTGGAGCTGGAGGAACCGCGGAGGGAGGTGCCCTGGTGCAGCGTCGATCCCTACCCGAGGACGCCCAAAGAAGCGGCGAGAGCAAGGGATGAGATGCCGCTGTACTTCCAGGGGCCGCCGCCATTCCAGTGCACCGTTAGAGCCGGCGACATCCTCTACTTGTAAGAACACTCACTGATCGCCGAAGCTCCCCCTTCCTTCTTTGGTCCCGCCCCGAAGGTGTTTGATTTTTAGCCTCTGAGAGGACTTACTCGTAGGCCGAGCATGTGGTTCCACCATGTGAGACAGACGCCCGACAGCTCCGGCCGGACCATCGCCGTCAACTTCTGTGAGTAGCAGCGACCCAATCAATAAATACGCCTACTTCTTCTCTTCGCCGCCATTACTCCCCCTGCGCCGCGTCAGCACCTGACCGCCGCCCGCTGTTAATCTTCGCCAGGGTACGACATGCGCTTCGACATCAAATACGCCTACTTCAATCTCTTACAGACCATCGAATACCCTCCTCCTTCCCGCGATCCACCCAGCGGAGAAGAAGAGCCCGGAGACGGCCCACCGGTGGAGCGCCGCCGCAACGGATCTCTCTGCGTATGATGTTCCTGTGAAAGCCCACAGCGAGCTTCCGCCGCCAAACTGCGTGGGAGGATGGATGGATAATCAGGCCAAAATGACCGCAACGATCGAGGATGCAGCAGCCGACTGTTGAGGAAAGGTGGTGGCGACGGCCCTCCTCTCTCTCTCTCTCTCTTTCTGCCCGAGGAACCCATCCCGTGCTCTGTCGTCTCCCCTGTCCGTCCTTCGCTCTCGCAGTGCAATCTCCTGCCTTTGCCGCCGGGCCGTGGACGAGAGCGAGGGGAACCGGACGGTGCAGAATCTATCTTTTCCCTCGGGAAATTCCCAATAATTCATTTAATTCCAGATGCACGTTTCGCAATTGCTCGTTTATTTAAAGAACGGGACTTTATCCAGAAATGCGAGCCAATTTTCCGTGAATTGGATGGACTTTGGATATAAACAATTTGGCGTTATATTTTATTTACTGGAATATTCAAGAATTTGTGTAGGGAGAAGGCGAGGGGTAGAGTCACTGTACTTGACGGCGACATGAACTCCGTCATTAAAGCTTCTGCCTGTCCTGCAGCGGGGGAGGAGGGGGGGGGGCCTGAGACCAACGGACACTGCGAGTGAGTAGTGAGCTCTCTGCCCTCGCCCGTTGGGGAACCTACGAAAGCAGGGTCCCGCCGAGGAGGGAAGGGGGTGCTGGTGATAGATCCCGCGCCGGCCTGCCGGCGGAGGGTGAGGGAGGTTCTCGCTTCTGCGGCTGGAGGGGATGAAGTCGGAGACTCGGCTCGACGCGGCGGTCTTCCAGCTGACTCCCACCCGAACCAGGTGAGTTTCCGAGGTCTCTGGAGGAGAACCCCAGGAACGGCGAGCGACCGGGGAACGCTGCGGGGAGTGTGTGTGTGTGTGTGTGGTGTGGTGGGTTACAGGGTCCTGCGGGAAGGTTGCATTATGATGATCTTGGGAGTTTAGGTTTCCTGCGGGTTTTGCATGGGGTTTTGGTGGGAGCTGGGTGCTGAGGGATCTGGGCGTGGAGGTCGTGTTGGTAGAATTTGATGTGCTGGAGTGGGCGTTTCCTCCAGTGAGATAGACGTCTCCCACGAAGGATGCGCTTTACCTCCACTTGGGTTTATTTATCTGGCTCGTGAGAGCTCATCAGAGGGTAGCTTCTATTTTCTTCGCGTCCGCATCGGAATATTGGGATTTCGACATGAATGAGTCGCTTACCCCAGTTGGGTTCTGGCGGTCATCTCTCGGATGGTCCATTCCGCCAAAGTGTTCTTTTGGATGGGAGTTAAGTCATGCTGCAGAAGAAGCTACGTCTCTGCAATGCAATCGTTCCATCTGGTCGAAGATATCCTCTCTGATACCGATATTGGTCGAGTTTCTGAAATTCTTGACAAATGTACGGATCAAGCATTAAGATCCAAGGATGGATGTAGGGGTCGGACTATTTGAATCCCCGCCCATACCTCAGCCCTCCCGGTCCTTGATGACATTTTCTGTGCCTCACCGGTTTTGCCGTTCAGGCTCTTGGCTCTTTATTTTGTGCTCCCTTCTGTGAACAAGTGTATTCGGTGCTCGCTGTTCATCAGGTGCGACTTGGTTATCAAAGCAAATGGAAGCATGGAGAAGATCGCCACCGGGTTACTGAACCCATTTCTCGCCCACTTGAAGACAGCCCGGGATCAGATCGCGAAAGGTGGCTATTCCATCACTCTCGAGCCGCATCCGGGAGCTGATGCTGCATGGTTCACGAAGGGAACACTTGAGAGGTATGCATCATGTTTGCCGACATCTAGACCGGGGCTGTGTCGTGAATTCTGATCTCCATAATGTTACTGCTCTCATTAGGTTCGTTCGCTTTGTGAGCACACCGGAGATCCTGGAACGTGTGGATACAATTGAATCTGAGATTCTACAGATTGACGAGGCGATTAATATTCAAGGCAGCGAGCATTTATACTTCAAATCTGTAAGTGCAAGAAAAACATTTCTGCAGCATATTCGTGTTGAGATGGAAGTAGGGTGCATTTTTAATTTCAACTAAAAAAAAAAGGATATTAATTATTCCGGCGACTTATATCCCTGTTTTTTGTGTTTCTAGCAGGTTGAGGAAGACCAGACAGGGTCTGTGGATCAGGCTGGAGGTACATCAAAGTGAATTGCCTCATATTCTGTTTTATGTACCATTACAGATTTACCTATTTTGTGTGCCCATATTAAACCCTCCATTCTATATGGGTAGAACACTTCGTAAGTTAGCATATTGCCGCAGGGATTTGCATTTAGTCATGCAATTTCATCGCATTTTCTTTGTGGCATTATAAAGATTTACAAGGTTGCCATTAAGAAAAAATAGCCAATCAGAAGACTCTAATATCCTGGTTTAATAACTGATGATAGTTGAAAAAATCCGGCCTTATTAGAAACATTTTCGCGTCATAATGTCACAAAGAAAGTGGATGAATACATTTTCGCGTCATTCTTCATTCCATTGCATTTTACCCCATCTAATATTATGTTTCTGCTACGAGCATCCTTCATCAGGTGCTTCTTTATTTCTGCAATAATGTGGCGTGTTAGTTTATTTCAGAAAAATAAGGCTAAATAATGCAATCAAGGTGTCAAAAATGAAAACGGGGTCCAGCCCAGCTCTAAAAGTTCTAAGATTACGCATCGAAAACAAAGCAATAGATATTTTTGAAAGCGCTATTTCATATGCCCAAATGGGTCAAGCAAATGCAAAAATTATTTAATGTGCCTGAATGGGATAGCCATAGAAATCCATTAATTTAGTAAGATGCCCAATGCATTTTCCTTCTGCTATTTCAATAGGTAGGAGGAAGTCGTTGTCCTCAGATGCTGCAAGTGCAATTGTGCTTTATCAGGTAACAACATTCGGTATTTTTTGTCACACAAAGCATCTATTGATTATCATTGACTATTTTGATGCGGTTTCTTTTGTTTAATGTTAGCCGGGGCCACATCCTCAATCAAGTGCCTTGACAGTTCGTGGAGAAGACTCAAAGTATGTGCTTGTTGCTCTTCAAGGAATCCATCTCATTCTGTAATCAATCCATTTATGACGAGATGGGTGGATCTTTTCTTTCTTACTGCCTCTCAATATCAGCTAATTTAAATATTCGTAGTGGATAAATTTTCAAGTGGATTGAATATTTTAATCAGATTTCTGTACTGTTTATTCGTCGGTAATCAAAATCCTGAAAACACGTGTAGTCAACGTTTTCACGGTGGTCAGAAAAGCAGAGGGAGCTGATTTGGTATTTCTATTTCTGGAGAAAAGGGAGATTGCTCTAGTGCATGCTCTAGGCTTTCATATTACGAACTGTATGCTGAGAATGCAGGATGGCTTAATCATTTTTACGGTTAAACTACTGAGTTTTAGAAAAATGGGCTAATCTGTCTCTTCCGTTTAATAGCTATCGACTTAGGGGAGAGCATTCAAGAAACATACAATACATTGCATGTTTAAGAGGAAAGATGATAAGATTGGTGATCCTTTTGGGGGCTAATTTCTCATTCAGCATCTGGTTTTAGAGTTGACTGTCAATATGCTGAGGTAAAGGAAACATTGGCAAACATAGGGTCATAGATATGAATAAGTAATCCATGCATTTTGGGTTTTGAGAGGAAATGTCATGGTGTGAGGGTACATGGCATAGATGATAAAGCTGCACTCACTCTGGTTTTTGCATTGTGACATGCAATCGTCGTATATACTGAAGCTTTCACTGGCTCTGAAGCTCTTGTTCGATTCTTTTTTTATATTATGGAGCTCCTTTTGCAGGGTGCATTTCTTGAGAGTCCTCGAGACTCGGAAGATGGTCTTGCAGAATGAACAAGGCATGGCTTTTGCGCGTGCTGTGGCTGCTGGTTTTAATGCAGAGAACATGGCAGATTTGATCTCCTTTGCAGAGTGCTTTGGGGCTAAACGCATGTTGTAAGTCTGGTATATCTATCAAAAATCTCTGGGTTTCCTGACAATATCATATATGTGGCTATTTCTTTTCTTGGCATCCTTCTGATTGATTATTATATGGAATAGGAAAGCTTGCCTCAAATTTACGGAACTATGGAAGACAAAGCGTGAAACTGATCAATGGCTAGATCTCCAAGCGTCAGAAGCAATGTCCCTGAAATCTGAATTTCCGTCAATGAGTTCTATTGACATTAATCTTTCTCCTGACACGAAAAAGCATAATGATTTCACAGAACAGTGGGCAGCATGCAATCATGGTCATAGCAAAGAAAGTAATGAGAATTTTACAGGTAATGCTGGCCTGGATCTATTAATTTTCTTCTTATTAGTATTATTTTATACATTCATGGGAGGTAAATTGTGTCGTTTTTTAATGAAGAAACGCCTTGCATTTTTCTTCTGTGCAGCGTGGATCTATATGTCCTTCTAATTTCGCAGGTCATGCTTGTGGAGTGAGCTCTCCACTCTTATTAGTGTTGAGATCAATATGACAGTTTGAACATGGATTAAATAATTTGTGAAAAAATAAATATTTTGACTAAAAGCTGCATTGCATTCATTTGAAGAATGAACACAGATTTTAAAGAATTCTTGTCTTTTTCATCCAGCTGTTGAATATTTTTAAAAGATACGGTGAGCAGCTGTTCTTTATATTATGCATATAATATTATATAAATTAGACATAAATTTTACCAACTTTATGACTTTCACAAAAATATCAAAGCTTGACGAGAGTTCAAGAGATTTTGTCATTAGATTGCAGAATTTGATTGCCTTCGGTTGAGATCACTGTGCCATTGCGCTTCCCCATTGGGAAGGTTATGAATGATTTCCATAAGTGTACACCTATTTCTGCATATCCCATTTTTCTTCATCTTTCTCCTGATCTTCTGATCAATATGATTCTACTACCTACCTTCTGTTCCCAGATGAAAGGACTCCTGGGAACTCTCAAGTGCCTTTGTACCCCCATATGTACTTTCTGGGCCAGTTTCCGCACCCTATGTTTCCCCATTGTCCGTTTCATTCTCCGCCAGGTGCACCACCATTTCAGCCCTATCATCCTATGCAAGCCATGCCGTGCTATCAGAACCATCCGGGCGGCAGTCTCCACTTCCCACCTACGTACACTACTCCATCAGGAGACTGTGATCCCAGGTCAAACACTAGACAGAGAATGGAGTCAGGAGGAGCAACTGCAGTATCGGAGGAGGAGGATCACAAAAACTCTTATGATCTGGAGAAGGCCCGCAGTGTGCGAGAATCACAAAGGAGAGGTCAATCGGCTAGGAGGAAGCTGGGAGAGAATGTTTCGCGACATGCAGACTGCAATAACTCAGAGAAGCGTCGTAATGCGTCAGATACAGAATCCTGTTCAGCAGCATCTGAAGACGAGAGAGAAGAAGATTTGCCTTCCAGGATTGAAGGGAGTCGGATCAGATCTTCTGGCGGTCGAAGTCCCCCGGAGGAGGAAACGAACCCCGAACGAGAGGTGGTTGATTCTGGAGACTGGCAGGTATTTCAGAATTTCTTGCTGAGAAATGATCAAGAAAGAGCAAGCGGTGCTGATGCAGGCCTGCTGCTCTCGGGGGAAAAGGAACGACTGCGGAGGAAACGACAGAGTAAGCATGACTTGGACGCCATCCTTCGTCCCGAGAGAGGTTCTAGGGAGGCCCTGGACAGGCGGAGGGCAGGATTGAACACTGGTGATAGCGAGGCCTCCAGAAGGTGCAAGCGTGATGCGCTAAACGATGAGAAGAATGGTGCAAATGGAGATTCTGATGTCCTGCTTGACGAAGTTCAGGGCGAAAGAGGAGCATACAAGAGACGAGGAAGCAATGAATTCGCGGTTTATGAGCAGGACGAGCTGCCGAGCAACAGGAGGTTTTCAGATCTACTTGCCCAAGGTCGTTGGAGCAAGAGAAAGAGTTCTTCCTGCAATGCTCCTGACGAGTCGTTCGTAGTACCCCTCAGGTCGGATTCGACAGAGCAACAGAGAAGAGATAACAGAGGCTGCGGAATTGCCGTCGACATGTTTGTCTCAGGGTGCACGTCGGCTGCGAAAGAATTTCCCCCCAACGGGATCAAGAACCAGCCCGACTGTGGTGATCCAGATGACCTGAGCTTGATGCCTGCGCGTGGGACGGAGGTAGGATCTGTCGGCTATGATCCAGCGCAGGATTATAGCAAGGAGATCATCATGACGAGAGCTTTTACTGCCGGAGGGAACGGTACACAGGCCAAGGAAGGGTCCAAAAAGGGTGACAAGGGGAAGAGATCGATGACTGGGTTGGAGAAGCAGAAGGCGGGTTCCATGTTGAGAAAAAGGGGGAACCCATCAAAGCTAAGTTCATTAGCTGAAGCTCAAGCGCGTGCTAACAAGCTCCGAGCTTTCAAAGCTGATCTTCAGAGAGCAAAGAAAGAGAAGGTACCTCTCAAAGCATCCAATTTTCTCTGACGTAATTTTTTTTTTAAAAAAATTAAATCAGATGCCAGTGACCACCCCGAGGAGAAGCGTATCCGAAGGGACTGACTGGCAGATGCCAGAACCTCTTGACCTAATTGATTGCAAAGCTATCATCTTTTGCTTCCCGTATGAAGGTGGTGCCCACCAGCCTCATGACCAATCCCTAGATCTGAGCAATATTTTCATTTACTTACCTCTCATCTGTCAATCGACAAAAAAGTTCATAATAACTGAGAGATGCCCAATTCTCGTCGTGATCATTGATCCGCCCCTGTGGATGTTTCACCATACAAAACTGAGGAAGCACAGCACACCTGTGGATGTTCTCCCACAGCACGGTTTCTTCAGTGTTCTTCCTTGCACCGCCACCATGAACGGATGATAACTGTGTAAGCGTGGATGGGCGGCCGGAGTCCGTATGGGGGATGTGTTGCCTGATGGGAATCACCCATTTCTGGTTTCTGGTCTCTCCATCTGACTTGTCTTTTACTATTTTGAGAACATACTTTCTGCCGTGCTTTTGAAAGTTTTGTCCTTCTTGCTTTCTTCTGCCGTGAGCTTATGGTAGCTTTTCTGTACGTGTTACTGGTGCATGCACCTGATCATCATATTTTCAAACATCCAACGACCAGGAAGATGAAGATGTGAGGCGATTGGAAGCTCTGAAGAAGGAGCGGCAGCAGAGGATCGCCGCAAGAAGCTCGATCTCCACTCGGTCGCCAGTCACACCAGACCAGAAAATAATCCGGCTCCCAGCGAAGACCTCTGCAAGCTCTTGCAGAATATCAAGGTCGGGAGCCTCGGGGCCTGCTTCTCTCTCACCTCGGCCGAGCTTCCCCCTGAAAGCAGATTCCGCTGTGGCCAAATCTTCTCAGGGAATGGCCAGTAGAGTTAACCGGCGCAAGCGGGCAGTAGCTGGGAGCCGGTTGACCCGATCGCTTTCATCCTTGCCGGATATGAGGAAGGAGGAAGCCAGAGGCTCGGCACCTCAACCGAAGAGAACTTCCCTAACCAAGAGAAGACTGCCGGAACCCAATGGCGGCGGTGTGCATCCTTCTTCCGCGTTGCGATCAGCAGGCAGTGATAAAACCCCTCCACAGAACTCATCTGGTTCTAAAGGTGGCAGCAGGCTTCATGGATCGTCATCGAGATCAGCGGGCAGCGTCCAAGATCTTCGTAGGCAACATCTATCGGATGGGCCTAAGATCAATAAGGCTTCAGCCGTTGCGACAGCGGGCAGATTGAAATCAGCAATGCTGCAGGCAGATCATCGAGTGAGGCCCTCTGACACGACTCGAAGCAGGACAACCGGAAAGGGGCCTGGGGAGGATAGAAGTGGAAGTAAGGCTTCTTCGTTGATCTCTGAGAACAAGAAGGAAAAGAGGACTTTAGAGGAGAAGACTCTGGACCAGAAGAAAAGGGAAGACGAGGGGGTTGTGGAAAAAAAAATTGTATTGCCTGAACGTGACGATGCCACACCCCTTCCAGTCGCCAAGGAAGCCGAACGCCTGTCAGAAATGGGTAACAGGTTTTCCCAAGTCGATGCAACGCCGGCATTTAATGGTGGTCAAGCTTCTTCTTCATCTTCTATCATGCAGGAAGTCGGGAACGGTTTCAGTAAGGTAGATGAAGAGGTTGAACCTCGTGCAATTTTTTTAATTTCTTGCCATTAAGTGGTTGCTCAGCATTTTTCTGAATAGACAAACGGAGGGTAGTCTGTCTATACCGTTGACTTTTATCTGTTTAGCTTAAACTTCATAGATCAGACGAACGAACTACCTGTTTCTAGCTACATACTTTCTACGTCTGAATCCTTCATGCATGACCGTTTTTCTTGCTAATCTTCCGTCACTTTTTTTTCTCCCTAATATTGCTTGCTTTTTCTCGATGTGCTCTTGATAACAGGTGAAGATTGGCCCTGCAAAAGAAAATCCCAAGAGTGTGAGGTTCTCTCTCTCGGATGAACCCTACCAGCCGCAGCATCGCCGGGCAGCGTCACTGGGGGAGCCCTGCGCCAGAAACGTATCCCACGAAGCCCCACGAACAGTCGGCTCTGCAACAGGTAAACTGGACTTATCGCGCTCTGCAGAATCCCGGTTAGAAGAGGTTCATGAGAACGAGGGGAGGCCAAGGGGCAGAGAGACCTTGAAAGGGTTGAGAAAGTTGTTGAAGTTCGGAAGGAGGAGCAGGGGTACCTCCCTCGGTGATTCGGGCTTGGAGACCTGCTCCCTGTACGAGGATGACCAGATGGCCTCTTCCTCCTTCACTGAAGGTACGCCCCAGTTTTTGGCGTGAAACACCGGATGCCATGCACCTCGCTTGAAGCTTCTCTGAACCAGTGACTGATTGCCTCGTGGTGTTTCAGTTGCCGCCGCGCTGAAGAACTCGGTCTCTATGGAGGAAGGCCATCCGGAGGAGGGCACCCCTCCGCCGAAAGGTAATGCGTCTCTCTCCTGGTTTTATCTGCTGTCGTTGACGAAAAGTGTGGCGGCTGATATGGTTCTCTCTTCCGCTGATGGCAGCTTTCCGTCGCTTCTCCATCCTCTCACCCTTCCGGAGCAGGTCTGGCGGGGGTAAGAAATCTTCTGCTCCGTGATGAAGGCATTGCATTCGTACCATGGGAAAAAAAATGTCGGGGAAGGTGAAACGTTCATTCATATGATTTTCGCCATTTGGTCTCTTCAAACTGCTCTGCTCGGCTCCGCCGTGGTGGAAACATCCATGCGGTGGCTCGTGATTCTGGAGCGGGCGGCGTCCTGCCTGAGAAGAAGGGGGGGTTGGTGTGGTTGTATTCTCATGGAGGTCTAGTCCGATGCTCGTGCGGTGGGTGCTGCCATGTGAGGTTTGTGCCGCGCACAGTTTAGACCTGGCTCTGCTGTCGTGAGGGGTACGGAATGGGTTGCCGCCTTTTGCTCCCGGCGGGTTTCGACACACGACGGAGCTCCGGCGGGGATGGGAATCACCGCCTTTTCCGGGCAGCGACGGTCGTTGGGAGCCGGCGGTGTCTAAAGCACCGCCACCAGCGGCTCCTGTTCAACCCCCCACCACCTTCCTCCAGCTTCTCTCTCTCTCTCTCTCTCTCTCTCATCCATGTGTGTGAAGAGGGAAGAACGGGTCGACACCAGAAATCTGTAAAAACAGGGGGAAAGCATTTCGAAATCTGCTAAAGAACAAGGGTGTAGTTAGTAGAGCCAGGCGGTTTCTTCTGTCATGTTCTTCGAACTGTCTCTGATACAAAAAAACTTTCGCCGCCGCATTTTCTTTCAGTGTAAGGCAAAGAGGGAAGGCACCAGAATAAGGTGCAAAAGCGCAAAAGAGAAGAGGAAGGGTCCTCCTCGGGGTCCCCTACTGCACCGGCCGCCGGAGGACAGGGGAAGGAAGAAGGCCGGGCGGGGGACCTCCGTCCTGTCGCACGGCTCCAAGGAGCTCACGCTGCCGGCCCCTCCCTGGCGGCGGTCGTCGTCTCCCTCCAGGCACAGCCGCAGGTTCCCGCTGAGCTTCAGCTTCCGGCCGATCCTAGCGACGAATGCCGCAGAGAAGGGGAGGCGGCCGCTAAGCATGTTGTTCTCCAGGTTGATCTCCCTCGCCGTCCGCTCCATCCGCCGGAACTCCTCCGGCAAGCCTCCCTCCAGGCCGTTGTTGTCAAGGGCGAGGTAGCAGAGCCTCCCCAAGAACACCCCCATGGAGGAAGGGATGTTGCCGACCAGGCCCACGCCGGACATGCCGAGCCCCAGAAGGCCCCCCAGCTTCTCCCATATCTCCTCCGGTAGGCGCCCTCCCAGGGGGTTTCCGCTCAGATGGACCTCCTTCAGCTCCGCCATTGCCGCCAGTGCAACCGGGACTCCCCCCGTCAGATTGTTGTGGCTGAGGTCGAGGAATTCCAGCCGCTGGAGGCCGGCGAGCTCGCCGGGGACCGGACCGGAGATGTGGTTCTCACTCAGGTCCAGCTTCAAGAGCGCATCCAACTGGCCAATCTCCGCCGGGAGATGGCCGGCTAGCTGGTTGTCACTGACGTCCAGGATCTGGAGTCCCGTGCATCGCCCGACGCTCCTCGGGAGCCGCCCCTTGAGGCGGTTCCGAGACAGCGTGAGCTCCTGGAGGTTGCGCAAGTTCCCGATATCGTAGGGGATCTCTCCCGAGATCCGGCTGCCGGTCAGGACGAGCCTCCTCAGGCGGACGAAGGAGCCGATTCTGCCGCTGAGGCGACCGGTGAGCGAGGGGTTCTCGACGAAGACGAGCTCCTCGAGAAACGCAGAGGGAAGGTTCCGGAAGAAATCTTCCGGCAGGGAGACCTCCGAGGAGGCGTTAAAGCAGCCGTAGAAGAAGAGCTTGCGGAGAAAGGGGAAGGAGGCAGAGGAGAGCCGAGGGGAAAAGACGGCGTCGACACCGCAGGGCGGGTTGGGGGAGAAATCGGAGACGTAGCCAAAGTTGAGCTCCACGACGTGCGGGACGATGACATCTCTTCCTCCTCCCTCTCCGTCGTTGCTACCACCCGTCGGGCCTGGGATGAGGTCGCAGACGATACCGTGGGGACCAGAGAGGCAGAGATCGTCGGGGTAGAGAAACCGCCAGTCGAGAGAGGGATTGATAGCCTCCAGAACCCGGTAGACGGCCTCCTGTTCTCCGGCGGGGAGGACGCCGGCCCGCTCCTCGCCAGCCGCAGTGACCACGCTCGAGCATGTCGCAGCCGCCGCCGCCGTCGCCACCAGGAGGAAGAGAGCGGCTGTGGAGACAGGATTGGAACAGCAGCGGAACCTCATCTCATCACTGCAGAAGAAACGAACTTCAGAATAGAGCAGACACCGCCGGAGTGGGACGCGGGGTTTAAAAGGAAGAGGGAGGAGGATCCGTCGTCAGACCAATTTACGATAGTGCTACTAACTGTGAAATGACCTGTTTACCCAGTTCGAAGCGCCGATGTCGTACTGTTAAGTACGGCCTACAGATACCATAATTATAAGTATTTTCGTAAAAAGCTAAGGGGCGCGCGCGCGCGGCGTGGCGGGACGATTGCAGACTGCTAGACCGTTAGTTAAGGGGGGGGGGGGGCCGCGCGGTGTCGAGCGACCTGCGCGTACACTTACCGCCACAGAGCCACGTCTGGCGCAGATTTGACTGAACCCCTGCTGGCCCGCCTATGATCAAGTTTCAGATCGGCTGCTCCGTTGTACGCTCACCCTTTTCTGCGCCACCCGTCCCATCAAAGCTCCACACCTCCCCATTCGGGTGCTGCTATGATGGTCTCTCGCGGTGTCGGTGCCCCCAGAGCGGTGACAGTAACGCGGAAAGTGGAGAACACGTCCTCTGGTTGCGCCACTTGTTTCGCCAGCAGGCAACCTTCCACTTCGCGATCGCATCGCCACCGTCCATCCTCCCTCCTGTTCAATTTGAGTAGAGGGCCGGCCTCCTGACGCTGGGACCAGCTAGGATTCTTCTGGAAACATAGCTTGCGCCTCGGGCAGCTCTCCGCCGCCTTTTCCCCAGATTTCGGCCACCCCAGAGGAAGGGAGAGTGGGGTCGTCGTCTTGATCACGATCCGCTGCCGCAGCCGCCGACATGGCGGCAGAAGGCGGCTGCATGGCGGCCGACACGACTCGGCTGCGATGGACGTTTCGAGGTGACGGTGTTAGATAGAGAATAGAAAGAAGGGACCTGGGACAGTGGCCGTCTGATTAACGACAGGAGTCAACCGCCCCACGATGGATGGCTTCTCTTAGAAATCATTGGGCAGTCATTTGGCGTTGACGTTTTTCAATGAGTGGTCTAGTGCGGGCTAAGTCGGTCCCAACGCGCAGTCACTAATGCGAGATAATGACGTTATTATGCTGGCCGTCGTCAATTGTCAACTGTAATCGATTGTCGCTGAATAACGGATGGTCTTTTGGGCGTTTCTTAATTTCGGTGCATCTACAGATCACGATGCCTTAAGATGTGCGTTGACCTTTAACCACCCACTCTTCTACGCAGTCCACGTGGCAAGGAACATTACGATTTCGGAGAAGTCTGTCATTATCTCGTCTATGTCACGAACTTTCTGGTGATCTTAAAAAAAATCTCCATTTATTTTCACACCAATTTTAATATTCTTTATTAGTGGTAACCGCGCAAATGGAACACACGTTGAAACTGGTTCGGCAAGTGCTGAAATTGACGGAGTGTTGACCATTGACTGACATGTTGACCATCGGCTGACCGACTTTTGACTGCATTGACCGATAGAGTCGGTCGGCAGGCACATTTTAAGGGTTATAGTTTGGGTCGGCGTTTCTCAGCCTCTCGGCCCCTGATGGTCCAGACTGATTTGGGTAGGCCTGTCTGAACTGATTCGAACCTGGCGGATCCGGTCTGGCTTGGCCGGGCGACGCTGGGCCGTCTCGGGCCTGGTTGGTCCAGACCAGGACGGACCTGGTGGAGCAGGGCCGGTTCGGGCCTGGCGGCTCCGCCGTCACGAATCTGTGGGGATTTAACCCGAACCAGTGGGACAGTTCAAAACGGGCGAAGGGGACGGCGGCGGCGGACGATAGTTGATGGACGGTGGGCGATAGGCGGGGGCAGCGGTCGATGGATGGGTAAGGAAGGAAGGATGGAGAACGGTGGGAGGTGGCTGGGGGCGGTGAGCGGACAGTGGCGGCAGCAGATGGTGGGGGTGGCGGACGATGGCCGCAGTCGGCGACGGACGGCGGATGACTGGCAGCACCAGGCAACGGACGAGGGCGACCAAACGGTGGAAGACGAATGGCAATGGCTGACTGTAACAAGGAAGTCAGCCGCTCTGCACGAAATCCTTGTTGGGCGATCGGATCCCTAAGTATGACCAATATGTATATTCCTGATAACGAAAAGTGATCCATATATGAGGTTATGGGTCCCTCTTTATAGATGGTCCCGTAGTCAAGATTCATTACATTTCTGATATAGATTTAAGAGTTCTCACTCCAATTGACATTGGGGTACTTGTGACATCATTACATGTCCTCTGCTCCCCCTTTAGATGATGTCATGCTCGTGACATCATCTTATGATCTTGTGACTTTAGGTTGCCATGTTAGAATTGTGCATAATGTGTTGTGGGGCGCCAGTGTTGTGCTGACATGTGTGCTTGTTGTGCCGCTAGGCATATATGCTGTGCATATGTGCACACATGTGCTGTCATGCACAAGTGTTTTGCCACCATATGCAGGTGTCATGTTGTCACGTGTGGGCATCATGTCTTTACTTGTTGATTATGGCAAGCTTAGATTATATCCTCAAATTGCCACAAGTCCATGTCTTTCTTCCATGTAGTCATCTTCGGTGATTGTCCTCCCCACTAAATGAGGTAAAAAGTGTTACGGTTGACATGATTGTGTTCACCCTTGTCAACCACTTAATGATCTAATATTGATAATATTGAGTTAGAATAATATACTTGAATCATTAGTGGGGTTTAGTGTGATTGGTTCCACTCTAGATTATCTTTATCTACAGGATAAGCTTTCGATAGAGATATGTGAAAGATAGGTGTACTAGGAGGTGTGGAGGGGGTTAGAGTTGGTCAATTAATCACCTCACTTGGGTCACAATTTGGAAGGGTCTATCGAACTGAAGAATTAATCTATTGTACCACTTCTTCTACCTTTGGAGGCTCTTGTGAGTACAGTAGATATGAAGTTGTACTCAATCTATTACTACATATTTGATTTTTTGTTGGCATTGATCATCATTTTTCTTCATCCTTTGAACGGCTCTTGTCAATATCTCTCGGGCCTCTTCAATTAGGTCACTATGGTTCTTGGCAAAATAGTAGGCAATTGACAAATATCTTGAACTCTATTACTTCACAAGTTCATAGGATATTAGTGGTTGCCTACTAGTGGCAAACTTGAATGACAAATGTCCTATAGAGACGCACTATTGAATACTATGGGCGAATTGGACAACATCTAATAGATTGACCCAATTATTTTGTTGTACCATGACATAATGTATGAGGTAATCTTCTAGCACTCTCTTTACTCTTTTCATTTGATCATTTATTTGTGGATGAAATGTAATGAAGAAGTTAAGCTTAGTGCCAAGAAAGGTGAAAAGACAGTTGACTAGAATTGTCTTGTGAATGAGATTATATCCCATGAGATACCTCACAAGTTGACAATTTGTGTCAAGAATAACCCAACCACTTCTTCTACCTAGCACTCAGATTGTGTTGATATAAATGTCATATACTTGAAAAACTTGTCAACCATCATAAGAATGGTATCATACTTATCTACTCGTGAGAGGCATGTGATGAAGTTCATGAACAATGACTCCCACGATCCCTTATCTTATATTATCTTTTTGATGAACATGTCGTCACTCCACCTTATCTTGTTGATAAATCAAATATGAACGAACATATGTCTCCACATTGCATTCTATGTTTGGCCAAAAGTAACTACTAATCAATAATACCATCATCCATTGTTGCTTGAGATGCTTCACATGAAGTGCATCATGTGTCTCTTATAGGAGATGACATCGAAGTTGACCACTATGTGATACATCAGGTCAACAACCCTCTACATGCGTCGAGTTTCCTTAGTCTCTATTTGTTGAATACGATATTTGATCGCTTGATTATATCATATGCTACTCGTATGTCATCTAACAAGTCCCTAATATTGATTGAGATGGTGGCCACTCCATTTGTGGCTCCCTATCGACTCAAGGTATTTGCTATCATGTTAGTGTGTCATGACTTATATTTGAGTAAGAACTCATACTCAATAAGTCTTGCCAATGAATTTATTTGGAAGACAACTTCTTAGCTACATTGTCGGTATAAATAATAAATGATCACAAAATAGTCTCTATACTCATAGGTAGTGAATGACTATTGTCATCTCCTTCTCATGTATTGAGTAACCCTATTTTGTGCCACTTAATTTTTGAGCTTCAAATGCGACCAGGTGTCTTTCTTACATCAACACTTCAAATGGCTTGTGGAAGTCTTGAAGTTGAAGTATTGGTTCCTTCTTTATTACTATACAAGTTGTCAAAGGTATGTTAACAATCATTAAATTATATCAACTTTTGTTCCTCCTAAGGTGTTCTATTAGAGGTGCAACTATACGAAAGAAGCTTTGGATAAACTTATAATAATAATTGATAAGCTTCAAGAGAGACATTAGTTCGGTCACCCTTTGGCCACTAACCACTCTTCAATTGTTAACACTTTCTTTCGATCAATTTGTACTCTTTTTTTACTAACTACATGATCAAAGAATTTCACTTATGTTATAGCAAATGTATACTTTGCAGAGTTCAAATATAACTAATGGTGCTTCAAAGTCTCAAGTAATTGTTATGTGTGACAAATACTTCTACAAAATGTGATTATATAATGAAATATTATTTAAATATATGACAATAAATTTATCTAAAAATAGTTTAAATATAAAATTTATTAAAACATAAATGTGGTCAAAGTATTTCTCAATCTAAAAGGCACCACAATAAATTAATTTGACTCATAGTGTATAACACACTTTTTTTTACTCATCTACTCTCTTGATTTAGACTTGATGGTAGCTACTCTCAACTTTGAGAAGATTTATGACTCGTCAAGTCGATTGAACAAGTTTTTCACATTAAACATTGAGTACTTGTTTTTTATCATAATCTTCTTTTGGGGCCCTTTAATCCACACAAAACCTCAATATTTTAACTTTCTTCTATTGAAAGAGAGTTGATGCAAAAAATGGCACATGTTAGGGGCGTATATGTCCCACCCTTAATAGTTGTTTTAATTACTTTATATTCTTCAAAGTATGCTAAAGACATCTTGTATGGGGGCCTGACCAGATGATGTTCTCTTAGTAACAATTCAACGAGATGTTCTATATCCTATCTAAGCAGTAAAGTAGTGAGCAACTTGTTGGGCATAATGTCATGTAATTTTTTGAGTAAAGGTAATACATGAGGGTGGCTCACTCACTTTTCTTCCTCCCCTACTTCTTGTAAGGTGACAAGAAAAGCGTCAATATCTTGTTGAAGATCAATTTTTTCTTATATCATCAATTGATGTTTCTTCAACTCTCGTATAGATTTCTACACAAAACAAGACTAGTCTCCTCTGTAAATAATAAGATTGTTATAGTGAAAGAAGATCCTTACCTTTGACTTGACTACAAAATCTATACATAGGATGATGTTGAAATCATCCATCCGTAGGACTAGAGAATCTATTTTATCTTTCTACATGCCGATCTAAGTCTTCACTTGTTGTGTTAGCTCAACAAATGCTTGGGTCTAAGAGTTGACAACATTGATTTGGCTGCTTGTTTGAACCAATCTTAGTCAAAAGTAATTAGCTTTCCTCTCTGATAGAAATTTACAATGGTGCAAGAGTAGTCTCTTAGGAGCTACTTGGATGACTTTAGCTTGCACTACATTTACAATTTAAATTATGTTTAAATTTTGTACATCTCCTATCACTAGTGACAATTGCTCTTGCATCATGACTAGGTTGAGTCAAGTCTTTTCCATGTGATAATCTACTTGGTTTGAGCAATCAAGATTATGGTGAGGGCCACCACAAACATGACATCTAGTTCACTTTGGGCCCTCAATCTACAAGGTGTCTTAATTCTGGTCTTTGTTGACTTGTCATTAGCTTTCTCTTATCGTGGTGGGTCTTCCCTATCCTCAATTGTTGCTGCAACCTCTACTTCTTTGGAGTGCCTCACCATTATTGTTTTACTGATGATGTTGGATGTCAACCATCTCATTTGTCATAGTCATAGCTTCTTATATATTCTAGACACCTTGTTTCTGGATTTTGTTATGAGCTTATTTCTATAATTCTTCAATGAAATAGTGATGTTTATCATCTTTGTCTATCTTGAGTACTGCTAGTATAAGTATTGAAAAATTTTCTACATATTCTCGGATGGCCTTAGTGTACTTCAGCTATCTCATGGCTATTTGAGTGGTTTGCCTTGAATTTGCTAGATGAAATTGTTCTCAAATTTCTTTGACAAATTTATCTTAATGTCACTAATGGTCTAGAATAATCTTCAATTTGAAGCCTCTAACATGTCTTGACATGTCACGTTAGAAATAAGTTGCTAAGAAAAACTTACTCTTCCTTAGAAGAGGTATTAACATTGAGGTACCTCTATAGGTCCCACAAAAAAATCTTGATTAGCATAACATTTTGCTTCCCTAAGTATGGTTTAGCTTCAAGAGCCTTGATTTGAGATAGTCATCGTCTTAGGTCTTGACTCAGAGGTCTTTGGAGGTTGTCAATTCTAATTAGAGGTTATTCACAACCTCTTTCATCTACTGTCACAACTTTGATATTTGTTGGGTAAATTCTCTTTGTAGTGTCAAAATGTCTTCTTTCTGGGCTTCATAGGATATGACTATTTCACTTGTTTTGTCGTAGATCAATTGAATTTTCTTATTGAATCTCTTTGTCAAGACATTAATGGCCTTATAGGTTTGTTCTTCTATTTAGGTCATCCAACCCACCATCTGCTCTTGTAAGTTACTAAACTCAACTAGTAATTAGCTCGTAAGGGCCTCAATGATTTCAGTTGTAATTTTTTACTACTCTACTAGTTGAACAATTCTATACTTTTGGGAACCACTTATACTGACTCTACCCTCTACCGCCATGACACTATACCAAATATTGAAGAAAGGGAAGAGATATAAGAGTATAACTTTGTTCGCAACTTCGATCTAATATCACTATAATAAGGAAATTGACTATTCTACATAAAATCTTTGTTGGGTGCTTAGGCAATTGTATCCCCAACAAATCCACATATGACCAATATAGATATTCATGATAACAAAAGATATTTCATACATGAGGCCAAAGGTCTTTCTTTATAGATGGTCCCTTAGTCAACATTCCTTATATTTTCTATATGAGATTAAGAATTCTTACATTTGATGTTGGGATAGTGACATCATCTGCTCCCCCCTTCAGATGATGTCATGCTCATGACATCATCATCTACTCTTGTGGCTTTGGGTTTCCATGTTAGAATCGTGCACAATGTCGTTGTGCCTTTTGGTGCATGCAACGTTCCTGCATGGATCATTGTTGGGCCGACACACAAGCATTTTGTGTCACCAAGCACTGGTGTCATGCCACCGGGCATAAGTGCTACACTTGCGAGTATACGTGTTGTGCTGCCATTCGCTGTCCACTGCTGCATGTGGGTGATGTGCCAATGCATGCATGTTCTGTGCTGCCGCCGCAATGTAAGTACTATGTGTGAACATTGTGCCAACATGCACCACAGTGTTGTTTCTAGAGGTGGTTCTTGTGAAAGGACCTTGGTAACATTGATAGATGATGGATGATGGATAGCGGCAGCAAATAATGATCCTCATGATCTTTCATGGCTGAATAAACATAGGTGACTATCACAACCTTTACTTCACGTAGGCATGAAAGGTAAATTATCAAATGATCTTCCTTTTCTCTTGGGTTGGGCTAAAATAAATTTCTTAATTCCTAAACTTACATCATCTAAGTGGTCATTTTTGTGATTTGATATAATTAGTGCTTGTAAAATATAACTCATGAAATATTCACACTCTTGAGATTCTCCAATAAGATCATAGTTAGTCACCTCTTCTTCTATTTACTAGTCACTAGTATTAATCATATATTTTTTTCTATGATTAGGTTCATCTTAGGTTCTTCTACGTGAAGGTTAAGGTTAAAACATTGATAAACATGATGTCTAGGTTCATGACACTTTTAACACATATCTCTAGATGTATTATCCTAATATGACTACTAGATTTGATCATGATTACTCAACGATGAGGAATCAATTAAATTGAGGGTACTCAGAATCATTACCAAACACCTAGCCAACCAACCATCAGATCCAAAGAGTTCAAAATGAAGTATCTCAAGAATATGATAGAATGATATGGCACCACTTGAGTCATTTAATCCATGGGCTTCTTGCATACAGAAATGTTAAAGGTGAGGTAGCTTACTTTGATGGGTCCTTAGATCTTTAAGTTTATCTTGATTAGGAGTTTGATATGAATTATTTCATTAGTATAAAATATCAATAGAATGGAAGATCATATTTGCTCAAATGAAACTTATAGAACAAATTTTTTTTATTGACAAATATTGACACATTATTCAAAATGATGATGAAACAAAAAGAAAAAAAAATGATGATGAATTTTTATTTTAAATGAAGTGTGTGCCCTAATTAAAAATCTAAGCTCTAATACCAATTTTGATGAAGTTTTCATGAAAAATAAGGTTTACAAAGATACATCAAGAACTCTTTCTAAGTTTAGAATCGAATAAAGGACTGATATTTGAGAGATACCTTTTTATTTGTCAAGTCATTACATTAAAGCAAGTCTATCAATTAGCTTGGGACGTAGAGAGTGTTCACAAATCTCAATTCATAAAATGTACATCCACATCCCAACATGTGACTCAACGACCTCTATGGTACACCACTAGGAGATCAAATATGTAAAATGGTCATGGAGTGGAAAGCTTTAATTCTTCACAGTCTTAAGATAGACCACTTGGGAATCAATATGAATAAAAAAAAGATAGTAATTAGTGAATTATCTTAGGGTAGTACATCTAGAGATATGTGTTATTATTAGTTTCATGGATTTAGACATTGTGTTTTTCAATGTCTTAGTTGTAACCTTAGGTGAACCAAATAATATAAAAAAATATGACTAATATTAGTGATAAACTAGAAGAGGAGGAACATAATGTCAAGATTGTGGTCTTGTTGAGAATCTTAGGAGAGTAAATATTGTGTGGGTTATCTGATCTGAGAAGATATTCTATTGAATCACGAAAAGGACCACTTAGTTGATGTAAGTTTAGGACTCGGGAAATGTATTTTAGCTTAACCTAAGAGGAAATGAAGATCATATCTTCATTAAGGGTTTACCTTTTCATCGCTTTGTGAAAAAAAGACCGTGATAGTCAGCTATCTTCTCTGCCACCGCTGTCCACCATCCGCTATTTGTCAACCGTTGTCATTCACCTTCCATCATCTGCTCACCATCGTCTATTGCCTTTCAGTCACCAATCGCTGCGGCCGTCTGTCGCCACCTACGGTCATCATCCACCACCCTCACCATCCCCCAGCCACTTACCCATCTATCCACCATTGCTGCCGCATCCTTCAAGGTTGATTGTTGTGTGTCACCACCTCCTATCTACCCTGCACCGACCGGTTGGGATTCTACTGTGCCGTAGGGGTTGCATGCTTAGCAGGGATCGAACCTACAATATCACTGTCATATGACCATGCAGATGATGTCGAAATCCTCGATCTCGCTCCGGTCGCTTTGTGTGGCGTGCAAGTCCAGGCCGAGCCGAACTCGGACGAGTGAGTGCCACCAGATCGTCACCCCGACGCGCAGTAACCGCCGAACTCGGCGAGGGTATAAATGTAAATTACTTGATCACGAACTTCGTATATATCCCCCTCCTACCCGCGAAGCCCGGGAGGGGTTTTGGCTAGGGTTTTGTGAGGGCGCCAAAGTTGGGGCGGTAATCTCTTGTTCTCCCTCAACTTTTTGGTTCTGTCCTTCTTCTCCTCTTCCAACGCTAGGGTTTTGTTCGTTCTGGCATATCCGGCAGCTTGCTTCTGTTCGGATAGTCTGTGGAATGACGGCCTCCTCCGAAGGATCGGATCGGGCTTGTTGTTTCTCCTGTTGTGTTGTTTCTGTTCCCTGCTTCTGTTCTTCATACTCGCGCTGATTGTTTATTTGTGTTGATTCATAGAAGCGGACATCAAACCGACCATGTACCTCCAGTTCTACATAAACGAAAATGGGGACAAGGTCTACACGACCAAGGTGTAGTCCCGTATTTATTTATTCTTACCTCAATTGGTCCCCTGTTGTTGATAGATTTTTTTTTAATTTAACTTTTTTGAGATCGTGGCATGCGAATTTTTGATATTTGCATTGTCCAATTTGTACTCGTTCTGGTGGGTCTCTCTGCAAAACATTTCAATGCCTACTTTCACACGCCTCTAAGACGAGAGCGAAATATTTTTCCCTATTAACATGGCTACATTTATCGACATTTATCGACTCGTTCTGTTGCGATCTGATGGCTACATAGTTCACCGAAACTGATTTTCATTTTAGCGGGCCAATTCTTACCTGGTATTCATAACTTTTTATGCTCCGATTTTTCAAATTTTACTATCTTAAACATAGTAAAAGCATTTACTTCATTTGTGTTCTTACGGTGATTGTGTTCAATAGATGGATCTCACTGCTTGGTCTAATCGTCTGAAACTAAACTAGTATCTGTTCATCGGCTGATTGATTGCTGCCTTGGGTACCGTTATTTAATGTAACTATGATACCGATGTTCCGTGATGCTACTATGAAGTTGGTAATGAAATATACGCTTGAATGGAGGCCATTATATTCGGACTTCTGATTATTCCTTGGTAGAAATAAAATTGAAATGTGGTTGGATGATGATGATGATATTAGCTTCTTGATCAATGAGGAGCTTTTCAACGGTGCAATTTTGTCCCCTCCTATCCTTTTATATTAGTCATGTTACTGATGCTGCGCTCCCACTTTGTAACAGAAAGAGTCACCAGTTGGATTAGCGACGCAATCAGCTCATCCAGGTAAAGCAGATGTTCAAGAATGATTTGTTTCCTTTTTTGAGTTCTCCCTGTCTTGATTTACATTATGTATTCCAATGGGAAGGTTGATTATTTTTTTTTTATCTCTTCTCGTCTTGTCATTTTTCTCTGTAATAAGCTATTGGCTGGTGTGATCTCATTTATTTAAACACCTGAGTCATTCGAGTGTTATGGATTCTCTTAGGTTTTGCATCATAGCTCATCATCCCGTCTCATCTGGTGAGCCAAGAAAATATCGAGTTCAGTGACCAGTTTTTGAACACAGAAAAAACGAAAATAATAGCTTGTTCTTCAAGTAGGTGTTCATTATCTGGTTCATTAAAGGATAATGACTGGAATGTTGTTTCGTTCTTATGGTTCCCAAAAAATTGGATTTTTCACTGTCCCTAGATCAAGTATGCTTGATTTCTCTTCTCAATCCTATGGATGATACGCAGAACATGGAACTCTGTTGCAAAATTTGTTAGAGACCAGGAAATCGTGGATGTTGTACAATATGTGAACGTAGAAACATCTAGGTTCGTCCTACTGTAACGCAGCAGCTTCTCATTGTACCAGCAATTTCCTCCATTTATCCCGATTCTGTGCGTTTGATCATGCTGCTAAACGTCTTGTTTGGTTGGATACGCAGCTCGCTTCTCTCCAGACGACAAATATTCCAGGCAGAGAGTCTTGCTGAAGAAGCGCTTCGGGCTGCTCCCCACCCAGAAGCCGCCGCCAAAGTACTGACCGACGAAGACGCCGCCGTTCTGCTTCGTCCGGAGGGTCTCGCCGTGTTAGTTCCTCGATCAAATGTCTGTCATCTTCCTTCCTCCCTCTCTCTCTCACGTCTCCTGTAACATGAACTCGACGAACTCAGTCAATTAGTCCGCTCCGAGTTATCTTACGGGCGGTGTCTTTCGAGCCATGTAGATTTCTCTACTCGTCTGATGTTGACCTCGTCCATGTAAGTCAACCCTGAAGCGGGTTGGTCGATGGGCTCAGCCCCTCCATCCTCCTGTATCAACACTGAAATCAACCACCCTTTGGTATGATCGAGCCCACCTCGAGCCCTCCTTCCCCAGAGCCGATGGTGTCTGCTTCTACATGAACGGGGAGGGGTGGGGGATGGTTCTTCCGGGGTTGATAATGTCAGATGACTACGTCGGAGTCCCGTCGTCTGTCGACAAGCTCGCCCGGCTCATTCCCCTCCCTCTCCTCCTGCCGCCGGATCCTCCCGTCCGTTCTGCCCACAGATGCCAACCCTATGCCGGCCGCAGTACCCGCCGTCCCAGAGGCCTACGCCGACCTTCTCGTCTCCTGGTCCAAGTGGCAGTGCCGGCGTGCGGGCGATCCCCTCCGCCTGCTCGATCAAACGCCCGAGAGCACGCAGGCGGCGGCGTACTGCAGGGTTCTCCATGCCCGCATTGCGAGGCTGGGACTTCGCCTGGCGGGTAGACTCGCGAGTGCGCTCATGGACCTCTACTGCAAGTCCGGCGACCTGGTGCACGCACGGAGGGTCTTCCACGGCCTGGCGGAGCGCGATGGAGCCTCGTGGAGTGCGCTGTTGTCTGCGCACACGAAGCATGGCTCTCCCGGGGAGGTCATCCGCGAGTTTGACGCCATGCGCCTCGCCGGCGCCTCGCCGGACCAGCACGGGCTCGCCATCGCCCTGTCCTCCTGCGCGAGGCTGGTGGAGCTCGACTTCGGCAGGCGGATACACTGCGACATCATCAAGACTGGATTTGGCGGCAGTGCCTTCTGCCAGGGATCGCTGGTCAACATGTACGCCAAATGCGGCCGTCTCGAGGATGCTCGGTGGCTGTTCGACAGATTCGAAGACCCCGACACGATTTCATGGACGGCCATGATCGGTGGCTATGTCCAGGCCGGCAGGCCCAGGGAAGCCCTCGAGATGTTCGATAGAATGCGGGAGCGTGGTGGTGTTCCGGACGAGGTCACATCCGTGACAGTCATCACGGCTTGCGTGTGTCTCGATCGACTGCAGGAGGCAAGGAATCTATTCATGGCGATGGCTTCCCCGAATTGCATAGCTTGGAACGCCATGATTTCTGGGCACGCCCAGAACGGTCACGAAGCCGAGGCGCTCGAGTTCTTCCGGGAGATGCACGGCGCCGGGGTCAGACCCACTCGCTCCACGCTGGGCAGCGTGCTGAGCGCCGCAGCGAATCTGATGTCTCTTGACGCCGGGAGGCAGGCCCACTGTGGATCTTCGAAGCTCGGCTTGGATTCAAATGTCTACGTGGGGAGCTCTCTGATCAACCTCTACGCCAAGTGCCGGGCGATAGAGGACGCCCGTAAGGTGTTCGATTCGATGCTCGAGAAGAATCTCGTGCTGTGGAACGCCATGCTCGGAGGCTACACACTGAACGGTCAGCCTCAAGCGTCGGTGGAACTGTTCCTTCGCATGAAGGGTTGGGGCCTCCCGTGCGACGAGTTCACTTACGTAAGCCTCTTCGGCGCCTCTGCCTCCTTGGAGAGCCCGAGGCTGGGACGGCAGCTCCATTGCGCCGTGATCAAGAGAAGCTATGATAGGAACGCATTCGTGGGCAACTCGGTGGTCGACATGTACTGCAAGTGCGGTGAACTGGGCAGCGCAATGCGGCAGTTTGAGCTCATCCCTGACCGCGACGTCGTCTCTTGGAATGCGCTCATGGTGGGGCAAGTCCACAGCGGATGCGAGCAGGAGGCTCTGTGCACGTTTTGCGGCCTGAGAGGCGATGCCGTGGAGCCCGACGCTGTCTCCTTTGGCACCGTGATCAGTGCGTGCTCGAGCACCGGAGCATTCGAGGTGGGGAAGCAAGCCCACTGCCTGGCCGTGAGACTTGGGCTCGAGTCGAACACCTGCGTCGGGAGCTCCCTAGTCGACATGTATGGAAAGTTTGGGGAGATGGAGTCCGCGAGAAGGGCCTTCGCGCTGATTCATGAACGAAGCGAGGTCTCCACGAACGCTCTTATAGCGGGTTATGTCCAGAATGACAATGCGGATGAAGCCGTGTGCTCCTTCCGGCGGATGCTGAGACAAGGCTTGAGGCCCTCGCCGTTCACCTTCGCGAGCGTCCTGCCTGCCTGTGCTGACTCTTCTTCTGCGTCGAGCATGGGAAGACAGCTGCATAGCCAGGCGCTGAAGTCTGGTTCTCTACACGGCGACGTCTATGTGGAGGTGGCCCTCCTGACGACCTACCTGAAATCCCGGCGCCCGGAGGACGCCGTTAGGCTGTTCTCGGAGGTGCCCGGAGAAGACAAGTGGGGCCTGATAGTGTGGACGGCCATCATCTCCGGGCACGCCCAGAACGGCTATTACGAGGATGCCATCTCCCTGTTCTGGAAGATGCACAACCACGGCGTTCTGCCCGACCAATCCGCCTTCGCGAGCGCCCTGGGGGCTTGCGCTGACTTGGCTTCTCTGCGGGATGGAGGAGCGGTCCACAGTCTGCTGGTGAGATCCGGCTTCGTCTCCGACGAGTACACCGGCAGCGCACTGGTGGACATGTACTCCAAGTGCGGAGACATCAGCTCGGCGGTTAGAGCGTTCGAGGAGGTGAAGAAGAACAAGGGGGACCCCATCTCCTGGAACTCCATGATCGCGGGGCTTGCGAAGAACGGTCTCGCGGAGGAAGCGCTGGCCATCTTCCAGCAGATGTGCGACTTTGGTGTCGACCCGGACGAGGTCACCTTCCTCGGAGTTCTCACGGCCTGCAGCCACGCCGGGCTCGTCTCAGAAGGTCGCCGGCTCTTCGACTCCATGGGGAGGAAATACGGATTGACTCCGAGGGCCGACCACTACGCCTGCTTGGTCGATCTTCTCGGCCGCGGTGGGCACCTCGAGGAAGCGGAGGCGCTGGTTCGGAAGGGGCTGCCCTTCGAGCCCGACGGCGTCATCTGGGCCACTCTTCTCTCTGCCTGCAGGGTTCATGGGGACGGCGCGAGGGGCGGACGAGCGGCGGCGGAGCTGATGAAGGTGGATCCTCGGGTGTCTTCTCCCTACGTGTTGCTGTCCGGGCTGTGCGCAGGGTGGGGAAACTGGGAGGGGGTGAGAGCGCTGAGAGGGGCCATGAAGGAGAGAGGAGTGAGGAAGGCGGCGGGGAGGAGCTGGATTACGGTGGGGGAGGAGACCTGCGCCTTCGTCGCCGGGGACAAGTTCCACCCCGATGCGGTCGGCATCTACTCCGTGCTCGATGATCTGAGCGCCGCGATTCAGGAGGACGAGGGCCGCGCCGGCGTGGAAGACTGACGAGACAAATGAACAGGGGACGTGGAAATTCTTTTGAGCATATCATATGCTCCTACTGATCATCTTCTTCGGCAGGAATCAAACTGCGTGGCCCGTTACTGGTTTGACTTTTATTTTTATCGATCTGATAATTCTATTGTACGGCTGAGCAGAATCGCGTCAGAAGTTGTGGGGGTGAGGGACGACTGAGGGAGGCCATTCCTATGCCCGGTCGTCGGATTTGGTCCTGAACGAGAACGATCGATCTCGCGGCGCCTGCTTTTGCTCGGGAAAAGGACTAGCGATCATCTGCAAAAACGGCTGCAGCGCGCCAGGTAGGGATCGAACCTACGACCTTCAGCTTAGGAAACAGACGCTCTATCCACTGAGCTACAGGCGCCTCTAAGATGAAAGTATCTTCAAAGACTCCTCTCGTCATTTACAACTTGATATTGATTCCTCATCTCTTGTCAAGCATGCAAAGGTGAACTTTCTCTTGAATTAATTGCCTTTTGATACTCACATATCAAACTTCATGCTGAAGGTGCCATGGGTTGAGCTCAAGAGGTTCTTGAAGATAAATGAGCACCTTGAGTTCTCATTAGTCGTGAAGAAGCTGCTTCTTGTGTTAGTTCTCTTTGTGGCTTCAATAAGAGTTGTGGTGGGAGTCATCATCATCTTCTTCTATCTTCCTTATGTTCCCTATCTTCCCTACTTCCATGCTATCTTAGGTGAGTTATTTTTCTAATGGTGAATTTGATATGATCTCGAGATATTTTTACCATCCTTAGAAATCTCGATGGACAATACATTGGAAGAGGTCAATTGATAGTAAAAAAATGGAGAAACGATGGTATAGAATTGATAGGCAACCATATTTTGAAAGTCCTTAATTAAGTGTAGATAGACTTGTCTTATCATCAATGACATCCTATTGAGAAATTTTGCAGTTAGGATGTCTTATGAAATTAGTCTAGATCTGTATGGTGAAGGGGTGTGGAAAAAGTATAGCAAGTGCTCGAGAAGAACCTTCAGAGGTAGACTATCTTGAAATGGCTGGTGGGTCGAAGGAATTCCCCAATTGAGTTCTACCTTATTCTTTCCCCTTATGTCATCAATAAAGTCCCTTTTCTTTTCCTTATCATTTCACCATCATTCACTTTGATTAAAATTAGAGAGCTCTTCCTCATGGTTTGGGATCACATCACATTGATATCATAGCTAAGCTAGTTTCACCTCATGCCACCCAAAAATTAGATGACTAGGTTGAACAATTGGAGAAAGTGACTGATGAAATCCATTAGGATCTACGTTATATCAAATGAAATGTGGCCATTCTCTTGGAGTGGGATAAGATCATAACTCAACAATTAAAATTTCTTATACAAGCTACAAAAAAATTTCATCAACAACCCAAACTCCCTCCATGACATATGCCCCATAAGAAGTCACGTGCTGGTAAGGAAGAGGATAAATCTAGTGGCAGTTGGTCGGATCCACGTTTGGGTCGAGGGGGTGAATCACCTTAATGAGATCCACTACAAGCCTTGAAAGACAAAACTAACACGCCCAAAGAATGTGCTTCTTGTGTAATCAGAAGTATGTTCTAAGTCATCATATAATCAATATGAGTCATAAATTTTGACTGTCAATGAAAACTTTCTTGAAGTACCAGAATGTGAAGATATATACACATCCTTGTGCTGGTGGAAGAGGGGATGAAACGTAGATCCCTTGGCAGGACTGCTTAGACAACCGATTCCATTGATTAGAAGACTTGGAAGATGATTCCAGCCAGAATCTTACTGCGCGTGACGTTGTTCTTCAAGAATGCAGCCAAACTGATGGGCGGCGTTGAAAGAACTTTGCATCTTCTGGAGAACGAAGTATTCCCGGTCGTCGTCTAGTTTTTGCTTCCCGATTTCCGCCACACCTACGAGAACGCATCGTATCTCCCCGAGTGACCGACGATGCAGGACGGGGAGCTCCCCGTGATTTTGCGAAGATGGATGGGCTCGTGTACCGCCTCAAGGTGAGGAGGCCAAGCAAGTAAGACCATCTCTCCAGATTCAGAGAATGACGAGGGACCTCAACTCTCAGGAATTAGATCTTTTTTTTTTCAATGTTGTTTGAAGAATTATTTGCCTAAGCTTCTCTGTGGCTCCTGTTAAATTGCTTCCGACGAAGAAATCATCATCAGTTCTCTCTTGATGAAAGCATTGGAGTAGCGAAGGGTACATGCAGAAACTATCTCTCTTTTTCTCTCCCTCCCTCTCCATTAGCGCTAGTCTCATGAATTGAGGTGAATTATGAACTTGCGAGCAGAACTCAGGTGCATGGGGCTCATTTGGGGCTGTGAAGAGGGAGAATCAAGTCCTAAAAGAGGGAGCACTCGACGTGAGGATCATTATCGTGCTTCTCGTGCATGCCGTACTATCAGTGAACTCGCCCACTCTTCCTCATCTTCTTCCCGTTCCTTGGGGCCAACCACCACTCAACTGAAAGAATGTCTCCCACCCTCTCTCCCTCTCTCTCTCTCTCTCTCTCTCTCGCTGTGCAATCCTTATATATTACGATCTCCACGGCTTCCTAGTCTCCCATCACCGTCCAGAACCTAGTCCTCTCCGCTCTGTGCCGGAGAGCCCTCGTCCTCCTTTCTGACTTCCAATGATTACTAGCCAAAGGGGACGACGAACGGCCAGAGGGGGTTCTCTTCTGGGACATCTTAACCGACTGGTAAGAAACGGAACACGGGCGCCGACGCGGGAGGTAGAACTCGCCGACGCGGCAGATTGGCCCTCGTTCCTCCCCACTCAATCCCTCCCTATTGTCCGGCCACCGCCTGGATGGCCTTGACGCCGTTCGATCTCACGGCGGACCCTGTCCGCTGGCTGAGGACAGCACTGGAGGGTTCTCGGAGACCTCTGGCCCCTCTGGATGACGGACTCCGGCTCTCCGGCGATCCCTATTGCGGAAACCGTGAGCCTGCCGTCGCCGCGGCTTAGCCACCCAGCTTCCCACTGCCCTCTCCAGTCTTGTCTTCAGGTTTCGACGGCCTCTCCTCCGGCCGAAACCACATCAACAAGGTGGCATCCAGCCTCCCGGCTGCGAAGCTTAATTGTACTTCCGTTCTTGTCGTTTGGAAGGATTACTCCATGTACTTCGCACCAATCGGATGGGCCCTCCATTTTTTCGCTCAACGATGATAATGAAGATGGTGTAAAGATCCGGAGATATTTGTCACTCTCAATAAAGATCCAAGCGTACAGCGTGTCTTATTCTCGGTTCGGAGTAGCACTGAACGCCAATGCCAGGCGGGGATTTCGGAAAGGGCTCCCCTTTCCGTATCTTTTTTAGAAACTCGTCGGAGTATTATTCTTTCTGCAGGATACAGCATGCATTCTTTTTCTCCGTTCCATGTGAAAAGTAGCGCGATTTTCTTCTGCCGGGGCATATGTGCCGCCAGCTCTCTCAGTGCGCGGCATTAGTGCGCTGTTTTAGTGGAAGGGGAGAAAATACAGACCCATGGACAAGAGAATACAGTCATTTGACGATCCCCGTGCAACGCGTGGCTGTCGTCTTCCGCACCAACCACGGGGAAAAAGATGCAAATTTTAAGAGGAACGGTCAACCACTCAATCCTTTCTTCAAGACGGCTCGCGTAGAAGAGTACGAGGAAGTCCGTTCCCTCCTCCCCCATCGTCCTTTCATCCCTCGCCATGGCGATGACGAACAATCCGAGGGTAGAAGCCTTGCCGTCGAAGACAGCCGAGGTCGACCCCACCCTCCACGCCTTCGGGTTCAAGATCGAGGTCCTTTCGCCTTCCCTTGTGTGCGGATGCTTCAGAGTCTCCCCAATATGCTGCCAGGTAATTGCCCCATTCAATTTGTTACCCTCTGCCGATCCCTCTCTCTCTCTAACCACGAGTGGTGCAGCCCTTCAAGGTGCTGCACGGAGGCGTATCGGCCCTGATAGCGGAGTCGCTGGCGAGCATGGGAGCACACATGGCCTCCGGTTTCCGCCGCGTGGCCGGCATCCAGCTGAGCATCAACCACCACCGCCCGGCCTCGCTCGGCGACGATGTCGTCGCCGAGGCGCGCCCCATCCGCGCCGGCAAGGCCATCCAGGTCCCTAGGACTCTCCTTCCCGGCGACCCGTCCTCTACGCCGGCGAACCAGAGTAGCGTGTAGCCTAGCTCGGCGCTGACACGGTCGCCGCCCTTCGTTTTTGACCAGGTATGGGAGGTGCGGCTATGGAAAGTGATGGCGGGGGAAAGAGCGCACCCCCAACCAGCGGAGGAGGGGGAGAGGTCGGATGCCGGAAAAGGGGCGCTTCTGGCGTCCTCCAGCGTGACGCTTCTGACGAGCCTGCCTGTGCCGGAGGAGTCTCGGGAGGCCGGGGAGGCGCTGCGTAAGCACGCCAAGCTCTGAACGTCATGTTCGGTGGTTCGGAGGGGGAGGAAGGACCTGCGGCTGTCGGAGGGTGGGTTTCCCGTCCGTCTTCACGCTTCGCCCTGGATCCATCTCCGTACAGTTGTATCCTACACGGGGAGCTTCCATATCTGCGACCCACATATAAGGCTAAATGTCAACGGGCACGCATATAAAGAGTATTCTGCTTAAATGTACGTACTCAACAGGTCCTCACCCTCGCGCACTCATATAAAAACTGCAAATCAACCGGTGTTTATTTTCGGTTTGACGGGTTTTATTTTTATTTTTATTTATTTATCATATGTGAAAACTGGTTGGTGAAAATCGAAAAAATGCTCAGGTCAGGTCGAGAGGAAAACAACTGTGCTGTGGATTATCTAATAAGCTTTCATCTGCCTCCCTTGAGATAGTCTACAGCTAAGGCGCCATCAAAACTTCGTCATCTAAAAGTTTTGCACAGGATTTGGCCGAGCGCCATCACCGTTCATGTAAAATCTAAAAGCAGGAAAATGTGACAAGGGGAGACTTTTGGCTCAGGATGACTTCAGCTTTGCCGCTGTGGATGCGAGGTGGGTGAGGGTCCGGTGGCCAACGAGGACGAGGAAAGCTCCGAGGAACGCCAGAGCCTTCAGTGCAATGAACAGGTCCAACTGTGCGCAGGGAAGAGGCAGATTATCAATAGACATGCACAGGGGAGTCAATGGATATGCACAGCAGATTCATGGGGGGTGGGGGTGAGAACCTTTAGCCAGAAGAGCACGTAGAGAGAAAGCACGGCTCCGATTCCAACATGGAAGAGAATGGCGAGGAGAGCAGGCACAGCCGAAGAAGGGAAATTCTTCAGATTGACTCCCAGGCGCAGCAGCTGCCCAATCAAGCCACAATTTATTATGCGCATCGAGAACTGATCCGTAGATAATATATATATATATATATATATATATATATATATATATATATAAGGAAACCTGCCCACTTTGGGAAAACGACTGACTCACCCCGACGATGAATACCAACAGTGGCAGGAGGGTAAGAACCAAGAATGCAACAGAAAGCTCCTTCGGCGGGCGCTTCTCTGGTGCACGGAAAATGTGAGATATCTCCGCTTTTGGTCCAAACCTCAGGTAGGCATCAACAGGCTGAGGAGGTGGCCGGGCTGCTTTCTCTGGGGCCTCTGGCAGGTCTAGCTCCAGGTGTCCTATGGCCAAAAAGAACGAGTTCTCCTGTAAACAACCACATAAGGTCAGTGGTTCTGTTGGGAGTAGAACAGGAAAATACAAAGTGGGGCATATGTGGGGGGGGGCAAACACATACCATTGCTACGTCGCCCACAGTGAGTTCGATTTCGTATCTTCCAGAAAGGTAGTAAAACTTCTCAACGAGACCCAGAAAGTCCTAATGATAGATAAATAAATAAATGCCAAGAGCATCAGAATAGGCGTCACTTCATCATCACCTCATATTTTATTTTTATTTTTTTTTAATTATCAACTCCAGAGTAACATGGCTCATTGATAGATACAAAGCAATCACTCTCAAAGACAAATCAAGAGAAACAATGCAACAGCTAGGATCAATGTCTTCAACCATTGGCATAGTTTTGAACTAGAAGAAGACCTCTAGTGACCCCAGAAAATAATGTTTGATTCTCCACTGAAAATATGATACAAACAAATTCTCTCCTTTGGCAGCATATTTTACAGCAGCCCTCAACGCATCCTCTTAACCCAAAAAAAAAAAAAAAAAAAAGAAAAAAAAAAGAAAAAAAAGGAAGCGATGCATGGATAACTGAAGAAAATCGGGAGAAGAAAATTGTACTTATACTAGTCACCCGAAAACTTGTAAATTTGTTTTTAGTACGTGGACAAAGGTACTCACCAGTACTATCTTAAATCGCCTGTCATCTCTCCCCACAAGAAAGATGTGTTCAACTTTAGACTCATGTCTAAGCTTCAGAAAACGCTGCAAGAAGCTTGGGCGCTTTGAATGAGTATTTCAAAGGAAAAAAATTAAACGAGAAGGAAAAAGAAAAAAAAGGCCTCATCACTCAATGGTCAATATACCTGCTGTGAATTGAAAACATGGCCAAGTGGTGTTGTTAGCTGGAAGGTTAAACTCAACTTCTGCAGATGGCTTGCAGAGAGCGATACAGCATTTTCCTTTGACAAATCTAGCCTGCGATAGGGAAGTAAATAAACAGTCATGCAAAGTCAGTCCGCTATTCCTGAAAATAAAATTCGCATCGTCAATTTTTGGTCAATAAACAAGAAATAATGAATTTTCGCATACAAATAACGAGCAGTGCGAAACCACCCGAATAGAAATGAATTTTGGATCCAAATAGCTGCACACTCATACGGTGCACCGCAGGGAGAGCCGAAACACACTCAAAGGCACCAATGGCTTTGAGAAAACAACTCATTCAAATCCAAGCACAGAAGTAATAAATAACCTGAAATCGAGCCCTCAAAATAACAATGTTACTCATTTCACATAATCAATTGAAGCTTTCTTCAACATTATCCTGCCTTTGTTGAATTTGAGCAAACATTGCCTTCATTTGACTTTTCCATATAAAAGTTTGTTCGGTAAAGCTGTACATTTCTTATCCTTTCCTCAATCTACTCCACGTCAGGCTAATTTAAAGAGACAGGACTCATCTGTTAACAAAAGCTGATTCGAACTCATGGTTTTTCCGTACGTTGCCAATATTATCAGCCATTCAACGTTATAGACTAAAAACATTTCTGGTATAGCAGGTCATTCATGGTTGTTCAAAACCTAGAAAAATCCTGGAGGATATTACAAGACCTTATATATAAAAAAAAGGACCACTGGCGTCTTCACCTTCTGTAAGAAGTTTATATAAAGAACACTCCCAATAAACTAACTTCCTATACACCAAGCGTCAAATATAAATCATTTAGTGAATTCCTTGACTGATATCTTGGTGACCGAGCATACCATGAGCGCATATTATTTTAAATTGTAAGTAATTTTATGAAGTCATAGCATCAGAAATTGCAGGAAAAACAAACCAATAGCGTTAGGAACATAACAGATAAATAGTTAATAAGTTTTTCGGCAAAGGTAAATAGTTATTTAATTTTTGCAGCAAAGGAACATAGTGGCCTTACTTTTTTTGCGTCTCTGTGACATCAGTATCCAAAACTGCGATTTCCAAACCATCAATTTTCAAGAGTCCCATGACCACCAGTGGCAACTGAACACTCCTAGCAGTAGCATAAATACTTTCATGTTTGGACTCGTGAAGCAAAATCTTCAAGAAAATGCCAAACCACATTATCAGTCTTTGCAGAAATAAATAGAACAAACAAACAGACTTTTTAACCACAGACAATGATACCTTAAAAAATAATGAATATTTCCCCATATCCACGTTCAGAGATACTATATCCAAAGAATGCACCAAGTTCTCTGCGTCAAAATTTAATTCCTGTACCAAAAGAATGGTTTAAAAGATCAATACATATAAAGGGACGGATGAATAATCTGCAGAACTGTCAGTTAGTAAGAGCGAACAATCTATTCAACCAATGACATGGAATTTAGAAAGGCCATGAGAGGGAAGAAAAGGCTAGATATGGACAAGAGACGAAATAAAACGCAATGATGACCAGAGTAAAAAGAAATACAATGGTAGCAATTATCTATTTTTGGTATGATATAACAATGAAATACCTTATCCTCTAGCGCAGGAATATTCTTTGAGTCAGAATCCAAAGCTTGCACAAGTTTGACTGTCAGTGGAGGTGCTCTGGATCCGAAAACTGTAGTAACTTTGACCTAGCACACACAGAAGTTGATATGTTACGAGAGATCATTTGGGATGCAGTCTGAATTTAATTAATTTTTCCCCTTGATCATCACGGAAACATGAAATTGATGCAAAAATATTCATAACTATCATACAGATACAAGGCCTTACCCGAGTAAGAAAGCACCACTGAAACTACAACCAAAGGTATTCAGTTTTTTAACAAAATTCACATGTGAGTGGCGTTGCATATCGAAGATATATTTTTATGTCCAAAATACGACAAATAGAAAAGGCTGTCAGTTCTCATGGTAACCCAGCTGGTCACCACAGCAACAATACTAAATATTTGCAGCTCCCTTTAAATTTTCCTGCAACGTCAAATCATTTATTTATCATCCTTTCAAGATGAAAAATGAGACTTGTGCAAAGTACAGTGTTAGAACAGTGTCTGGGTTGAGGTCCACGTGCAGCAGGGAATCCCGCTACTGCACAAGGACAGTCTAGATATCCAGTCCAGAGATGCTGAAAAGCGTTACTTTAATATTGTGCAAACAACTGAACCAAATATCTGGATGTACATACGCACCTTGAGCTGGTCTTTTGATGTCAATGACAAGGCAGCTCCAGGGAGTGACACAATGAGAGGAACGCCAACCCTATTTCAAGAAATGATGAATAAACAGCGAAATGAAATGCTTGGTAATTAAAAATAAATAAATAGATTACTGCAAAAAGTGCTCCACAAAGCTATATCTAATTTTTTTTTTTTGAACTATATCTGTAAGGGCAAGTCAGACGGAAATGTTGGCATCCAAAGAAATTGTTGAGCATACAATATAGCAATCATCGTCATCACTAAATGGGCCACAAAATAACAACTCATATCGTTCAACAAGACTAAAACGTTTGCAAGGATCCCATTGGAGAACATATGCTTTAAGACAACCAGTCACTCTACTTGCCTGTTGTTTTCTAAGTAACTCAAAGAATCAACCTGGTGGAAGAGATCTTTTGCATTGCCAGGAACTCCGATGCTAAGGAAGAATTTTGCCAAGCCCACAATTTTCTCTCTTGGAATCTGCAAACATCAACTTTCCATGAGCAAGATTTTAAATAGTCAATGTACACCACATTTGTGAATGAAACAAGGAGAAGAATATGAAACATCGGTGATTTCTTCGAAGCACATATTGACTCACATCCAACTTCCCAGAGGCTACAGCAGCGAATTTAGTTATCCCTCGTATGACGGAAGAGGTAGTTGAAAGTGGTCCACGATATTCTCTAGCGTCAACTTGCTTTTCATCAAAGTACATAGCCCCATCGTCTATAACAAGGATGATCCAATAAATAAGCACACATAACAGGATTCACACACATACACTCATTGTACTAAGAGAAGACCTCGGATCATCGATGCAACTATAACTTAACCAAAACATATGAAATAAAAGTTACAATAAGAACAATTGACAAGGGAAAAGAGCAGCGCACACAACATTTTCAACAAACAGTCAGTCATAGAAGATTGACAGGAATTACTCTACAGTTGTGACAATAACAAAGATGAATATCATAAGGAAATCCATGATAGGATGAACACCCAATGTATGCGAACAAAGATACTTGTCAGGACTGCAGGGCACATCGACTAGCAGTGTGGCCTACCTAAATGCAGCCCACACATAATTTTTCTGACAGGCATGTGAGGGACTAGATAGTAGTTGGTCTTGGATGCTGAGAGACTGATATGTAATAGCAAATTACTATTAGACATATCATTTAGTACCCAAAAAAGGAGCACACACTAACCGACATTTGCACGTAAATATTATTTTCTAATCGCCCAATGGAACTCCCCTTGATCTGTCACCTGGTTTCTCATTACTCTCCCGTTTGTTAACCTATTAATTACCATTTCAACATGTGCTAAACCTGACATCCAACTTAAGTTATCTTGAGGTAGGTTCGCATCAACACATGGCACAAAGAAAAATGCAAGATCAATGAAAAATAATGAGGTACTGCAATTCAGGAACACATTTTTGTATTATATTTGCACCCTGTCAAAGTAAGGAACCATGTCATGTGTTTGGAACATATTCCATTTTGAGAGACTGTAAAAAGGTATTCACGCATCAGAACAAGGGATCTATTTTATCATCTTTTTAACTTCATAGCTTTCTTGCTTTTAGGCTATAGAATGAACCAAAGCTTTGGCATATTACCTTACAGCCTAGGCAAAAAAGCTATGAGGTGCTCAGGCAAAATAGAGTGTTAATTGCGTTAGGAAGCGATGAAGATAACCACTAAATATTTGACAGACAAAATATCTCTGTAAAATATTTTTCTGTCAGCAAAAATATTTTTTATTCACCGAAATTAGTCTTCTGTAGATATAGGTCCCCTACAGCGCGAACAAAGGTTGTATTCCATAAAGTTATGACAGATAATAACAACAAATAGAATCACAATGGCTCAAATAATATTTAGTCTACGCAAATGTATGTAAATAAATTGAACTGATACAAATTAAAATTCTGAGCCATTGTTTAACATTCATAGGAACTCAGGAAGAAGCCGATAAAAACACAAACGTCCAAACAATAACAGAAACGGATGAAGAACAATATCAAACTAATTGAATACACAATGATTATGCAAGTGGGAAAACTAGTAAGAATGATGGAATCAGAATGAGAACATACCGTAACTTTCAATGATATCAAACAACTTCACGATATCATTTTTCACAATGGAAATCTGCAGTGCATCAATATGAGGCAAATGGATCAAATGCTCCAAAAGATGATATTTAAGAAGAAACACTGATGATAAAATATTCGGAACAAAAACTATGTGACTATTAACACACGAAAGGTTAACAGGCACTGGTCCATAAGACAAATTTTTATTGGATAATAACAGCAAATGGTAGATTCTAAAATAAAAAATACCATGGATTGGTCAATTTCATTTGTTGATAATGAGATAACTCCCGCAAGAGCTTCAAGTGCTAAACCTGGAGTAACATAAGATGGATGCCCAAGGTATGGCGTGAATCAGGCGTTCTAGGAATCATATTCATTAAATCAGAAGAGAAACATATGTTCAAGGGAGACTAGATGAAATTTGAGAATATTCACTGCAAGATTGATCAGGTTTGTTTTCTTATTGATTGTTTATTTAAAGTGAGACTACATAGTAACAATACCTGCAGCATATGTGCTTGCTTCCCCACCATTTGCACTATAACGCCATCTTCCATCACTTTGACTGAAAGACTGTTCTTAGCATACTCTAGTTAGTACACCAATGACCTCTATTCTCCAATTAAAATTAAGTGACATGAAAACATAAACACCATTGATAAATGAAAAGATAGTGATATTGGTTACCTTGATTGAATGAAAAATCCCATCAGTGTCACCAGGAACCACGGTGAAACCTTCTTCCTGTGTGACAACGACAAAGTAAATGAGATGATCGCCTTTTCTCTCACAAGTTTCAAGGGAACGTGATCAGAAAGTTCATTCCACTTTCAGGAAGATTCATATTGTCCCACGAACCAATTTGAATAGAGAACGTGATCGTTTAGGATCAAGAAATTAAGAGGACTTTTGTGTGGGTAAAGCACTACCTTGATAAGAAGCATACTTTCAACAGCCAGGTAGAGGTCCACCAATGAAGTCGCATCTCTAACAACAATTTGAAGTTTAGAAGTAACTTCCTAGAAGAGAACAGACAAGAAGACAAAAAACAAAATTTACATATGAATACTTTTATTCGCAGTTATCCACACGGAATATATCAAGATAAAGAAATGCCATTGACAGCGTGAAAAGGAAACCTTGATTTTATTAGCATCAATCTTGCATTGTAGAATGGTGTTAACTCTCAAGGAATCAAATATGTCCTTGAGACTAGAAGATGACGAACTGAGGCTCTCCAAAACGAGTGGACAGGTTGCATGCCTTATGTCAGCACCCTTGTCAAGACCAAGAATCTGATATGTTCTCAGAGCTTCGTATGTCTCTTCTAAGCTGCGGCCATGAAACACCATGTTAGCAATTGAACAATGTTTTCCTGAGATAAATTTATAAATTTAACGGTATTGGAAACCTTTTAGTTCAGACAGAAAGAGGAAAGAAACATTCTAACTGGCTCACATGGCAAAAAATGTTAAAGTATTAATCTTTAATGGTAGACAGTGACACAGATAGATTGCAAACTGGATCGAATGAATATACGTTCACTTCAGTTTGTATCTGTTATCACTTTAGTACGCATTATTTAAGCTATGTACGAGCACGAAAGTCTGTGTAGATCCAGGGGAGGCAGAAAACAATCAAGGGAACACAACAGTCATGACTTGGGATTATTATCCATAGGCACAAAGACAGCCAAACTGACTGTGCAATTTGAAGGGTGTACCTGATCCGAAACACTCGATGTTTTTATCTGGGGATATGAAAAAGAGTGTCACGTCCACATGGACGAATCAATCAGACCGAAAACAAGTATATGCTTATGTCCAAATATATTTATGCGACAGATAAATCTACAAATGTATATCTCAGAATAACACCGAAAAAAATAACCAAACCTAGTCACAGGAACGCGGATCATAGTTGGAGATTAGTAGCTACGCAGAAATGGGAGATCAATTAGAAATCAAGCAATCGAACGCCACATTACTAAAACTGGCAAACGAAAAACGCATCAGTGATCGTTCGTGGAAACTTCATTAGAGCATTCCCCCATGTCTACCTTGCCATTGTGATGATCACATGTATTGCAGTTTCCATCAAATTGAGACTGGTAGAGGGGAGGGGGAATGAGGTGACTGGAAATAAGTCACTCCAATCGACTCTAGGTTAGTAAGAATATACGAACGTTTTCCACGAAAGAAAAGTCTCGAAAATATCACTAGAGGGGAAGACCGATCGCGATATCGTCGATAACAAATCAAACATCACGTTCTGTACCGCAAGTTTCGTTCCCTCGCATCAGAAATCCAAGATTCAAAGTCAGCTGATTTCTTCAGGGGAGCGAGAAATTGGGGGGCAAAAAAGAGAAAGAAGTAAATGGTAACCAGACTCTACAATCTATTCACACTCCGACTCCGGATGACCAGATCAAGTGCTATTAGCAAACAATTCACACAAAATAAGACGACCGGCAGAGTGAGAAATCACGAAAACTGACCCTCCAAACGATCCGTCAAAGGGCACAAACGCCTCCAGGGCAGCAGAACGATGAGCATCGAGTTTGATGGGCGCGACGGCTGCCGCGCGTCCATACGCCGACAGACACAGAGAGATCAGGCACAGCACGGCCAGAAGTCTCATGTTTCCCGCCATCGGCGAGATCTGGCTGAATGCCAAGGGGATCCACTCTATCGAAGCAGTTTACGAGCTCGACCGGAAGATCTAGGGTTTCTCTCTCTCTCTCTCTCCCTCACTCCCGCTCTACCTCGCGGGGCGTAACTCCACGCCGGTGGTCCCGTGCGAGGTGGATGGAAGAAGCCTTCAAGAAAGTCTCCCAACCTTCTTCACTGAGCTAGGAGGAAACCGCGACAACCGGGCCTCCGGAGATCGGCCGGTTCGCCGAACCGGAATGGACCGCCATCCGGTTCTCTAACACGGGCTCCGAACTTTCAAGTCACTGATGAATGGTGACGGGTAGGTTTTGGTGGATCTTCGTGGACCTGGGGAGCAGACCAGAGACGGAAGCGGGGACGACGACAGCAGGAAGTAGCTGTGTGCAGGATGGTTGAGCTGCGAGTATGGGAGAATTCCTCTGTTGTTGAGTGCCAAGTAAATCTTGCCGCGCGATGATTTCTAGGATGAACTCGACCTCGATTGAGCTGTGTGCAGGAAGTCCTCGCCGTTCGTCGTCAAGCTTAGGTACTTCACCGTCTTGTCCGACGGCTGGATGAGAGGAGGAGAAAGGACCGCTCGCCTGAACGCGTCCCTCGCTGCGCGCGTCCGGGCGGGCGATCCCGACGGTGGGCTCCAGCTCTTCCGCCGCATGCACCGCGATGGCCTCCCTCTCGACGGGTACTCCTTCACACCCGCCTTCGCCGCCTGCCCCGTGCTGCCCCCCGCCTTCGGCCGTCGCGGGCTGCTGGCGGCACGGCAGCTCCACGCCCTGGCGGCCAAGATGGGGGCCCTCCTCTTCTACCATCACCGCATTACCTGCACCGCCCTCCTCGACGCGTACTCCAAGTGCGGCGGTGGGCGTCCCGATGACGCCCTCTCGATGTTCGACGAAATGGAGGGCCGGGCACGGGACGCCGTCGCATGGAACGCCCTCCTCTCCTGCTTCATCCGGCACGGCCGGCCCGCCGACGCCGTGGCGGCGTTCCGGAGGATGACTCTGGAGGAAGGAGTCGATCCCACCGGGTTCACGCTGGCCACGTTGGTGAAGGCCTGCGGGGCGCTGAAGATTCGACGACGGGGGGAGCAGGTGCACGCCTCCCTCGTCGTGGCCGGGGCCTGGGACTCCGCCGTCCTCGGCACTGCCCTCGTGGATTTCTACTCCGACTGCGGACTCATAGACCAGGCAATACGATTGTTCGCTCGCCTGCAATGCAGCAAGGATGACGCGGCCCACAACGCCCTGATCGCGGGCTGCGTCAAGAATGGCCGGCACGCAGAGGCGTTCGCCGTGCTGAGGGAGATGGAGGAGCCCAGCGCCGCCGCCCTCACCACCGCTCTCTCCGCCTGCGCCGACTCTTGTAATCTCCGGTACGGGAGGCAGATACACTGCACCGCCGTCCGTGGCGGCCTCACCGGGAGCACTATGCTGTGCAACGCGCTCTCGGACATGTACTCCAGATGCGGCACGATGGAGGACGCCCGCTCCGTCTTCGAAGTAATGCCAGCCAGGGACGTCGTTTCCTGGACGGGCCTCATCCGCGCATACGGCAGCCACGGGCCCGCCACCGAGGCCGTGAGGCTGTTCAAGGAGATGGAAGAAGAAGGCCACCCCTCGCCGAACGCCGCGACCCTTCTCTCGGTCCTCTCCGCTTGCGGGCACGCCGGGCTGGTCGACGAGGGGCGTGAGTGCTTCCTGTCGATGAAGGCCAGGCACGGCGTGGAGCCCGGGCCGGAGCACCACGCCTGCTTCATTGACCTGCTGGGGAGGGCGGGGAGGATCGAGGAGGCCTGGGAACTCTTCACGGGGATGTGCGCCGGCGCCGCGGTGCCGGGGATTGGGGTCTGCGTGGCCATGCTGAACGCCTGCAGGGCCTGCGCGGACGTGGCGAAGGGGCTGCGGGTGGCGGAGCGTCTCCTGGGGCTGGCGCCGGCGGGGGGCGCGGGCATCTACGTGTCCCTGTCCAACTTCTACGCCGCTGTGGGGATGTGGGAGAAGGTGGAGGAGCTGAGGAGGTTGATGAAGGGCAGGGGCCTGCGGAAACAGCGAGGCCACAGTTGGATAGACAGATGCAGAGGAAACATGGTACCTCCGAAGCTTGCGGTTGACTCACCGTTGGGGGAGTCAAAGAAAGATTCTAATTCTGTCTGGCACGAGCGAGGGTCAATCTCATCGAGTTAGTTTTTGTGCATGGTTTCGTACGATTTCCCAACTTCTCGCCTCGGCATTGTTTGGACTGTCCGATTTCCTCGCTTTTCGGATCGATGAACGCGCGGCGGGGGTCCACACGGTCGAGCGGCGGAGGGCCGTCCGATCCGATCGGTCGGCTGTCGATGGTCTCTCCGAAAGGGAAGACGGCAGTCAGATCGGGGGGGAGGGGGGTTCCATTTCCGTTTGAACTTCTCGAATAATTTCCCTCTGGTTTCCGTGGTAGTTTCCCCCCTCGGCGGCCGTCTGCCTTCGTCTTCCAGTCCCTGCGGAGGCCCTCGTTGCCTCTACTCCCCTTCTCCCCCCGATTCCCGAATCCTGGTGTCGGATGGTTCTCAGAGAACGCCGGAAGCCCTAGAATTACCGGAGGGGGGAAGCCTTTGTTTCGACCGTTGCCTGAAGAGCACCCGAATTTCCGTCCGCTTGTGTAGGCTGGGGGGAGCCGGCGAGCTGTGTGTGAATTTCCTTAGTCGCTTCATGCGCGGGGCGTTGGGCTCCTGGAACTCGTGGGTTTGAGCTTTGCGGTAACGGCTCTGGCCCCAGGCGGGTTGGTTCGACAATGCCGTCCCTCGTCTTTCAGGGCAAGATCCATCGCCTGGAGCTCGAGAACTTCAAGTCCTACAAGGGGTTCCAGACCATCGGTCCCTTCTATGATTTCACCGCCATCATCGGCCCGAACGGGGCCGGCAAGTCCAATCTCATGGACGCTATCAGCTTTGTCCTCGGAGTGCGCTCCGTCCAGCTCCGCGGCGCACAGCTCAAGGACCTTATTTATGCGTTCGACGACAAGGAAAAGGAACAGAAGGGGAGGAAGGCTTTCGTGCGGCTCGTGTACTTGATGGGTAATGGTTCGGAGCTCCAGTTCACCCGGACCATCACGAGTTCTGGGGGAAGTGAATACAGGATTGATGGGAAGATCGTGACATGGGATGAGTACAATGCTAAACTGAAGTCACTTGGCATCCTCGTCAAAGCACGGAATTTCCTCGTCTTTCAGGTAATTGTTATTCTTCCCTCTTTCCACAGTTCGCCTTTCAAGATCTATTATCCCTATTCAAAGGTCCAAGCAGCGGTTTAGAATTTCAATTTTCGACTTTAAACGTTCTGTTTACTTGAGTCCTATTGACGGTTCACTCTCATATTGATGGATCCTAGGGAGCGAGGAAATTTTCTTGGGTGCTATCCCTTTTCCTTTTTTTAATAGTCGCAAACGAGAGCTCCCCTCGTGTCAAAAAATATAAATGGGCCGTGGCCGTGAACATTTGTTTGACCAGTCTACATTAGTCTGAAAGTAAATGTCATGCATGGTGGAAGATTGAGATGTTATTTCTCAGTTTTTCTTTCATGTATGACGGATTCTCTGCCGCGTGAACATCTGAGCATTACTTTTGTGCTAGTAACCGTGTCCTTGAATAAGTAATTTCTCCCAGCATATTGCATCAAAATGCAAGGTTACCAGCATCATTTTTTCTTCAAAGTCTGTGTCACAATATCTCATCTTATGAACCTCTCCACCAGGGTGATGTTGAATCAATTGCGTCGAAGAATCCCAAGGAACTTACGGCACTTATTGAGCAGATATCTGGATCTGACGAACTTAAGAGAGACTATGAAGACCTCGAGGAGCAAAAGGCCAGGGCTGAAGAAAAGTCAGCACTGATCTATCAAAAAAAGAAGACAGTAGTCATGGAGAGAAAGCAAAAGAAAGCTCAAAAGGAAGAGGCTGAAAAACATCTGCGCTTGCAAGAGCAGCTGGTATCCCTTGTTTAACTTGTTTCTTTCTTCCTTTTTGTATTTCTGGTTCGTGGAGGTTTTTTGTGGGTTGCTCATGGATTTAACGTCCAAGCTGCATATCATGTACCATAAATCTGAAAATTTTTAGAGCTTCCACCTTTTGAAAGAAGACGTGAGGCGACTCCAATTCCATATCACATTTGGGCTCTTATGCATCAGGTTCAGAATGATGTCATCACTTTCATCTTTCTTCAGATTGTTCATTGAGTATCGTTGGTGTTGATATAAGGTTGTTTTGATGAGTACAAGAAGTTAAGCTGATTCCTGCTACGAATCTTAGAATTCTAGATATTTGCTAACGGAAAATTTGCTACCAAATGACAAATAGTCTTGACATTCTTTTTTAAATCCCAGTAATCAATGTATCTAATATTATGTTCATCAGGAATAACATCCTGTAAATTCCAAACTTATGAAAACGTCGATGAAAGCTCTCTGAAGATATCCCCTTTAATTTCTGCCTCCTCCTATTTTCTTAACCTTCTAGTGGTATCATTTTTCTTCCTCTTGATCGAGCACTATAATTCATGATCTAAAGCATTCAGTCGCTTCTTACCTCCTGCTTCTCTTTCAAGATCCCGAGGGCCTCTTTGTTATTCGGATGAATGAAACAGGAATGATGATTAATGTGCAAGGGCGAGAATGGTGAGGAGGGTGGTTGTTGTTATTGTTGGGAGGGTGTCATATTAAGAGATTATGTTGGAATGAGGGTTAGAGGTTCCATTGAGAGGGCAGAAGTGGATTTGTTTTTCATGTAGGCCTCAAGCTCAGTGTCTATAGGGTTTTGTTGTGCTTCTCTTTTGGGTGATATACATTGTCTGAGAGGGAAGACTAGAAGAGGGAGACCAATTTGTGGTTGATGTGGTGGCAGGTTGTGTGGAGAAAGAGGTAGAGATAGATGAGTAAGGACAGAGGCCAGGAGCGGGGCCATAGAGAGAGCAACAAGATGAAGGGGGAGCGACAGTGAGTGGAGAACAAGAACTGGGCTGCGGATAGAGAGGTGAATGATTTTGCTGCATTTAGAAAGAGGAAATGGGCGAAAAGAATGTTAAATTCGACGGTGGAGGTGAGAATGATTGCAAAGATGGTGATGTTGGAGGCACTGAGGCGCTGCCTCTCTGCTTGTTCCTGCTTGTTCCTGCTTGTTCCTGATAATAATAATTCATATTATTATGTTTGGAAACAAGGCAGGAGGATGCCTCTAAAGCCAACCTTTGCATATAACTGTCTCAATTGGAGACACATCTATGAGGCGGAATGGCCAGTAAAATAGAATGTGTCAAGAAGGGAGAAAATACAAGATAACTTTCAAAGGGAGCACTGAGAGGGATGGTCTATCAGCGCCAGCCATATAAATCAATTCAAGTTAAGACAGACAGTACTGGCTCTCAAGTGTCTTAGTCCTACTAGGATGGCATCCTCTGGAATTGGACTTGCCCTCTTAGACAAACTGAAACATTGCTATAGACGGAGGAACGGGAAAAAAAAGTTGGTCTTGTACTAAAGTTTAAACCGTTCAAATGGCCCTAATGGGATATAAGGTAACAATCAAGTTTAAAACACATGTATCCAAGGAGTCGATGCAACATTTCATCTCTTAGAACCACGGGCCCTTTTATCACGTTGGGAGGATTCCTCCATTCAGAAAGTAATCAACAACCGCCCTGTGTCATGTGGATCATATAATGCCATGTTTATGCCATTCTTGCTTTATTACTGTCTTTTCTATGCTTCAGAATAGATTCTTTTTACGTTATATTTTCTGAAGCAGCAAGTTTTAACTAAAATATGCTCCCTTTTCAAGTGAAGTTAATCATAGGGAGTTTTTTGTGAATGTTTGGTTAAAAGAGTGTTAAATGAGTTTTTGATGTCATTTCCTCTAAATTTAAATTCTTCATCTGCAGAAAAATTTGAAAAAAGAGCACTTTTTGTGGCAACTTCTCACCATTGATCATGATATGAGGAAGATAAATAGTGAACTTGACGTTGATAAAGAAAATCACGAGGTTATTATGAAGGATCAAGAGGCAAGTGACAATGCTGTCAATGTGAAGAAGAAAGAGCAGGCTGGATATTTCAAAGAAATGACACTATGTGAAAAGAGGATTGCGAAGAAAAAGATTGAACTCGATAAGAAGGTTTTTTCTCTTCCATGGGTTATATCCTTATATGGATCTCACTCAGTGTCCTTTTATATATCTAAAATGTCGACTAATTTAGCTATTGTTATACCGTTATTTAATTTGCATCTATTTATTCCTCGTTAAATTGTTCCTTTTCTGTACTGTTGCCTTAAATGATAATTTTTGTTAGCAGATTCTTTTTATATATAAAAAAGAGAACCGTGTAAGGTAGGGCATGACGATAGTAGGATAATGAATTTGGAGTCATCTCTAGATGTCAAAATAGTACAATAAATCTGAATTCCTCCGAGGGATCTATCTTCTAAGGCGCCACGTTACATTTGGATACGAAAAGTAGACAGTAAGTTCCAAATCCTGATACGAGTTAAACCATTACTGAATCCTAAAAGTGAAAAGGGTGCATAATAACCTTGAAATGGCAAGTTACAAGATATTTCCTCATGTTTCATCAAATAATTTGTATTAGCTCTTTTGCTCATCCCTGAAATTCTGTGCCATCATGTCCTTCCTTCTCTAAATAGAATGAATCACACATCCTTGCCTCAAATGATAGAAGGAAATTATAGAAGATGATTGTATAGCTGTTGTGTTTGTTTTTCTTTTTAATAGTTTCTTTTAGAAATATGTTCTGTTTCATATGATTGGAGTTATCCAAATCCTTTCTCTCCCCAATAAATCACGCAATGAGTATATGGTGTATGTTTGCCAATTCAACTTTATGTCCAATTTGTTTTGCTTTTGTTGTATTAAGATGGATTATTTTTTTGTGTTTTGCCTTCAGCAACCAGAAGCTCTGAAATTGAAGGAGGAAATTTCTCGAATTAAATCTAAAATTAAAAGCAGCAAGAAAGAGCTAGAAAGAAAGAAAGAAGAACAGAAGAGGCATGTTAAGGAAATTCATAAACTACAAAAGGACTTACACGATATTACCGATTCTATGCGTGAGCTGAATGAGAAAGGCCAGGATGGCGCTGGTAAACTCCAGCTGGGTGGCAGTCAATTGAAAGAATATCATAGGATGTAAGTTTTTCGGCCGTTGAGCCTTTTCTGATCATAATAAAATGGTTGTCTAGATGTTCTGGGCCTTCAATTTCCTTAATGCGCCTTTTAATTTTGACAATGTTTTCATGCTACCTTCTCCCAATGAATAAGATCTTTATACCCTTTATAGAACAGAGATTATGTATAAGATAATGTTGTTCTAAGATAAACCTGCGAATATTTTTTATTTCGACTGCAACTTTTGTCCTCTTGCTAGTCTGTGCATAATTGTTATTGAATTTTATGTTTTATGCCTATTCTTGATTCCTGGGATATAAATAAGATGGTATGGAGGCCTATCTCATTTTTTAACCAAACTTTGCATGTTCAAAGTGTTTCAGATGGTTAATTATATTAACATACGCGTGCTGTGTTAAAATTGACATCTGCAGGTGTATTTGTTGAGGTAAATTATATTGGAATCAACATAGTGTGAAGAAGAATCATTACTCTTTTCGTAGTTTTCTGGCGGTATCGTGTATGAAGTCATTTTTTTGGTTCGTCAGAATAATTGCAGTCTCCTGTTCATACAGTTCCCATGTGTGCTCATTGCTGGGTTTAAAAGTTTACATTCAACAACTCGGATACTAATCTTTCTTCTCGCCCATAGATCTGCATTGATGTTTTTTTGCAGTTCTACTTAGTGACTTAAATATATCAATTTTATTTTTGTAGAAAGGAGGATGCTGGTATGAAGACCGCAAAATTGAGAGATGAGAAAGAAGTTCATGACAGGCAATTACATGCTGATATTGAAGCGCAAAAGAATTTGGAGGAGAACCTTCAGCAGTTGGTCAACCGTGAGCAAGAGCTGACATTGCAAGAGGATCAAATACAAGCAAGATTGCAAAAGCTCACTGATGCAGTGGGTAAACACAAGGAAGAGTTGTCCCGGCTAAAGAAAGAATTAAGTGAGATCAAAGTTAAACATCAGAAATCTGGGTAAGATACATAAGGATGACTCATACACGTAGGGATTTTTCCTGCTTTGATTCGTCCTTTGAAACTGAAAATGTGGCCCGTCCTAACCAGAAACCATATAGTTGTTTGCTCTGAGATCTCTTACCTTAGTGAGGTCCCAGATTCAGCACCCACAGGTGTCCATAACAGGGGGGAGACTGGTGTATGGGCAACTCATTAGTACCTTGGAGTATTGTTCTATACTAGTGGGAATCCGTTGTCTTTAGAATCCTGACTAACCAGGTTTTTCTATCTTTTGAAGGGCAAAATATCAAAACTTAAAGCAGAAAATTGACGAAATAGAGACAAAGCTACGTGAACTTAAAGCTGATAAACATGAAAGTGAACGAGATGCCCGGTTGTCTGAAGCAGTTGAAAGTCTTAAACGCCTTTTTCCAGGAGTCCATGGGCGCATGACTGAACTTTGTAGGCCTTCTCAAAAGAAGTATAATCTTGCTGTTACTGTTGCTATGGGCAAATTCATGGATGCAGTGGTTGTCGAAGATGAAAGTACGGGGAAAGACTGCATTAAGGTATAGTTCTTAGTATTTCTGGTCTCTCTCTCTATATGTATATATTATGGATTTTATTCTGTTCCATCTGTCATAAATCTCATTAGGATTTTTTCATGCGCTCTGTTGGTATATTAGTTAGGTACTTATTCAGTAGGACTTGTAGGAATTGCATGCTTGGTGAATAGGAGCTATAATTATGATAATTTTAGTCAATTATTTATTCTGTCCCTTATATTTGATAAAACTGATCTTGGTACGATTTTATCACCGACTGACTTGAGATCAGTGGATCCTGGAATAATGAACTAGAACTGTGACATTTTACTTGATGCCATGCTCGATTTGTCCAAAAGTGACTAATTGGTTTTTTAATTTTTTTTCATGATACGAGTTCATAATGTTGTGATCTGGTTTGGTTTTTCAATTGGCAAAATCGTGAAGCTTGGGGACGGTATGATTCAACTCAACTATATAGGGATCAGGGCTAGGGATCCTTGCTTGGTTATAAATTGGGTTGTCGAAGATTAGAATTGCCCTGTTCCCGTTAGGTCATGCTATATTGCGTGATTCACGGTAATGCAAGGTGAGCTGGCATTGTTCTTGTTTAAAAATAGAGAGGAGGAGCCATTCAATCCAAAAAAATTCAAACAGCACCTGAACCTTCATGGAGCACCTCACTTCTTCAGTTATTCCAAAGCATCAAAGAGTCTAAATTTGGAAATCAACCCCTTCAATGGGCTGAAGAATATCATGAGATGTAATCTTGAATACATGTCCTTAATGTAGATTTTTCCTATTACTGACGGCTATTAGATATTTCTTACGAAATTATGTTTTCGCTTTCCTGTTTTGCAATCCCTTTCTTGGGGCACATAATTTAGGCTTCTAAAGATTGTCGGAGAGAAACTCTCCCAGCCTTGTATGTTTTTGTAAAAGTCGCATTCAGTTATAATAATGAATAAGACGTTCTTTTATCATGGTGTCAGAGCCACGGCAGTGACTTTAACTCTGGTATTTCTGACCCTAATCTTTTTCGTTACCCATTGTCTCCTGGCCTTCATTCCCACCTATTTTCTCGATTAATTTCTGATTCTTCTGTGAAAAGTCGTCTGAAATTTCTGAGAAAACGTGTCCACCTTTGGAGTAGTCATGGATTTCCCATCGGTGAGTTCAAGTGGACAGTTTCAAAGCTACAATGTCGCTGGCCACTTGACTGGAAAAAACTATTTGCAATGCTTAAACATTGTGAGAACACTCTTGGAGGGAAAAGGGAATATTAGCCACGTAGATGGAATTCGTAGAAGTGAGAACGATCCTAGCTTCAAGGCATGATATGAGGACTCGATCATGTCCTAGATATGGAATTCAATGCAACCAGAGATGGGTAAACATCTTATGTCCCTCCTAATTGTGCCGAACATTTGGGTGACACTTCAAAAGACAAACTCCATGAAACAAGATGCTGTAAAATACGATGAATTAACAAGTAAAGTATCGTCTACAATACAAGGTTCTCTTTCTATTACCAAATTCTACAACTATTTGAATGGCCTTTAGCCTCAAATAGATCATTGTCAAGATCTTAAGATGGTGTGTTGAAGATGCCAGTGCTCTACTATAGCTTATTGGGAGACAGAATTTTTACCTTTTCTAACAGGACTAAATATGGAATGAAATGAAGTAAAACTTCGTGTTAGAAAAGGACCGGCTGCCAGCTCTTAGTGAAGTTTGTTCCATCATTTGGACAGAGAAAACAAGAGAAGCGTCGTGTTGAAGACAACCATCTGAAAGTTCTATAATGATGACCAAGAAGAGTCTAGATGACGGGGAAAGTAAGAAATGGTACCCATAACCCAAAAAAAAGGGTTATTACCTCGGAACAGTTTGAACAAGATAAATTGTGATTGTAAGAAGCCTCGAGATACAAGGGATAATTGCTTCAAACGTCAGGGGAAAGCTCAGATGTTAGCTAAGAATAGTGGATTCAAAGGGTACCAATTAAGCCTAGTCAATCTTATTAGCAAGGATACTTCTCAAGATGAGCAATCTAGCAATGGGGAAGAATCAGCAAAAAATTCATTTGAAAGCTAAAAGGTTTATAAACTCTCTCCACCAAGTCTTTTGATTTGTATTAATTGGCTCAGAGTGGTGTTGTATTTCCGACTTTTGAAAGCTTCCAAGTCTGTCCACTCCAAATCATGGGTCATAGATGCTGGTTCCACTGACCATATAACCCAGGAACGAAATAAATTTGGTCAGTACATGTCTGACCCTTGAATCAAAAAAATTTGCAACTAATTGATCAGCTGTCTCAATTTCTGGTCACAGCAACATTAAAGCTACCCCTACGCTCTCATTACATACTATTTTGCAAGGAACGGGTGATACTGTCGTGAGTAAACGAAAAGTGACTTAAATGAGCAGAATCAATTATCTCTATGTTCGTCTTATTGCACATTCGTCTCTCAAATAGATCCAAAATTTGGTTTCATCGTTTTAAGATTTGGTCATCCTTCTTTTCAAACTCTTCAAACTATGTTTCCTTCGCTTTTTCAGGACATTTCAATTGATTGTTTATATTATGGTGTATGCGAGTTTGCAAAACATCATTGTGCTTCTTTCTATAGTTTTTTGTTGATCGGCATTTTCATATTCCAATGATAGGTGTTTGACAATCTTTATTTACTCGAAGAAAACTGCATTCCAATAAATGTTGTTATTTTTCTTACTTATTTTTCATGGTCCTGTGCCATTTTAACTTTTGCGTTGTTATATGCCTTTTTCATGTGATTTCCCACGTTCTATTTTTCTGTAAAAGTTCCAAAATACCATGTTAAAGCTGACAGGAAAACAAATAATTTCCTTAAGAAAGATATCTTTGACTTAGCACCGCCTGAAAAACAGAAAAAATGAAGAGATCTAGCGTTTAGAACAAACAGTTGAGAATAATGAAGAGGAAGAATCCTTTAAGCTTGTAAAAGTTTTACCATCTGAGGACCGTCCGACTTTTGTGAATCACAGAGTTAGACTTATGCTTCTTAACCAATCACAGCTTGTGTTTATCCAGTCTGACTTTGAGCTGCTTTTGTAAACATGTTAGAAACTGTGAAAGCCATTTGCTATGAATCTAGTGCTGACAAACTTCACGATTCATTTCTTCATTGCCTCTTAAAGGTAAAGAAGGCTCCATGTAACTATTCGTCTGTTTTGCATATTTGTTTGTCATGCCTTTAATGTCGATTTTCATTTGGAGTGGGAAACGTAGCACCTGTAAAAAATCTATGAAGTTTTGTTTCATTATCAACAATGTAGACAATTGTATGGTGCTCAAAATATAGATTATTGTTTAATTATGTGCATTTCGACGTCTTGTGGCTAGTTTCAATGAGTCTTTTATGCTAGCAGTGCGTAACAGTCTTGTTTGTCTTCTTTCAGTACTTGAAGGAACAAAGGCTCCCTCCTCAGACATTTATTCCCTTACAATCTATTCGTGTTAAGCCAATATTTGAAAGGCTGCGCACTCTTGGGGGAACTGCTCAGCTTGTTTTTGATGTGATACAATATCCTTTTTAAAATCGAACCCCTTTAATGAGTGTTCATGTGAATGTCATTTTGTTCAGTGCATTCAGTGTGCATAATTTTCTGCAATGAAAACAGATATTCCATAGATATTTGTGGCCCTGTAAAGTATTATTCCAGCACTTCAGTTGTATTGATAGTGGGTTTTAGTATGAAATATAATCAAGAACAGGTAGCTATGGTCATCTTCCCCAAACTTGTTTCGCAGTTTTTCTTCCATAGGATATGCTTGTATGACTTTTCAAAGCCATTTATGCATGCTTTCCCTAGGATTAACATGACAAATTTCTGTGTGTTAACAATCTCTTTGCAGCTTCATGTGTCTTGTAGTTGGGTAGCCTGAATGAACCCTTTCATTTGCTTGTTTTGGTTACATCATCTATGTCTAGTTCCATGTAGGTTTCTTTTTACAGAAAAAGAAGGGTTTATTACTCTAGACTTGTCTCTGAATTTGCGAAATACCATCACAGACCATCTCTGGGCACCATTAAGACTGTTTATGTAAACCTACCTAATCATACCCTAGTTGACTTAACTTTTGTACGTTTGATCGAGCATTGGAGAAGGCCATCTTATATGCTGTTGGGAATACCCTCGTCTGTGATGGACTGGAAGAGGCTAAAGTTCTCAGCTGGAGTGGGGAGCGCCATAAAGGCAGGCAACTCTTTGTCTATGTTATTCTCATTTTACATCCACTTTTTTCCTTGTCAGTGATGATTTGTGTATCCAAATGTGTTTAGTTGTCACTGTCGATGGAATCGTGCTAACTAAAGCTGGTACAATGACTGGTGGAATCAGTGGAGGAATGGAAGCTAGGTCACAGAAGTGGGATGATAAGGCAATAGATGGTCTGTGCCAATCATTATACCTTCAATTGCTTGTTGGGACTCATTTTATTTTCTTCTAATTTTACTTCTAGTGTATTCCCAGATCTTAAAAAAAGAAAAGATCAGTATGAATCAGAAATCGAAGGTCTAGGAACACTAAGAGAGCTGCAAATGAAAGAGTCTGATGCATCTGAAAAGGTTTCTGGCCTTGAGCGGAAAATTCACTATGCAACTATCGAAGAGGTGACATTTTTTGTCTGTAATGCTTGCCTTTCTCCACCTTAAATATGGATCATTGAAATGATTGGCATCTTACCTTTGGCGCTCCTTGCTTTCTACCTTTGCCCAAGCCCTTCATTACCCTTTCTCAGGTTGCTTTATTAGCTTCTAAAAATTGGCTCTCTTTATGACCATTACCATGCAGAACAAAATGCGAGATAAACTCTCAAAATTGAAGGAAGAAAAGCAAAATATGAAAGGCGAGATTGGTCGTCAAACTCCTGAACTGGAGAAGGTAGTAACTTGAAATCTTTCCATGCTCCATTTTCCTTAAAGCTTGATGTTGACTGTTTTGAAATTCTTTTAGAAGTAATTGCGCCACATTTGTCTTCGCAGTTGAAAAAAGTGGTCATTAAAAGAAGAGAAGAGATTCAAAGGCTTGAGAAGAGGATTAATGAGATTGTAGATACGATATACAAGGACTTTAGTGAATCAGTTGGTGTTAAGAACATCCGTGAGTATGAGGAAAATCAACTCAAGGCTGCACAAGAATTATCTGAGAGAAGGCTTAAACTTAGTAACCAAATGTCAAAGTTGAAATACCAGTAAGTGTTTAATATAAAACCTTTCTAATTTTTAATGTTGTAATGATACCGCTAGTTGAACCTGCTGCCTCTTTATTAGCCTAGTTTGCATTTTTATACTCGTTCTACCATTTGTTGAGTTTGTTTTAGCTTGTTGTTCTTTTTATTTGAGAAATTTTTGATGTCGTTTACTCCAATTTTTCTCGTAGGCTCGAATATGAGCAAAAGCGTGATTTGAAGTCACCAATTGCGAAGTTGGAAACCTCTATTAAATCTTTAGATGAAGAATTGGAAAGGATTCAGAGAAAAGATATGGAGGCACAGTTGGCAGCGGAGGAAACATCAACACAGATGAATAAATTGAAGGAAGAAGCTGATGGTAAGATTATGTGTAGTAGACCTTAATTGTTATAATTCAGTTTTGTTTTTCTATGACATTGACACTTTCCAGGACAGCTTAGCTTCTGGTCATTCTGACACGTGTTTCTTCTTGATACCCATGTGGTCCCTAGATTTTGTTTAAATGGTTATTCTGGCATCGTTTTATAGTATCTTGGTGACATTCTAAACAAGGAAACAGTTTTTAGGGACTAAATTTACCTTGAAAGTTGGGAGTAAAAATTAGATTGTTTTAGTAGAATTGATCAGGTGATGATTCTCTAAAAACGGATTACACTCCATCCAGGTGCCTAATCAACAAAGTAATGAATAACTTTAACGACATTTCTCATTGGTCTGTCGTTGTCTAGGAAATATGAAGCACACCATTTCCGAAAGATCGGCAAGTTATTAGATGAAATGTCACATCAATGTTGTGAAAATGCCTATGCAAGGCAAAGCAGCATAACCCTCGACTGCAGAGGCAGACGGTGTAAAAGCCTGGAGGCTGCGATATCTACGGATCATCTTGTCCAACATAATCAGCCCAGACTGATATTAATCTTGTTATGACCTTGATTGGAGCGATTGTCTCCTTGGGACTTTCTAGTCATAAAATAGATCGCCTGATTCTCTTCTAACTCTGTGTATACTTTTGGATGCTGACTGATCATTTTTTTCCCTTCAAATGAGAGAGTTACCTTATGTTTGATGCTATTGTTTTTTTGTTCTATTTTTTCTATTTCTTAAACTTTTCATCTGCATTCGAGAAGTATTAATCGTATTTTTTTTTTACGAAGAGAAAAATGTGACAGAAGTTTGACATACACGAGGTACAAACGTGATAGAATGTTGTACCTTGAGAATAAACTTATTAGCTTATGTCTATTTTGTCCAGTGTGGAAATCCAAGGCTGATGAATGTGAAGAAGTGCTAGAGGAATTAAGAAAGCAAATTGCTAACGTTACATCACGGATAGGGAAACTGAAGCGCCTGATAAATTCAAAGGTTGGACATCCACAACTGAAATCCATCACGGATTTTTTTGGTATTACCTGGTTCTACCATGTCGTACAACCTCTGAGTTCGTGGATAGTTCATACATTCTGCTCAATCCTTTATCACGACTCTTTTACTCTTAATCCACATGCTATTTTACAGGAGTCTCAAATAGAGCAGCTTAAGTCACGTAAGCAGGAGATACTGGAGAAGTGTGAGCTAGAACACATACAACTTCCAACTGTTGATGACCCAATGGAAACTGATTCTGCTACCTTGACACCGACATTTGACTATACTCAGCTGAGCAGAACACACTCGCAAGCTGTGCGAACTTCTGACCGTGAAAAAGTTGAAGCAGAGTTCAAAAATAAGATGGAGTCACTCGTGGCTGAAATTGAAAAGACAGCTCCCAACCTGAAGGCACTTGACCAATATGAAGCTCTTCAAGAAAGGGAGAGAGAAGTGGTTGAGGAATTTGAAGCAGTGCGCAGAGAAGAGAAAGAAATAGCTGAAAGATATAATGCAGTCAAACAACGGAGGTATGCTTCGAATTTTTTTTGCTCTGTACCTTAATTAAAACCTCTTTGATAAATTCTTTGACAGAAGAATCAGAAGATATAAGGTATAACATATTTGATGTGGTTGTATCATTAGGTGCTACTGTGTGAAATTTACATTACTAGAAAGCTACAGATATTTCGCCTAAACATTGTTATGCAATATATTCCCTCTTTGGTGTTATTCCAAGGATTTTTAAACTTGTTGCCTTGGACACTAAATTGTCGAATCAGTAATTTTGTTTCCGTGCTTAACTTCTGTGTTACGAAGTATTATTTCACTGGAATTTTGAAATTATATTTTCCCACTTACTATGAAGCTTTTTTAAAGCATCTTATACTTGAGAACCTTGTGAAACTTTTTTGAAGGTATGAGCTTTTTATGGAGGCATTTGATCATATTTCTAGAAACATTGACAAGATCTACAAGTTACTTACGAAAAGCCAGACACATCCCCTTGGGGGAACGGCTTATCTGAATCTTGAAAATGAGGATGATCCCTTCTTGCACGGCATCAAATACACTGCTATGCCTCCTACTAAGCGTTTTCGAGAGATGGAACAGTTATCTGGTGGGGAGAAGACCATTGCAGCCCTTGCGCTGCTCTTTTCTATTCACAGGTACCATTGTGGCTTCACCTTTCTTTTGCAGCGAAACTGGTATTTTACTAGGGTGTCTGCCACTTTTTGTTGCACACTATTTGGATATGCATGTCGCATATGCTGTTAAGATCTCTGCGTCAATATTCTATTTGGATTTGGATATTCATCTGGTGACCGAATTGCTGTACAGAGCCTGGTTTGTAACATTCATAAACCATCGAGTGAGCCTGCCTGCTACTTATTTGACATTGAACTGGGAAAATCCTGGGATAAACGGTCAGGGATGATGCCTCGCTTAAAAATCGATCATTGTCCCTGCCCGTGAATTTTTCTTCATGCTCCTTGTGCAGCTGGGCATGGAGATTGTTAGTTTCTTTTCATGGCCCGGTGACAGATAGTGGTCTTCTTATTATTAGTTTCATTCCCTTTTTTGACTAAACTGACAACTCAGTCCCTCTTTTGACTTGGTAATTTGCTCAAAACTGTGTGTTTCAGCTTCAAGCCATCTCCCTTCTTCATATTGGACGAAGTTGATGCCGCCCTAGACAATCTAAATGTCGCAAAAGTGGCCGCATTCATCAGGTCGAAATCTTGCGGAAACATGCAGGGTAGCCAGGAATCGTCTGATGGAGCTGATGGTTTCCAGAGTATTGTGATTTCGCTCAAGGACAGCTTCTACGACAAGGCTGAGGCGTTGGTCGGTGTTTACAGGGACTCCGAGAGAAGGTGAAATCATTATTTATTTATTTATTTATTTTGTATTTTGTATTTTGATCCCCTCCCTTGCCCCATATGAGCATTCATAGGCAACAGTTGAATGCTGAGAATCCAACCCTTACTCCGATCTGGTCTGCTTTGCAGCTGCTCGAGAACCTTGACGTTTGACCTGACCAAGTACAGGGAGTGAGTCTCAGGAGGATCACCCAGCCAGACTCCCTCTGAAGATCCCCCGATATGATGTGAATTTTTGTTTATATCCTTGCTCCTCACCCAGACGTCAGCCGGTGTATGAGACACCTAGCTGTTTTAATCCTTCTTCCTCACCTAGGCATGTACAGGTGTGCCTCGGAGAGGAGCTGCCTGTAAGACGCGTCCATTCTAATCGCCAGTAATGTGTTTGCCAGGCATCATTATGGACGTTTTATTTCTTCTGAAGTTGGTAATTACTCTGCCCCTCCACCCTATCTAGTTGGTGAAACTAGAAATGATGCCGCGTATCGTCCTCTCTCTCTCTCTCTCTCTCGCATGTTGCAGAGGTGGGAAGCTACTATGTTGGACACCCCCTCTCCAAAGCCACTAGAGATGGCCCAGCAGATCGATAAGCCATCGGCCAGGATGAAATTATGTGCCTCAGATCAGGTTATATGCTACGCTCTCGTTGTGGGCAAGAGATGTGATTGACTGCCGGATACCACTCGAAGAAACGAGAAAAGCCCACAAATTGGTGAACCGACAGTTTGAAAACGGGAAAAATGGGCTATAGTGATGGGAAGGCCTAAAATCAGATTGAATCCAACAAATAAATCGTGCGGCTAATGCATCAGATTCCCAGTCCTATTAGCTGTTTTTATTGTTATTTCGTTTTATACTTTAATTTCGTAATAAATCTGTTTTTCTAGTCTCACAAACTGTTTTTGGCCTATTTAGCGCATTTTCGGCCCTTTTGAATTCAATGATTAATACACTTTTCTTGACTTGTGGATTCAAGACTCTAATGTTTGTTCTTAACGTCTAGATGGCATCAGCTTATATCAGTCTGCAAAAAAGATAGTGCCTTCTTCTTCCTCATTACACTGGACCTGAGCCTCTCTCAGCTGGGAGGCGGCCGCTGCGTGCTCAACGCAGGGCATTATTTCCAGACATACACACTACTACTGGTAGTAACAGTAGCAGTCGTCGTCTTCGCGATGACCAAACGAGGGGGGGAAAGGGGAAAAAAACGAAGAGGAAGGGAGAGAGGCAGGCAGGCCACACAATGCTGCCACGAGGTGCTCGGTATCCACTCAGGCGGACGCCCTCCTCTCCTGGGACAGGGGGCGGAGCAGCAGCGTCTCGTGGTCGCGGTTGAACTTGAGCCGCCGAGCCTCCTCACGGGAGAAGCGGTAGGCGTTGGCCAGCACGTCCTCGGGGATGGCTCGGAAGACGGAGGTCTGGCCGGCCAGAGGGCTCACCATGGCGTTGTCGTTGGTCTTGAAGGACACCCACTCGAACTCCTCGTCCTTGGCTTGCTTCACCACCGCGTGCCCCTGCGGCACGATCAGGATCTGCCCCCTCCGGATCTCGCCGTCGTAGAGCGCGCGCTGCCCCGCGCCGACTATCTGGATCCGGGCGGCGCCGCGGGTGCAGTAGATGACGCTGTGGGCATTGATATTCCAGTGCGGGGCGAGGATGGCGTTCTGCAGGAACAGGCAAACATGAGCCCAGAGACGGGGATCAAAGAGCTGAGGAGGAGGGTGGGTTCGCAGTTGGCTCACCCTGCGGAGACGACCCTTCTCGGCGCTCAACTGGAGGAGCCTGAGGACGGGGAGCTTCTGGCTGTTAAGGGTGGCGATGTGGCCGCCCTCTCGGCTGTAGAAATCGGCCTTGACGGGGTCACCAATGTTTTCCCTGAGCCTCGCGTTGCAGAGGGTCTCCTCCAGGCCGTTGTCCTCCCTCCTCCTTTCTTCCTCACCCTCTCGCCTCCGTTCTTCCTTCTCCTCCTCTTCCCGCCCCCTCCGCGGCCCGACCACCTCGAGGCCCCTCTCCACTCGGACTATGGTACCCCGCTTGTCGTCCGCGGTCTTGAGCTTCCTCACCACCTCGCGGCTCACGCCAAAAGCCTCCGCCAAGAGGCCGTCGTCGAAGCCGCTAAATATGTTGCCGCCGGCCTTCTCCTCCCTTTCGGTCTGGCGCTCCTGCTGCCATCCTTCCCTCCGTTGGCTCCCCGCCAGAAAGAATTTCTGTCCATCCCCCCGTCGTCGTCGTCGTCCGTGCGTGCACAAGACCAACACAACCTCCATCAGCGAGCTGATCGCTGGGGAAGATGAAATCGCAGAGACGGAACAGAATCGGCTGATAAGGAAGGCCCGTTATATTACCCTGGGATTGCGGTCGAGCTGGTTGGAGTAGCTGCTGGTGTCGAACACAGTGACGGCGACGACCGGGGTGTCGCCGTCGTTGTAACACCAGTGGGTGACTCCGGCGGGCAGAGCGAGGATGTCTCCCTGGCGGAAGCGGCGGATCTTCTGGTGCTGATCTGAGGAACGCGAGGCCTGCTGCTGGCCGGGGCGTTCCTCCCGTCTCTCACGCTGGGGCTGCTCGACGGAGTGGAACGTCTCGGGGCAGCCCGGGACGACCGCCGCCGTGATCCCCGAGCCTGCGCAGCAGGCGGCATGATCTTGAGTCGTCCACGAAGAAGAGAGGAAGGAGGGAGAGAGGGGGGCATGGGCATGCATGCGCACCTTGGACGATGTAGACGAGGCGCGGGGAGTTGGAGAACTCGGGCAGGACGAGGCCGCGGGGCTGGACAGTGTGACGGACGGCGGCCACGCCAGCGCAGTCGAACTGCTGATCGTCGGCGTCCCAGTACTCGCTCACACCCGCCTCGGACTCGACCCGGTGGGCGGGCTCCTGGGCCTGTAGCTCCCGCAGGCGGCACTCGCTCTGGTCGCGGAACCGGCGGTGCCCTCCCCGGACGCTAGGTCGCCTCTGCTCAAAGTCCAGCTGCGCGAGGGAACCGTACCAGAGGAGCCCCAAGCATAGAGCCCAGCACACAAAGCTGACCCTTCGGCCGGCCATGGCAGGCGCGCCCACACTCTCTCTTTCTTTCGATGCCGACGGAGGCTCAACTCACCAACTAAGACCGCCGGTGACGATGGGCTACGGCCGCGGGGAGCGGCGGGCATTTGTAGGCGGGGAAGCGTCGACGCAGGGTGACAGGTGCTCGAGCCGCTGCCAAGGGGCGCTAACGGCGAAATTGCCCGTGTCGATATCGAGGAAGGAGTTCGCCACGTACGGCGCCTGGGTAGCACGAGTTGCCGCGGTCTCCATGCCCGCGGACACGCCACAGCTGCGACGCCACGCGAAGTCGCCGAGCTACATGAGACGCATCAGATCTGAAACAAACGGTAGGAAGCAAGCAAGCTTATTTATTATTCATCATCACATACAGGGCCTCTTGCTCATGTACATGCAAAGAAGCTCTGCGGGTTCATCTCCGGCTATTTGTCTTTATCTGCTGATAACGCCTGCTCCGCCTCCTCCCCGGGCTTCCCGGGGCTTGCGGCCTCGTTCGCGCCTCCCGCACTGGGAATGCTCGGCTCCGCCGGGGGGTTGGTGCCCGGGTGGTGGGGCGGGGGCAACAGAGCCTCCATCTCCGCATACTTGGAGAGGACGAGCAGGAGCTCCTCGTGGAGATTCAGGGCACAGAACAGCATGTCCTCGTCGTCACCCACCGTCTCCATTATCCTCTGTATCACTGGCTGCGCGTCCCTGCACCTCTCGAGCATGCCCAACGTCAGATCGTCCTGCACCACCACAGCGAGATGCCACGTAATTTTACCATCTGCTTGTCTGAAGCATCGTCATCTAAACAATGGGATTAGCCACAAATGATGAATAACGATAAACAAAAGTAACTTCACACACACAAAAAAAAAATAATCTTGATTTTGCACCGAGACAGCTGCACTCCAGGTCTGTTAGTTTCGAGTTTGATGAGAAGTCGATGGCTGTTGCTGTTGGGTTCCCTCAATCCACCACATTTAGCATTGCTTCCCTCAATGCCGACTAGTTGTGAGTGGGATGGTCGAAGCTACTTTCGACTAAGCATCAACAGAAATATACGGGCTTTCCCGGAGTCAAAGACAACAGAAACCATGCACAGGAAGACGATGGCTCTTTTTTCTGACAGCAAAAACCAAGAAGAGGGAGAAGAACGCGTACCTTGATTGCTTCGTTCGGCTTCTCAGAGTTCAAAAGAGAAGAAAGGATCTCCAAGCTATTCCGTGTCACAACAAGTACTTCGTTCTTTTCTTCCGTCGAAAGGCCACTGCCAAGGTAGGTGATATCATCTAAGTCTACATCCACATTCTGATGATGGCCAAGATCAAGATTAGGGTGCAGTCCAGGAAGAGAGAATAATGGTTCACCAAACCCTGACTCCGCAGAAGTGAACTCCGTAGACAGATTACCACCATCCCCCGTGTTGAAGGGAACATCTCTTGACTTCAAATTCTGCAAACATTATTGTACACAGATTTATCTGACAAAATGTTCCCAAAGCCGAGAGGAACAGTAGTTCCCCCCACAAAAAAAAGGTATAACAGATTGACGTGCAGGAAAATAGGATCCAAATCAATAAAATTTGGAGACGTTTCTAACTTTATGACGTATACTAGTAATTATACACCATTTATATAAAAAATAAACATAAGCAAAGTAAAGAAGACGTGCATGCTCCAAAGATGTACGTGATACATGGTAATCTGTGTCAATTTTTTCGAGAATTCAAAAGAAAACCCGGAGCACGAATTTTAAAATAGGCTGAATGAACTTCTAAAGAGAGGGTACTTTTGAAAAATCAATCGTGGTGAGGCACCATCTAATCAAGTTAGGATCTTTCAAGGTGATACCAACTAAGATCTTCAAGTTGAGGAGTTCATCCCTTCATGCTGCTGTGACTAAAATATGAATGCAGACTTCATATAACCACGACATGAGTGCTCAGAGCGATCTTCCACCAACACTATCAGAACGAAACAACGTTCTCAAGAAAAATGTCAGAGTTCTCCCCCCCTGACATCATAGCACATCTCAAATTCTCCTTCGCTCAAGTTCAATTTGATAAGTTCCCAAATATATTCATTAAGTTGTCATTGGTCAACTCACAGCAAGGTATGCTCTCTATAGGGTGTAAACCAACATAATGGCATAATAGGACATAAAAAAATTCGCTCAGTGACCAGTATTGTTGTTTACTGACTATGGTGTAATTGCAAAGTTTGGAAGAAGCAGTAGATATGTCTAGTATTTTGGCTTCATCATGAGCTGATGCCGAGACATGTCTCCCCATAAAAGTGACCGTCAAGCCCGACCTCCTTGCGTAAAGGTTCGGCCCAGTCCCTAGTGATTTACATCGGTCGTTTCTAGGTCATCTTTGCACTTCGATGGGGATTTGGGTGCCATTTAGACCCTGTGAACAGTTAGCATATATGCCTAAATTTTTTTAATTTTATCAACGAAAAGTAATTGCCACAAACTTAAAGGCAATTTGAACACCAAAACATGAATAGGCGAAATAAAATGGAGAAACAGGTCAGCAAAAGAGGATGGATGTGAGTAAATTGTAATTTTTCTCTGCATGTAGACAACTCCAAATAAAAACACTGGATACAAATATAAAAAAAAAATCCAAAACCTAAAAGTATGAATCTATTAAGAAATGAAAACAGCAGAATGAAACGCGATAAAAAGCTGAATTCAAATTTACTCGAAAGCAATGGATCTCCAAGGGGACTTCTGGTCTTCAAATTTCAAAGTGGAAAACGACGCAAAAAAATAATTTAATGACCAAAAAGAAGATACAGAGACATTGCTTACCATGTATATCTGCTGGAAAACGGGTAAATATAAAAGATCTTCTGACTCACCCCAGGCCTTTATCATCTGGAAGGCTACAAGCCTATTACTTTGATGTGTTTGGGGATTATCAATCATCCTAATCATCTCGTCTAAAACTTTTTCTGATGCCACCACAGAGAAAGTCTTATCACAATTCATGGCACAAGCATCCAGCAAATCCAGACTCAACTTTTGGCTGATCGTACTTTTGCAAGCAATCTTCTTCTTTATCGCCCTCATGACTTCAGAACCATTCAACTCCTCTGCATTCAGTAGCCCACATATCCGCAGATTAAGGCCCCAGTTTGGCTCAGTTAAGTTTTCCGATGTGGCTTCATCAACCATTTTAGCCTCTTGGGACTGTCCTTGAAGCATCTCTTTCATCTTTAAACTGACTTTTCTGCTCATCTCAGCCCCACCAGCCTTCAGACGTTCACCACCAATCTTTAGACGCTCCCCCAAAGCTTGAAAATTCAATTTATCCATCCTCGGTCACTGACCCAAAGATTTTCTCACAGCATACCTTGAATTATCTGATGTATGAATAAAGAGATCAAAATAGAATTCCTCCTATTCTAATGCGTCCTGGAAGATCACAGTTCAGTGTTCCAGCGAGTGAAAGTCAGTTTCCTTGAAGCCATCTGATAGAATTAGCACCGAGTTTGTCAGAAACTTTTTTTAAAACAGAAAGTGTTTTTTTAACACTGACCTAAAAAGTAACAGATCAACGGAAGGTATCAACAACAAATAATTGGACAACGAAATGAAGGAATGCAATTAAAATAAATATCCATTGAGCCCAAGATCCCCTTACAAAACATTTAAGATCAGAATATTAGTAAAGATATATAAAAAAGGAAACTTATAACTGTACCTCCAGACAAACAGCAAAGCGAATCCTGATTCAAACGGATAGTTCGCCGACCAAGTTTTAGGTGAAGTAAAACGAGAAATTACGCCAGGACACCGTTTTCGTCTCACCACTCGACATCACTGACTACCAGTTACACTAACATCATGAACACCTGCCTCAAGAATCCCCGAAACGCACACCGACCCACTAAACAAGTCGAAATAAAAAAATCAAATCGCCCAAGGTCATGAGGAAATCAAGAGCTCTGATAATTCCCCTTCTAAGTTCAAACGAGACACTGCGAAAAGATACCTTGCATTTAACTCAACCGCGATGTAGAGAGAGGACGAGACAAGAAAAGTAAGCAAAAAGATGACAAGAAGAGAAGGGTAACTAAGTTAAACACCGAGGAACAGCGAGGGAAAGGATTCGCGGCCCGCCAGGAGAACGACACGACGCTCCAGTGTGGAATCCAATGAAGAAGAGAAATGTGGGAAAAACCCTAACCTAATTCGATCAGAGGGGAAAGAAACGAGGCTTTTTGGAAGCCTTCCAGTGGGCTGTCTGAAGCAGGCAAATGAAAGGAGGAGATTCTCGTGTGCTGCACCCCCTCCGCAAAAAGGATCGGGGAGATGTCGATCACGGTGGGACTCGAACCCACAATCTCCCGCTCCGGAGGCGAGCGCCTTATCCATTAGGCCACGCGATCTATTTTGAGCTTAGTATTTTACTCCTATAAACAAAATATATTCAATCCATCTTGATCAGCCCCTCATGCCAAGTGAAATACCAAGAAGGGGGTTGAATTATCTAATTAGATGTACAATGATGAATTATCTGAACGAAGATGAGACTTAAGAATTAGTCAAACTTTTCAGTAATAATAAGACAACTCGTTCCAAACTGGTGCATTAGAAGAAAAAAAGTTGATTTGACAAGCGAGTCACCCAAATAAAATGTTCATTTAGTAACAATGTGATTTGGGGAGAGGAAAAATAATAATTTAAATTAAAAAAAATCCTTGGTAATAAGACATTATTCAATCAAGTTTTTCCTTGCTTTAATATATATGCTATACTTAGAATTAAAATGGTTCAATTTAAAACTTTCATTCTTTGATTAAAATTTAGATGAAGAGATTCATATGGCCCTAAGTGATTTTGTACAATAATGTAGTGAACAAATTATGTGAAACCTTCAAAAATATGTTTATAAATTTTGAAATCAGTCCTTTGTTATTGGAATGAAAGATTTAATCTTTTTTGTGGACACATACACAAGAAGTAGGTATGTTAGTTATGTATATTTTAATTCTTTTAATGATGATATTATTCTTCTGCTCATGTTATTTCTTGATAACATGATGGTTGCACATAAATCTATAGATGATATTACTGACTTGAAAAGATAAATTTTGGCATTTGCAATGTTAGCATTAAGAAGATTTTATTTGTAGAGATTTAAAGAGATTGATGTACCAAAAAGTAATGATTGACTTAGAAGATTGATGTAAATGTGAAAGTATAATTAACTAAATTTGTTGTGATAAAGACCAAAATTTTTAGTATAACTTTAGCTAAACACTTTAGATTATTCTTGATGTTCTCACAACTTGATAAAAAATGATGAGAGATGTTTAATGCTGACTAGACTTGATATATAACAGTAGTGAGTGTTGTTATCACAAGTTGTTAATGCACCAATAACTTGGTTTGAACATCACTTAAACTTATCTAATATTCACACATGTTAAGACATTAAGACCCAAAAGAGAATGGGTAGCCAAATTCTTAGAGAAGTTTGAGCAAGTCAAAGAGAGAGAATCTTATTATTAAAGTTTTAAATTAATTGAGTCATATTCCTTTTTCTTCACAAATGGCCAAAGAAAGAAATAGTGGCTAAGATTATTGAAAAGGTAAGGTAAATACGGTGCATGAGTGAAGAAGAGAGCATGCTTTCCACTTATTCCATAGTTTAGGCGTCTATTTCTCTATTTCTTATTTAAGAGAAAAGAGAGGAACAAGATTGTTGACTTGAGTGATTTTTCTATTTGTTTGGTTAGTGAGTCTCATTCAAAATTTTAATTTTTTTTTCAGCACACCATAGTGAAGATGAAGGTGTTTCCAAATTATATGGAGGAAAGAGATCAAATGTGATTAGACAAACCCCTCTTGTCTTTCTTACATCTTCTGCATAATTTTTATTTGGAGGTCGACGTCCATAACTAAGAGGTTGGCATCAAATTTATAGACAATATGTTGTGCATGGAAGTTTTGCTCTTACTCAGTACTTCTAAAAATTGTCAGTTTTCATATGGGCAATTCAAAATATTCAACATTATGTAAGTTTAAATTTCATCTATTAATAGAAAGATATGAATACCTATTGCATAAAATAATTTTCAAAACCTATTATCCACTAAGTGTGAATGCAACCAAAATATTAAGACAAAAGTATAAGATGGAAAGATGGAGTACGAATGAAATACATGAATAAATAATGTGCTAGAGTTTAAGTGGCTAGGAAATTTTCTTATACAACTATGGAGAGAGCTAAATGAATTTATTTAAGTGGAAGAGCAAAAGAATCGATAACCCTACAACACTATTGCATATCTTTCGTCAATGTGATGCTGAACATATTTTTGTCTTCAAAGAGATAGGCTCAAAATAAATTACTCATTTTAATGTGAAGAATCACTAGGCCACATATTCAATCTCTTCTTTTTTTCTCTTAATAAAAAATAAAGTGAGAGAGGGAGAGAGGTTGAAAATTTATTTTGAGCGGCAAGATACATTAATAGGTGACAAAGAAGAAGACAACATTCACCACATTTATTAGCATTAATGGGTGGTGTCAAGCAAGAGGGCCATCATGTTGCCCCATCATAACCTATAGATTATGCAGTAAGGCACTAATGCATACTTATAAGCAAGAGGTAGAAAAGGGGTAATTCTACCATAATAAGGGTAGGCTTTATAAGGTCAGCCATGGAAGATAAGTATAAGCTTTAGGTATGGAGAGGAACTAATAACAAAGAAGAGACAATTTCTAAGTACCTACATAGGTGTGAGTAAGGCTTTGCAAACCCTCATAGTTTCTTCCCCTACTCTAAGTTAGTTGTGTATAGTTTCTTGTAATTTTTGTCAATTTAGCATCAAAGCCAATGACATGAGATTGATGACTTCAAAGGTCTATAATAATCACATGGATGCAATGGAGAACAACATAGAAGGGGTTAAGACCAACATAGACAACATGAGGGAAGAGTTGTAGAAACCATAATTTCTCTCATATTTTAGATCATCTATTTTGATAAATAACTAAAGTGGAGGAAAAGAGTGTAATCATCAGCATAAACAAATCAATCATGATAAAATCAAGTGACATGCTGCAAGATCATCTATTCCAATGGGTCACAAAATCTCAAGGAATTGCATGTTCTTATGCACCATCAAAGCCAATTTGTTGAAGGAGATGAGCAAGTCGATTTGTTGTCATTACATTCATCTCTTTAATAAGTCCAATGAAAATGGTTGAATCTTTCACATCATGTTGTTTTTCAAGATAAGTACATTATCAATAGAAAAATAATTAAACAATGTAACATTGAGCTTTCTGATGTAGATGACTTGTCATGTTAATTTTAAATGATAGAGTGCTATCTTTTACAAGATTGGACAAACATCAAACATTATATTACAACATTTTAGATCGGCATCCTCAACAATGTCTACTAGTAATGTTTGAAACTTAGACCAGATGAGATAATGGTAGAATATTATCATGATTTTGAGGTCACATAATTTTTTCTCAATGATATAATAAATGAAATTGTGAAAATAAACTAGAATATCTAAATTTATTATGTGCAAGTTGATGAGGTTGTGTAAATTTAAGAATTTCTCTTAACCTGGTAAAGAAATATTTCATCATCTCTAAGTAGCATGAATTAGTGAATTGTTAGTATCTTAAGCCTACATATCAACAAAGATTGGAGTTGAGAAATAAACAAGGTGACAAGTAGTACATAGTTTTAATTAGGCATATTAGGCACAACAAGGTTGACATTTCCTACAAATGACCACTATGTTAGAAACATGAGAAATCTTGATGTTACAATAGAAGGGAACAAAGCGGTGAGAAGAGAAGTCTCAATTTAATGGAAGTGAAGCTGCAAGCTTATTTAGAGGTTGTGCAAATGCTTGCTACAAATCATTTCGAAATATGAAGAGGATTAATGACTTTAAAACTATCAAAGTTAAATTGGTTAGAAAATAAAGGGAAAAAAAAATGAGGATGACCTACTCAAGAAGTATCCCCTAAAATTAGTGCATGTGTCACTAAATTTAATTTGAGGCCTTAAGTGGTATAGACACTATGTAGTTAAATAAGAGTTTACAAGAGAGAGATGTAATAATTTTGATTGATTGTGGGAGGACCCATAATTTTATGTACAATGACCTAGTGAAAGAGTTCAAACTTTCATTATCAAATGTGACTAATTGTAGATGCTCTTAGTAAGTGTGGATAAAGTGAAAGCTAGATGTGTTGGTAAAACGTTGTCAATAGAAATACATGGGCCACATAGTCTTGGATTATCTACCCATAAAGTTGGCTAACACATATGTGA